TGGAGACATAGGTGGAGTGGTAAAAGGATCCATAATGGTGGAGTTGTTGATAGTTTAGTCCTAATGTGAAGAGTTTTAATTTCGAGGTTCTACAGCCTGAACGCACGGACTTTTGTCCCCATGTTCGTTAGCCGATAAGGCTGCATCGCTGTAATCTTGCTAGTATCTGTCTCTTCTTTCATATTCTTTTTTTATTGCATCGCACAGTATCTGCTCTAGTGTTTGATTATTCCGCCTCGAGATAAGGCTGTTCCTTAAATCGAGTCATACGCAGATCTCATGTGAGAAGTCTCACAAAGGATAAAGTCGCAGATCTTTGGGCTCTCTCCAGTCATTATTATCATTGATTCTACCATTCTTCTATCAAACTTCAAAACAATCGCATTCCATTCAAGCTGCCTGCTCACCCACAAGTCCAAGATACTGATCCACGACACTCTTGACCTGCTCTTCATAACCTTGAAACTTAAAGCCAAAAACCTGCTCTGTACGGCTTGCATCCACCTTGGTTCTTTTCGTGCTAGCAGTCCCGTTGTTTGGCAGAACACCCTTCTTCACGGCCTGAGGGTAATTGCGATTGACAATGTCGATAGCCTCCTCCCATCTGGTTCCACGTTCGCCTTCTGAGACAGCTAGAAAGCTCTGGTTGCCCTCGATCTTTGGGTTCAAGGCTTCCACATGCAATCGCGCGACATCAGCAACGTGGACGCTGGTGGAAGGAACTGCACCCCATCCGCTATCTCCTCCAAGGACTTGGGCCATTGCAGCGCCGACAGTTCCATCGGCGACGAGATTGGGGTCGGTGATCATTTCATTGTCGCCCACAACGAATGAAGGCATGATATTTATCACATCCCATTCAGGCTTCTTCTCCTTCACGAACTCCTTTGTGGCTATCAAGGCACGAACTTTACTAGCAGAATATGCTTCGAAGACGTGGGAGTACGGGCCAGCTGGGAAAGGAATCTGGTATTGATCATCGAAGACAGTGTCGACCTCTTTGGCAATGAATTCCTCCCATGGGATGATGGCGACTTCAGATGAAGTAATCACAATTCTTTCGATCCCAGAAGTTTTGTATGCTGCGTCCAAGATTGAAGTCGTACCTTTCAACGCTGGGGCAATTAAATGAGTCTCCCATTGGTCGGGGGTGAAGCCTTCGCCTTTGATGACCGGAGAGGCAGTATGGATGATGAATTTGACTCCTTTGACTGCTTCATCATAGGCATTGTCAGCTAGAATATCTGGGACGATGATGAATGTGAGTCTCGATCCTGGGTTCAAGGCTTTGACGGTTGGTGTTGCAAGAACGCCGTTGGCTTTCTCTTGTGAGCGAACTGCCGCACGGACTGAGTAGCCAGCCTTGAGGGCGAGCTGGATGATTTTGATACCAATCAAGCCAGTACCACCGGTGACGAGGACGAGTTCTCCTGCCATTGCTAGAGGTATAATTTGAGATTGGAGAGGAATTGGTTGGGTAATTTGTGAAAGCAAAGTATTTTTGACTTGTCTGCAGACAATATCTTGTGATTCTGGATGAGCGCTGGTTTGATATTCTTCTATCATACACGAGTTCAGCCATTCTTATATACTGCTCTGTCTCTTTCACTTCGAGATGGAATCCCTTTCCTTCTTGCTTCTACGGCTTTGAAAGCTTCGGCTGACGAATTCATCAACTTCGCATCACGACTTCATTGGATAGAAAATTTCCTATTTCGGAAATTGATATATCCAACGTTGATATCGCGAGGTCAAATGCACGAAGCTGTGTAACCTGGGGCCAATTCAGCTGAACAATGTGCATTGCTTACAAAGTGCGTATGACGTGTGGGGTGGCTTTTCATTCGAAGGAGGCATTGGCTGGCGGGGATAAGATGCATATTATTGGTCAGCGGCGATATTTGTACGGCCGATGGTTGTGGATGTAACTACGAATTGGTTGTACGGCTGACGAGAACATTACCGTACTGTTCCAGAACACGAACTTTATGTTACTCGTTTGAAAGTTATTCCTACTTCCAATGGAGCCTTCTGGCAAGCAGTGTTTGAGGTACTCCGCTCCCAAATCCCTTGGTATCACGTGCTTGATCTCGACTTGAAACATTTTGATTGAACTGATGAGAAATCTCTTCGAGTAACGCCTTCAAAAATACATAAATTCCCAGTTCGCTTTTGGATACATATATACATCATCTTCGCTGATGTTGCAGCTATCATTAGTGGCTCAAACCCAGCCCCTTAACGATCCGTTGGCTTTCTTCATATCAACTTCTCTTCTCTAAACCCTCAGCACCATATTCCTGACTCCGATATAGCAGAAAGCCAGAAGAAACCAAATCTAACAGTCAATTATGAAGAGATCTGCACTAGGTTGGTACCCTCCCACGTTTTGGACGTATTCAACTCCTTCAATGCAGCTGACGAAGTAGCTGCTGTCGGTGAAATTGGCAACAGAGCCAAGATTGATTCCTCCTCGGAATAGCATCCACCTACCAAACCATCAACACTAGGTGCTGAGTCCAACGTGGCGTCAACGACCCCTCTATTGCCACTGTCTCTAGATAATTAATTCTCCGGTGCTTTCGATGGGTACTCCACTGGACTGAAATTTCTACATAGAGCATACCTCGCAGCAGGCTCTACGAAACTGGATCTCAAGTCAACTTACGAGGAGATACTTCGTCACCAGGGACTCGGCCAGAGGACATTCGGCTTTGACATTGATGTGAAAGGCGCCTTGATTTGCCCTGAAATTGCTGAGCCCATGGGTGACGAGCCATTGGAGCCGCTCATCATCACCGGGTCAGTCAAAGACGCTGTCAAATTTGAACCGAAAGAATGATCCTTCACCCCTAAATTCCGGGCCCTGGATATCTCGGAAGAATCGAATGGGAAAGCGATGATTGTGGCTACGCCGTACCGGATTCAGCCAAAGGATACATCAAGGTGAGGAAAGCCTGGGAAGCTGAGAATGGGGGATCCCTCTATGAAGGGTTCTGGGAAATTAAAGTTGTCTATGATTCTGCGCTGCGCAGGAAAGGTCATGGGAGTGGATAGGATTATCGTGGTAGCTTTTGGGCAATGGAGAAAGCAACTGACGTAAAAGGAAAAGATGACGAAGAAACCGAAAAGGATGGTGCGACTGCGGTCTCTGGCGTCGAAGCGACTTGAATCTGGGTTGACCTGGAATTTCCTTTCCTGTATCTCAATGCGTTAGGGCTTTCCTTGAAACCCTCGGATTACTGCGTTCGAAAAAGCATAGAGCAGACGCCCATCTTCTCACTCAATATCGATGCTGTTCAACGCAAGTGATACACAATATCATTCAAGCGAGATGCCAAAAATTAACGGATCCAAAACTTCACCACACATTGTCTACCAAGGGTGAATCCCATCTTTGTTGACAAACTTCCCCACGTCTTGATCCCTCCTTCCATCGACCAATTTCAGTATACCCTCAGCACTCTCTTTTGCATCTCCTGCTCCGTTTTTGATTCTTTCCTGCCGTCCCGCTTCACCCGTTCCACTCAAATTCGTCACCACATACCCTGGATTAAACGTCCAAACCTTTACTCCCTTAGGACCAAGCTCAGCATGATGACACATTGCCAGCATGTTCAACGCAGACTTGCTCATTCTGTATGACACAGCTGGGAGTTTGTAATATTTCCCCGAAGGATCACTCCGCTCAGTGATTGAGCCGAGATCAGACGTAACGTAAATCAATCTCGCGTCTTTACTCTTCTCCAGTAGTGGAAGAAATGACTCGGTCACAATGGCAGGTCCGAAGGTGTTTGTTTCGAAAACTTCGCGGAGTTGATTGATGAGTAGAGTCGCTTTGCTGATGATCCCGGCGTTGTTGATCAGAACATCTATATGCCCGAACTCTTTCGAAACTTGAGAAGCAGCATCGGTGATCGTTTGGTGGTCCGTAACATCTAGTTTGACTAACGAGAATGATTCCTTTGGTTGGGATTTCTGGAGGTCTTCTAATGCCTTCTCGCCTTTCTCTAGATTTCGGCTAGTGATGATGACGTGGTAGTTGGGAGATGATGCTGCGAGAGCTTCCGCTGTGAGGTAGCCAACACCTCCGTTGCCGCCTTCAGAAGTTACTTTGAGAGACCCAGTTTCAACTTGCACGACGTACCGGTGATGAGAACGATGGTCTTGTCGTTGCTTGCCATTTTCGGAGTTGATATTAAGGGAGCGATGGTGTGCGTATGTGTATGAAGGGGAAGTACGATGGTGGTATCCAGTATGTGAACTCTACGTCGTTTAAATAGAAGTCAACCGATCTCGAAAGAACGTGTATCATACGCAGACAGAGTTCGGACTTCTTTCGAGTCCGGCGTGGGAAGCGTGAACAAGGTTAATTCCGCTACTTAAATCCGGCGTTTCTGTTGGTCGACATAATGTCCGACGAGGATCATGACATAAATGGCGAATCTTTGGTGGAGGACAGTATCTCGCATGGAAGACCCTAAATGGTCTTCATCACGTTTGTGGTGCTCAACATCCTTCCGAGTCTTTCGCTGTGATTTGTGATTCAGCCGGTGGATGACCCCGCGATGACGGAACTGTACCCTTAAGCTTCATGCTACCCCGCATATCTTGATGGCTTACTCATAGTTCATAAACTACAACCTGGCAGAGATCACTTGTCATTGACATTCATGATTGAGCCTCATAGAAGAATGAGTGGTGCCAAAGGCGCATTAATTCATTTGAAATCCTACAGTGATGACATGCGTCTGATCATCGTTTATCGGGACGGCAACATATCCAACATCCTGACTCGCAGACGATTGAGTCCCATTCATCTGTGGAACAGGATTTGAGTCCAAATATACTGCTACACTTGCATTTGCAACTGGGACATATACTGTGCCCTTCGTCCCGGCTGGCCCCGTGGTACTGATGTAGAATTGCCCCTGCGAAGGGTTACTGTTCCAGCTCACTGTGATAGGTCCATGCGGAGTAGGAACAACTCCTTTCGCCCACTTCACATCTCCTGGAATCGGTTTGACGCTGTAGACCGAGAAGCCAGGACCTTGAGGAATGACACCAAGGATGTAGTTGGTGAGTGCGGGGACGATCCCAGTTGCCCATCCATGTGCCATTGAGGTGTATGCGCCTTCATATGGAATCCCATCGGCTCCAATTCCCTCCCATTGAGTGATCGTTGGGTCGTGGTTAGCCATCCAACCATAGAGTCTTCGGATCTCCTCAAGCGCCGAGCTTGCTGAACCAACGATAAATCGAGCTTCGATCTCGAAATATGAGATGAAAGCGTAGACACGCTGAGAAAATCCCGCCCCGATGGCATCATTGTCATAGAAAGAGTTCCCGTATGGTCGCGCGTTGTGTGTTGCGAGGTAGGAGAGTACTTGATTGGCACGAGTGGCATTTGCTACCCCAGTGACAATGCTGAGACTGTTTCCATCCTGAGCATGAGTTTCGCAATACGCCTCTCCGCCACAAGTCCCATCGAAAAATGCACCATTCGTGATGTCGAAATTGTACTTATTGAGAGATGCGGACACGTTCTGTGCTCGAGCTGTCCACCGAGCTGCATCTGCTTGCTTTCCGTCGAGGAAGGTGGCAATCGACGCAGCATTGTCGAGGGCGAGAACATAGAGGGCATTGTAGTAGGTTACTGGTCCACTTCGGGGTAAGAAAGCATAATCACCATAACCTCCAGAGATTCCAATGCCTTTGGAAATGAGTTGAGTTTGAGTATTCGTGACTGAGGGGTAGAATGTATCGAGGACTTGCACAATATTCGAGTAGTATTGCTGGATATAGGCTACGTCTCCGGTATACATGAGGAGATCATAGCTACAGACGACCCACCACAGTGGATAATCAAGAAGCGGGAGAGTGTAGTTGTTGCTAGGAAAATCAGCAGGCGTAGAGATACATGGCTATGTGACTTACATGCTAGCGGGTGGAATCCACCCATCAGCTCGTTGATGATCTGCCAGATCAGCAAGAACATTCCGAGCTGCCTGAGGAAGATTATGGCTCAGGTATGAAGTTCGTGCCGAGACAGCAAGATCGCCAACATATGGGTCACGATCACGTTTCGCTCCATCAAGGATCACCAACTTCCCAAGGAGACTTGGACTTGCGGCCCCTCTTGGGTCTGAGTCGTTCGCTCCGAATGTGTCTGTGCACATATCTGTAGTATATACACCATCATACCACCATTGATTGAGTTGGTCGTCAGAACTTTCAAACCATCCCGTGAAGGTGTTGGGAGTGCCAAGGAATGCAGAGAAATTCAGGCTCATTGAATCAATTGATACAGTTCCATAGGAAGTTGTGTATGGCGCATCCGCGGGAAGAGAGTCCAAGTAGATTTTCACATATCTGAATCCATGAAGGCCATCATCGCAAACTTGGTTTCCGTACTCACAGCCATGAACATCAGTCCAGGTGTACGGATATGGGTTGACGGCAATCTGATCACGTGGTCAATTGAAATTCATCAATCCATAGATACCTCTGCTTACCTGGTCACTTCCTGGGGTAATTGTGTCTCCCTTGTCATGTCAGCAGGCTATTCTATCATATCGTAAGAGTCTTACATTGTACGATCTTGAGAAATCGGAGACGTTAGTCAGATACTGGAGTGTTTCCGAGAAGGCTAATCGGATTCCGGGCAAACCAGGAGTGTCGTTGAAAGAGCTTGCTCCACCAAATTTGATGGAGAGATAACCTACAATGTTCTGTCCAAAGTCGACCACAATGGTTGGGAGTACATCTTTCTCAGTACCTGCAGATATATTTGTTCTGGTGAAAGTTGTCGCTCCTTTTCCCGTGAGGAGACCATTGGGATTAGTCACGTTCCCTTGGGTATAATTGGTGAGGACGGCCACAGGACGTACGATCTGATTTGGAGGAGATCGCACATACTTTTGCCAGTCAGGAGCAGCATCACTGGTGAGAGAGTCTTGCCATTGATAGGAAGAAGGATCGGCTCTGGCAACTTGAATGAAGATAAGACCTATAAACGAATGTAGAAGAAGATTGAGAAGACACATGATTCCAGCAACATTAAGATTATGTATCAAAGTCTAATGAAGTAACACAGCGAGGGTGAGGGCGAGAGCAAAGCACTGCCTCCATAAGATGAAGTTGGGATGTCAAGACGTTCATATATGCTCTGTCTCAGATGGAAGACGTGGTCCGTCGAGTCTCCACACCCGCCATCCACAAGCGGCAGTTGGTCCAGGGCGCACGGTGGTTCGTGGGATCGTGTCCTTGCACCTTGTAGACTGGACTGGAGTGACTATCAAAATTGGCTCCTGCGCCTATATCACGTTCCTCATCGTGCAGCCACCATCTCACAGACCCGGGGGACCTGCCGTCGACAGCAACGGTGTAGTGTCCCGGACAAAGCAAGCGTTGCGAATAGAAAAGGGGTCGGGGTAAAGGGGGGCCCGCAGGCCAATCACGATAACCTCGCCGCATGACCCGAAAACAGACAACAGCAAAGTCAAACGCGCACGCTAGGAATAATTCCCGGTCCGCAAATGATCCAAATGAGCACGCCTGATGAATGCAGTATGTACAGTAACAGTAATAATGATGGCGGATAAAAGCAACAGACGGACATACGAGCGAGCCTCGAACGGCTGGAACTGCCATTTGACCTTGTCATTCGCGTAGAATATCAGCGAGCAATTTGCTCAGGTTCCCAAGCTCTGCGGGGTTCGCGCGCGGACGTTTATCATCATTTCGCCAGCGCGTCGGCGCGTTTGCCGAGATCCATGTGGAAGCTCGCTCGCTGGAGATTGCCTCCTGCATTGTACATAAACGCTCGCCTTGCGTTCGCAAACAAAACTCAGAACTACATACCTAGGTACATACATACACTACCTTCCAAGCTCGAGGTCTAATGCAAGCAACGTTCCATCCCAGTACGGAGCCAGGACTACTTTCATCCGAGATCTGGTCATTTCGTTTTGATCTCAGCTGGCCATCTCGCTGGGTCAACAAACAACGACGCGTTGTCTGTCAAGATACCGGGATGCAGTTTGCTCCTTCCTTCCCAGTCAGATCCCAGATGACAACGCAAGTGTGGACGTGTTCTTTGAATGTTCGATTCGTGTCAGAAGGTTCAAGTCATTTGGTCAGAAGATGTTAAGACGTCACAATCAATGGAGAAAAATCGAGCGAGGTTGAGCAGTTCTCCTTACATTCCTTGAGCACCTCTAGCCCCTCTTTTTTGTCTTACGGCTTTTCTGGTCAATAGAAAAAGCAAACAATACTTTTGATCTAAAAGCGTGTAATATTTCCTCGCTGCACTGTACCAACGGACTAAGCAGGAGATGGGTTTCTGGCGCTGTGTTCGAGGTCATCTCATCGTTTCAGTCACGGGCGCACGTGATTCGCCACTCCTTCATGGGGTCTATACATTTTCGCGGAGAGTTTTCTTCCCAAGAGCCAAGTGATTTGGCATCATGCTTTTAATATACGGACCCGGCTCGGAAGTTAGAAAGAATAAGCTGCAAGTGTTATCAGTCAAGGATAAGTTTCAATAAACCCTCACTCCAGAAGCCAAGTCGTCGGTACTCAGCCGAGATCTCAAATTGAGAGAACCACGTTTGGCCATCTGAAGTTTCACTTTCCCACGACTGATGCATCCCCAACCCACTCAGCTGCGATTACATCAATCCAATTATTTCAGTTTCGTCGTCCAAATCCCATGTTGATCATGATGCGCTCAAGAAGTCTAGGCACAGCCACACCCCAGCCAAGCCACCAACATCCCGCCATCTGCTGTGCCGCAAATGGGGTTCATATACAATCATCATCGCCGCACCTCTTCAGCTGATTGTGTTTGTCTTCGATAAAGGCAAACATTTCAAAAGAGCAAGTCTAAATTTCGTTCAATCGATGCAATGACGAGCATCCGAGACAGACTCCAGTCTGCTGCTGCCGAAAACTCCAGACTCTCTCAAACACGTTCCGAGACAGCATATTCTGTATCCGCATACCAACAAAGTCAGAATTATGTTGGAAATCTGAAGAAGCAGATCTCCATTGAGGAGAACAAGCTTGCGGATGTCAATGAACAAGTTGCACGAGAATATGAGGATCACCAAAAGTATCGTGACTCTCACATGAGACGATTGGCATACAATCTGGGAGGAAAGAAGGAGAAATTCGCCGAGCAGGCTACGAAAGAGGAGAAAGAATGGCTTGATGCTGTCGCTCTTCAACTCAGAACTAAGAAAGGCCTCGAGGGATTGAACCGGACTCTCGCCGATGCGACAAAGGCCAGTGCTGACCTACTTGCAATTGTCAAAGTCCATAATCGAGCGGGAGTTGAGCGGGATGCTCTTTACAACTCAATCTTTGAAGGACCGACACCCGAGATGCCAGAAGAGGATGCGAAAGAGAGGGAAGTCCGCGAAGCGGAGAACAATTTCAACGTTGACCAACTTCTCTCCAGCACAGAGACACAGGCACGTGCGATTCTGGGCGACGCAGACAAATTTCTCAAGCGTGCAATGGGAGATATCCAAGATGCAGGAAGCTCAGCTACAGCTGATGTCTGGGGAGTTGGAGGAACCTTTGCAGAGATGGCAGAGAACAACGCTCTCAGCAGATGTCAGCAAAACGTTTCTCAAGTGGAGATGCTAGTGACCCAAGCTCAGAGAGTCCAGCCTGCTGTAGGACATCTTGGGGATATGCGCGTTGCTCAGATGGATTTTATGAGCAATGTGGTCTTTGACAATATTTTCTCGGATATGGCAATGCGCGACAGGATTCATGAATCGATGGGACAACTATCACATGCGCAATCGAATTTGAACAGAGAGATGCAGGCTGCGGATCAGAGGATATCGAGAGCTCAGTCCGAGGTGACTCGAGCAAAATCTGTGCTGGATAGACAGAGGAGCGAGTTGCAGCAGGTTAGGGCTGCTGCTTTTGAGAGACTCGCAAACGGCATGGAGGTGGGGGTGGGTAGACCTCCAGAGTATGCTGCTGAACCTCCAGCATACAGTGCTTGAGGTGTGGATTGGGCCATGCGATATCGTATACCAATGTTTGGTCATATAGAGCAAAACTTCTCATCATAAGAGTGTGTCGGGATAAATATGTGAACCCCACAATTAGCCTTCTTTCATCCCTCCCCGAAACTCGCTTCCAGTATCAACCATAGTTGACCAGTGACCTTCTCCGGAACATAAAACAGCGACCGTTTTTAGATTGAATCTATCGTGTTGTTTGTCTTTATCCATTTTTGCATACTTCTAGATCTCATTCCCCGTTCAGTTTAACTTTAGTCGTCGATTCTTACAGGATTTCTCGTCTCCAGACTTATTTCCAACATGAAGCTACTTGCCATCCTTTCCGCACTTCTGTGTTTGTTTGGTACAATCGGTGCTGGCCCTTTTGATAATAATGGCATTGAGAAAAGGGATGTCACTAGCTCTGGCTGTGCATGGTGTAGCCCTGGTCCGTGGACATTTGATGTTGGTATGTTGCTAGGACAAGGAGATCCGAGATCGACTCAAAAGATTGATGAGTTTGAAACATCGTAGCTTGCAGTACTGGAGAGTATTACGCTGTGGCTAGCAGCATCGAGAATCCGTATTATCATTCATCATCTTTTGAGTCGACAAAGTCTGACCTCAAACAGTCCTGCATCGGTCATACTCAACGCAACAGCTTTCTGTTCTGAGTTTCTACGACCGTTAGTCACAGATCTATCTATTATCAATGCAACAGGTGGGACAACGACTTCGACGTCCACGGCATACAGTCTGATCATGTTCACACCAACAACGACTTCGTAAGTAGTTGGGGAAGACCCAATGAACCTGAAATAACACATATCCAGATCATCCATGATCATGACTTCAACAGCAAAACCCAAATCAACTGTCTCGGCCCCGCCAAGTATTACTCCTCTGCCGATGCCTCAAATTGCAGCAGCATTGTTAAAGCGGGATTTCACTGTGCCTGATTATTTGACTGCATGGTACTATTATGGGCGATTGGATCCTGGTTGCTCGTGTATCATCACTTCTGCACTTCCGTCCATTGTCACGTCTCCCACCACGACGAGCACATCATATTATGTTACGCTGGTAAGTTTCCAAGAGTTGGACTTTGAGAGACATACTGAGCTTTTTGCAGAGCACAACTATCACGGAGACATATACTATCTATCCATAAAGAGTGCGGTAGTATTTACAGTGTTACTTCAATAGACATTTGAGCCAAGAATGCCGTCAAGAGAACGAACATTGCAGTGTTGATTTTGAAATTATGTTGAGTTAGCTCTGCTACTGTTGATCAAAATCAAGTACGATTCGAGATCATAACAGATTGAATCTTGACAGCTACCTGTGAGAATGACCCAAAGCCGAGAAAGGTGTTTCTACCTCGTCTTCAATGGTGGAATGTTTCATTGAACGTGATATGTGCAATTGTGAGCAGCCATGCTACTCGTCAAGCAATTCACAAAGGCACCATGCGCGGAATTGACAGTCTTTCACAGCACTCGAGATGAAAAGATGGCAAGGTCCTGAGTGCTTCAAGTGCAAAAATTTCTGCAAGTCCGTTCTAGACAGAGCCCGGAGGCTGCGATCTGATCATAAAGAGTAGTGGCTTGGCATTCATGACCCTCGAGGATGCTCAATCGACGGTACCCGCGATGAGTTTAAGCTTAGTTGCTCCCTGCTGAATTCTCTCTGCAAGCATCAAGGTGTTCAGCCTGGAAGATGGAACAGTCCGTTCATCTGGGCAAGTTACTCCGCTCAGTTGGAGACTGTTTCTCTTAGAAATGAAAAGACAATCAGTAAGTTTCCTCTGGAACATCTGATATCTCACGGTGACAAGGTGCCAATCTCAGGAAGGTATCATATTACTATATTAATCATTACTAAAATCCCTACAACAACTTCCACATCCTTTCTTCGTACTCTCAAGCTTCCCGCATCGCCCTTCTTCGTACTTGTCGGGCTGGCACTTGAGCTCGTTGCTGTTGGTATTGCCGTCAGAGCACTCGAGTACTCTGCTGCGATCACTGTATTGTTTACCAGCCAAGGTGCAATCACACATTCTGACACGAGAGTGTTGTCGGTCCACTTGCCGTTTGTAGCTTCGGAGGGTGTCATGGAAAGGACGTAATCAGCGGCAAATGAACCTGCTGCCCATCCGATGAAGCCGATGAAGACATCGGAATTCTCTTGAATGACCGTGTTTTGGGCACAGAAGTAAACCAAACACTGAAACAGTTAGCATCTCTCTTGGTGATGCAGCGGAACCAGAATTCAAGTGAGGAAGACATACCGAAGGGTCACTTCCAGCTCCCGTCTCTGCTACAATTGCCTGCCTGCCATTCGACCTGAGCCAAGTTGCCAAATCTTCGAAACCCGCAGTCGTGTTTACGGAACACGTCGAATGTGTACCAGAGTTATCCGAATCCAAATACTGATGAACATCAAACACCAGCCCCGTTGTCGAATTATCCAGATTTGTCACCCCCATCAACGCACTTGCACTTCCAGTACTCGTGAACGTAACGGCACAAGTGAAATTTGTGCCCGGCAGCAGAATCATCTGAGTTGTAGCCCCAGCTTGTCGAATCGCGGTCACTGCTGCTTGCACAGTGGCAGCCCAAGCTACGATGTCAAGATCGTGTGGCTCATTCATGAGTCCGAAGACAATCTTTGCATCGTCTTTGTATTTCGTGGCGAGCTGTGACCATAGATCTGCGAATTGCTCGTTGGTAGGAGCCCCAGCACTTTGTCCGATAACAAGATCGTTCCATCGTGCATAATTGTGTATATCAATCACACAATATGCTCCTGTGGCAAGACATGTCTGCACCAACTTGTCGTACTTGCCAAAGTTCGTTGCGTCGAGGGTGCCTCCCATATCGTTGGCGACGAGATATTGCCAAGAGACAGCTAGAGAATTGTTAGGGGGTATCAGGAGAGATGCCGAGAACTACTCACGTAGTCTGAAGGTATTGAATATATCGTCATCTCGAAAATGCTGCATCTGCGCAGCTCCATCCGAACCTCCCAAAGACGTCAACGGCGGCAACATTGTCGTGAAATTGCAGGTTCCATTGGTCGCACAGCCAAAGTCAAATCCAGCTATGTTCATCCCCATGTATTGCACTTGTGCCAGGACAATGGTGGACAAGCCACATAACAACAAGAGCGCCCGCAGAATCATGGTCGGCATCTGGAGATATACTCAGGGACGAGGATTTGCGACCGAGAAAGATGTGGGATTGCTCTCCATTAAGAAGACAGGATGCAATCTGCGAGATACGAGAGACCCGCTTGTTCTCAAGGTTAATGATCTCCTTGGGTCCATAAAATCTGTGCGCAGAAACCTTGAATGGAAATAATGGAGCAGTGAGCACGCGATGGCGCGGTGAAGCCATCATGATAGCGCCAATGTTTATCTGAAAAAGGAGAAGGGCTTTACAGGGAGTCAGATAGAGATATTGGAGGGAACAGAGCGACATTATTGAACAAAAAGAAAGAACTGAAGTCGGCAACGCAACGCCCCTTTCCACTGCGACTTGCATGTGTAGAAATTCGTTATCAGACGCGCAACCAAGATTTTCGAAGGGGTTTCCCTTCCTGGGCTGTACTGTAGATAGGCTTCGGCAAGCATCCCGGGCACCCATGCTAGCAATTTACTAATGCAAGGGACGACTTCGGCATTGGGTCAGTGGTCGTGGGGGAGAGTCACGTGTATCAACGGTTTTGTTAGTACCTGGGTAGATGACGGAGCTGGTGAAGGTTGCGCATCAAGTCTACCATTAGCCAGAATCTATGAGGAGAAATCAGATTGAAAGAAGCTCCCCATCACAAAGATGCGTCGAGAAACGGCTATCCTCAAACCCTACTCTGGCCACCGATACTGCAAACGAATACTTAATAACACCGGATCAGATTCGAGAAGTTCAAAGTGTGGCGCGGGAGAAGATAACCTGTCAATTCAGTCAATTGGTAGTGTACGCAAACTCCTGCATTGATGAGCCATTATGTGAATGTTCACCTGCAACAGAACTGGAACCCTGTCCCGCTTGCCAACATCACATATATAAGGGCAAAATCCGTCACCCGAGGGATGAACACCAGACTGTTCAGAAGAGGATTGTTCCATTGCGATGAGCGGCGTTAATACTCCATGGTCCTTGGCGTCTGCTGAGCTAGGGGAAGCTCTAAACTGATGAACGTTGTTGCAGTTGTCCAGAGACACAGTTCGTACACGACCGAAACTTTATGCTGAAATCCTACGATGTGAAGAAAGAAGCAGAATATGAGTGATTTGATAATTCATGGTGTGGTTGTTAACATATGATGTCTCGAGCGAGAAGCACGAAACGGATTGAGCAGAGAACTGAAGGAATGGGATTCCATCATTCTTGCTATCCATCATGCCAATGGAGTGGTGCAAGTAAGACGACAGCGCGGAATCTACAACAGGGCTGCAGTCCCAGATAGAATATTTCCTCTGCATTCAAACACTTCTGCTTGGAGCGAAATGGACAGAAAGCTGAGATGAGGACAGAAGAGGTAGAAAGGCATGGAAGACCAACTTCGCAGACGAAATAGTTCGAATACCTCCTTGATGCCGAAAGAAATTGTTGGCAAGAGAGCCTTGAGCACCTTGTGTCCAGGCTCGGTTGTGGGCATGTCTGGCACTCTGCCATTCTGCACGTTCCTCAAGGCATCTATCATGTAAAGAGTCTTGTCTGCCAGATCGAGAAGCATTGCTGCAAGGGCAGACATGGGTGGATCTAGACCTGTTGGAAACCAGTATCAAGTCCTTGTCCATCCAGGCTTGTGGCAGAACAAAACTCTATGCTCGTGTCTGATGTCTCCAGTCCAGGGCAACACTTGCGATGCGGTGAAGGCTTGCAAGCTGGAAGAACTTTCTCCAAAGAGTCGCGGCCAAGCTCTACCAATACCAATCGTCCGCAGAAAGAATCCTTCCCACCAGGGTTCGACCTTGTCCGCTCGTTGCAGCCGTCGACTCAAATGCCTCTCAATTCAAGCCCGCACTTATGAATGCTGCCATGGCTCTATCATCAAATTATGTTCTCTCCGCCGCCTGCGAAAGAGCTTGCGCTGGTATGCTCGGTACTGATGGGATAGGGCTTCGAGTATGACGAATGAGCGAGGAAGCTTTGCAGATTGGAGGTACGTAGAGGAGGGGAGAGCGGCGGGCAAGACTCGGCTTCGTTGCAATTTCAATCGACCTAGAGATTTGTCAGTCGTTCTGGATGAAAATTCACACTTACTCGTGTGCGATCGAGAATCGAGGCAGCCTCGCAGCTTGGATGTCGCGACCTGATTAAGGCCGCTGTACTCCTCAGGCAGAAAGCCAACCGACACCAGGCGTTAACCACGAAAGACATCGATCATTGAACCACCTTTGAACATCCCAAACGAAGAATCATCATCAATGCAGTGATCCACCGCATACTCCTCTGGAGATATCAATCCTCTCGAAACAATCGGACCTTTCGGCGGCCAGCGTCGCCAAGCTTCCGAGTCCAGAAATTCACCACCAAACCATCACACGTTTTACCTCTCATCATTAAGCTTTTCTTAGACCCTTTTGGGATATCACTGAACTCTTGGCTTCAGTTCTTGTCTGGACCCGACATCACAGGCAAAGCGCCCAACCTCGATAGTTTCAAGTTTTGAAACTCAAACTCTAAATTTCCTGTCGTGCAGAGAGAACTTGGACCCACAGCTGTCGTTCGTCATATGATTAGAGTTTTTCGAGATACTGATCTGCATTGCAATAGTTCGCCAAGTTGGCAGAGCTTTGTCTCGTACTGAAACCCGAGAATTTGATCTTTGGCTTGCCCTCTTTTGGAGGAGCCGTCATGGTGTGCCTCTTCGTATAAATCCACAGTGTTTCCTCCCCGGATCCACAAAGTAAATCAAAAGCTATGGCATCTGACACCTCGTCGAACACGTCCAAGCGTGAGTCTCGTGACCTCAATGGGAGTGTATATCTCATCAGCTCCGATGGTCGCGTTCTCAGCTTACCAATTCCAACGAGGTCTCATCGAGACCCTCTGAATTGGAGTGCGAGGAAGCGTGCTGGTGCCGTTCTTGCTTTACTCTTCTACTCTGTGACCGGCCTTGTGGTGGTTCAAGGCCCCAGTTTGATGTTCAAGCCTTTGGCAATAGAGTTCACTCTAGAAGTATGCTCCGAGTTCGATGAACAAGTTTTCCACTGACATTTTGCAGGAAACCAAACCATTTCCCCTCACCGCACTTCTATCAGCACCCACGCTGTTCATGGGATTTGGCGCGTTTCTGTGGATTCCACTTACATTAGCCCTTGGCAGACGACCTGTCTTCCTTCTTTGTACAGTCCTTCTGACACTGTCAACCATATGGGCTGGAATAGCAGGTAGCTTTTATCAGATGTTGGCAGCGACTTGTCTACAAGGTCTCGCAGAAGGGTTTTCAACAAGCACAGTAAGTTTCCTACCTGCGATTGAGGAATTCATCTGATAGATTTAGATCTTGCTCATGATTATCGACTTGACCTTCATTCATCAACGCCCTCAAGCGATCGCGATGGTTTGGTCTGTTGTCGGTTTCATAACAGGCTCCATCTTCTCTCTGGTCCCGCAGATGACGAATGCTGGCACGAATTGGAGATCATTCTATCTCATCTGGATCATTCCGTGCAGTATTTCCATCGTCCTCGCCTTTTTTCTGTTTCCGGAAACGTACTTCATTCGCCCAGCCCTCGCCTTTGATGGACGCATCGTCGTCCAAGGTGCCACTGAAAAAGTTGAAATTTACGAATCATGGGAAGAGGTTCCTGGTGGAAAGGAACTCCCCGACACCCCAGGCCAGAATGTCTGGGGATACACAAACAGCGAGCTGCGCATATGGGGCAAAACGAGGGGTGGTTGGACCTCCATGTTCGCCTGCTATCCACAAGTCTTTCTCTGTCTGATCAATCCCTTGGTCTTTTGGGTTGCTTTACTCTCGGCTCTTGTCTTAGCCTGCATGTTATCAATCGGAGAAACCTATGCAGCTGTCCTCAGCGCGCCACCCTATTCCCTCCCAATCCACGTCACAGCCTTGGTGAACTTGGCTGGTGCGGTGGGCTCGTTGATCGCTTGGCCTGCTTCCGGAATACTGATCTCGTGGATCTCCCGCCGCCTTGCAATAAACAATCGTGGTGTTCGAGATGCTGAACACTATCTCCCAGCATTTATTCTACCCGTGCTCGGTGCTGTCGCCAGCGTGGTACTTTATGGTTTGACAGCTGAATGGAAATGGAATTCGATTTGGGTCTATGTTTCGTATGCCTTGAACAGCTTCGCTTTTGCAAGCTTAGCCACAGCAAGCACTCTTTGGATCACAGAAGCTTTTCCTCGTTGGGCTGCTCCTGCCGTCGTAGTTGTCTTTGGATTGAGCTACATGGCGAGCTTTGGATTAAGTTTCAGTATCATGCCTTGGGTCCAGTCTCAAGGATACGCTGGATCCAATATTGAGCTTGGGCTGATGATCTTGATCGTTGGTTGTATTGGGATGCCTGTTGCATTTTGGGGGAAGAGGCTTCGACAGTACATCCATGGGAAGTACGCGTTTCATGAGGAAGGTGCATTGAGGCCACACTGATGGCCATGAAGAGATATACTTTTGATTTACAACATGTCTTCCTTCTCTGTCTTCACTTCAACTCTCAAGCTTAAGCTCTATACTCATTCTGTACATACATCTCGTGTACTTAAGTCTGGCTCAAGGAAAAGTCCTTTGATATTGGGTGATCCCTCATATCCTGGTTCTACATCTACCTTTTCTCCGAAGTCATCGTCTCCCTGACGGAGAGAAGGCTTAGTTATGTCCAATTTGAGGAATAATTCAGGGGCGTTCATCAGCGGGTGAGTCCTTACTTCCTTCCTCCGTTTGACTATAATAATAAATCCTGCTGTTCAACTTCGGAATCAAGCTCCCACCCAATCTGCGGAAAAATATAATGTGATGACATTTGGCTCACAAGCACTTTCCTTCGCTAATTTGCTTGTCTCAGATTAGAGCTTCAACTTACAATCTGCTTCGGTCTTTTCGCTTCCAGTGTTAACGCACTTCATGATCGGAGAGTTTCGGTCCAAGGGACACATCGTGTAAAACCAAGATGGAGTGCCAACATGCATGCAAATAATCACCAATGGTTCGGGCGATTATTGGATGAAATATCGAAGGCCATCTCACTTTTCAATCTCCCACCACCGGTCACATGAAACATGGAGATCATCAACCCAACGACATGCAATTTCACGGAATGTGCAGCAGACAGACAAGGGATGAGAATCAAAAAGAGGTGACATTCATTGACTCTGAAGATTGATCAGGTCGCATTCCTCGATTATAGAAATGAAGATTCGTTGTTAATATATCGGACATTATATAATCAAACTCATCTATCGATTCACCCACCCACATCACGCTTACAAGAAAGCAACAGCGACGAACCCAGCAGCAGCAGCGACCATCTCCAAGCCTCCGTTCAGACGGCCGGCGGCAGCAGTGACCTCAAGAGTTCCGGACGAAGTTGTCTTGGTTGGAGCTCCTGTTCCAGAGACTGGGACGGTGGTGATTCCGGCTGGTATGCTGGATACTGGTACAGTTGGTGCATATGTGGGTGTGACCACATAGGTTGTAGTGCATGGGTAGGTGGTCAAGCTGGTGGTAAGTGGGCAGTTGGGAACGGTGGCTGGGCAGGACTTGATGGTGATTGTCTCGGTGGTCATGTAGGTCGAGGTTGATGTAACTGGAGCTGAGACTGGGGTCGAGACCTCAGAGACTGGGCAGACAGTGGTGTACAATGCGATGGTCTCTGTTGTCACTGCAGTGGATCGAGCTGGGCAATCAGTCACTGTTGCAGCACAGCTTGTGACGGTGTAGACCTGGAGGGAATTAGCATGGTAGAAGGACTGCTACATCGATTGACTTGCCGTGGTGGTGTACACTGTGCTAGTGGTCATTGGGACAGAGGTGGAGCTCTCAACGGAGTAGGAGCTTGAGCTTGAGGCGCTATAAGAGGAAGATGGGGTGACGGTTGGTGTGCTTATCACAACATAGCTTGAGCTTGAGGATGAAGTCCATGGAGCGGATGTGGAGGTGCTGGTCTCTGGGGTGGTCGAAACGATCACGGAGGAAGAGGTGGATGAGGCAGAGCTAGTGTGGGTAAGGGTATAGACAATGCCTGGAGGTATCAGCAACATCCACAGAGAACGATACTTTGAAACATACAAGAGCAGGCTGAGGATGCAGCAGCAACATCGCAGTTGGCGAAATCCGTTGGGACAGCGGATGCTGCGGTGGTGGTTGCAGAGAGGAAGTCAACGCAGAAGCTTGGGGCCTCGGCAGTGAATCGAGTATCCATTAAGTTTCGGTAGCAGTTATCAGGTTCCTGGAAACATCATCAGTCATGATCCAACTACTCCTGGAAAGTACACATACGCAGTCTGGGTAAGTCCAGGCGCTGACGGTGTGAAGAGCAAGAGCTCCAACGGCGAGGTAGGCGGAAAGCATATTGAACGATTGTGGAAGCGAGTGACTTTTGCAAAGCGAATGACTGAAAGAGCAGAAATTTCAGAGAAAACGATTGATGAGTTGTAAGAAAACAAGAAGGGAAACACCAGCGTATATATCGGATAATTCAGTGACCAGGGGAATTGCCAGGTTTGGACAAAGCACTTGTTTTTCCCGCCGAGGCTGAATCCAACCTGCCATCCACGACTTGGAGCGACGCCGGGATTGAACTGATCAGCGCCATGGCACACCCTGACTGGCCACACAAGGAAACTTTTTACATGTGGTGCTCACAATGTGGAAATTACAGGCCTCACGCACGGCCGGGGGGGCGCGAAAATACAAAAGAGCTCGTGGTAGTCAGAAAGGTCGTTCAGCGAATCTGAGTTGACGAAATAGGGGGGAGCGCCTACCTTATGGGGACTAGGGGGTTTCTAAAAATTGCAGGGCGATCGGTCCGAGAGCTATTGATATTCCACCCCCAGCAAAATCTCGACAACCCAGAACTTAAGCTTAAAGAATACGAGCAGGATCATTCGTTCGGGGAGTAGTGAAAGTGCGCGCTTTCGTCCCCAAGTTCTTTTGTGACCGGTCTTCTCGTATGGATAATTTCACACAACACGAGATGCAAGGGGACCTGCGATGCGTCTCCGAGTCTCGGTCATCCGATCTATCTTTGCGATCAAATCTCTCCCAGATTTGCTGGCCTCGCATTGTTGTCCAAAACGCCACTCCCGCAAAAGCAAATCCAGGTTTGCATTGACCTTCACGCGGGGGAAGAACAATCACCACATGCGCCCGCCCCAAACCGCCAGTGTTCAGCAGTGCGCTCAAAGATACCGAACCGATCTCTAGTGAGGAACGGCTCCAGAAGAGTTTAATGAGCTTTCTTCTGCCAAGGAGCGAATGAACTTTTTTCCATCGCGCGTATCGTACAGTCAGCACTTGTTCTTCCGAGATCCGGTTGGACCTGCATTAGTTTGCTATTTCCCCTGAGAATTGGGCTGAGGTCTGGCCATCTGCCAGGAACGGTCTGCGGTTCATCGGATGATGCTTCTCCTCTGCTGTTGTTGTTGTGTTGTTGTACCTTCTGTATGTCTTCAAGATTGTCTTTGCCGTGCGGTGAAGATAAATCTCCTTGAGTCTGGCATCGAAAGGTAGGCGTTGAGACACTTCTGCAGCCAAATCACTCCAGCCGCCTGTTTTATTGACATCCAACGGCGATTTCTTCCCGTGGCTCGTATTCAGCAGCTCCCAACCTCGCATGGAGAAATCACTTCTTGCCTCGACCAATGTCTTGAGAATTGGATTTGATCATGCTATTCCGCTCTGGACACCTCTCTTGGCCACGTCGTCATAGCATGAGGTGGTTGGTGTCTACAAATACTCGTTGCTGAGACTTTTCTCTGCAATATCTCACTTCATAGAATCACGTTCGGTTTGAGTGAAGCCTGAGGAGAAGGAAGTGGAGACCGAAATCAAGCTGCTATATTTGTCATTGCCGTACGGAGGTACGGAGGTACGCATGATTCGCAAGAGAATACATTCTTGGCAGCACTCCTTGGCAAGATTATCAATTCTCAGAAATATATCACATGACTCGACTCATCTCCCCGAACTGAGGATTGAATTCGCTTCTCGGTCATGATCACACAATACATCTCTATCACTTGACTTGATTCCTCATGCGGCGTCATTCTTCTAACTTTGGAGCCGACTTCCAGCCTGGAGACCGCCGAATTATTGAAAAGCTTGAGGGTGGCTTGGTGCAAACTCATGAGTGCGGCGCAATACACATGGCTTTTCAGTGGAAGTACATTTTGATGAAGATCAACGTTGTTGCATCTCTATCGCTCGGTTAGAAGGTTCATACGGCCCAGCGCGATGGGTTCGCTTGAAGTGTCAACAGATTGATGACGCCCCAATCAAATCGACTAGGATGGACTACCCGTTCCTAGTCTCAACCGCTTCTTACTCTCAATAATCCATTGCCAGCCGCAAGAGAATTCCACAGCTGTTTTGGGGGACTTCAAATCCAAAACTGCAGCGTACAGATTATCCGGAAGATAGTGGCTCAGACGGTAACTTTGTCTTTACGGCTTTTTCACAATTCTTTTCGCGAGTAATGCAGGAGATGCAGAGACACTGGAAGTCAATTGCTCCCACCTGTGAGCGCAGCAGAGCAAGATGTTCAGGGCAAAACAGTGAACGGGGATCGAACCATGACATATCCTGGGACACTGCATCGTCTTAAGGTTCTTGGTATTATCGGATCAATTTGCAGCGAAAATTTCTATCTTTATGCCGTTTGTGATATTGAACGACACTAGCTGCATACTTCCTAGTCACTTTAGCAGAGTATCTCATTCTCATGAGCTATGAAAGCTTCGTTTTTATAGTTGCACGTGCAAAGTCCGTCACGTGGAATCATTGTGATGGCTCCTTGAGCAGCCACAACAGCCACAACAGCCACGCTTAAGGTGGAGAGCAATAGGTTGGTCACGTCCCTTCCTTAAACACGGAGGAGCTTGGAGCTGAGTAGACATCAATCGACAAACCAACAGATCTGGAACTTCGTACCGCTATTCTAGTCAGCAGTTATCCTTTCGAAGTTGATAGAATTTGATGATGGACCAAGAAGAGTACTGCAGCGGAGCAAGAGTAGTGTGCTACATTGAGACGTTTACAGACATATCTGACATTTCGAGTATGTGTACGAGTTGCACTTGAAGTCTTTGAACTGATTGGAAAGATTGTACACCCCACTCTGTCGACCACACGAGTCTATCAGTGTATAGTGAGACAAGGCTGACTGGAGTTATGGACCTGTCTGCAGTGGATTTTGTCGTTGGTGTGCCAATGTGAAAGAACAATTGGCGTATGGTCCTAGGACGATCTTTCAATCCGCTCTGAGAATGACGAGGTCCTGGGCTCAATACTGTCGTCGCTTCTACCATCGAGATGATTTCACTCACTGTTCGAGGCAGACTATTTTATGGAGTCCGTATGATTCCTACGGTGCTGGACACCTTCCGGCCGTATCAATTTGAACTTGTCAATCACACGCTCACATGCGGACAGTATCTTCAGTTGGGATGGAATGATTCAGCAGCAATTGAAAATGGATACAGAGGCCTCATGTCATTTTCTTCGAGTTTCTACCTGCAGATAATTCGATTTATATCTGGTTCCTGATTGTACGACCCTGTCGTGCCTTAAAGTCACATATACGCCACTTCAGCCATTTCATGATGTGGAATCATTTCAGATCGAAGGATAGCTCACTCCATCCAGGCTGTGATCATTTCTCTGGAAGTGAATGAGCACCGTAGGCGAAGAGATGCAACCATGAGTCCCATTCACATACCCCTTTGACCTCAGGAGTTCTCTCGGCTGTGTAAAGAGAACACGAGCTCCTTCATCCGGGTGTCAACAAGTGAGTGAGTGTGGGTCCTCCTTTCGTCTTCCTCGATCTCGTGTTCAATGACTTCTATCTGGACCCACAATGGGGACATCAGCACACTTCCTTTTTGGTGTCCTGAGGGGACGTGATGGAGGCTGACTTTGAATGGTGGAAGGCTGTCAAAAAGTCACTAGCATGTACTTCACACCGAGATGCAACCTTCCAGGAGAGGAGTTTCCAGTCGTTTGAATTCTCCGTCGCGACTTCGTTGCTCGTGAAAGTCATGAAACTCGGCGCTGATTTAGCACGAATAGAGCCGATTTCCGTCCGCGACCCACAAAGCGCAATGGCGTGGCAAACTATCCCACTTTCAGCAGTGGGCATTAATTCTTATACTTATTTCTAGACTCTGGAAGTTTCATTCAAACATATCATCACTTTTAGCAAATCTCGCACACCAGCATTCGGTGTGAGTGTGGGACTAAAAGTACTGTGTATTGACAACTGAACAGAATTTTGCTTTACCCCGCACTTACCCCGCAATTATCTTGATTCGTTATGGCTCCTTCTGCGCTTCTTCCTGAATCGCCAATTCTCGAGGCCCCTCTGCCTCAAATTGCTGAGTATGTACTCCTGCATGTACTGGATTCAATCACTGACTGGATAGTCCGAAAACGAAATATAACGACTGGCGTGCGGATCTTCTCGAGAAGGGTTTCACTGTCGTGAAGAATGCTATTCCAAAAGCTCAAGCTGTGAAATACCAGGAAAAGGCATATGCTTGGCTCAAATCTTTCGATACAGAGCTCGACTTCAACAAACCCGAAACCTGGATTAAGGAGAATTTGCCGGTCCAGAGCAAGATCAACACATTTTCGACATATGGAGTGGCGCATGAAAAGTTTATGTGGGATGCGCGAATGGAACCTGGAGTTGTGGATGCTTTCACACATCTTTGGGGGACTGATGAGCTCTTGGTGAGCTTCGATGCATTGAACATCACTCTTCCGAATCGAAAGGACGTTCCCAGGAAGCCTGCGTGGGAGCACATTGATCAAAGTCCATTTCGACGGGGCATGCACTGTGTCCAAGGAATCATCAATCTCTCGCCATCCGGACCCGATGATGGTGGATTGGTCATTTATCCAGGATCTCACAAGTTGAATGACGAGTTTTTCGATACACAAACAGAAAAATCAAGTTGGGAGTCAAAGGATTTGTACATGTTTGAAAGGGAACAGCTTGAGTGGTTTACTGATAGAGGTATCAAGCCATACAAAGTTTGTGCTGATGTTGGAGACCTTATCTTATGGGACAGTCGAACGGTTCATTATGGAAGTGAACCCTCGGAGGCTAGCAATCAGATCCGGACTATCATCTATGTGACTTATACTCCTGCAAGGTTGGCAAGCGAAGACTCATTAGAGAAGAAGCGTGCGATTTTCAAGGCTTGGGGTGGAACTACTCATTGGCCACATGATAATATTGTGTTTATAAACACTCAAACATTGTTGGATGATGGAACGAGAGATCCGAGGGACAGAGACGGGCCACTCGAGCTACCAGAGATGAGTGATAAGTTGTTGAGGTTTGCTGGGGCTAAGAGCTATTGAGGAGGGTATTGATGGAGTTTTGCTAGAGTGACGAAGATGTACTTTACAGATGATCCCAGCCCATGTTGTGAAAGAAGTCACGGGAAAATCTGTCACAGTGCCCAGGGAAAGAAAGGTCTCAAGTTGAACTCCACGAAATATCGTCTCTCGTGTACAGCTCATGCGGCAAGCTGCCTCTTTGCCAAATTTCCAACTCTTCATTCGAATGCTTGTCCCTGTCTGTGCAAGCAACCAACCATCAGTTTTCAATCATGCTTCAGGCCACTTCCGTCCAGCTACCGCCCCTCCATCAACCAAAAGATCAATACCAGAAATAAGACTGCTCTCACGACTCGCTAAGAAAGCCACCGCATTCGCAATATCATCAGGCGTTCCTATCCTTTTCACCGCACTCATCGCAATCATAGCCCTCATATTCTCGCCCGCAGGTGTATCGAGCTGGGCCTGCGCAAGCGCAGTTGAAATGACACCAGGACTGACACTGTTCACTCTCGCGCCCTTCTTGCCATAAGGAACAGCAGCAGCTTGTACTCTGAGTTGATTTCCGCGCTTGGCAACTGCGTATGCCACGCCTGCAGCTTCAATTTCCTCACTAAGAACAATGTCTTTGTGCTGGAGGAGCTGGTTCCTGGGCGCTGTAGCTAAATGTTTTTCGAGCTCAAGAGAGATTGGAATCATACTGCCTGCCATACTCGCAATGCACACCAGCGAAGTGCCAGACGAGATGACTGGAAGGAAAGCATCGATAACATTGGCGGTTCCCAGGAGATCGATCGTGTAGATTTGTCGAGAGTTCGAAGCACCTGGTGCTACGCCCGCAGTGTGGACAATTGCATCGATTGCCCCTAGGGCTGCAGAAGCTTGGGCTGTTTTCTGGACTGCGTCGTAGGAAGATACATCCATTGAGATGGTGGAAACGGTGTGGCCTTCGGAACGGAGAGTCTGCTCCGCTTTCTCGAGCATTGCTTGAGAGTAGTCGGCGAGAAAGACAGTTCTGCCGCTGCCTAGACGTCGAGCGATGAACAAGCCCACTGCAACGAGTTAGTGTATAGTTTACTGGAGAAGAGGAGCCGACAGAGGAGCAACTGGTTCGGCAGCTCAAATTCAGCAAAGGTGAAGAAGGAGAAATAAGGACTCCTTACTGCCTCCAGCTCCGATGATGACCAACACATTACGCCCTCCAACTTCAGCCATGGTGACGTTTGATGCTGAGAAATATTGTGGGAAGAGCAAGTGGGATCTCTCAGATAAGAGATGACGGTCAAGAAACCTTGATTTATATAGCTGGAATCCCCGAAAGTGTTTGAGTCCGCATCTCGTCATGTGACGACTCCAGTCCAAATTCCGGCACTCATTGAGTACTGTGATTATTACAGATTATTGTTCTATATCTACAAAGCATTTCTATCCAATATCGAGAAGTTCTGGAACAAGTATAGAGATGATATCCATCTACATGAGCACAGCATCCCAACTCCAGATCAAGATCTCGTTCTCGTCGATGTTGCACTAGAACTCCTCGAGGCATTTACCCTTGAGTTTCAAATAGGATTAGTCTTGCTCTCCCTCGCTGGTTCTCGTTCGATATCACTGCTGGTGGCCTTCAAATTTCCGATGAGACGCGACTTGCTTTTACGCAGTATTACTCAGACCAGCTTGAACAAACTATGACTTCGATGTCAATCTCTGGTCTGTTACATTACTGCTCACTGTTCCATAAGATCTGTTTTGTCATGCTTTCAATCGAACCATCCTCCAGCGTCACTTCTAACCAGACCAGTGCTACCACTATTGTTTGCGGTTGGGTGTAGTTGGTTGTCGTTGCTGGTATTTCTGTGTTTACTTTGATTTTCGACCGATGAGGTAGACTTGCTGTTCTCGGATCGCGGCGTAGCTCGACGCTTCTGCTTTATATCACTTACTTTTTCGACTTGGCGCACGTCTAAATATTGGCTTTCTCTCATTACTCTCCGCTTCAATTCCTATCCTATGATTATATTGTACGTTTAGCTATCCTGCCGTTGCACTATTGTACTACAGACTCACGGTCCTCTCCAAATATACAACAACTTTCGTCTCAAAACAGAACCAAGACACTTTTGCACTGGGGTTGTAGTGGCCATGAAAATACTCCCCTGAACATTTCTCGCGCTGTCGGCAATCGCAGCCTTGCCCCCGATCATTTCCCCTTGACCCTTACTTCTTCTCGTGGTTTACTGTAATTTGTGGGTGTTTTCAATACTCTATTATGTGTTAAAAACATATGGAACATATATAATTTAAAGTCGAGTGCTGTCGCATTAGGAGTGATACATTTCCCTACACTCGCGTCCGCGTGAGCGTCCGACTTTCACACCCAACACGGAATCTTTTGATATTCACTTTCGTATACCCTCTCGCATGCTTCCATCTCCCGTGTGGCTAATCTCGAATCTTTCATTTCCTTCCTCTCCTTGCTTCCTGTTCAACTCCCTTCTCACACATTCGCGTGGTGTTTACGATTCAGCGACCTTGGAATATTGTCATCTACTAATTATACATTATCGTTCTGTTCAGAAACCCCACTGTTGACCTTTATGGAAGCGAATCATCTAATCGCATGATCATGTGTTGACCTTTATTGCGCCTGACAACCTGGAATGCCGCTTTCTTGAGTTTCAATCGCTCTTGTATCTTTTCATAAGTCCCATGGTCGCTCTTTCGTATCCGTGGCGGCCCTCGCATCTACGTATTATATCATGTTTCACTTGCACCTTCCACGGACGATTTCTGGCTCAACCTCGACACTCACCTCCACCTCCTTTCACCTCTCCCCTCTTTATTCAACAACCTTCGCTCACTTTTTGTATAAAGCATCTTGCTTTAAAAAATTCTAGTACCTTGGGTCCTTTCCCACCAACATCCGTCATCTGGACGCATTTGTTCATTTGAAATGACTTTCTTTGCTCGATTCCTATACGGACTTTATGTCAGGGGTTACACCCGTGGAGTAGTCTTGGAATGCTCCAGCGACGATCTCACGTGACAGAAACTTCCAGAATCTCCATAGCATGTATATAAACTGGCAGAGATACTGGCATTGTACGGCAATCGAACCTTCTTGTACAAAGAAAGCCTCTATAGCCTCAATCACGTGTATTAACTACAAGCCCTGACACTAGATACAATACATACTAAAAAAACAGAAAACAAAGACCACCGACCACATAACGAAAACACGAAAGAAACAAAGACCACGCACACCATGACAACAACACGACAAACACAAGAGCCATTGACGGCACCACAACAACACTAAAACCAACGAAACAACCAGAAAACAAAGAGCCGAACCAAGCACCTAAACGATACACGAAAAACGACAAAGAGAAGCAAAACAGACCACCCGCGCCGCAAGAAAACGAGCCACCAAAAAGAGCTAAACAACAAAAAAAACCTCAAGAGACCTAAATACCAACAATACACAACAACAATAAACAAGGAAAAGCAATTACACAAACATTAGAAAACAAAAAAAAAGCCAACAAGATAAAAGCATGACTAAAAAAACAAACAGCAAAGATCAAACAAGATTACTAAAGATATAAAAAGTAGGTTAAAATACAAGCGCTCAACAGAGCGCGACGGGGCAAGACACTACAGACAAAAGAAACAAGAGAACCCAAGCAAACAAGACGAAAGCTAGCCAATGGAACAAACTTCTCCAAAAGAACCAAATCCAGCAGCAAAAACACGCAAAACAACCAAACCGCACAAAAAAACCCAAAAACACCCAACCAAAGGTCAAACCAATGGAGGGAAAACACGACGAAAAAACAAAGCAACATTAGAGAACCAGACGAAGGAGAAGAGAACGACGATGCAAAAAAAGGCTCCCAAGACCGAACCGCAACCAAGAAGCCAAGGCGACCCAAAAGCACAAAAAAGACCCACCCAAACTTGAAAGAACACTACCAAATCAACAACGAAACGAACCAGCAACAGACCGCACACAACCAACGCACACAAAGAACAAACAAACAAGACATGACAGGAACACCGAAAACGGCAAACAAACGACCTACCAACACTACACCACAAGAAACAGACAACAAACCAGGAAACGGGAAAAGGAACGACGACACAACAATAGAAGAGCAGATAGAATCCGAAACAAAACTAGGAAAGATCGCAACACAGAACACGAGCCGCCAAAAATAGAGGACAAAACAAGGACCAGACCAAAAAAGTCGGAATAGGCACCGCAACAGCAATAGGAGCGAACATCAGATACGCAGCGAAGAGCCGGACAGTCAGCCGAAAAGAACTGCAACGTCCGACGTAGTCCACAAAAAGAAGGCTAACGCAAACAAGGGCCAGCCAGAATGCGAAGACGAACGAGGAGAAGACCATAAATCAGAAAACAAGTCGCACAACATAAAAAGCGATGGCAACAGCGGCAGAGATAGATATCACCAAAAGACAACCGGAGAAAACCTAAAAAAGAACAAAAGCACGAAAAACATCACGTAGGCTGAGACTTACCAAACAAAGCAGCCACTGCACAAGCCCAACGAAATCCAAACCACTGAGGTCAAAGAACAACCCAACAACAACCAAACCGACAAAATAACCTCCCTCACATACCGACTGAAACAACAAAAAGGAAGTAACAAGAAGCACAAGTACAAAACGAAGTAAGACAGAATATGTAGATAAAACTGAAGAGGAGAGGATACGAACAAAAGCAACTCAAGCCATAGAAAACCCCAAAAAGTAAGAGCAAAAAAAAGAGCAAAGGAAAACCCGAGTCGCGGAAAAACAAAGCCGAAAAGAAGAAACCTAAAGAGAGCCCACCCAACCAAAATTCAAAACGAGAACGTGACAAGAAACGAAAAAACAATTCCAACAGAAATAAACCACTTAGAACAGAAGCTGAAAACCAGAAGACAACGCAAAAACGAAAGGAACAAACAAACAAAGCGAATCTACCAAAAAGAAAGAAGGAACAAGCCGAAAAGAAGAAGATGCACCCACAGACGAAACCCACCAGCAAGAAAAGAACAGGGGGCGACAAGACATGTAACAGAGGCGAGGCAAACAACCCACAAGACCACCGGGAAGAGATTGAGCAGCCGAAGAAACGGCACAAAACAACCGACGGCGAAAAGCAAACAAACCAACGAGGCCAACTCAATAAGAGAATAAAGGACAAGAGCCCAACAAACAAGAAGACCCCAATAAAGGAAAAGGATAAACACGTCAGCAAAGAAAGAAACACCCCAGAAGCAGACACAGTTCAATAAGTACGAAAACAAGCAAGAGAAATACAATTTTAAAGAAATAACCAAACACTCAATAAATAAACACGCAAGAATAAATACCCACAAACCCTAAATAAAGAGACGCTTAAACAGATAGCAAAAGATAAAAAATATACAAAAATGGAAATAATTACAGAAATACATAAGATACACACAAAGGAAGAAAATCAGCAAAAAACACCATACCGAACCACCCTTAAACAATAAAAAAGACAACCCACACATACTAACCCTGTAAAAGCCACCAAGACATCCCAAAAATACACCAAACGCAAAACTCAAAAGAATCTAGACAAAATTGCAATAGGAAAAGAAGAACATACTCTACCCCTCACACAGACAAAACAAGAACAACAAGAGCAACACAGATAAAAGCTAGGAAAAAAACCCCAAAACGCTGCACAAAACAGGAACAGCGACAAACGCAAAGCCCAAAAAAAGTCAACGAAATACCAAGGCGTCACCAGCGAACAAACGAAAACATGAAAAAAAGAACCAGCTAAAGCGCAAACCAGCACAGACTAAAAACCGCCAAGAAACGAAAAAGGCCTAACAAGCCTTGTAGGAAATACAAAACGCCATCAACGAAATACAAAAAACAAACACCGAAGTGAAACACAAATAAAAAAACTCATTAAAAACAATACAAACCGAAACTACAAAAACAAAACCAACAAAGAAACCGAACGACCAAAGCAAGCCCACCAAAAGAAGCAAACAAAGCCGCAAAACAACCCAAAGCAGCAGACAGACAAAGACACAAATTCCGAAAAAGACAAAACAGGACGCGCCCATAAACAGAACAAAAAAAGAGCTGACCGGCAAATAGGACTCGGAGCCAAAAAACACGCGCGAACCGAACAAAAAGACCCGATGAATAATAAAGAACTACAGAATAACAGACGACAAAAAGAAGAAAAGCAAAATAAGCCCAAAAGTGCCAGAAAAGATACGGCTCGTAAAGATCACAACAACCGGAAGCACGGTACAACGGGTCGAAACGTGGCAAAGAGCCAGAGGCGCCAGCAATCAGAACCCAGCAAGATGAACCCAACAATCTAACACCACCCACGCAAAGAAGGCGAACTAACGAAAGCATCAACCAAAAAGGACAAAGACCACCCCGAACAAAGTCACAAAAGGCACGACTAGACAAGAACGCAAGCGAGCCAAGAACAAATGACTCAAAAAAAGCCAAGACGAGGAAAACAGGCAACGAAAGGAACCCCGAAAAGACGGACTCGAAAACACCCACAGCGGGAACTTTGAGAAGAACGAAAGGCAAAAGACAAAAACATAAAACGAAAAGGCACAGCTGCACAAGAAAACAAAAGAGTCAACACCTAGAAACACCAACTATCATCGCAAACCACGCCACGCCCGAACCGAAAACACCCAACACAAGGGGGGGACGCACGGACCAGGCCACCAGGAGAAGGGCAAAACAACAGGGGCCAAACAGCACCCCTCGAAAACCCCAGATGACGACCTAGCCGTCGCCCGCGACGGAATAGCGGACAGCAGCCAACACAACGAACATCAACCACAGGGCGCCCGAAAAAACGGACTCGCACGTCCAGCACTGCACCCAATGCGGAGTCTGGGAACGCCCCGAAACAAACGTCAAGCTACAAAACCAAACCCAAAACCACAAAGGCCAACGAAGAGCACAATGGAAGGCGCACGTCGACCGATTAGCAACCAAACGCAGCAAACACCCAGAGCAGGGAACCGCACCGAACCAAGGAACGACACGCATAACCAACCACCAGGACTACCAGAGCCTGACAGGCACGGAGAACCGCAAACAGAACCACCAGACAAGACACCAAAACGGGACAAAGGCGAAACAACAAAAGCCTGCAAAAAACAAAAAGACAACCCCAGACCGAAGCCCCAAACTACAAACCTTAGCCACAGAAAACCAAGACATCCAATATTCAAGAGAGGACAACCCCAAAAAACCCGCAGACGACGCCAAAAAAAGCACACATCCAAAGCAAGAAGACCGAGTCAAACACACGACCCAGCAACAACAACGCCAAAAGGAAGATGCCAAACCAAAAGACAACATAGTACACCACAAAGGAAGACAAAAACCTGCTGGAGTGCCATACAGCAAACAAACAGACACAAAAAACCACAAGCAAGGCTAGAAGAAACACAAAAAAAACAACACGCAGCCGCAACCAAAGAATACAGACAGCGAGCCCAAGCGATACTAAATCCAACAAGCCAGAGACCAAAACAACAAAGAGGCAAATAAAAAGTGCTCCCACGACCCACACTATAGGAGAACCGAGCGACACCAGATAGAGACGAGCCAGGAACAAACGAGCACGGCCCCGGAGCAAAAGACACACGAATACGACCCGAAGAAGAAGCATAATAAGCAAAAGACAAACTGCAGCTACAAAAAACAATGACCAAACATCTACTACCACCTGCAAAACCGAAGCACCAACATCAACACGGACCACCAAGACTAGAACACCCCACAGAGAAACAGCAACCGAACAAACCCCCAGGAGAAGACCCGCAAAACGCCATCCCAAAAACCTGGAAAGAAAAACAACCCAGAGCTAACAAACGCAATGACAGACCGCGCAATGACGCCCATCAGCCAAGAATTGGGAGGCAAGCGGGACAAATCCACACAAAGAACAAACGACACGATCCTCAAAGGCAAGCCACACAACAAGAACTGAAAAAAGCAAAGAAACAACAATACCGGATTCCCACCCGGGAACGAGGTTGCACAACTCAGCAAAGAACAAACTAGCCACGAGAAGCAAAAAACAAACACAGGGAAAACACTCGACCGAACAAAGCAGGAGCGCGAAAACATCGGAAAGCACGAAACCAAGACTCAAATCACCGAGATAATAAACACAAGCAAACAGAACAATAAAGCCCCGAAAAAAGACCAACGGCCGCAAAAAAAACACACCAACGTGAACGAAAAGGAACTGACCTAACAAAAAGTACAGAAGCAGACAGAGAACCTGCCCCAGCGATGACACTCAGAAATACAAAACAAACACCACAAACCCTACAACAAAAGCATGACCGAAGACCAAAAACACAAACCAACCAGTAACTAACAACAAAACCACAAATTGAAACCAGAGGAAATTAACACCGCCGAGGCCCAAAACCGACAAAACAACGAGCGAATAAAACCACGAACAAAAGATAAGCCAACAGCTAACAAAGACACGAAGCCGTTGCAGCACGCGTTCCGGGAAACCAACGCCGAGGGCGAGAAGAACAAGCCCAGAAACACGATACAACGGTATAAAACACCCCACCTTAAGCCCCACCACCTGCTCGCATATGTTTCCCTCCCCTCCGAATAAGATTCACCTCATCAAACTACCTCCCAAACTCTAAGCTTAAGCAATTTATCACTCACAACCTACGGACCATAAATCTCCCGTGTCCGGCTCTTAGGTATATAAAGACACAAACGATCTAACGCTTTCAGGACAAACACAAACAGAACGCCACAACTCAAGAAGACACCGAGCGAGCCATGGAAGCCTGGCGTGGCAAGGCGGCTTTTCTTCGGGATTGCCGTTGGAGGAAACGAGGGAGCGAAGAAGAACGAATGAGGACATTCTGTAAAAGTCAGGAGGAATGACAACGGAAATGAGGTTGATAGCAAGAGCTGATGATGGCGGCAGAGAACTTTTGGCATGAGTGGTTTGTTTGTGAGGGTCTACAAATGATACTTAGTTGCCTGAGATTAATATAAGCCCGAAATAGGAAGGTGAGCCAAGGGCGAAGAGTGCAATTCTGTAAGATGCTGTGCTGGTTGAACATGTACTTCCTGCTCTCGATGATCAAGATCAGAGAAGAAAGCAAAGCAGGGGATTGTTGGTACTTGCCCCAAGATTTACAGCCGCTCTATGCAAGAGAACAAAACGCGGACTTTGAAGTGGCACTCACCAAAAACACACAGACAGGGTTGAACTACATTAATTACTCATCTAATACGGTCATCAGAGAACCGCCCACACACCTATACACAGGAAAACTTCTTTCTTCCCTCTGATCGATCCCTTCCCATCCTCCGTTTTCCAACTTTTGCTTCAACCCACATGGGCATCCCAAATCTACACAACCCCAACTCCCTCTTCCCTTCCCTCAACCATCACTCCACAAAGGAAAAAAGACCACACAAAAAATTACAAAATCAAAAATCCACCAAACTCCACCACCCCCCATCGCCAAAACGCTGCTGCTGCTCATGCGAACCCTCCCAATCCTGTCAAATCATCGTCGGGAATCTTTCTCTCCCTGCATCTCCCATAACCAGCGGACTTGGCATCGGCGTCGCTACTTCCACAATAGTATTAAATCCTCCATACCCACTCCCTGCTCCATTATTATTTCCATTCCCGATCTTTAGCGGTGCTGGTCGTTTCGGGGCGCCGATACTACCACTTCTTCCACGAGCTTTATCTTCGAATGCTTGTGCGCGGTCTTGAACACTGTTCCTAGACGCCGGAGGCAAAGGCGGGTTCGGCATCCCGCTGTTGCGACCCATGGTCGATTGCCGGTAATAGCTATCGTAGAAATCTCCAATGCTGTTCTGGCTCACCTCGCTTGCGGAACGTCCGTGGATCTGTGGTGCGATCGATAACCTGTCGGGATCTTGCACAAACGGCATTCGAGGTTGCAGTGGTGCTCCGGAATTGGCTTGGTTGTGATGATTCAAGATAGGCTTTGGAGGTGATGCGGCGTCGGAGCTCTGGGAGCTGGATACGGAGGAGGTGGCTGAGTGGGAACTAGTTCCATTGGAGTCTGAGAACGGACTTTCGCGCGGCTGGTCGAAATCGACGGAGTGGCCTTGGACGGAGCCGCTGCGGTTGCGACGGTGAGAGGTAGGGTCAAAGTGCAGTTGGTCTCTTTCTCTGCTGCGACGGTGCGAGTCCGCGGATTTGAAGGAGTCGTTGGATGTCTTGCGGCTTCCTCGAAGGGAGTCACGTGTTCGGCTTAGACTTCGAGAACTGACTCGTTTGTGGGAGGAGTTTGAGAAATCTCGGGTTGAGGCCCGAGCTCGAGCTTCGGATGATTGGGAGCACGTTCGTGTGTGGCGTTTACTTTGTTCTCCGGGCTCGAGGATGGAGGTTCGGGTGCTGTACATGCTTGAAGCTGCCATGCTGTGACCACGGCTGCGCATTCTGGCAAACTGAACGTCAAGATCTTGGGACTGTGCTCCTGGTCCTCGGATCACGGAAACTCGTTGCTTGCTGACGACGGAGGCTCGGATGATGGCTTTCTCTGAAGGTTGCCATTCTGCATCGATCATTTCGTCGGGCAGTGTGGGTGATGGAAGTGTCCATTCATGGCTATGACGAGCTCCAGCTGATGTAGGCTGTCGCTGTCTGTTGACTATCGAGTTGCGAATGGGTGATGCTGGGTTCCATACGTTGAGGTCTTTTGGGAATCTATCAGGGTTGACAGGTGGTATCATTGGAGCTAGGTCATCAAGAGGGACGGGTGGGAGCTGAAACGTTCTTGAGAAATCCTCTTTAGGACTGCGAACTGGTAGTTCCTCCGTAGAGAACATCGACTTCATCGAAAGACGGTTGGGTCGAGGAGGCGCTTGTTGTGCTTGTTGTGGGAAGACAGAGAAAGTAGGGGACTTTGCTTTGGGTGGTTCTTCTTTCGAAAATGTTGAGAAGGTGGGAGATTTCATCAGTGGTTCCTGTTTCGAGAAAGTCGACAAAGTTGGCGATTCAGCGAAACTCTGCTGTGAGAAGTTTGACAGCGTTGGTGACTTAGCAAAGCCCTGTTGCGAGAACTCCGCATAGATCTCCTTGGGCGTCTTCGCACGTCCTCCAGCAGTTGGTGGAGGCTTGACGATCACTGGTTCGAAAGCAGGTGTTGTTTCCGATTTTGGCTTGTTGAAATCTGGAAGGGGTATTGTCAAGTCGCTTTTCCCGAATTCCAGAGGAAATTGTAGCTTTGGTAGAAATGATGCTGGTCTCACAGGTGTTCCCGGTCTGCTGAAGTGAACATCTAAGGGAGACACCCATGTACTGCTCTTCTCTTCGCCAAACAATGGAGAAGGAGCTCGAAGGGATCTTGGTGATGGCGCTGGTGGCAAGAAATTACCGCCCATGTTTCCAACACTCGACATATTATGGCTCCTCAGTTCAGCATCTGAGGGCTGTAGTCGAAGTGGCGATGGCTTCTTGATTGTGCTGCCTGCGCCAGCAAGCGAAGCACTGCTCGAGTTCCTGTCCTGGAGGAAGTCGAAGTTGCTGCTTGTGACTGACGATGAATCGCTTCGAAGCTTGTTCATTTGACCCCAGTCGACCAGTTTCGCATCTGGTGCCAGCTTGTATGAAGGAGCTGGAGAGCTGGGTCTGGTCTGCGCAACACCTCCAAAGTACCCATGTTCGAGTGCTCTCACGCCGAAGAGGTCACCCTCTCCAAGCTTCCGCTTCCCAACAAGCTTTTCTCTGTCTGTCGCTCTTGTAGCCGCTTCCTCGTCTGCTTTCTTCTGGTTGACCTTAAGTCTTGCAAAACGTCAGTGAAGTCCAATGTTATTCTATCTCAAACATACCTTTTCTTGTTGATATATAGTTTTATGAATCCAGCTCCGAAAGCAAGGGCAACAAGGCATCCAAGGACAATGCTTTAGAACTGTCAGCTTGCTAAACTCGGCATCTCATAATCTCAGAATATACCCAAGTTCATAAGCCAATGATAGTCCCATTATGAATTAAAATTAAGAAAAGATGCTGCGATTGAAAGCGTTGTCGAGACCTCGTAAGTCGAGCCAGTCGACAACTTCCAGATGTGGGAGAATTGAACGCAGCAGACCCCACCAAAAACAACAGACCAGACGAGAATTAAGATTGCCGATCAATTGGGGTCGAGCCTTGTCTATATTTGCGTATTGACGAGTTGCGCACAGACAACGTTTGTGCTCCCTGTCAGGGTCGATCTCCTGCGTTTCGAAACGTTTTTTCGAGGTCGGATCTGGTCTGTATAAGTTTCGAGATGGGACGAGCGTCTGCAAATAGAGTCTGTGCAGCTGAGAATCAGAGGCTCGAGAGATGCTATCGTCAATGAGGGTGTTGTTTGGAGTGTTCAATTGCAAACCGCCAAAGTCGCGTCCCAAAACCAAAGAGGTGGTGCCGTGAAATGTAGGGTGGATTTTATTCGCGTCCTTGCGTCGTAACGGATCGTGAAGGAAAGGATGTATCTCAATCGATACTGGAGAAAAATGAATGACAGAGAGTTGGAGATGACGATTAACGAAGAATTGGGAAAGAGGAAAGAAAATCACTGTCCATGGCCTTGACAAGGAAAGAGTGGAAACTAGACCAGGCTGGAGTGGAAGTGAGTAATAAGGAAATCTTGACGCCGTCGATAAATCCAGCGCCTCGCGCGAACTGGAGCGCTGTATCTAGACGCACTTGGCGTCCTTCAGGGGAAACATGTCTTGGTGGTGGTGTGTAGGACGTTGTATATCGACAGGCATAAGTAAGCATAATTGTGCAGGAACGTGCATCAGCGTGCATATTGACAACCTGGAGATACCTCGAATTGGTGAAGTTGCAGCCACACTGCGTGAGATTGTGGTGATTTGATCGCGGGTGCGAGAATCCTGTGGCGGCGCTAATCTCGTATTAGGAAGGACGGGCCCTTCCACTTGGACGCCTTTAATCAAAGAGGTCTGACCTAAGATATATTTCCGAAAAGCTTAGTGGAAATAGCGGCACTAGAACCGATTTGGTCCGTCCCGCGGTCGATGCGGAGAGAAGGTCCTCGTAAAGATCCTGATCCTGATCTTGCTGCTGATGGACTCCCGCTAGGTGGTGACCCAGATGCGCTGAAGACTTGTTACCATGATGCGACCAAGGTACTGAATCATCTCATGTTGGTCGTAAATGGGTCAGAGACTTCTCATATAAGAATATTCTAACGTCTAAATGTTGTTTGATGCGATTTGTCGGATGTCAGTCGAGCACGGCGAAAATAAACGTGGAAAAAAAGAACTCGGTTCGGGCAAGCGAGACGCTTTAGGGGGCGTTAAATCAGGAACAGGCTTAGCGCTACCAAATCTGGATTGGATCTATTGGAAGGTCAAAGCTCGTGAAGATTTTACCCCTGAAAACCTTCACCCAGATCCGCGCGACTGGTATCACGACGCGCGCGAAGTATATTTTGACTTCTCTTCTGACCACATATGTCCTCGTGGTGTTGTCATGCAGAATGATTACTCTGCATGAACCATGTGTTGTCGACTGTTGAGTTGTTCTCGAAGTTATGTATGTTTTGGACGCTGTGTACGCTTTGAGACCAGTGTCTCTAGAGCGGTCGTGATCATTTACATATGGTCTCGGCCAATATTCTTGGTTTTCGCTGGTGGATAGAACTATCTCAAGGTGTTGATGCTAGTGCAAGCTTATGCATGTTATAATTTATACTTCCATAGCGGAAGTCACGGCTCGCGCCAGGTCGTACCCTCTCTGCTGCTCACCTCACTGCTATCCACCTCACTGCTACCCATCTCACTGCTGTCCGTCTCACTGCTGTTGTCATAACCCATCTCCAGCTCCCGTCTTCGCAATGCAATATAAGAACTGCCATGCTTTTGGAATCTGCGCAGTCTATCTTGTTCAAAGGCATCATAAAGACCTTCAAGCATATTCTCCCACTCCTGGTCAGGAGGACCGGGCGTGGGCGTTGCCCCTTTCGCGAGAAGCAGCCCTACACACTTGAACCTATCTCTTGCCAAAGCTGCTTGCAATGCATTTCCATATGGACTCCCTTGAACATTAATGTCAGCACCAGAGCCAACAAGCAGGCGGATTTTCTCCAGCGTCAATTCCTCGGGTACGAGATGATTGCAATTCGCAGCTTGCAATGCACTGCCATAGGGCGGCCCTTTTGAATCTACGTCGGCGCCAATATCAAGTAGGAGTTGCAAAGAGGGTACGCTTCCTTCACAAGCTGCTACTTGCATTCCATTTCCCTGGTCTCCGCATTGACCATTTATATCAGCACCAAACTCTAGAAGTAGCTCTATCATCTTTATATCTTTACCAACGATAGCTGCTGCGAGAGGACTGCCCCATGGATCATTGTGTGGTGAGACTTCGTTCACATTGGTTCCATTCTGGATCAAGTATGATGTCAGTTGAAACCATTTCCTCGCAGTCGAATAGTATAATGGTGTGCAAAGCATATTGCAGTCCAACCACCAGTCATGTTCATTTATTCGAGTCAGATTTAGTAACGCTTGTGATTGAGGTTTGAAAATTCGACTGATTTGCATTTTGATATACTTTGTCTACGATCCGAGGGGAATCTTTTCCAAGTGAAGCGGCCCATATCGCGCCGCGTATTTCCACAGCTCCCATGGCGAACGGAGTGATGAATGGGTAGCAAGCATGTCCTCGCTAAGCTGCTGATGATAAGCAAAGCAAGAGCTTACTATATGCAAGTGAGAAGCCTCCTCTGGTGTTGCAAAATATAGTTGCGTCATGCGTTTTGATAAGAGATATTCTTTGCAACTAAAGTGGACTAATCGGATCTCTGTTATCATCATCGCTCCTACCGCGGGGATCTTTGTCTTGGTGACTAGTCCAGGAAGATAATTGAGGACGTCTTCAGTATTGGTAAATCTGTCGGACTCGTTGAATGGTACATCTTGTTCGTGATCTACAAAAAAAAGTTCCGCAAGCTCTTCTAGCGAGAGTGGTCTCAGGGAGTGTGCGAGCCATTTCAAAGCGCTGGCAACTTGTGCTCGATATTCTGGATTTATGCCCTGTCTCCAAGATTCAGTTTGTACATTGCAAACCTGAAGAGAAGCTCCAAACAACTGACATGTCTTGGCTGCTACTGAGATACATTAAGGTATACTAGATTATACGTACCTTAAGCATTCGGTCGTACGTGTCATCTAGGCCTTTCGGAAGATCTTTCAGTGCTGCTCGGATCCTTGGTGGCGTCCGATGGTTTTTGAGATTATCGAATTGGCAAGCAACGTACTGAAACCTGCATTATGTAGTCAGTAGTAGTCCTTCGGGGGTGGCAGGGTGTGATGATATCCCTGAAGACGCTGTGGAGCTGAAAGCATTCAGATGGTCACTTCAAGCCACTCCATACCTAAGAGAGTTGATAATGAGTTGCAGTGACTTTTAAGATGCTTGGAGTCTCCAAACACGGAGCCGCTCAAATTCATGGGACTTACATGCCGTCTGCCTTCTCTATCAGCGCAGTCCTCGCTTCCAATTGTATGTCCTCAGGCCAGGATCTGAATGGCGCTTCACTAAACCTCTTGTCGATATGCAAGCCGATGTCGTGGTCGACAGCAGCCTTGTACTGCCAAAGATCGACATTAGAGGCTGAAGTAGAAGAAGCCATCGGTTGCAGCACTTCATCGATATCAGTCAGTTGACGACTGGTGCAAAGCATGTGCAAGTTTTCGGTTACGGTATTATGTATGCGTTCGATACTTTGCAGCAGGACATCTCGCTCATTTTCAGTAGAAGGACACTCATCTAGAGCGTCGAGGACAATATAGACGGCTGTAAATCCTCGAATTGTAGCAGTCAAAGCATCCTCCAAGGTTCTTCTGTCGGGACGCTGCCCTCTAGCAAGATATTTGTTCAGAGACTGAACTGGTTCCGGAATTATGGGACGCTGGGTACAAATTTGCTTGATCAAAGAACAAAGCATCTCATCCACCTTTTGCGCTCTCGCGTTGCTGAAGCTGAAGTAGAAAAACGCAATAGCAACGCTTGGGTTCGAACCATAAATGTCTTTCAAGTGCTTGACAATCGATGCACTGTAGATGTCATGGTTAATTACGTTGCACACAGTATGCGAGAATTCATCATACCTCAAAACAGATTTTCCGGACCCAGCTACAGTAGGGCTTGTCAGCAATAACAACGAGAGAGAGGAGCCATAAAATACCTCTACCATTGAGCCACATGAATGAATTGGGCAGCGTTTTCCACTCTTCGAACTTTATGTTGTTATTCAAAAGCCACGTACCTGTTCCAGTTCTCGTTTTGTCAAGATTCGTGTTGTAATTTGTGGAGGGGTCAAAGTCAGAGAGCCAGCTGAGCAAATTGATTCGTTCGGTATTCCTCTGCGCGTCTTCAATGGCATTTCGCAAACCAGACGTATTCCGAGAAATGAAGGACATGATGTCTATACCTTCTTGGTGTTGTTGGAAGACTCTTTCGCTGTCGTCCTGGTAGTTCTTATCTTTCCAGATCATATATACCGCTTTGAAATTATTTTCGCGCTTGCGAACCTCGCCCAATGCAGAGTCCCAATCGTTCCATTTGACGATATCGAGCCCGAGACGAAAGGCACCATTCTTTCATAAGTAGCATATACTAGCTGCTTGAAATTTCAATACTTCGACGTAGAGTTTCTTCAAGGTGTCTCGATACAGTGTATCCGGAAGCCGGTTTGAACTTTCATACGCTTTCGTCTGCTCCGAATCTCGATGTTGTTGATACAAATCTTCTCTCGCCTTACTTCGTACGATGACATCGGTAAGGTAGTCAAGATCCTGGGCAAATGAAGCTGCTTGCTTTGAGGGATTCAAAGCCAACTACAAAATTGTCAGATTTAGTCTTCAATTCATATTGGCGCAAACATCTCTGTGCAATGAGCTTCGAGCTGAAAAAGAACGAATGGATGCGACCAGCCAGCTCTTCGAAGAAGCGGTTCAGCAGGTGAAGAGCATAAGGTGTTGACTTACTGGAAGTAAAAGGCTAACTCCGGCCCACGCCGTAGAAGCATACGGATTTGCGCTTAAAGCTCCGGATATGTAGTCATCAGCCCACCTAGTAAGTTGCTATGTCAGCACATACAATTAGAGATGTCAATTTAGACACGGGGAGGAGATTTCCAAGAAATAAATAGGAATTATATACTGGATGATTCCCACAACTGGCTGCGCCAGATCTGACACAGGAATATCTTTTCCATTGAAATTTAGCTTCCAAGTTTCTTCCTTCGTCTTCTTGATCTTCCTCTCGAGTAAAGTCGCCATTTGTTCTTGCCTTTCCACTTTAGAACCCGAGAACGACACTGTGAAACCAACCATAAATGTCAAGTCACCCCCGAAGCATCTTTCGTATCCTTTTATCAACTCTTCGTCTTGTTCCTTCTATTCATCATATGCCTCGTTCCACAGCTCTTGTATCGGTGGGGGGCCTGAAGTCGTTCTGGATTCTGCTATTGGCACGGAAGGTGCTGGTGGGGATGAATTGAGGATTGAGGCATCTGGAGAATCCGAAGTTGCTGGGGTCGTGCTGATCGTTGCGGATGGCTGCGTTGAAGGTGTTGTCACCTGGCTGGAGGGAGCGATTGCGCTCGCTTTCGGAACCTTAGCTTTAGCTCGCTGCTCTGTAGATAAGTTGGTCTGCTTATGTCGATGGCTAATATTTCCTAGGCGGGACTTAAACCAGTTGCGGCTACCCTTTGGCAGTTGTGAGGGTGAGCTTCCGCCTTGCGAGCTCGACATCTTGTGGTGTTCTAGAGTTGACACGAAGACCGCTTGCTAAAACATCGCGCACCTAGAGGATGAGATGCATAGAGCACATCAGCTTTACGACGAGATTTTTTTAAAAAAAAAAAGAAATGGAGTGTCAATTGCAGACTAGGCTGAGCTGAACCACAGCGGCTATCAGGCAAATCACAGCGCTGTGAAGCGCCACACCAGAGCTGCCTGGGCAACTTGCGCATTTACAGCTGGTACCTGAGGCTGCAGGAGGAAGACAGGATACAGTGGGAAAGACAACGAGAAACAGTAAAAATATGGGACAGCATTATGAATAGTCTAATATCACGAACTCCTCAGGTCCCATGAAAGAAATTCGTGAGCTTCGAGACGTTCGAAGTAATTGAAAGCCATTTAGCGCAAGTAGTTTGCCCCTCGCATTCGATGTCATGTATCGAACAGTTACAATTTCCGAACTTAGTAAACGCTTGACTTATTCGATTGCCAAAGGATAAATTCAAGTCAAGCGACAGAATTTCATAGCCAATTCCAGTGATTCTCACTAAGGGGATTCGCTTAAGGGCCTTCAGGGGAGCAATGCCCTATGCACGACGACAATTGAGAAAGACAGTCATTTTGCAAGACTATTCTTCGTAGAAATAGTCCGGGAGAAAGTAATGACGAACGACAGGACAATTCTTTCTAAATCCGTTCGATAATACAGCCCTATTCATGAGTGGCCCGAAGTAGAAACCAAAGCATGATCGAAGTCTTCTGGGTCATTGACGTCGGTATGCTGACTTCAGGATTTCGAAAGCATTTCAATGCTTACTTAAGTAAACAAATAAGTAGTACCGTCGAGATAGCTTCTGGAGATGATCAACATCATTAAAGTTGATCTACAAACACCCTTGGCCGATATCCCACTTTCAAGCGCTCGGGATCAACTCCAAAATAGAGCACACAAGTCCGACACTTGATTATTGTTACATGCGACCTTTGATGGTGATCAAGAGGGGAAGTGTCGTTCCGAATGGGACTTTATCTGGTCTCCACTGATAAGGAAGTTCATTCGAAGAAGATCTTCAGTGCATTCTCCAAGTACATGTCCGTTTCGTTCTTTAACTGGACTGCCTCACACCTACTCCGTACCAATTCGCGACCATGGAGAAAACACTTCAAATCACTTCTACTCCATCAGACGGTGAAATTCCTGATACTGACATCGAGAAAGTGATTTCAAGAAACCCTCACCTGGATGTAGAACCTGGCCAAGTATCTAATCTGAAAGATGCACACATCAAAGGAGTCGACAAAGCATACGCTTACGCCAGTGTCGACATCATTTCCATCGACGAGAAAACAAACAAACACCTGTTCCGCAAAATCGATACGCACGTTCTCCCTTGGCTCTTAGGACTCTACGTCCTGCAATTTCTCGACAAAGGAATGTAAGTCTACATCTATGCAACAATCTCATTGATGCGTGAAAATTGACCTGATCTACTAGATTGAGCTACGCAGGAGTAATGGGCCTACAAAAAGATACTAACCTCACCTCCGCGCAATACACCTGGCTCGGCTCAATCTACTACGCTGGATACATGCCCGCGGTACCCATCCACAACCGCCTTTTCCAGATCTTCCCACCCGCCAAGTACATCGCCTGCTGCGTTATCATCTGGGGCGTCGTCCTGGCTTGCATGTCTGCCTGCCATAATTTCACTGCGCTCATGATCCAACGCACCGCGCTCGGGATACTTGAAGCTTCTATCAATTGCGGATTCTCGATGATCACCGCAGCGTGGTATAAGAAATATGAACATGGGACAAGAGTGGGGATTTGGTCGAGTATGACGGGCGTGGCGACTATTGTTGGGGGGATTATCGCTTATGGGTGTGTGTTGGGAGAGGAGAAGCATGGAAGTGGGGGATTCTCGAGTTGGAAGATTTTAAGTTTGGTGACGGGGTTGATTTCGGTGGTATACGGGATTGCTATGTTGTGGTTTATGGCGGGGTCGGTAGTTAGTGCGAAGTTCTTTTCTGAAGAGGAGAAAATGCTGGCGGTTGAAAGGTTGAGGGATAATCATCAGGGAGTGGGATCAACGCAGTATAAGAAGTACCAGTTGGTGGAGGCTTGGACTGATTATAGGGTATGCAAATCCTCTCAGAAGCCTTGCTTAGAATGTTGTACTGACTTCAACCTAGACCTGGATGTACGTCGTTTTCGTTCTGACATCTCAGATTCCGAGTGCCGGCTTAGTCCTCCTGTCATCAATTCTCATCAAATCCCTCGGCTTCGACACCAAAACCACCCTGCTTCTCGCCATGCCGCAAGGAGCTATTACCATCTTATCTAACGCTGGATTTGGCTACTTGGCTGATAGAACGAAGTACCGCAGTGGATCCGCGATCCTAGTCAGTCTACTGGCTCTCTTCGCCGTCAGTCTCTTCACCGGCTTGGGAAGCGTCTCTCCATTATACGATCGAAATGGTCAGCTAGTAGCCTATTTCATCATGAGTGGCTGTAGTGCTGCCTCGTGGTTCATTGTCATCTCCATGATATCTTCGAATGTCCTTGGGACGACCAAGAAAGCTTCTTCGAACTCGATCATTTTTGCAGCTCAAGGACTGGCGTACTTCATTGGACCACAGACTTTTCGCGATGGACCGTATTATCGTAAAGCGAAGATTGTGACGATAATCCTCTGGATTGCATCAATTGTTATGCTGTCAGGGTTTTGGGTGGTGAACTGGCTGGAGAACAGGAAGAGGGATCATGCTGCAGAAGCAGGTGAGATTCCTAATGATGGAGTCTTGAATGCTGAGTTCATGGATTTGACGGATAAGGAGAATAAGGGATTCCGTTATGTGCTTTGAGAGGAGCTTCACGTGACTAGTTTCTCACAGGAGCCTTCAAACTTCAGTTCAATGAGCGCTGAGAAGCAGGCGGATAGAAGCAGTAGCAATATTGATAACAAGAGAGTATCCAGATATAAGTCATCTCATTTTCTCAAGTGTTGCGATACTCCAAAAGCGCAGTCTCACTCAATTGACTTATTGAACTTCCTGGGCATATTGTGCGAGACGTCGTTTTGTTTGCAGCCTGCATACTGTAGTACTGAGAAGGTAATAGCACACTATAAAAAAGGAAGTAATGTTAACGAAAGCAAACTTTGGCTTTTATGATTAAACATTGGTCCTTAAAGGGAGAAGAACTACCTTCAAGCATTGGAATTGGGTTTCACAGCCTCCTTCCCAGCTTTCAACTCCTCGACAAACTTCTTCCCCGCCTTAGGGTGTTTCTGAAACAGATGTTCCGCGACCATTCTCCCAGGCGTATTCCCTAGCCACTGCTCCAAACTAAAATCCTCAAACTTCGGCGCCCTAAAGATCTCTAGCATCTCAACTTCCTCCATCTCACTAATATTCTCAACATAATGTCCCATACTCTTCGGCACAATACCGACATCTCCCGCCGTATAATTGAACGTCCTCGCCATCCCACTACTAGCAAAAATCGTAATTCTCGCACTTCCTTTGATGAAGAAAGACCACTCGTCTGCGTTGGGATGCCAATGCATCTCTCTAATACCACCAGGCTTGATCGTGACATGAGCCGCAGAGATAGTCTTTGACAACGGAAATTTTTCAGTATCAGTAATTCTCACTTCTCCACCACTGAAGACCTCCGGCTTCTGATCAAGCATTTTATGCGTAAACATCAACCTACTCTTCTTGACATGTGGCTTATCAGGCATCTCATCATCCTTATCTCCAGGCATGCTTCCCTGGAAGATATACCTCTCTTCCTTGGGAATCATCTTGAAGATCTCCGGATCGAGCCTGAAGTTCTTTCCTAGCACACTGGTAGGAGTATGTGCCAAGAAATCACTTAGCAAGAACGTAGAATCTTCGCTAAAATTCCCGTCATCGAAGACGAGGAGGAATTCACAGCCGTCCTCTCCCAAGCCTTGGATTGAGTGAGGGTGGCCGGAGGGAAAGTACCATAAATCGCCCTTCTCGACCTCTCCGATGAAGTTGCCGCCTTCGGTGTCAAGTGCTGTAACACGGGCAGAGCCGGCGAGCATGTATGCCCACTCGGCTTCTTTGTGCCAGTGAAGTTCTCAAATGGCTCCAGATTCAAGACGCATGTTGACGCCTGCGAGCTCGATTGAGGTTGGGAGTTCTCGGATGGTGGTTTGACGAGCCCAGCCACCTTCTTCGATTCGCATGTGTGAATCAGTAAAGGACCATTTGTAGTTGGGTAGAGTGCCGGAGTCGGTAGATGGTGGACGGATAATATCTGGTTGTTGCTGTTCTCGGGCTAGGTTTCGTGGTCCGAGAATAGAGGATCCGAGGCCATTGCGTATGGGTAGAGGGTGCAGATCACGAGCTTCAGCATCAATTGCTGCGTCTGTTGAGTCGTGATACTTCTTTGTGTAGGGATCTGAGGAATTGATGTCCGAGTTGAGGGGACGGGGTGGATGTCGAGTCATGTTGAAAGGATTCAGCTGACTTCAGAGCTCGATGAAAGAAAGATAACCCAACTGGGTAATGGCCAAGAGAAAAAGATATTCCAGACGACATGTCGAGGTGTATATAGAGAATAGTTTAGTCTTCCAAGTCTTAATTCATTGATGACGTCGTCGAGGTAATTGTCATGAAGCGCCACCATTGCCGGATTTTCCGTAACTTCGACATCAGTGTGCATTGTCAGAGCAGGATCAATTTGATGGGAAAATTCCATGTCGGGTACCTTACATGGACATGCAGAATGATTATTCGATGTCTTGGCAAGAAAAGAGGAGGTTTGCTACGTGAAAGATCCAACATTACGAATCTCCGCGCAAACGCCGAGTGATGTCCGAGGCTATCAATTGTCAACCTTGAAAAATACATCCCACCTTATGAGACATTGAGTCACAAAAAGATTCCTATTCTTGCTCGATATTCCGTCTAGTCTCAGAAACATGTGACCGGATGCGGGGTAGTCACGACCCCGCCTTTCAATTGACAAGACTCGAAGGGGCAGAAGTTTTGGGAGCAAGAAAAGCAGAGTAATTTGATAATCAAACAAGGATATTCTTGACATTGCAAGGAGGTATTAAATAGGAACATGTTTGGGGAACGACAGCAAGCTGATCCTCAGGTAAAGCATCAGATCCAACCTTCATGACCTTGCATGTCCCGGGCAAGGAGGGTCTTTTCTTCAACATTAGGGCTGAACCGTGATGGAATATCCTCCAGGTTGGAGTTTGTCTCCATCCAGACCTGCCAAAGTCCTGTGCCGTTCCTCTGATAAAACCTCAACGTCACCATCGATGCAATAAATCCTCTCACCCTCTCTGGTCTTCGCATCAAACTTCATATAGAATGTTCCCTAAAAACAAGGGTATCCAATCAGCTCATCGACCAAACTCCATTGAACACGGAAAACTCACCGATCCCATGATCCACGACCACCAGCCATGTATACTAATGATCGCCCATCCTTTAACTAGCAGACAGCTCTCTCTGGCGACGTGATCAGGGTTCGGCTGCTCAATGGCATCTATCGTGTCACAGAACCAGAAATAACCACTCTGGTTTTGTCCATGGTTGGATGGATCGGCTATAGTCCAATGCCAGGTTGCATTAGGCGTGAGGTCTTTGAGGAAGGTGCCGTATATATATATGTCGAGGTCTTTTTCTCTTCAAACTGTTTAGTCTCCGTGGGTAAATGGACAGGCTTGTGACTTACACAACTAGCGGTATTGGGTGTACAGAGAAGTACTCGATGGAAAATAGATCGGTAGTGCGAGACTCGTTGCAGAATTTGGCGTATGAGTCTCCTGGTATAATGCCTGGGATGACAGGAGTCGTTAAAGTGTTTGTCTTAGTGCTAGACAGCCCGGCTGTGCTTAATGTCAAATACTTGACAAAGAAAGATGCCACTCCCTCCATCATCATGACTGGTCGGGAAAAGGGAAATCAATGAGAGCGGTCGTGGCACTCGGTTTTGGCGGAAAGCGATTGCAAAACTCTGGTCGAGCGGGAGCTGATTCAAGTACGCATTCCTTGAGTTGTTGGTATGAGCCTACTGGTGCTTCTGCCTAATATGATGCGTTGGCCTGATTCGAAACATGGTTTGTTGGAAAGATTGACAAGCGTTGTTGGTTTCGGGCCTGAAGGATTGCAATTCTGTTGGTCCCAGACGTTGACAAGCGAGAACAGGGGAGATATTGATTGCGCACAAATACCTCGTCCAACTATAATACACTCTAAGCCCTGCTGTAGATTACTGTGTAGTCATTGTCAGTAGAAATAGAAAGCGAGCTGCCATAATTGTAAAGTCGGCACTGGCCTTCGGCATGGATAACTCCCAAGCGTTTGCTTTACTGCTATTTTAGGCAGCTAGCAAGTTGCGATGCCAAGAAGCGACGCACTTGCCCAAGATGTCTAGGTGAGTAGTTCAAGATATAGTTAGACGTTGGATTTCTAAAGATTAAGTCCTTTCACAAGAAAGTTTTATTCTTTGAGGGAGACTTGCATACTATTCCAGAACTATAATGCTATGGCATATCCAGAATGTTCTTACACCTCCTTGGCCGTCCTTCACATGAGCTTCTTCATGTACCTAGCAAAGTATGACCACACCTTGCAACCTTTCTCTATCATCTCTAACGATCTCGATTGGCTTCATGTAAGCGGCTTGGTTGTGTGCCCGCCATTATTGTTGTATATCCACGTAATCAGCTTACTCCGAGACCTCTACACCAGTGAAATCAACATAGGATCACCCTCAGTATTCCCCCAGATTCCTTCCACCTTGTTGCCTCCGTTCGAGAAGTGCATCCCATAGACGGAGTTTTTAGACCTGAAGACAATGACGTCTTCTCCGGTCCCCTTGCCCCGCCAACGATAGAATCTTCTTGGACTATCAGCAGACAACCTATCGTTCCCACTGACGCTCTGGTCATGCATGTCCAACCGTATCTCGCAGCGATCTCGGCCAATTTTAGCTGTCCAAGTCGGGTTTTGCCCGATCCAAGAACCATTTCTTCGGTAATAGATGTCTCGTGAAAGAGGCCGAGGTCATCTGCAACTTGGTGTAGCAGAGCTTGATCAGTGGGATGCAAATGATCCACCACAATCAGTCCATATCCAGCATCGCGTCCTGCGTCGTCGAAGAAAGCTCCGATCAAGAAACGATCCGTAGATTCCTATCCTTGTCTTGACATAGCCTAGGGTATAAGTATATTTCCGCTTTTCGATATCCAACTGAATCGTCAGGTAAAAGAGTGTGAGTCCAAAACAATCTACGACTCCATATCCAAAAGACAAACAAGGGTATCCTCCAACGCCTTCCACTTCTATTCTTTCCTACCACATACGTAATCCAATCTTCTGCTTGATCAACTTCTGTCGTGCCTTTAAGGCATGGGGAATTGCTTGTGGTGGGACTCGAAGCGTTGCCAGAAAATCGTTGCAGTTGGCTCCATTCCAGCTATCGATCGTGGCAACGTCCTGAGGGAATCCAGGATAGTATTGACCTGTTTGCAGATCGATAATTGGAAGGATGGGTGTGTTTTCGTTGGTGATCCAGCTGTTTTGGATTCGTGCAGTCGAATTGTCTTCCATCCAGCTCATGGCCAGGATAAGTCGGTGTTCAACGAAGAGCAGATTCTGGTTGAGCGTGAGAATGCCATTGTAAATTGCTTCTATGCCATTTTCTGCCAATCTGCGATTGACAATGAAGCCTTCTAGGCGTGTATTTACGGAGGGAGGAAGTCGATGGGCAACTTCCAATTGAGGTCGAGAGGGCGCAGCGGATTGAGACGCGAGGGTAGGTCGAGGTGCAGCGGAAGGTAGAGCGGGAATGGCAAGTCGAGAGGGTCGAGAGGCGACGGCAGGTATGGCTGCAGGTGGTGGACGGTTATCGGCAAGACGATCATTGGCTTTGTGTTCCTTCCCTTGCGCACGAGCTTGCACAGCTTCCATGTAAGTATCGAAGAGGCCCATGTCTTTCTCGTTCGTATTGGCATTTCGAAGGCGCTGTTTCAGGGCAGCAAGGTTACTACCTCGAGAGAAGAAGCCTCTCAGGGCAAGTTGCGCTTTCCAGAACTCGATTGGCTCATCGTCATCGTAGTCGATATTGTGTTCAAAGGCATAGCCCCAGGCTGTGATGTCCGAATCGGAAGCGAGGGGAACGCCATGGATTTCGATACTAGGGAAGGATTTTCCTGAAGGGCGATTGATCGCAGCTTGCCGATGCAATTGCGCCTCCGCGATACCGGCTAGCAAATTCATCGTGATGTTGGACTTGGCAGGACTGATGGTGGAATTGGTCGAAGGGAAAAGCTGGACTCGCAAACAAATATCGAGATGGCGACGTGTCGCTGAGGAAACGCGGCTACACGTGACCTCTTCGATGTGATCACTTTACCTAGGTTAGATCTTGTCGGCCCTGCTTCTATACCTAGGCCAGGTATGTTTCAAGAAATGTGAGCTTCACCATGATATATATATCTTCCATCATAGTAACATAAAAGGACACAACTTTCGCTGAATGCAGTCTTGTTTGGGCCAATATCATTCGCTTCTTGTTTTCTCACTTTTCGCTCAAGCAAAGACCCCTCTTTCCGTCTTTCGTCCTCATCTGGCTCATAGAGAAGAACCGCCCAGCATATCATCAATTTCAGCGAAGGAAGTCGCAGTGATACAGATAGTGCTTGACTTCGTTCCTTCTGTGCCGAAAATCTCGATATGACAAGATATGCCGAATGAGTCACTTGAAGACTTGACGATGTCATCTTTACCAGCTATAAAAAGCTAGTTGCTCCTTCCTCTTTCAACTCAGCCGATCACCTATCCTCGCAATGTAAAATGCTGTTTCTTCAACCTTGAGTTATATTCTAGATCTCATCATCACAGCAACAGAATCCCAAACAATCAAACAATCAGAAAGCCATCACCATGGATCTTTTCGAAGAGCTCGAACGCATGGCACAGAATGCGACCGCTTTCACTGATGCCGAGCCCGACGGAGAAGATGTCGAGCGATGGGTCCACTTGTTCAAGTATGACTATCTCGAAGCATATGCGCTCTTCAAAGCACAGCGATCAGACGTCACTCGAGAGCCGATATCAGATGAACACTGGGCGTTGGTCAAAGACGATCGCGAAGCCGCAGGCTTCGACCGGGAGGCTTATGAGCATTCCCTTACCTTGAAAGACGTCCTCAAAAGTCACAGCACCGTCATTCATGACAAGGATGGGCGTCGCTGGACACTGTTCAGACTTGGAGGATTGCTGGAGAGTAGGGAAAAAGTAAAGGAAATTGCGGAGTTGGACGAGCTGCCGAAAGTCACACAGGGAGAGGGGCAGTTTGACACACTAGATTTTGTCTGGGTCGATGACGAAGCTCGGGGCAAAATTGAGACATGGATGCAACTGCAGCAAGTCGTCGAGAAGGGAAAAGTTGAGAAGGATTCATGAAAAGGCTGGGTGTCACACGGTATGCGGGGTGAAGCGAGGCTGAATTCCATGGCTGACAGGTATCGCACTGGATTCGGAGAGGTTAGACGAAAGCTGCGAGCAACGTCCAGAACAGCTTGTTCTTGGCGTGCGAGATAATGCGATTGTCAAAAATGCTATCCTCTTGCCATTGCGTGTATTGTGAGTTGCAAGCGCAAGCTACTTGGAACAGGCTAGTTCGCGATATTATTCTCACCTTACAGGGTGCTACAGTACTCTCGAGCGTGATCTCCGTAAAGGTGGCTCAGATCTATATTGCTCAACTTAAGATCGTCAGCTCTCCTATATCTTAGTATTATTCACTGTGAACAAAAACAGAAAAGTTGTGCAGGAGACTACAGCCTATCGACGCATAGCTCGATAACCATCTTCCCACATTCTCTCTTCATCTTCCCCGAGTCTGTTCTCTTTATTATTATTATCTCGTTACCAGGCATTTCGAGTATGGCTACCATCGCGTTGGCTTGGTTTTATGCACAGGGCGTAATTCCCATTGTTGGGATTGCAAGTGTCGAGAGAGACACCGAGACTGTCGAGGGATTTAAACTGACACAGGAAGGACGTCGGCAGAAAAAAGATATTGAGTTCCTTGAGCAGAAGTATGTTGCAAAGAAATTGATTGTTGCAGCTTAGCTGAACTATTGAACCTCGCGATCATGTTCTACAGGAAATTTTCAATTTATGATGCCAAAGTCTTTGGAAACATTGCTTGAAGCCCACTCCACTCGTCAGATTGTACTCGCTGGTGTCCCCGACAGAATTTCGGACATGGTTTCAAGTTTTCGTCCTTGATTGCTTTCTACGTCTTTGATCGAATAAAACATAGCGACGACTTGCAGAAATCTTCAATTATGTAGTAAGAGCTGAGGCCACCGGGAATGGCTCACTTAAGCGAGGCGCGGTAACGCGTAAAAATTCTACACCCCATTTTAAAACCCTTACCACACAACAACCCTCTTAGGAATCAGTCCATAATTCAAGATGGAGACACCTCTTATCCTAAGTGATCCTATCGAGAAAGAGAATAATGAATGGCCTACCCCTGCACGTGCAGTCATTCGATCCCTACAGCGCCAGGGAAAGTCGCAACGCGAGATTGTCTCAGAGACCCATATCCCTCGAAGAACAGTACGCCGCATTCTTAAGCAGGAATCTAGTCGGAGAGAGCGCAAAAGAAAGCTCTCTAGACACCATCTCATGTCTATACGCGACATACGTTATTGCATTCGAACTATTTCCAAAAACTGGAGCTCTAGGCGCATGACTTTTGAGGCTCTCAAAAAGCAACTACCCTACCTACCCTCGGTGCGCACCATTCGTCGAGAATTAGCCCGGGCTGGCTACCGCCGCTGCATTGCATGCCCTCGACCATATATTACCCTCAAACAAGCTAGGAAGAGATATGTATTTGCCAAGGAGCATAAATAGTAGGGGACATCAGACTATGCAGCTCATAGAGATGATGGCAAGCAAGGAGGGGACTGGAGGAAGGTTGTATGGTCTGATGAGGCTATATTTGAGACTGGGAAGAATGGCAGGATATATGTGACTAGGAGGGTAGATGAGAGGAGGTGCCCTGACTGCATTAAATCAGTCTACAAGTCAGGGAGGACAACGGTCATGATATGGGGGGCATTAAGTTGGGATTACAAGTCGCCATTAGTCTTCCTAGAGAAGCTTCCAGAACGCAAGGGCATATGTTCTAAAGCCTATCTACAGCAAGTTCTTCAGCCTATAATCTTCCCTCTCTTTGATGATCTAGGGCCGGAGTATATCTTTATAGAAGACGGGTCTAAGGTGTATAAAGGGCATGCCAAATTACCTAGACTACAGCACAATATCCGAGGGTTTAATTGGCCTCCTTCTTCACCAGATTTGAACCCTATTGAGAAAGTCTAGAGGTGGATGAAGGAGAAATTGAAAAACTTGGACTATATGCCCAAAAATAAAGTGGATTTGAAAAAGGAGTTGCAAAAGCTATAGGACCGAGTTAACCCACGTGACTTTCGCCACTACACTAAGCAATTGACTTGTAAGATTGAGGATGTAATTAAGTACAAGGGTATGGCTACTATTAATCAATAATAGGTTCCATTTTCACAGAGATTCATAAGAAGACTAAAAAATTATGATTTTTGGTAAATAAGGTCTCATTTGTTGAGTTTCGCTTAAGTGGGCCATTCCCGGTGGCCTCAGCTCTTACTATATAGTATTTGAAGCATCCAATAACGCATACATCCTGCAAGCCCACCGAGAAACCTACTTCCACAGACTTTCATCAAAGTTGCACACGGTGAAACAATATTCCAAATTCTTTGGAGCTTTCTCAAAACCCATGGACTTTTATAATCTGAAAATTCTAAGTGGGGGTTCGCGAACCGGCAAATGGGAAATGTCGATCTTGGGCGTCCCGCAGATCTGATTTGGCCGCTTCAAAACCCCTGCCAAGAATGTCACAGGAGGTTTACCGACCTAATGGACTAAAGGAAGGATGCTTCCAAACCGTCTATCCTAGCCTTGAAAGCAGTCGTCATGGCTAGAGCTATGGAGAAACTGTAGATAAATATCTGGGGCCCCGGACAAACAACCACCGAATCCGGGGCCCCAGGAGAGGAGACGCTTGTGGCTTTTTCCACTTCTACACTTTATTCTCGCAAGAGCCTCCTCCAAGTGAGGTACATGCTGGTGTCTGAGTATCACCAGGTCTTTTCCAAAGAGAGCCAATCCTGCCAAGAAGTCGAACCACACAGCAATGTCTTCCAAGCCTCCATCCTTCGTCGGGTTCACGGGCCAAAATCTCGTCTATGCCGTCACATTTTGCTGCTCAGTCGGCTTCCTGCTCTTTGGGTACGATCTCGGATTTATGGGTGGCCTCACAACCTCCCAGCCATTCCTGAGCACATTCGGACACGTCAACGCCTCTCTCCTCGGCTTCCTCGTCTCTTCTTACGAAGTTGGCGCTCTCTTCGGAGCCGTGTCCCAGTTCATCGTCGGCGATCGCTATGGACGAAAAACAGAAAATATAGCAGGGGCTTCCATCGTAATAGTTGGGGCCATCATCCAGTCTACGAGTTTCGGGCTCCCACAGTTCCTCGTCGGTCGGCTCGTTGCTGGATTCGGTCTTGGGATCATGACAACTGTCATCCCAGTCTGGCTGACTGAGTGCGCGATGCCCAAGTCCCGTGGACGTATGATGGCAATGCAGTTGTCGAATCTGATTATGGGGTTAATCATTGCCAATTGGATCGACTATGGCATGTCAGTCCACTACACCGGCAGTATCCAGTGGCGATTCCCATGCGCTCTTCAGATTGTGTTCTGCATCATCGTTGTCTGCATGACTCCATTCTTGCCCGAATCTCCCCGCTACCTCTGCGCAACGGACCAACTTGACCAAGCAACGTACGTTCTAGCAGCGCTTCGCAACGGACAGCTTGATAGCCCAGATGTGGTCGAAGAGATGGGTGAGATCAGATACGCCATCAACGTCGAGATGAAAGAATCAGGATCCTGGAGCGATGTCTTCCACGATGGTGGCATCAGCGCTTTTACACGAGTAGCTATCGCATTCGCGGCGAACTTCTTCCAGCAGTTATCTGGCGTGAACGTCATGTCTTCACTAGGACCATACGTATTCCAGAACTCCGTGGGGATGTCTACTCATGAAGCACTCATTGTTTCTGGCGGTTTGCAGGTGTTTTATTTCTTCAGCAGCTTGATACCGTGGCTCGTTGTTGATCGCATCGGGAGACGAAAGCTGTTTATGACTGGTTCCATTGGAATGGGTGTCTTTATGACGCTCTCCGCTATTTTCATCGGTATTGGTGGTACAGGCCTTGGTGTCGCAGCAACTGTCGTCCTCTATCTCTTCCAGACATTCTTCACACTGGGCTGGCAGTCCAATATGTGGGTATATCCCAGTGAGCTTCTGCCGTTGAAAATCCGTCTGCGTGGGGGAGCACTTGCTGTCGTTTCTCAGTGGTTATTCACATTCCTCGTTGTCGAAATCACACCTCCGATGATAACCAATATCGGCTTCAAATCATACATTGTCTTTGCTATTATCAATTTTGCGACTGTTCCGGTGGTGTACTTTTGCTTTCCAGAGACATCGAGGAGGCCCCTGGAGGTTGTTGATCTGCTGTTTGCGGATAGGCAGGACGGTTCAAGACCAAGTATTTTTCAGGTGGTGCGCGATTCGGTTAATAAAGATTATGTGAAGTCAATAGAGTCACAGCTGCAGGAACGGGCAAGGTCGAACAAGGATAATGATGCGATCGTGGCTTCGGAAAAAGAGAAAGCTGTACATGCGGAGTTCGAGAATTCGGTGTGATAAAAATGCTGAAAAAAAACAAGTAGGAATAAATAAATCCCTCATCAAGTGGGACCCTCGTGCTGCACACTCTAGTTTGTGAACATTGCATATTCGATCGCTTTCCGCTTCCTAGATACAAATTATTCGGTTTAGTATTAATATCTCTACCGCCTCTTAATTTGATTCTCGGCTTTGTACATTACGGAAATTCTTCCTTGCTGTCAACTTTCGATTGGCGTCAAGTCCTATCTGTCTGAAATTTGGACGCAAAGGATCTTCGCGCAGCTTGAAAATTTGTCTGTAAAAATGAGGTCACAATTATAATATAAAAGCAATAACAAAGACAATGCCTTGTATTCTAGGTTTGTTTTTTAAAGTTAATGGGATCATGAAACTTTTGACTCGATAGTCGAGAGGGCGAATACGTCGGGTGGAGCGCAGTGATTGGTTAGAATCTGTGCCCTGTCGAGCTGATCTTAGCCCCTAGTCACTGTCACCTCACCCCTCCAAATGGGCGCACCTGCAGATACGAAATTTGGGGGCCTAGCCAGACTCTATCACAACTTGGGCGAACCAACTGCGCTCTGCATGCTCATTCGTCTCCAAGAAGGTTCCAGTGATCCTCCTGAATAGCACAGGTTATCTTTGAAGTACAGGCCAGATGAAAGAGATGAATTGAGATAGCCATCGAAAGAGTAATATTCGTAGCCTTACCCTGTTCAATTGCACGTGCAGTCACGCTGCATATGAGGCGCACTGCACGTGGTATACAAGGCCGACCATGTTGCCCTTTTCAAGCCTAGCGGCTGTCGATTGCACCACACAATCTCTTTTGGGAAAGATTCACAGAAGCCTCTTTTGAGGACTGGTGCGAAGCCTTGCAAATTCTGACCAAGGCTCGAAAACCCTCATTTTCGTTCGCCCATGTATAGACTGAAAGCATAGTGAACTTTGTATTTGGAATTTACCAATCTTATAATCACATCAAAAAGTCCGTCTTCCAAAAATGCGTCTCATGTAGCCTCGCACATTTTTCGCTCATAATAGCAGTAGCCCGTTTGAGACAATATTGAATGAGGCTTCTTAGCAACAAAATGAGACAGCCTCGACTGATCATCAGGCTCGGTGCTAAGCGGGGCTGAAGGATTCACACCCTCTTTGAAATTCTCGAAGTCGCCTTCTTTTCATTCTTACTATGATTCGAAAACACAATTGTGCCAAGGGCAGGCTTGTCGTCAACTAACTTTCATACGTATACTTCAAAATGACATCCTATTTTGACTATACATTTTTCTGGGGGACTCAAACTCCCGCGGGCATGGCTGGTATCTCCACCAATGGCCCGTCGAATGTACCTTTTGCATGCACTCCCGTTTATTCCGCGCAATACTTCACTTTCACATGGTACCAGCTAGGAAATGGGTGCCCGGTCGAGTACTCATGGAATGCGGCCTCAACCTGCATTTCGACGGCTGGAGTCTATAACACTATGAGCTGGGGCTGCACATGGACGACGTCGGTGGCCGCAACTTCGACCATAGACGGCGGGACCACGACTGTATCTGCGGGCCAGGCTGCTACAGCTATAGCTCCCGTCGTCTGGGTCACGATCACCAATACACAACAAACCACGAGCACCACAACGAGTACTGTAGATCCTGGTGCTAAAACAGTTACTGTCACTTCAACTCCAGGCGTCTCAAAACGAGATGATAATTTTGCTGGTGCGCTATTCCCTGCGCGCAATTATGGAACCGATATGCAAAGAGTTGTGGAGCCTGGGAATGCTACATCTGAGGTTTTGGACTCCCGAGCCGTGTGCGCGTCAAACGATATTAATTGTGGATTGAACTGCTGTAAGTTTTGAGATGTCTGATTGATCTCTCTTGCTGACCGAACCAGGTCTTAGCGATCAGACTTGCATTGCGGGCGGTACTTATCCTTGCTGCAATGGATGGGCATGCGTACCATATAACCCATATGAACCTTTCACTGGCAACATATATTGGTCTTGGCAGGGGTATACAGCAACTTCAACATCATGGGCGTACCAGACCACGTACTTCACTGTCAATCCACCTGGGAGTACAGTCACTATCACCCCCACTTCGACCTCAGCGATAAATTTCGTCCAAACGCAGATAGTGACAGCCACCATCACCACATCAGATCCTACGGTCACTATTGTGAGCGTTTTACCAGCGACTACTTTGATTACAGGCTTCACTGGAGCCGGAGGTAAGCACCTATTCGAAGGTCATTGTTTAAAGCGCAAGAGTCTCATTGAAGTTAGGAGTTACCAAGACCGGCGGGCCTGGGTCATCTGAATCGATAACTTCAGTCTCTACCAGTGGAGGAACAGTAGTCACGATAAGTGGTTCTACTTTCACTACTGGTGGAACCCCAGTCACTGTAGTCCTGCCACCATGTAAGCGTCAAAATCCTACCGTTGTCACAAGTTACTGAACCTTTGAAAGCAACCTCCACAAATTCCGGATCTCCACCCGTAACCTCAAGTTCAACAAACAACGGCCTCGTCGTCAAGGTAGCAGCAGGAGTTGGAACACCACTTGGCCTATGTCTCTTCGGCCTCCTCATCTTCTGCATCTTCCGCTACAGAAAAAGGAACAAAGACAAGAAGCCCAAACCAGCTCCACCAAACATCATCAGCAGCAACTTTGGTGGGGACTCCGCAATGGTCGAATCCAGCACAGGGGGCGACGCGTCCGCCTACCACACCACCGCCAACGTCGCCAGTAAGCCTCTTCGTCCAGCTACAGTTGTCGAAAATAGTCCCTCAGATTCGCAAGGATTTGGATACGGAGATGTGCCGATGAGTCCCACAAGTCAGCATAGTCAGCAAAGTGAGATGTTTGCGCCGGCGCATCATTCGAGTGAGATTTATACGCACCCGCCTAGGTATGCGAGTCCGCCGAGGTATGTGGGGGATGAGAACCATGGATATTATGTTAATGAAGCGGAGACGGTGGCTAATAGGCATGAGTTGTAATGGATGGGTGGAAGTGAAGTGTGGGTAATGATTTTATTTGGTAATGTTTCATGAAGTTTGTATTTACTTGGGAATTTGGAGGGGATTGGATGTCATGATGGAAGGAAGGTATGTTTATGGGAATGAGAATGGGGCGATACCCAAATAGCTGGCAAGATTTCTCAATCAAATCATTTGAAAACTACTCGAATTATGTCAAATGTTGTCGACTGTCTTCGGCCTATTTCTGGCAGGAGACGAACGAAAGTGACAAGGCGTGCGTCTATTTTTCACTGGCATTGATACCAGCACTTATCGATTTGATTGAACGGTGCTTTACTAATCGTCAGACTCAAGGCGTGAAGGAACAACCGTAATTGAGAAAAATAACAGATTTTCACCCTAGTACTTTGGCACTCAGCTCTTCAATACCATGCTAGACATAATAGATTATTCCGCTTTCATTAAGACCATATTCCTAGATAGGCAAGCCAGAGTTCGGGAAAGGAGACTCAATGCTTGCTGGTGTTTGCAGTACCGCTAACATTGAGAAGCCTCAATATAGCCTCCAGTTGATAGCGGTGTCGCTATACAGAAGCACGAGGCCTAGTAGGCAGAAGTGTGCCTGTCCAAGCAAGACCTTCCGGTTGCTACGACGTGGCGGTCATCATCTGGTTAGTAGATGACGACATTGGCACGAGATCTTTGGTGCAAACTATTGGGCATACAAGAAAGTAGAAATGCGTTTCACCTTCCTTGGGAACATTTGTCGAAAACAGTTTCAAGCAAAAGTCGAGCGCTCCAAATAAGTTAAAGTTACCATTTCAACTTGAGAACAAACATGAGTGGATGGGCAATGGAAAATGCTGAAGAGGGTTCTACGTGACCCTCACTGAGTTTTGTGTTCGGAGGGAACAGTATCACCTGGCTGATAGGTGTAATTCAGCGTTTGCGCTACTATTAGGCACGGGGGCTGGTATCAAGCTTGTACTTGATAGGCTTTTTTTAATAGTCATCTGCCTCAAATGTCTGCCAGCAGCTTGTGTTTGATGTTTGACAGACGCTTATGATCATATTGCGGTTGTGTAAAGCGTCTCATGGGCTAGGTTGATTGTCTCAGCAGAAGGTAAGCAAGTTATATCAGAACAACAGGAAGCTATATATTAGAGCAGTGACCTGTGGTAACAAGATCAAATGAGATTGCAACTTGTAGTTGCCGCTGCAATTGTATAAGAGGTGCTTCTCTAGATAGTCAAATTTGTTCGCAACCTGGATTTGAAATGACTTCACTTCTGGCTTGGCTAGTCGAACATTAATTCTCTAAGACTTAGCAATGTCTATATGATACATCATGCTGTATGATTTATCTGATCTACCTTGAACGCTGCGGAAAGGGTGGGATGCGGCTACAGAGACAACTGATCTGGAGCAACGGCATGTTGTAAGGGAATAGAGACATCCGCTTCAGAGTCCGACAACAGCGTAACCGCTACCGAGGAGACGCTACTCGGGCTTGGCCTAGCATAGTCGTGCCTTTGATTAGCATTAGGAGGACGATCCACTAGGATAGGTAGTGTTCCCGGCCAACGTTACAGAGCATGGGGAAGGATCAAAAGGTGATTTCTTTTTCGCCAGGGCAGCACCATTCGATTTTGTTAACTAACATTTCGAACTCTGCTACAACACTGTCTTGCAAGAAATTCCTTCGAATCTCTCGATCACAATACTTCGAGTTTCCTAAAACACAATCTTTTCGTTTTCCCATATTCTGATCTTCCAACTCCCCCACTTCGCGATCCCCAAATTTGCATAGGTCTCCGCGATTGCCACAGCGCGAGAGAAGGAGAAAAGGTCTCTTCTACTATGTAACTGTATCCACTGATCTTAGCCGTCACACAAGCTCTTGAGCTCTTCTACGGCACATCATTCGAACTCTCATCTTACTGAATCAGTCAAATCTCGAACTACAACTATTCAACACCTCTAAAGCGCAAACTTTTGAGCCGACGCAACGAGATACTTGAATTCTCCTGCAACACGAGCCGCAGCAATGCCTCCCACCGAGTTCCCTATCGAATTCAACTACAAGAAGCCAGCTGTGCTCCCTGGAAAAGGCATCGTAGTCCGGCCTAATTATCCTACCGAGACAGGCCCCATAAACAAAGCCTTGGCAATTGCTAGGAACTCAGAGGTCCCGAATCTTCTACTTCAAGCAGGCGAATTGACCTCCGAAGAAGAGAAGCGGATATGGTATCATCGCTTAATTAGCAAGGAGGCAATATATGTTGGTGAGGAGGGCTCAGAAACATGGAACGGAACATTTCTAGATGAGAAAGCCGTCTTCGAACTCCCCACTGCCGGTCAGAATATGGTCGATCTGAGAAAGAAGATTCTCAAGCGTGGGGTGGGAAAATTCAAAAACCACAGCGCATTTGAAGGGATCCTAGCAGGCCGCGACTTCACCAAGGATAAGCATAAAGTGCGGAGATCATACGTACTAGGACACACTGTCCACCCAGACGCAACAAGCTGTGGCCCAGCGGAGTGTAACGCTGATAGGCTTAAGCATCAAGAAGAAATCGCGGAGGTCTCGAATCTAATTTCAAGGATAGCCCCAAAGGATCTTCTGAAGATGGTGACTGATCGAGCTGCCACAGATGTCCCAATGACCATTGGATCAGAAGACAACCCATACTTCAGTAAGCACATTTAGACACGGGTTACATTCCCAGAGATTTACTAATCTTTACAACAGCAACTGCACAGTTGAACTTCTCTGATGGGGATGAGATTTCATTAGAGCTCACTTTAGGCGAAGCTGGAGCGCTACATGTCGACAGCAAGGATGATGCTACACGATGGACTGTGTTGATATCTCTATCACACAACCCAGAAGGCTATTGGCCCGGGAGAACAATGATCACAGCTCATCGAGCCTACGCAGTCATGGCACCATTCACAATCCTCATCTTCAATGCTGTCAACCCCCATATCAGTCTCGGTCCTATCAAGATGGCAAACTCCACACGAGCTCCCTACGTCCCCTCGATTCCTGAAATCCCCTACCTCGATCCAACGGTCTACATCTATGCTCGTCTTATGATCGTCAATTATCCTAAGAAATCTATCATGGACGATTCCCCGATCTTGGCACGGAACTCTACACCTATGCTGTTGCGTGGGCCCGACAACCTGAATGATTCCCATCCACAAGCGCTCCCTTCCGCGCTGATGGCATTCGGGACACTTCGAAATCAACATGAGTGGATGGCAATGTCCGATGCATTCTGTAAAGCTCGGACAGTAAGAATTAGAAGCAACTATGGACTTCAGTCGGTTGAAGGAATAGTTAGTGGGTCTACATGGTGGGAGGATGGGATACTGCACACACCACGTCTAGACTGAATCCAAAGGGTTCTGGATGGGAATTCAGCAGAAGCTCGAACCAATTCGGGAGTAGAGAAAGCTTGGCAGATCTATCACAAGACCTGCTATAGTAACTTGTCTCAGCGTTCGTTCGTCGATGAAGAAAATGGGAAGGGGAACCAGAAAAGCGGAAAGATTACCTGGACGGATGATCTTGGCTCGACCTTCAAACACATGAACCTTAAGCTCCGAGATGACAACATGGGTAAGAAAGGGAAGAAAATGAGCCTGCAGGCAGAGTACGGGCCAAAGCCTTTTGCTTGTTTTCAATGTGCATCTACGACCAGATACAGAGCAGCCAGCGTTGCGACTCTGAAAGCACACTTCAAGACGAAGCATGAAGCGTTTGTGCGGAAAGATGTTGAGCCGAGCATGGATCCAGCCTACAAGAAGCCTCTCGTGGAAGACGTCCTTGGTGAGGGCGATGAGGATGCTATTCTCGAGGAGGAAGCGGTCTTGAACGAGGGTGAGGACATTGTACCGGAGGCATTCGAGGAGGAAAATGAGAAAGCAGAGGAGTCGGCGGAGGAGATTAAGGAGGACAAGAAGCGAGATAAGGAAAAATTGGTAGAGGTACCTAGGACTAAGAAGAGAAAAATCACGGATTTCTTCGGGGCACCAAATTCCTAGGTAGAGTCGTTCATGTACTTGGCATCTCTCGAGGTAACAATATTCAGTAACCTACTATTTTGAGGAACATAGTAGAAGTAGAAATTCTTTCCATGCATTGGATTTCGTTATATGATAAGTGATCTTGGACCTTGTAGCCTTGACACGTTAAGACAACCATCTACGGGTGAAATCAGTAAGTGCCTGCAGTCGATGGTGGTCACAACTCAGTGTAACAGGATTTCTGATTAGCAAAATACACTCAGCACTCTTTTATTCAATACAATTCATAATACAGATGAATATTCTGTCTCAAATTTCTGTTTTGATGTTCCTCTTTTAAAGGCCTAGACAAGAGTGAACACGCTTCAAGTAGATACCGAGGTAGGCCGATTGGAGCATTTACCGAGTCTTAACCGAAAGACGCTTTTTTTTACCATGAAATTGGGTAGACTGCACTTGTGTTTAGGTTTTGTGTCTTATCACAACGTTTGTTCTCCCCATATCTCCGTGCTGCTATAACTTGATATGAACCCCGCTTCAAATCTTCTTTTGAAACGCTGCAATAAGCCCACTCCGCCATCTTTACCCTCTTCTTCATAAAGAAAATGTCTACCTTTTCGCCACAGTACCATCGTTCCAGATTCGACAACGTGGAAGACGTTGAAAGCTATGTTCCTGGAGGCTTCTATCCAGTTCGCCTCGGAGACATCTTTCACGATCGATACAAGATTATCCACAAACTAGGCTTCGGTGGCTTCTCCACAGTATGGCTAGCTTTAGATCAACGAGAGCATCGACATGTAGCCCTGAAAATTGTTCGAGCCGACGCATCTTCAAACTGTTCAGAGCTTGCAATCCTTCAAAGACTTCAAGCTATTCCGACTCCACATCCAGGAAGGCAACACGTTGCATCATTGTTCGATCATTTCACCATCGATGGACCAAATAGGACACATAGGTGTCTCGTATCTGACGTGGCAGGGCCAAGTGTGACTACGCTGAATGACTTTCCTGGAAAAGGAGCGGGTAGTCAGAGATTGAGAGCAGATTTAACGGCAAAGCTTGCGAAACAAGCCGCAGAAGCGCTGGATTTTGTCCACTCACAACAGTTGTGCCATGGCGGCGAGTTACTCCTGTATAAGACAGAGTGAAAAGTATCGCTAATGACGTTATCTAAATATTAATGCTTCAAATCTGCTTTTTAAGCTTACTTCCACCAACGAGTGGTCTGAAGACGAAATCTACCAGCGTTTTGGTGTCCCTCAGAAGGATCCCATCCTCACCATTACCGGCTCCGAACCTGGACAGTCCGCTCCGAGATATCTGGTCGAGTCGGCTGGCCTCATTGACCCACAGTTTCTGACTGAAGATATACTACTGCTAGATTTCGGCCAAAGCTTTCCATCTGATACCCCACCGCCAGCGGAAGAGGTCGGCATACCATTTTCATACTGCGCACCAGAGGTCATCTTCGACTCAAAAGTGAACAAATACTCAGAGATATGGGCATTAGGATGCATCATTTTTGAACTCAGAGCTGGCCAGCAACTATTTGCCAGTTGGTCCGGAGGCCAAGACGAGATTCTGCGTCAGATGATCCAGACATTTGGGAGATTGCCCGATCCATGGTGGGCTGCTTGGTACAAGCGTGCGGACTTCTTCGACGATGATGGCAAGCCCAATAAAGACTGGAGTGGTGGCATTCAGAAAGCTGTTGAGTGTCCGATAGACGACCTCATAGCTGATATTGGCTTGGAGGACGATGAAAATGACATCCCGAGGGAAGCTGAGGCGATGTTAGAAGCTAGCTTCAAGAAGGTCCCTGAAGAGGAAGCGGTACAACTGAAAGATCTTTTGGAGAGTATTTTCAAGTGGGTGCCAGGAGATCGGGCCTCCCTAGGTGAGATTTTGAATCATCCCTGGTTCACGACCATTTACGAGACTTGGTAGTGCGATCAAGATTGCGCAAGAACCTAGGCTCTCCTTAACATGAGGAGCAAGCCTCCCAAGAATAATGTTTTCAAAAACGAGTATGGTTTTTGGAGACATTGACGCCTGTGATTGGCTGCGCTCTGCGCCGATGAGTTCGGATATGGTGGCTTGAGACAATACGCCACCACGCCCAAAGTAGCGATTGCCAGTGCAATCTCAAAACCATAAAGCTTTTTGTTCCAAGTTCAAGCTCGAACATCTGACTCTCCACCTCCCATCTTTAGAAGTGATCACAACTACATAGCCTCCAGGAATCTCTAAGTGTTAGGCAGACTTTCATTTTGGCTGAAAGTTTGATGATATACGCAACAGACTGCGCCGCTACGAAATTGAAAGCTGAAAGATGCAAGGGGTCGGAGGTGTCTCAGCTTGCCGACTACCTCGATGTTACTGGTCGATGTCACTCTCGTGATACCTAGGCTTGCTATGAGGTTTCATTACAGCCGCCCTTATCTGTAAATATACCTTCGACGCGCGAACGATGTTGACGTCCGAACTTGCACTCTCTGAACCAGACGAAATAAGCACCACGCGAACACTTCGTCTACGCAAGCTTTAAGAAGTTGAAAAGAACAATCGAAAACATCAAAAACACACCTTGCGACGAAGAGGAGGGGCACGGCACGTTGCCTCAAATGAGGTCAACCCTGGTCATATGTTGGCTATGGCTCACAAGCTTCACTCTTGCATTTGACGCTTCAAATACGTCCAACACATGTACGCCTCCAGGACCCCTTCTCACAACCCAAACACCCAACTTTGCAGCATGTCTCATCAAAATCGATAACTTCACAGTCCAAGAACGAGCAGACAGTGGCTGTTTTGGCGATCCAAACACAGGCGTCCTCACCTATTCTGGTTGTACTGCTATCTGTGGATCCGACTACGCTCTTTGGGAATGGAAAGATACAGTTGATCGTTTATCGCTCTTAGTTCTTCCAACAATTGTATTGATTGCGCATCTGGCTTTCCCTCCTCTGGGATGGTGGAATTATTTTGTTGTCATGTTCCACGCTCTTGGAAATCCTATCGGAATTTTGAGGAGCTTGATGACTCGTCTGGAAAGACATCGTCGGTTGAGACGTGCTTCTGCGGACGTCTTTTCGGGCGATAATCTTGGAATGAGAGCTACTGCGACGGTCTTCGCTACTTACGAGGAACTCAGTTGGCAGGATCTATCGGGGCATTTCTCCGATATTCTGATCGGGAAGAGACTTGATCCAGATGAGCGAGCTCTTTTGATGAGAGCAAGTCACAGATTATCTTCAACCCGTCTTGCCTCGACATCATCGGCCGCAGTAGCGATTGCCGCCCTGGTTGCTACTTTGGCTTCTGCTATTGTCCAGACTATCAAGCAATTTGACGAGGTCAATACGAGAGTGTACAACGAGACAGCCGGTACCATCGCCGTCATGTGCATCATGTTCATGTCGATCCCGCAAGTCTGGTTTAGTGCTAGACTTGGCACTTTCACTACAGATTCAGGAGCATCGCATATCCTAGAGACGATGAATGAACGCATGAAAGAAGTCATCAACAAAAAGGAGCTCACAAATCCACTTTTCCCTCCACTGCAACTTGCTGTTTGTCCTTTGCAACCTCGGGATCGCCGACCTGTTCTTCTCCTCTGGCTTTTCGAACGACTTCCTTCTCGAGTCTCAGCATATTTCGACAGCTTCTTCTCCCACTGTCCTCTTGAACCAATAGCGCCCGCTTACGACTCGGAGGATGCAAGATTTATCAGGGATCAAGTCGATTATTCGAGTTATATCAGTCTCAACAGCGCATGGAGGCCCTGCAAACATTTAGCTCCCGACCTTCATGGCCGTTCCCACACTCAACTTACCGTTATCAGCCTCCTCAGTGTCGTCTTCGGCGCTTGTCTCCCCGCAGTCTTCCTGTCTTTGACAAACCGCTCGGATCAACGCCCACTGGCAGTCGGGTGCCGCTCTCTATCTTGGATGACTATTCTGGGAATTTGGCTCTCGAGTTTTGTTCTTGATAGCATTTTCCGCTTTTTTGTCTGCCGGTTCTCGTATCGTCGAGATCCGGTGCAAAAGGTGCGATTGTTGTGGCAATGGACGATTGCCAAGGATGCTTTTATTGCCTGTACTGTTCTCGTCGTTATCTTATTGGTGGAACTGGGGAGGTATAATTCGTGTTGGTGTCGAGCGTCGTTTTCTAAACCTTTTCAGGTGGAATTATTTCAGTTCACGGCGGAACAGTGGAGCGATGCACAGATCTTCTGGACATCATTGCCCGGTGCTGGGTTGTTCATTAATCTGACGTTGATATTGGCATTTGAGTTGCGGTGGAAAGAATGGTGGGGATTTATTCCGTGGTTCAGATTGGAAGGTGGGAGTCCATTGTGCAAGACAGGTAGAGAGATGCAGGCTGAACTGGATGAATTGAAGGTATTGGAGAGAAAAGACCATGAGCATATTGAGAGAGTTGAAAATACTGTTCCAGAGCCGTATGATCCGGGTTACAAGCCGGATGGGGCCGTGGGAGTGCAAGAGTATGGAGAAATAAGTAATGGTCAAGCACAAGAGTTTTGGCGTGCACAGTATTAGTTATGTACGTACTGGTATTTTTCGACAAGCCTTTGCGCCTAGGTCCAAGGAGAGTTCGTGTATAAGGGTATGATCTAGTCAATCAATAAATATACCTCAAAGCTTGGAATATATATTTTGTTGACAGGTACGTAAATTAGCGCACAATCTTCAGTGAGTAAATTCCTAGAGCCTCGTTCCACGAAGTTCAAAATCGCCGTATTTCTCCATGATGCCAAGAGATCCAGGAGAGAGCTACACCAATCGATACTAGAAGAGGAATTGCCTCAAAGCCACATCAGCCAACCCAATCAACAGATGACTATGACAAAACACAGCCTCCAACTGTGCCGCCAGAAAAAGAAAGTCTCCTAAGCTTCCTTATCTACTTCTCGCTGCCCTGATTAATTCTCTCTTTTTAGTCTTCCTTTCGTTCCCCGCCTACACCATGATCCACTTTAGAAGTGTAACAATTACCATACTTCTTCCTCTTCTTCTCGTTATCGATCTGCTTCCCAAAGCAGCCGCTGATGGCACGATTTCCCTCGCCAATCAACCAGCCTACTCTTCAGTGCGGCCTTGTGTTCAATATTGCATGTTGGGCTACTATGGGGTAATCGGTATACAAGGTTTTCTGGGCTGCAACAACCTCGACTCTTGCTTCTGCCGCGCAGATCTCGAGAGTTCGGCGTCCTCATACATTACGACGTGTGTCTATTCACAGTGCAGTACAAATCCCATTGATTTATCGTCTGCGGTGTCGCTCTATAACGGATATTGTGGGGTAAACGGGTCGACATTGGATAATAATTACCCAACAACGAGTGTTACGAAGACTCTGGGACCGGGGACAACTACGTTAGCAGCTGTTCCTGGGAGTACGCCGACTGTGCTTATAGTCAGTACTGTGACTTCAACGTCGACATCGGGATCGGCAACAAGCATGAGTGAGTGGCCACTCGGAATTATGGTCATTCTAGTCCTTGCAGCGATGAGCATATAGAGCGGAGTGCTGACGCGAATGTAAGCACTTCTTACCACAATCCAACCTGTTACACTTCACTCGACGCTGACTTTGCCGGCACCAGGATCGCAAACCTTGGGAGAGAGTGGCGGAAGCAGTGGGGGTGCGGGTGCGGGTGGGTTGAACTTGGGAGACAAGTTAACAATTATATTTAGTGTTTTGGGGATCTTGATTGCGTTTCTGACACTGTTTGTGGGAAGAAAATGGTGGAAAAGTCTTCATGATTGACAGTGCATTCTGAGATCTCCCGCCCCAATTTCTTTCAATCAGGGATTACACTTTACAGATTCTGACTAGGGAAATGAAATTTGAAGGACTAGACCCAGAGCACGACGAAGTCCAGTTCCAGTGTGGTGAATTCTCATGTGCAGTTACTTCCGTCTCATTATATTCATGAGTTTTCTTCATCGCTAGATAAGCAATTTCTGTGTAAGTCTCTTCAGTACTTTCCTGTTCGCCTCCGGATACCTCGCCAGCATCTCAAAGCGCTTCGCTTCCTCAATCCACTCATTATCTCCAGACAAGCTTTCGGTATAAATCTCCCGATCTGTGTTATAGACTGTAATCTCGTCTTCAACGATTGAACTTTCTTCTTTCGTTATGAACTGTATCCAATGTCTTTGGATGTCTTTCTTCAAAGCAATGTTGGGTCTCTTCTTGCGTGTCGTCGGCTGAGTAGCTGGTTCTGGAGCAGTATTCGGAGATATACTATCGTCGATCCTGTTGAGTGATGCGCTTGAAGATGAGGAAGATAAAGGTGGCGTTAATTGATCTGCAGTAGCGTGTTCGATATGGTCGATTTTGACGAGATCATCGTGGAAGGCATCGAATAGGTAGATGAGTTCGACGCAGTGATGTGAAACATCATGGCTTGGGCCAAGAAACGGATTACCGAATTTTACTTTGTAGGACTGGACTTGCGTTGGATGATAGAATCTTGGCTCTTCAATGTCGCCTGTAGTCTCTGACTTTTCCTGCTTGGTAGTGAAGAAATTCCGTGCTTTGAAGAGGGGTAAGCCAAACATAACATCTCCCACAAAACGGAAGAGTTGACGGTGTACAGTATCGAGTGGTGTTTTGCAGCTTATTCCATACGCATTCAGTATGTCCTCGGCGGCAGACGGCGTTGGGAACTCTGCTTTGAATAGTGCCTGAGCTTGCTCAAAGTTGTTGATTTTATAGATTTGGCTGGCAAATATGCTTGCCTAGATTTACGATTGTCAGCACAAGACGCTGAAGGCACATTCCAACAGCCTACCTCTACATCTGTGTCCCCAATAAGTATCTCAATGGCTTCTCCTGAGGTCTTGCTGATATCGTATGCTCCACGACCACCATCAAGGTCGATGAATACTTCACACTCTCCATCGGTAGCAGTAAATGAAGCACCATCGATGATAACCTGAAATGCCATCCATCCAAGTTCTTTTTGAGCTCTCAGAAGCTCCTCTGGCGGAAGTGTCCGAAGCTTTTCAAGCCTAGAGACCCGATCATCTTTCTCAAAGCCCAAGTGCTGACACAGGGTGTCCCAGTTTTCGTTTGCATGGCTAAGCGGAGAAGGTCCAAGGCAGCCCAGAGAGCCTGACTGAAAGATAGATCTCCTGAATAGTGGTGCCTCCGGATGTTGCTTGGCAGAAAGCGTGTGGGTATGAGTCGATGCTGCTCCTGCAGACTGTCCACTTAGTGTGATTTTCGTGGAGTCTCCACCAAAATAACCGATATTCTTGGAAATCCATTGAATACCAATTTGTTGATCACGGAGACCAAAATTGCAACCTTTTCTTGCTCCTCCAGTTTGATCATCGAGCAACTCAGAGGAAGCAGCAAATCCAAACAAATTGAGTCTGTAGTTCAAGTTCACAGCAATGAAAGGAGTTCCCAGTGCAAGAGACTCTAGTATAAGTCTGCTTGGATCTAGACAAAGTTAATATTATATCACTATCAAAAAGTCAAGCGTGGGATCTCACCCCACATAGGATCTGTCCCAGCCCCAAATCCAAAGGCACCTCCATGGATCCAGATGAGAACGGGAAGGTTTTCGTTCTCCTTTCCAAATCTGGACAATGCCTCCTTACTCGGTCGAATGATGAAAAGATTGAGACACTCGAATTCGGATTCAGTGACATCGCTCGGAAAGTCCACGTGAGATTGAAATGTCTCAGAATTGTTTGGTTCTGGAGATTGGGGACATTTGGGGCTCAAGAGAAATCAGTCTTGTCTCCCCCGTGTTACAAAAATAAAGAGTGGATATATTCACCCATTCCGAGTTGCATCATATTTATCTGATGGCAACGAGACACGGAGTTCTGAATGCCTCCATCTTCCAGGCACGAATCCAAATGGAATTCCACGAAACTCTTCAAGATCAGATGTCAATGGCGACTTCTTACCAACGACCAATTGGTCATAGCTTGGGGCTGTCTGAGTAGGTAGGGTAATTTCAACATCGAAGGTAGCCATTTTGGAAATTAGAAGTGAAGAATGAGTTGAAGAAACAAACGTTGAAAGAACAGTGGGATATACATGATATGATTCAGTTGTCCATTCTCGTCGGAAAGAGTTCACCGCCGTACGGCAAATATTTGGTGTGTCGTACGGCTAATTAACTGTAACAGAAACGAACTATTGATAGGCGCATGTCAGATGCAATGCAAATACGGAAGTCTGTAACGTCGCTGCGAGTCTCGAAGATGGGGTCGTTGTTCCGGATGATCGCTTCGGTACTTAGACCGTCCATTCGGCTAATTTCTCGTCCACCAAAGTCGGCAAATTGCCAAACCCCTGGTTATTTTCCTGCTTAGCACGCATTAGCGAATTCCCCTCTCACCCCAGCTTCTCCATTGATTGACTCCCCCGGATTCTGATATTTGTCTTTCAATCATATTCAGACAAGTCTCTGGCGTTCTCATCCAGTGTCCAGAGCGCCGGGAAGTGGACGTGTTATCGTGTTCGTGCAAACATGGAGAGCTAGTCGTCTCGTGGGGAACTGGAGCAGGGCTGGCTGCAATCTATATATCTCTATGTTCCCAGACAGATGATCTTCACTTTTCCAGGCTCTGTTTATCATCACATTCAAGAAAGATTGTCGTTTTGAATCCGGCATCATGGCTTCTGTCATTTCATACCTCAAGTCCGAATGGAGGGCGATCTTGATTTGTTGCTTCATTTGTATTGGAGCCTTTCAATTTGGCTACGATAGCTCATACTTCTCTGGTATGAATTGCATTCTCTACTCAACTTTTTTTTTTCTTGGCTGACCTCTACTTAGGCATTCTGGCGATGCCCGAGTTCTTGATGGACTACGGTTCCAAGGACCCCGCCACAGGCGAATACATGCTGTCTGCAGGAAAGCAATCCCTCGTTACTAGCATTATCAATGCCGGCGAATTCGTTGGTGCCGTCTCATCATACTATATTGGAAGTAAGATCGGTCGAAAAGGTGGACTTTACGTCTCGAGTGTCTGCGTGGTTGCAGGCGTCATTTTCCAAGTGTCTGCACCTCACGAAGGGCTTCTCATTGCTGGTCGACTTGTTCTTGGTATGTTGTTTTTGGGAGTATTGGAACTCACAAATATCTAACAACATCATCAGGGTTTGCTGTTGGCCTCATTTCATGCTTTATTCCACTCTACGTCGCAGATTGTGCACCAGCCCGAGTTCGAGGAGCATTAGTCTCTATGTATCAATACGTTATCGGTCTTGGATTGATTCTTGGTGTCATCATTGACAACTCTACCAAAGATCACACCAACACGGGAGCATATAGAATACCAATGGCTGTGCAATTGATCTTCCCAATGATCCTCGTTTCCGGTCTGCTATTGTTTGCACCTGAATCACCCCGAGTGAGTGTCCTTTCTTCACAGGGTATATTCAACGTCTAACAACTCTTAGTGGCTCATTGAGAAGAACCGACCAACGAAAGCTGAACAATCACTTCGAAGACTCCATGGTAATGATGCCGAGAAGATCCAGCAGGAGATGGAGATGATACATCAGACAATCGAAACTTACAATGATGGTCGAGAGTCGTCCTGGAAAGATGTTTTCACATGGGGTCCAGAGGGACGCAAGGCATATCTTGGCTTCGCTCTTCAAGGTATGACTCAGATCCTTGCCGACGTCTCAGCAACTAATTACTGCTTTCTAGCTTTCCAGCAAGCCTCGGGTATCAACTTCATCACCGGTTACGGAATTGTTTTCTTCATCCAAATTGGCATTGATAATCCTTTCATCATTCAACTCGGTCTGTACCTCGTCGCCATGCCTGCTATCTGGATCTCACAATACTCCATCGAACGCTTCGGAAGACGCCCAATCATATTGATCTCTGGAGGACTCATGGCTGCAACATCTATCATCATGGGAGCGTGCGGACTCACAAAGGAGAAATCGTACGCTCTGGATCAGGCAATCGTCGCTATGGTATACATCTTCTTGGTTGTCTTCAACCTAGGCTGGGGACCAACTGTTTGGGTGTTGACCTCCGAGATATCGACTGGCAAGAACCGAGGCAAGCTGATGTCGTTCTCCACTGGCACAAATTGGCTCTTCACCTGGCTTGTGAGCTTCACATTCCCATATCTGTTCAATGCAGATGCAGCGGATTTGGGTGCCAAAGTCGGCTTCATCTATGGATCCCTTATGGTTGCCGCCTGTGTCTGGACATACTTTCTATTGCCTGAGACTGCTGGACGCTCGCTTGAGGAACTTCACCTTATGTTCGAGATGGGACTACCAGCAAGAAGGTTCAAGTGTAATCATTCTCCCGTGATCTTTTGTTGTAATTTTGCTAACGAACCGCAGCCTATGTTTTCCCAGAGATACCAATGGACATGGCAAAGAAGGATTTGACCGTGGTTCAAGTTGAGGGAAATTCTAAGTTCGAGAATGTTTGAGGATGGGCCCACTGTTGATTTCAGAACTGCAGTCGATAATTTACCAATTGAATTTATGCTTAATGCAAGCAGAATGACTATAAATACAAAAGTTCGAGACTTTTGGCGCAACAGTAGTAACAATGGCGAGTGACCACGTGATACGCCCCCATACTCAAAACACTCTTCGAGGTGAAAATGTTCAGCTCAAGTTGAAAACTTACGCCGAGTCAGAAAACTATCATGTTTAAGCCTCAACATTAAACCTTGCAGCAATTGCCCTTGATTTGGCTGGTAATCTCAAGTCGGGGGGTTTTCCGATGCCCAAAACGGCCTAGGTCGTCACTACCCCGGATCATCGGCAGCTTAGTCAAACTGTACCTCACCTCTTATGCAGCTCTTCACACAGCTTCAACATGATCGATCAACCTTGATTTTGAAAAGTGGTGATGGTACAGACGGATGATACAGGCACCAAGAAGAGGAACTTGGCCGCCCGCGATCAGTGCCATGCCTTGAAGCTGCGATGCGTCTTCTTGACACATGAATGTGATCGATGTAGGAGTATGAATATTCTTACTTAGGCGTCTGCTGGTTAAGAAGGCTAATGTGCGTAGGGTTGAAGATTCGATGCACTTCTCGAAGGGAAAAGCATAAACGTGGCAGAAAGCGGAAGGAGAAGGTTCAATCACCTGAGGTGGAGCAGGTATTAAATGCCCAAGTATTCGTGGGAGACTGGCGGTACTGATCTTGATATAGGGAACTCCATCGTCATCGGAGACGATCTATTACCCGGTTCTGAACTGTCTGTCATCATTTGGTATCCATTGGAAAGAGTTCGAAAATTCACAGTAAGCCTCCGAATTGCGATCAGATTCTCACATTGCAAGTTATGCACTGAATCGAAAACTAAAGGTGTAAGTAGCATCGACCATATATGCTCTCCAATCGAGGCGTCTCGTCTGTTAGAGCACTTCTTCAGCTCTCCGAATCAAGAATTCCACGCCAGGATCCTACGAAGGCGGAATGTACTCGACCTCCAATCACCAAGGATAACAAATCCTGCTCTTTTATTTTCAATACTGTGTAAGTCTCTTAGACTCAATAATGACTCCTACTAATCGTCATAGGTGTGGCTTGCTACATGCCGAAAGAAGACAATAGCTCGATTCTCCATGAAGTCGGCAGTAGTCGGCTTGTCACCATTCGACGAGCTTTCTTATCGCAGACGCTTAAGCTGCTTCAGCCAGTGATGATTGGTGAAATTGTTCCATCTTTCGACGATGCGATCACGTTCTTCACACTGGCTGCTATTGGAGCGAGCGAAAATGATACTCACATCAAACTGCCCCACTGGTTGAACTTCATGAAGTATGCGCTAAAAAAGCTCAATTTATATGCTGAAGTAGAACATCTTGACGAAGAAACGAAAGAAGAGAGGAGAAGGTAGGCTTGTATTGCTGTGAGTCACAAGTCTATATTGATGAATCTTTTAGACTTTGGTGGTCTGGCTACACGATTGATCGACACGTAGCACTTTCGTTCAATCTACGTCCTCAGACGACAGACCTTGAATGTCAGATGCTGCAAAGGCCCTGTCGTGATGATGTCTGGGAATCGGACATATTGCTGTCAGAATATTATCAGACTGGAAGGTCGAATGTCCTAAAAGGTATCGTCTATAGTGTGCAAAACCTTGACGTCTTTGGCGTCCTACTGCCTCTATCAAGGTAAGTGATATCACTAGATTCTAACAAAGACGAAGGCTGACTGTTTCAAGTATGGTCGGAGACATCCTTGAGTATCATTTTCTCCGCCAACATGCAACCTTCGGATCTCATCGCTCATTCATGACGGATATCCGAAATAACATCGAACAGAATCTTCGCCTCTGGGATAAGAGTCTTCAAGATCATTTGGCAAGAATACAAAATCCGGTAAACCCGACGGACAATGATGATGCCGACACAAGACCTCTGAGACCATTTAATTACGATGCGGAAATGCCAGCCTCGACCTCCTCCAAGGTAGTGCTTTATGGCAGACACATCTGGCACTGTCTGCACGTGCTCCTCTTTGGAACAATGGACTTTGTAGAGATGTACCGGGACTTGTCATGGCAGGCTTCAACAGACTTTGTGCAAGCAGGGGAACATGCGATCTCATGCGCCAAAGTAAGTTCAGTATTCCAATCTCTTCTTCGCGATCGCTTATTTTAGTCAGCTCGCAGGCTCAATCCTCACCCTCGATCCCCGCCTTCACTACATTTACCGTTTCTTCGGAACCTACCTCTTACAATCATCCTTCATATTCCTCATTCTTGCCCAAAAACTCGGCCAAGCAGCAGATAACCTCATCCTCGAGAACTGTACCATCAACCTCCGCGTACTTGATACATTTGTCCAAGTCGTTAATGTTGAGTACCAACGTACTTTTGCGAGGGTGTTGAGACAGACATTGTCGAAAAGGTTTGATGAAGAAGGTGGTGGTGGGGATGGTGGACTGGACCCCGCGTTACTGCAGTATAGGTGGGTTGCTGGTTATAATGGGTTATGGAATGGCGATATGGCGCTGGGGGCTGCAGGGAACACGGAGGATGCTTGATATAGATTCGATAACACTGCGATTTGTAACGGTGTTATCTTTCTCGGCATAGATTGCCAGTGGAACATCATGTACAGTTATTGAGATTGCCGGAGGAGATGAGGATTGATCTTAGAGATAGATACTTAGATAATCCTTTGGCTTCGAAGAGGCCGGGAAAGTAGGGGTTCCTCACGTGACTCGAGTGCCAGAAGTTGCACTAATTTGGATCTCGACGCTATTTGACTCCAGCCAGGTGAAATAAAACCAATTATACAAGCCTGCATTAAAGATACAACAGAAGCCAGCCCAAAATACCAAGATTTAGGCGCCTAGATATCTGATAGCTGCTGTCAGGTGACTGGCTAGATCCAGCTTAGTAATATTGACCAGGTACTCTGGGACTATCTTTAATGATAGGGTACTTACCTGGCTCCCTCATCAACAAAGTTCTTGTCGCAACCGCAACCATGGAGTCGAACTTAGCCCAAGAACTGGCAAGATTCTTCCCGCCGCTAGCTACGCTCGAATCTGGTCTCGATGCGCTATATGACCAGTTGAAACAACTGGACGCTGAGGGGGATATGATCTATGCGAGTTTTTCATAAAGCAAATGCAAACAAAGATCGTGGAAAATTCCGTGCTGGGAAAAGAACAGGTGCACCATCGTCGGGAAATGGATTCGTTAGAGGTCGTGCACTTCGAAGCAAAATGTGCCTTGAAGATATTCATCGAAGATCGACGAGACGCGCTGCGGGCGAGTATCAATATCGCATCTCGGCCATTCCTCCGTCCGTTGAATATCCTAGATATACCGAATGAGGTACTCGTCAGGATATTCGAATATGTTAAAGGTGCTCGCATCATTAGGTTTGGTAGGTCCGAAATAAATTCAAAAGAAATCAACAATGTACGACTCACGTGCTGGAGGTTCTGTGATATGAGCTCGCATTTGCTCATGCGATTTCTTCGCGTGGAGATGAATGATTGTTCGCTTGTACATCTCGACGAAGTAGCTCATCACCCTACTATTAGTAAAGGAATCCGAAATGTTCGGGTTATTATTCATTTCTACGATTCAATCATGGCCAATGATTTGTCGATTTTCGGAACCTATTATTTGGACGAATTACGCACGATAACGGAATTGGCGAAGCGGGAGGCTCCTCATAGAGTATTCGACGGATCTGAAGATACTGAAAGTTCTGAAGGTACTGAATATACTAAAGGTACTGAGGATACTGAAGATGCTATCTTGGAAGCAGTCCAGCAAATGACCATTATGTTGAATGCGTGGGATAGCCTGCTCAACGGGATCCCTGATAATGACATCTCCGAGCAAGATCTCCATTTCCGTAGCTTGCTTCGAAGAGCTCACAAGGAGTACACCGAACGTTTCATTGCCCAGCAAAGACTGCGAGAAGACGGTACATTTGTCAAGGCTATTTCTACTGCAATAAGTATAATGCCACTATCGAATGAGATCGAAACCCGAGATTTCAACCTTGAAAAAAGCCCATCTGTCTGTCAACAAGCGAAGACTGAAGCAGCACTGTTTCAAGTACTTCTACTTCCACACTCATGGGAAATGGCAAGATACAACAATCTAGGTTCACCACCCACAGAACTACTCGTCCAATTACCAATTGCCATTCACAAAGCCGGGACCCTACTCACTAACAACCTCCTCAACGTATCACCTCCAGCGGAACTGTTCGTCATTCATCCAATAAATCAGGATTTCTTCGATCTCACAGCAGCTGTAAAATATCTTAAGAATTTTGCTTTCCTACTTGATTGCCAGTCCTACTCGGATCACTGGGGTCCACTTTCAGCTAAGGATTTCAAACTTCTGGGCCAAGTCCTAGCTGCTTTCACAAATACCACAACATTGGAAGATTCAAAATTGTCGCTCAATGGTCTCTGGGATGACGAACGTCCACCAGCTGCCAGCCTCGGCTCTATCATCAACGTCCGGTCGTACCCCAACCTACGCCACGTGGACTGGAGCGGCCTGTCTATCCACCTCTCTGAGCTTGAACACGGCATTCAACTCTTGCGTGAAAGATCTCCAATCTCAGCATTAACCACACGCACCTGCGGTCAGGGACCTGGGCTGAGGCCCTAGACATCATGAAAAGTTTTCATGATTCTGTTAACGAGTTATTCCGGCTAGAGCTCAAGTTCCCGTCAGGAGCCGAGTGTGACAATCTGAGCGATGAAGAAGAAGACAAGATTTTTATGAGAAATGCGAATCATGAGATGAGTTTGGCGGAGCAGTATATTATGGGAATAACTAATTGGAATCCGCTGAGAGACGAGGAGGTTGAAGACGCGGGAACGGACCCCCTCAATCAAGATGGGCCATAACTTATTCATCTTATGATGTATTTTTTCCGTATTTCTCATTGTTCTATTTTACTAAGATTTGCTTTCCATGCTTGTACTGAAAGAATGAGAAGTATTCCAGTTTTGGCGGGAAACGAGTTTCGGGGCAAGGGATCTTTCTCAACACCATAAATTGACGAAATCAATTCAGTGCTTTTCATCTTGCCGCGAAACCCAAGTGTTCCCGTCGTCAGGAGACCGCTTCCATGTGGCACCGATTGGAAAAGCTGGCAAGCGCTTTCAAGCGTTTTATGAGGCGATCTTGTCTATCTCAGTCTGCGAGTGAGCTTCCTTTCAAGTACGGATACATCCGGATAGCAAAAAGTGAAAGTACGGGTGGTCGATACCTGGCTATCACGTGATCGTATCTTTCATATCGGCAGCAGCAAATACTCTTCGGCAAGTAGATATAGGGGTCACTATCTAGCGGCTATCTTGGGAAAAGGGGTAATTGTCTTAGCCGAGACACCAGTGCCGAACCCTCGCTATCGGCTTCATCAACGGATTTTACTACAAGAACATATCCATATTGTATTCGAGGGCGCGCAGGAATTCCTTTGCGGGATATATATCAATGTGTTCCCCCACTATTTCATCTTTTCAACAATCATCGAGATGGCTAGCACTTTGTTGTTCCTCCTGAGTTCGCTGCTGTCAATAGGCAGAGCTCTGCCAAATGTGACAGCGATACAAATTGACGCCGGTACCTGCCAAGCATTTCCAAATTCTTTCCACGGCGCCGGTGACAACGCAGACGCATTCGTTTTCCACCCTGACCAAGCCGATAATCTAGCCCTCAACGGCCTCACGACTGGCATTTATGGCACCAACCTCGTCGCATATCCCAATTCTGCTACCGATCCTCCGACCCCAACAATATTCTGCTGCGATAGAGGAGGTACAATTTTAGATGGCTTTGGAGTCCAGAGTCTGTTGCTGCCGACGAATAGGACGAATGACGAAGAGTTGGGATATCTGGAGAGTGGCAGCAAGCCAGAGACGTATACTTTGGAGGTGAATGGAACGGCGTTAGATGGTGTGTACCTGGGGAAGGGAAATGTTACGACGTGGGGGTTTAGGAAGGGAAGCGGAGATATGAAAGATCTTTGGTTGGTGAGGTTGTTGGCGCCGAGTCCGACGATGAGGAGGAGAGGTGAGGATGGAGGGGTGGTGTTGTATGATGGGGAGGTGAAGGGATTCTTGAAGGTTGTAGGATGGGTGGCGCCTTGAATTGGTTTTGGTGGGAATGCGAGGTTGAAGAGGGGATAGAAACATTGGAAGTTGAAAGATTGAAAAATAGACTACTGGAATTTTGCTTAGCCTTTCCTACTATCCGCGGATCCTGGACAAAAAGTTATAATGAATTGTGGTAGTCCTCACCATTTTACTTATGTAGAGAACGTATGAGTGACGAGGCGCATTGTAGCCAAGAATCATGTCACATTGTATCCATATCTTCTTTTTCCCTCGATAGACGTTCGTTCACCTGATGTGAGAGCGCACCAGAAATTCCAAGTAGGTGATGTTCACATACAACCCTATCAGCTGGGCAGTCAAGTGTGACCTGCGTACTAAACCATACGTGCGAAATGAGACACGTATTCCCAGAGATGACTATATAGCTAAGCAAACGTTAGCGGCATATACAAATAATTGCGCCTTCTAGATTACTCTGAGCCCTATCCAAGCGCTAAGCTGCAAAGAACTAGTGCACAAATACCGTAAGCTAGTCGCTTCTCCAACTCCTGTATACCTCAAAATCTTTTTTCCAAAAAGAGCCAGCAACCTCAACCTTAACCCGCGCAAACAAAACATCAACTTTCAGAAGTTTGACTTGGCATAAGTAGGTGCCGTCAACGATTTTGTTCTGTTGTCATTGAAGTTAACTGGTAATATACAGAAGCTCGCGCTCATCCACGAATCTTGCACCATTGCGTTCTCTGCACTTGCAACTTTCTTGACTTCGTGCTTCATAAGGTAAGACTCATAGCCAAACTTCTTCTCGCCTCTGCGCGCCGTCTAATTAAATGTTCTAGGTCCTTCAGTAACTCGAACTTGTTGCTGCTCCAGAAATCGGCCGTGACCAGCTTCAGCCAATCCCATTCAGAAACCTCGACACCTCATACCTCCAGCAACAATCACACCATGGAAACTATCAATGCACCCGAGAGTCCCGGCAGCGCAGTGACACTCATTGCGCCAACTTCGAGCTCGGATGCTACTTTCATTGGGATGACCATCGAACTTCGCTGCATGGTCTACAAGTTGTTACTCTCAAATCCGTTACTGAGTACTCCAGAACCTCTTGACCCAGGATCGCGGAGCCAAGAGGTAGAATATGGACTCTCTCCAGCACTTCTAGGGGTCAATCGTCAAATCAACGCAGAAGCCAGTGATTGGCTGTATGGGCAAAACAAATTCTACATGCTTTGTAAGACCCATAGGAAGAATACCACTGCGCCCAGCTACGAATGGAATCCGTACAATGGGATTTGCCTCTCTCCGTTGACTAGATGGCTCCAGGACACGAGAAGTATGATCCAAGCTACGGAGGACAACAAGAGCGCCATGAGAAAGGTTCGCTATTGGAGAGTAACCGCAGCTATGGAACTCGACTCAGGGTATGGAACAACTAGGAGCTGCCTTTGGGGTCTTCTTCGGTTCTGCTAGACTATCTGTCATGCGTCGCCAGAATCCATGGAAGTCTACGTCTTTAATCCTGCAAATTGTTACTCTTACTCTTACTATGAAACTCATAGGCAACTCTCATCTCTAAAGCTTCTCCGAAACATCTCTGACTTCAAGATCCGGCTTGCAACACAGAGTGATATGCCAAGCTCTTGGAGCTCCGCTTTCAAGCATTATCCGCATCCTCACACACCGTGGCCGAGAATGCAGAAATTTCCTTTTGGGCAAGTGCTTGAAATTAGCAACCTGGTAAAGAGCAATGAACCTGTTGAGCGTATCGGCGATCTCTACGATAATCTCCTCGCGTACGCCAGGACGTTCGAACAATTTCAGCCATATAAGAAGGCAATGGGACTAACCCAGCCTGATATCTGGCACGGTCGAGAACTTGTCTGGTACCCCCGCAATAGCCTCAGCACGGCGTTACGCCCGGTTCTATCTACCAAGAAGCTCGAGTGGTTGCAGTTCCTAGACCGGAATCTGCCTTTTCAGGACCGTAATTCTTTTCATGATGCCCATTTGCACCCAGTTGAAGCAGGTCTTCTGGCATGTAGACACGCCAGTGAATTTGACGATATGGCACTCTTCAAGACTAGGCGCGCGAGAGTTATCCAGTACCTGGAGAAGCACTATGAGCGCGTAGTCGGCGCATCGAGCGCCATCACGAAGTTCATGGAAGACCAACACGCTGGTGGAAGTCTCGGTGGGAGCGACAATGAAGACGAAAGATGCAAGGCAGGATTAGTCCTCCTCCGAGAGTATCAAGATGCTTTCATTCGAGACTTCCTTCCATGGATCAAGGAAAATATCGATAAATACACTGGATGGGATACCTTCTTCGAACAGTACCATTGCGAAACCAAAGACCTGTTGAGGCGTGCTCAAGAGATGATTAAGGGAAAGGCTTACTGCGAGTTTTTGCCCATCTTCAATCAAGTGGTGCAACTGCTTGATAAAGACTTCATTGAGATGCAAGAGGCGAGACAGAAGTTATTCGAGTGGGATGTGACGGATCGAAGATGCGATATTGACGTCGATTTGGGTCGCTTCGTTGAGGGGAGAAGTCGATGGTGATACGGAGATGGATGAGGCTTTTTAAGAAAATGTTCTGGGGTTTGGAAAGGTTTTTTGAGAGAAGAATTGGCAAATGAACATACAACAGACAGCGGAAGGGGACTCAATCTCGTCGAGGAACTCAATGTGAATCTTCTCGAAGCGGTCATTTGACCCTAGTGGTTGAGCCACTGTACAAATGAAAGAGCGGAAATAGAATATTCGTACTGCAACATGACCTTATACCTTGGATCCGGATAGTGATAAAGTGATATTTTGTTTGGAAGAAGCAGAGTTATACCCCTGAGCCTGCTCATGACCAGGAGACCAAAACCATCGTTTGTTCAAAAGTCCAATACAGCACTGAATATTTCGTGAGGCCGTGGAGTTGAACGTGAAAGTTACCTCCTTGAGGTCGACAGCAACAGGTCGAGACACTGCGTCACTGATTGCAGAGCTATTATTTTCTAGTGGAAATCTAAACCACCCCGACTTAGCTTCAAGAACGATTGTACCCATTTCTTTCGTCCGATTGAAATTCCACGTCAGAACATTTTGTAGTCAATATTCTAAAGCCCCTATTTCCACACGTCCCTAACCTCGGCTACATCCGAGCCCTCAACCCTGCCCTGCTCAACCCCACCCTCTCTAATACCCACCTCAGTCTCCCTCCCTTCCTCAAAACACCACACTCATCCAAACCCCAATCATCTCCTCTATTCACCCACAGGAACTAAATGCACCTTCTCCGCCCCTCTCTTCTGCTTAAACCAAACCACCACCTACCCGCCCCCATCCTCTTCCGCAAAATGTCCACCCCCACCACCACCCCCAGCGCAAAAATAACCTCCCTCGACCACCTCGTCCTAACCGTGCACTCCATCCCCCTCGCCACAGCCTGGTACTCAAAACACCTCGGCATGCGCCACGAATCATTCGTCTCTTTCTCCACGCCCTCCATCACGCGGCACTCTTTGATTTTCGGGTCCCAGAAAATCAACCTTCACGAATCCGGCCACGTACGTCTCCCCTTCCCTCATGGCGAAGAACTAACAAAGATGGAAAAAAGGAATTCGAGCCCAAAGCATTGAATGTCAAGCCCGGTAGTGCAGATTTGTGTTTTTTGACGGATGATAGAGTGCAGGATGTGAGGAAAAGGTTGGTGGAGGCGGGGGTGGAGATGGTTGATTTGAAGGGGGAGGAGGATGGGGACGGGACGGTGATCAGAACGGGGGCGAGGGGGAGGTTGAGGAGTGTTTATTGTAGGGATGAGGATGGGAATTTGGTTGAGTGAGCTTTCAATTTTTTTTCGTTGATTTTTGGAAGGGGGAAGGGTGTGCTAATGTGAGGAGTAGGATTTCGAATTATGTTTAGGACGTGTATTTGAGGTACTTGTAAGTGGTGAGGTGGGGTGGGAGATTGATGTAGATGTCAAGAACCAGATATCTCACATTTGAGGCCCAAAGAGTTCGTAACTTTGACCGAACAATTTGTTCAGATTGTCGAGTAAAACGATCGACAATGTGAGGACGCCAAGTCACATCGAAATTTGAAATCATGTCATGATTTAAATGGTTTCAAATCCTCATAATACATAATTCATGACATCCCAGCTACATGATGGGTATAACCTGGTATCTTCTCCATGACTCAAATCCACATCGACATTCAAAAGGCCCAGACGCCTGGCTGTGCCTCCCCATTTCCAAAATCTTACAATGCACTACATCACCTCTTGTATATCCCCAAGCCTAATGCTTGATCCTTTTCATCTCGTAAATGCTTATCATCCTCAAACATCCTCGCTTTATCTTCGATGTGTGACACTTGCCCAAGTAGAAATTTCTCGGTCGTTTCACGCACATTGCCATTCATAGAAGGGGCTTTGGACGATGATGTGCTCGGCTCATCGTCCGGCCAGAGAATTTTCTGTGCTTCCTCTTCCGACATCGGTAACTCGTCATATGGAAGTGGTGAAACAGGTGAGAATACTGGCGATGCATCGTAGAGATCGTTCAAGTTCTCACGTGCAGTCGACGCCTGTGATGGAAACTTCGTTTTATCTACGGCCAGTGACTTGTGCTCCACTGCAGGAGGAATGGAGACTGATGGTCGACTAGGCCATGGATCCTCCCCTCTGACTGGTTGACGGATGGCTGTTGGATCCGCACATAGCTGTGACATTGTCCTCCTTCGTTCAGCTTTCATGACATTCTTCAGAAGTGATGCCTCATTACGCTTGTATGCTTGATAGAACGTCTTGTCGATCATCGCTGCGGCATTGAGATCATTCATATCCTCCAGATGTGAGAGAATGCGCAAGTTGATGTCTTCGTTTGACAGAGCCTCCGATCTCTTTGTCTCTTTCGAGTACTCGAGTGGTGCTTCTAGCTCAACCAAATCTCGAGCGAGGTCGTCGTATCTGTCCTCGGTGGGGCCAGCATGTTTCGATAGAGCCCAACCATTTCGACCAGCGACATCTCGCAAAGTCAATCCTTGCACACTATTGTATATATCGTTAATGTCGCTCCTGAAAGCAGCAGCATAATCACAAACACCACTATGAACCGAAGGAGCACTTGGCATCAATCTCAAGCAGTCGACGAGTTCTTTGAGACTACGTTTCGGAGCCGCGGGAAGATCTAGAAAGCCCACATCTTTCATGATCATAGGAAGAATTCGAAGCTCGTTATACACAAGCATGACCCATCCGAGATTAGTCGCATCACATAGGTGAGAGCTTCTTGGACATCGTGGCAAAGATGTGAGCTGTAAGGAGCCTACGCTAGAAGATCGGTCTGTGCTCTTCGCTGGACTTCGAAAGTATTCGCCCATGGCCTTGGTGCAACATTCTTGGACTTGAGCAAGTTTCGCTGCTCTTGTGGCAATAATCTTGTCTCGGACTGCCGGTGGCCAATGCTCTTTGCTCCGAATCTCCTCTTCGTCAACAGCGTTCAGGATTGCGCTTTTTGACATCCGTGTGAATATTCGTCGAAGTCCAAAGGCATAACTGATGATCAAGAAGCCGTCGATGTTGTCATCTCCGATGAGGTGTATCCACTCTGGTAACCATTGATACTCAACTTGCAGCTCAAGTGGTGATGTACAATGATACTTCAAGCAGACCTCTGCAATGCTCACAAAGACCGGGAAATCAACCTGTCTTGGTACTTTTGAGGTGTGCATATGTGCTGCATGAAGGAGTATTACTAGCGAGTCGTGCTTGTTCAGCTCGACTTGGGGCATTCGGTATACTTTAACCTCCATCCCGTCTTTGCATTTATATCTGGCTGGTTGCGCTGGTGGAAGTTGGTTCATCATATCCAAAGGAGTATTCTCCGGCTTTTGGGTTGACAGAAATTGGGCGAAAAGGGGCGATGCCGCAGCCAGTAGATGGGACGAAACCCGAAACCTCAGTATTGGATGTATCTCGGATCCCCCGTTTGCAAATTCCAATATCGTATCTCCATTTTTGGCAATTACATGCTCTCGGATGAGCATATTTGGTGCTTCTCCCTCTTGTGCCTCGCCAAACAGTTTTTCGACTGCTTTGAGATCTAACCGTAGCCTGTCGTAATTGAGGGACCGAATTTTATATTGCTCCCAGAATAGCAACTTTTCGCTCTTCATCCGATGAATGCTTTCGTCCCGCCACTTCAATATCAGCGTTTTCCGCAGATTCTTGTCGTTCAAAAAGGCTTCAATTTGTCGCTCGGTCGCCTCTGGTTCGTACAGTTTATATGTAGCAACCAAAGAAGCTCGAATATTCTCCAGCATCGATTCCTGAACGGCCTTGTATTCGTGTATCGCAGCTAGCCACTGATCATTGACTTGGAAAGGGAGCGCAGTCTCCGTGATTGAAGCACTATTCGACGATCGGGTATCTAGAGGACCGACATTGGATTCGAGTGATGTATTTCGGCCGTTATTCTCTGGAATTGGGACAATTGTCAGCCTACGATGTCCGTTGTCGCAAACCCACATTTCGTTAAGCTGCTGCCTTGGGAGCATCAAGGATTCCTTACGCGACTTCTGCAGCAGACTGGAACATAGCTGCAAGGACTCATCTCTGAATTTCTTGTAGACCTCCCATACCGCATCTACTTTTTTCGGATCTGGGCCGAATGGAGGCTTCCTCAGCTTCCGAATGTTCTCGCGAAGGTGTAGATATTCCGAGTCGTGCGTTGCCGCCACAAAGCTGTCGGGAGAGGGCAGACCACTGTGGGATCTAGATAAGTCGAGGTCTGGCAGAGAGAATAGAGGAGATGTCGGTATCTTGTCAGAGGATTGTGGCTGGAGGAAGCTGTCAGTACAATAGCATGGTTGATAAGGACATCTACCTACCTCGTAGATCTTGTCGGAAGAGCCATGGTCATCGCGCAGAGTCCCAACCGTCGAGGATCTCTTCTTGAAGAATTTGAATCCGCTTCCACTCTTTGGACTGGCAGTCGAGTTCGAGAGAGAACTCGAGTGTGAAGGTTGGCGCAGCATGGACGACATTTCGAGATCAAAGGTCGTCTTCGGTCAAAGTATCGGAAGAATTGTGGAGAACAGAAACCAGCATGATGGCGATACTGGACTGAAGTCTGTTTGGGACCCTGTGGTGATCATGCAGGAAGAACAAGGCTGTTCATGTTCATGCTCAGATTCATGTTCGTAAGAGGTCAAATGTCAAATGGGTGTCATGCAAATGCCAAGGCTTGACAGGCGGGGGAAAATCGGAGCGGGCTGAGACCCGCCCGCCATGACCGCGGAGTGGCAGTGAACTCGGATGCATCCACAAACCTTCACTTCAACACAGTCATTTTCAACATCTCGGGGAATGACTCATGATTCTAGTATGGAGATATAATCATCTAGAACCTTGTATCAGAGGTTTGATTCTTGAATTGCAATGTCAACTCTCCAGCTTTCTTTTCCGATTCAAATCGAATCAAAGGCCATTGGACCATTTCTGCAGCTAAGACCTTACTGAATCCCACAAGGCTGACCAGCCGTGACAAGGCGAACAAACGACAAGGCAACCATAATTGTACCCACCCAAGACAGATCCTTAGATTCAAGATCTGTATTCGGGATAAGACGGCATGGATAAGTCGGATAAGAAGAAGCTCGTGACCCTGGATGGCCGGACAGGAGAGGGTGGAGGACAAGTTGTCCGAGTTGCTGTTGCGCTTGCTGCCTTGACCGGAACACCACTTCGAATCGACAATGTCCGAGGGAATAGAGAAGGACCCCGTGGTGGAGGTGATGACTTGCTTATGCAAAAGCAAGTTCTAGACCTAGACTAACTCTTTTCTAGGTTTGAAGGCTCAGCATGTTTCTTGTATCAAGACCCTTGCCGACGCCACAGATGCAGAGGTCACAGGCTGCAGTGTTGGAAGCAAGTCCTTCCAATTCCGAGCAAAACTGTCTCCTACAGAGATTGTCAACCGGAATATCAAGGTTCGAGCCGATTCGGCTGCCAGTGTACTCTTGGTATTTCAAGCAACTTTACCTTTCTTACTATTCGCCGGTGACGAGAGCGGCTCGCCAATTTCACTCACTATTCAGGGAGGAACAAATGTGAGCTTCTCTCTATCCTTCGAATACCTCGATCAAGTTTTGCTTCCGTCATTGGAAAGATTCGGGATCAAGGTTGAGAGGAAACTTGAGTATCGAGGTTGGTCTCACGGCACAAGAGAAATCGGCTCAATCAAATTCAAAGTCACTCCTCTCGGCCCAGGTCAAACACTCAAAGCTCCAGCATGGCCCACGGAACCAGGCAATGTTACCAAGATCGATATTTCGCTCGTCGTCCCAAGAGACGTTCAAGCTGCGCTGAAGAAATCACTACTATTCGAGCTCGATCTAGTGTTCCCAGGTGTGGAAATCGATTTTATAGTTATCGACGACAGTAGGCATAAGAGCAGATTATACACTCTGCTTGTTGCCCACACAACCCCTGGTCTACGTTTCGGAAGAGATTGGCTCTACGACAAAAAGACCAAAGACAAGTCACCAGACCAACTCAGCACCGAAATATCACAGAAAGTAGTGGATGACTTAGATGTTGAGATTCGGAAAGGTGGTCTTGTCGATGAACATCTGCAAGATCAATTGATCGTCTTTCAAGCTCTGGCAGAGGGAATGTCGAATATCGCAGGATCGGCGGAGGCTCTTGCTTCTGATAGAGACCGTGTCGATCGGACGGACATGCCGTTTGGAGATGGGAGTTTGCATACTACGACCGCGAGATGGGTTGTGAGTCAATTACTACCACACGTTAAGTGGGTCGATGGAGGGCGGTTATGTGAAGGTGCTGGGTGGAAGACTATAGACGCTGACGTGGAATCTACGGCGGAGGGAGTGCAGTCGCTTTCGATTAACGCAAGTACGGCATAAGTAAAACGTCAAGAAGTTTGTCCGCCAGTCTTTAAGAGAGCAGGGAAGATCCAAGACTAAACAACTCCTATCAATTTGGGATGTAGTGCTCAAGTGAAGCTTCCCCACCTGGAATTTTGGACTTTGGCTGGATTTGAGAATATCGATATCGCATGTTAGAAGTCGTGTCCGACGAGTAGCCTGCAAAAGGCGTCTTTGCTCTCGAGTTCGATGCACCCATTGCAATCATGCTTCTTTTCGAGGAAGAAAACTGAAATTGTCATCCCAGCCTGGACCTTCTAATCCAGCACAGCAACCTGAAACCATCCTTTTTCTAGACAAGCCACAACTCCGCATAACCCCACAAGAGATTCTATCAGATGTTCGCTCCTAATTTAGCTGCAGACTGGGTTGCTGTTACCAAGTGCTGACAACGGCCCGTGGCATGTTCCTCGCATTTGGTCCATGCGCAACGTTCCTATTCGAGCCTCAAACTCCGATACAGCCAATCACTTTATTTCTACAGTACTCTCAATGCGCATTTTCTATCTTCCTCACTGCAATTGCTCAGTACATATGCCGACTTTATGTCCGGGAATGCCATCGAAATAGTCTTGACGTCACCGGTTATATCGGACTTTACATTTGGATGGCGAGTACATCTCTACTTTTCAGCCTTTTTTATACATGAACCCCTTTCAGCCAAAACATCTTTGCATATAAAACCCAGAGAGCTTATCGGATCGAAACATCACAAACCACAAACCATCGAAATGGCAACTCAAACTCAAAAATACAACAAGCTAGCGGGCAAGCGTGTCGTGATCATTGGCGGAACATCCGGTATGCCCTCTTCCCTATAACTCTAAACCCTACAACTCACCCTTCAAAGGAATCGGTTACGCAGTAGCAGAAGCCTGCATCGAATCCTCCTTCTCGCACGTAACCGTCTCCTCATCCTCCGCCTCCCGCGTCCAAACCGCCATCTCCAACCTCCAGAAATCTTACCCGTCGACCAGCTGCACCATCTCGGGCCACACATGTGACCTTTCCACTCCCGACCTCGAAACTTCCATCGAGGCTCTGTTTTCTAAAACTGGAAACGTAGACCACATCGTCTTTACGGCAGGCGATAAGTTGGCTATTTACCCTATTGAGGAGATCAACTACGAGAGGATCCTGAAAGCGGGACAAGTCCGCTTCGTCGCTCCGTTGTTGGTCGCAAAGGTGGGGAAGAAGTATCTGAATGCGGGGCCCGAGAGCAGTATTGTATTGACGACGGGAGCTGGTGCTGAGAGGCCGTATGCAAATGTACGTCTATTTCCATTCGTACTGCTCGCCAGTTGCTGATGCTTTGACGAAGTGGTCCATAGTAACTCCCTACCTCTCAGGTCTCTACGGCATGACCCGCGCCCTGGCGATTGATTTGAAGCCCGTTCGCGTCAACCTGGTTAGTCCGGGCGCTGTCGACACAGAGCTTTGGAAGGATTTCAGTGCAGAGGAGAAAGAAAAGTTCTTTAAGGAGGTGGGAGAGAAAGTTCCTACGGGGAGGATTGGGAGACGTGAGTTTTGCTTGTGATGTGTGTGGAAAATGAAAAGCTAACGTGGATATAGCGGAGGATGTTGCGGAAGCTTATTTGTGGCTGATGAAGGATAGTAATACTACTGGTGTTGTTGCTTCTACGACTGCGGGTAATTTGTTGGTTTAACCTAAAGTTCGCCGTATATCAAGAAGAGCAGTAGCATGCAGTTTACCTTTTTGCCAAAGTAGATCCTTTTCCCAATCTTTTTTCTTCCACTGTACATCCCTTCAAGATATCTCACAATGAGCATCAACAGGCTTCCCACAATTAATCTTCAAAATATCCTACACATCATTAGCCTTCTTTTTTACGCCTCCCTCTTCACCTCAACCTCTGACATCCCACCTAAGAAAAAAGACGGGAAAACAAACCTGCGGACAAGCACTAAAAGCAACCACCAAATCCACCTCCGCCCTCAACACCACATACGACCCAGCCGTACTAACCGGCGCCTCAAACGAGATGGTCGTCCTATCCTCATGCACCGGGATATTCATAAACAGATTCAGAGGCGACGGCGTGAATGTTGGTGCCTCAATCCCTAGTTTCACCATCAACTTTCCTCTCTCTCTCTCTAGATTAATGATGATTAGGTAACTCACCAAGGCCCTCCAACCCCTCAACCAAATTATCCGCACAATTCCGATGACTACTCCCACCCCCCAATTCTTCATACCGCTGCCTATCACACGCCGCTATCATCGTGTCGTGGATGCCGCCACTGGTATCCTCTAGCACCGTCAGAAGTTTTTCTCGTTTATTGTTAAAAAGTCCATCGCCTGGCTGCGGGATGATTTTATTCAAGCTTGCGCGCGTGTGTTGCATCGAGAGCTGGGTGGAGATAGTGGAGGGAGAAGACAGCGTGAAGGCGAAGGTGTCGACGACTTGGGTGCCGTGCGTGTTGATGACTTTGATGGTTTCGCCGGCGTTGAGGGCGGCTGCGATGCCGTGGCGGGCGGGGATGGTTTGTTGTGGCATTTTTGGGTGTAGTGTTTGAGAGAGAGATGGAGAGAGGTAAGTTGAGTTTGAGGGAAGATAGATGTTTGTTTTGAAGAGAAGAATGGGATGGTTGAAAAGAAGTCATTCTCATGTCTAAGAAGTGGGATGGAGGGGCTCGATAAGCTGATAAGGATAAGGGAAATTGGGCAAAAGTGGGAGGTGAGTAAATAGTGAGTGTGGGTTGAGCCTCATGTACTGACATTGCAGAGAAGAGAGTCTTGCGTGATTCGAAGATATGTCCTTGAGATATGTGTGGTAATTGGGATATACGGGTCGGGAATGTATCTCAAAGTCCTTGATATTCATTAAAATGGTCAAGCGTGAGAAAGTGGTAAATTGAGAGCACTATACTTAAATGAAGAGTTACGATGCTCCCTGAAGTCATCTTTAGTCAATCTTGTGGTACCAATTTCATCCGTTCGGAATTGAAGGAGGCACTTGCCTCTACATCGATAACAAAACCTCGAACAAAATAGAACATTCCACTGGAACAGGCCCGAGGTGCATAAGTAATTCAAGTGGAGAATTTTTCGGTCATGAAAGATGCATATGCATTGAAAAGCCCTCCATTAGGCTTATGTGTATGGACACAGCAACCAAAATATATTCATACAAGGCCATCTATTGTGTAGCCCATCGCTCATTGATTTGCTTCCTCTTAGTCTATCACAATGTTAGCATTCATACAAAATATTCCTTTGCAGAAAGGAGACTTACCATAGGAGCCAATACAAACACCCCAATCCATAACGCCAAAACCGTCGCCACTAAACTCAACCTATTGAAGCTCTTTCCCAAGATATCAAATGCTGCACTAGGAGCTACCCTTGTGCCGAAAACATCAATTCCGTAAGCGAATAATAAACTTGTGCTTTCCAAGACTGCTGGTGTAGCGATCACATCTTTGATGCCAATTACTTCTCGCTTGTGCGTAAGGGCCATCTTGGGATCGAATTCGATGACTGGGTGGTACTGAATGAGACCTTCTTCCATCTCAGCAGGTGTGGGAGCACGGCCAACTGGTCTGCGAGCGTCAAGAATGTGTCGTGGGATGCCAACAATAGCATTGGATCCTGCCAGCGTGCAGACGAGTTGACGTGTAGTTATGCCTTGACGAGTCTGACTGACGGACATATGACTGATGGCCTCCGGAATCAAGAATGTTTGTGAGATGACATAAGGAAGGGCAGGTTCGGCATTAGGGATGTCAGATGGCTCAATGCTCGAGGAGTTGACCGTGGGACCCAGTGGGCCCCGGTCGTTAGGTACAGCGGACTCAAATAGCTCTGATACAATGATTTGGTAGCCCTTTGATCCCGGAAGGGTAGCCTCGGTAACAAGAATATCACTCCATAGAGAGTAGGCAAGCCAGTTTTCTGTTAGGACAGAAGTGATCGGTTGCTGGATGTCGACACCTTCATGTGTCACGGAGTAGAGCACATCTCCAGAGACAGAGTCAATGAGATAGAATGCAACGTAAGACGACTCTTCTGAGACGGCTGTAACGAGAACGACGTTTGGATTGAGGTATTTGTAGAGAACAGTACGGTCACCAAGAACCTTTCCGATTGAAGCAACAGGATCATGGGGTGGCCTTGAGACAACATTCAAGATCTTCTCACCAGGGCCCGATTGGAAGGTCCATAGCACTACAGGTGATGCCCCAGGTCCTTTGGTGTCGAATTTCAATCCCTTGATCTCGCCATCTTTGCCTTGTACAACGAGATTGTCCTTTGGTGCTTGGTCGACGGGAACCTCATCTAGATTGCCATCTAGACTAATTGGAAGGAATAAAGCTCCTGAAGGGGTTTCAACCACGACAGTGCTCTGGATGAAGTCTGACCCTGGGGCCACAGTCTCCAGAACATTGCCAGTGACAACATGAACAGTAACGGATTCTCCCTTGCTACCTTTGATGGTAGCAATGCCTTTTGACTGTTCGACCCAAATACCCTTCACGTCCCACTTCTCATTTGATGGGATATCAAAAGCTTTCGAGGACCACAGGACGAAGCCTTGATTTCCCGCGTTGAGACCATAAACACGACCTCGCACAGTGGCTACAATGACCAACTTGTTGAAGCCAAAGCTGTCTCGTGCCAAGACACCAGACTGAGAAGCTGTACCACTACCGATAATGCTAGTCAAAAGACGCTTGGGAAGGGCTTGCAAATAGGCTGGTAAGTATTGCAAGTCGTGTGCATGACGGTTGACTCGATGGATGTACGCAGACAGAGGATTGCTATGTGCCTCAGCCTCCAACGTCTTTGCAAGGTTCTCGGACTCTGGGATCTCAGCCCATGCAGCAGCAACAGCTCCAGAGAGTCCCTCGGGACGAGTCCAGTCCACGGCACCGTTGCGAATAAGTAGCCAATCATCATTGCTGGTAAGCACCGCCGATCGTACTGCATAGGTATCACCAGTTCTTTGAACAACTTCTGAAGCTCCATGAAGAAGTGCGCCATCCTTTCCGGTGAACCTCATTGGCCATCTTCCAAGAATACCATGAGAAGCAGATGAAACGACAATGCATTCGTCCTCGGTCAGGCGGGTAAAGTAGACATTCGCAGCTTGAGAGCTGACAGAGATGGCACCCTTTCCTGAGAGCTTAGGCAGCTCATACTCCTTAGCAATGGTTCCACTGGCTGGATTGATGTGATACACATCGGCTCGATTTGACGTAGCTGAATGGCTGTGAACCAAAAAGTGAGGTAGCGATTGAATCAAGTGTGGCGCATGAATCTCAACCTTTGTGATAGGTCCATCAGCCTCCGCCAAAGGTAAAGACGTAATGCTCGCAGAGCGACCCAAAATATTAACTTTCAGATTCTTGAAATCTTTGTCCGTCCATGCAACAATAGGCGCCGCTGAATTGGCTCCGACAAGCAAAACATCCTCTGGTGAATGTACGTCGCTCAGCGACCTCAACGTATGTTCTGAGATCTGCTTTCCGGTGACAGGATCGAGCTCCGTAATCTTCAGATTATAAGCCCCAGTCGTGCCGTGCAGCGCAATAACGAAGATCTTCTCGACGTTCGTGCTGACCTGCAGAGGGACATCTGTGATCTCGCCATGATATTCCCACTTCACATTCCCACTCTCTCCCTTCAATAATCTCAGGACACCCTTTCCATCCTCGTCGTATAGTGCCAGAATATCCTTAACATCTCCTGACGTGGTCTCCATGACCTCCAGATCCTTGATTGTGCCCGCGAATAAATTCCCCCATCTTTCACGTCCACTCATAGCATCCCAACTATCAACTCTTCCTCCTACTGCAGAAACAACCGTGCTCTCTCCCTCGACCGGCCTTAAGAATCCTTTCGAAGACGCATTGTACTCCCCAGCTTCGCCCGCAAGCAATTGTCTCCAAACCACCTTCCCAGTCCCAGGATGTACCGCGCCAAGTACTCCTAAGTCGCTCAAGGTATATAATAACGTCGCTTTGTCATCTTTCCGCGGCCGATGGAAGAATGTTGTTTGTGGTTGTGGGAGGCCTAGGAGTTCGTGCTGGTAATCGACGCTGTAGGCTTCGTCGGCGAAGATTGCGTGGGAAGAAGGGAGGAGAGAGAGCGCAAGAGTGAGGACAGTGATGGGGAGTCGCATGGTGATGAAAGTTGCGAGGTGCGACTGCGACCTCGTTGCTTGTTACGGAGCTGTTGAAGCTTGTGATGGCGTCGAGGTAAGGCTACGGTGGTCGGAATCTGCCAGATATACAATCCCTGACTTATGGCGCTGTCAATCTCCCAGGATCCGTAGGCGATTCAGATCTATTCTTCAATAGTGAATTTCAACTGCTCATCAGATGGCAAGATTTGGATCGCCCTTAGCTTAACAGAGATTAAAAAAACCAGCAAAGTTAGACGGTTCGCGATCACGTGAAGAGGATTTTAAGGTCTGAAAGGCTCTATGAAAATGCCAGATTCACTTGGGTTGTGAAATTGTGGACGTAAGGATAGTATTCCGGATCTTATAGGACAATACAAGTGGACTTACGAGAATTCCGATGAAAAAGTTGTGAAATTATGCAGACAAGGATTGAGAGTCCCAGAAAGCTGGGACAACGAAGACAGATTTTCTTATGAAGAAAAGTCCAGACTTCAGTATGCTTAATATAGCATTAATGTTCAATTCGAACTTCCGAAGCTCCCCAAAAGTTGGGGCAATATGAAATACATTTCAGGATTCTTAATTTCAAAATACCAAATTGTGATTTCACCAAGATAAGCTTTTGAAAGTCCCTAATAGATAGGACAATCGGAATCAGCTGGGAGTCAAAGATGAAACCAAGATTGGAGGAATTGGAGGTAAGAAGGCCATAAAGGTCTCTTTTATTTGAACATACTCACATGAACTTTCGAGGTCATGTAGCGAGTCTTTGCAAGAATGAGATCAGATCTCAAGAGCTCGGCCCAAGTGGGTTCTCAACAATGTCCCTGATACGACTGGACATCCTCTTCCTCATATGACCATAATTTCAAGACTTGCACGATCTCCGTTCATTCTCACGAGCACGATGTATCATTAATGCATCACCAAACAGACGCAGACAAGAAAAGGTCTATTGATGCACCCTATACTATCCCGTCCCATCCTTCGCTATGCTTATTGAAATATACACAATGACCCCCCACTTAGAATCAAGGAGTTTCCGCCATCCACGAACACAACCCCGCAGATTTCCTCCCATATGACCGGCTGTCCTTGCCCTACACTTAAATCTGACAACGCTACCTGCACCTTCGTCTCTTGCCCTCTGGAAGTCTTTTCTGGAAGTCTTGTGCCTCAAATGTTCAGCCTCCCTCTATGCCTTGACTGTCACATTCCACCCCGACTTCTTGACTCTCGATAACCATACGAAGATGGCTGCGAGCACATTTGCAGTCCCACAGAACATCGCTGGGCCAATCCATCCGTACGTAGTAAGAAGTGATCCAGCAACCGGATTACCGATGAGCAAGCCCAAAGCACAGAAGGTAAAGCTCATTCCCATATGCGTTCCTACCAAGCTCAGATCAGGCGAAAGGGTTACCAATGCAGGTCCACAAATCGAGACGAAAGTTCCCGAGAAGAAGCCGTAGAAGAGGGAGAAGGCAACGGCCTGTCCTAGACTCGATACCGAAAGCCAGGAGAACGCGATGATGCCGCAGAATAGGCACCAAGGGGCTGTAATATTCAACGGTCCGAGCCTATCTGCAAAGAAACTGGGGACGATTCGTCCGAAGATCGATCCTGCGTTGAGCATTGTGAGAAGGTAGAATGCGAGGTTCTCATCGACAAAACCCTTTTCGACGCTGTATGTTGATATATAATAGAAGGGGATGTACATCCCTATAAACCCGAAGAACGCGCCAATCGAGAACAGAACCCATGGCACATCTCGAAGAACCTTGAAGTCGACCAAAGGACGTTTCTGGGCTGGAAAAACCTTGGCTCTCATGAAGATAATCGGTACCATAAGTGTCGCTAAAGCGATGAAACCGATGATCCTAGTAGCCCAGCCGAAACCAATCTGAGGTTGAAGCTTGTGGAAGACAATAGGGTAAATGATACCACCTACGAAATCTTGTTAGCCGCGCAACTAATTCATCACACATGCACTTACCCAAACTACTGCCAGATGCTGCAACACCTGTAGCAAATGCTCTTCGAGTCTTAAAGTACTGTGGCATCACGGCAATGCTGGGCAACATCATACAGCCAGCACCAGCACCCACAACTATCCCCTGGGCCAGAATGATCTGCCAGTATTCATGACAAATACTGGTCATCATCATACCGAAGACTACGAGGAAAGAGCCAGTAAAGACGAGAGCTCGAAGATAACCAGCATCGAAGATTGGCCCTGTAACAATGCCACCAACTATGAGCAGCATGAATGCCTGAATGGAGCCGATCCAGGAAATGTTTGATGGACTCTCGTCTTTCAGAAGGTTGGCCTCGTAGTATATTTGATAAGCGCCAAAAGTGTTCGCCACTCCCCTACAATGGTTAGTGATTGAACTTCTCGGGGTAAATGAGGAGTCTCTCACCATGAGTTGAACATCAGGAAAAAGGAGCCAAGGACCTGTAGCAGTGCAAGTCTTGTGCTGCTCGGTGGTATAGACTTCGGTTGGCTTTCCTCCAAGTCTTGAGGTTCACTGTCTGGCTTCTCTTCCATAGCAGCGGTGTCCATTGCCGTCGTGCTGCTAGACTCCGAGAAGTTCATCCCGCTCTCGATTATTTTGGATTCCATGTCTGAAGACTCTGTTTGTGATGCCATGACAATAGAATAGATAGAGCTAGAAACACTTTGAGCGAGTCCAATGTATAAGGTATTCGGTGGAGATTTATGTGTTGATGCAGAAAGTACCACCGGCTCTCTTATATCGTGAGTACAGGAGAGAAGCTAGGCGGTAATGGGGTTTTGCCGATTCCTGCATATAGAAAATGCTTCTGATGCCATAAGAAGTACGATTGGCAAGCAAAGCTTAACAATCAGAAATCTTCTGAACCATAGGCATAATGCTTAACGAAATACGAGTGACTCCGTTTCAAGGCCACTCATGGTCATTAACAAAGAGAAGTAAAGCACGTCGCAAATTCTGGAGATGAAGATTCTGGCACGGTGAGGGGCGGGTCGAGCGGCAATACCATGAAGATGGAGGGCATCGGAAAGCTAACCCGATGGAGAAGTTGCATGCAGAAGAATCCACTTTTTGAGCCGGTCGGTGGCTTCTTAGTGGCTGAGGGCAGAATCGTTTCGCGGACGGCCAAGCTAGAACGTATTCCCGAATCCAAAGCGACCCTGGTCTTGAGGGGATGGGCATCGTTTCTCCGCTGCTGACAAAGTGTTGAACATATCAAATTTAGAGCCGCATGCATCATGTTTCGGGATGACTCCTCATGTCTTGCTCGGAACGCTAACCCAAAGAGGTAATTGAGTAATCGTGATTTCGTGGCTTGAGCTTGCAAACAGTTTACTAAGATGCCGTAGTGAGTACAACATATGCGTGTCAGCGGCGGCCAATGTTCGCGGGCTTTTCGTAGAATAGAGTGTATTCTTGATACTTTGCAGCTATGCCACTCCTGTGGCACAGTCCAATGAAGATTGTTGAACCGTATTTTTTTGAGGATCTGATTATCCCTGAAACATCGGGATTTACAGAGCTGGTCAAAGAATCAGGGAGAAGGTCGTACTTCCAGTCTCGAATTACTTCTCATTGCCCTCCTCGTCGTCGTCGTGGAAAAGAAAAACCAAACATAAGCACTCTGCTTCCAGTGAGATATTCTGCCGCCTGCTCCATATCACCGGGTACTGCCGAGCGGAATTTGTTGGGGTGGGACGTGTTTGACGATCTGCGTAGGGGACGAATTTCCGTATTTCTTTGCGAAGATAGTTGCATAACTTAATCCGCACCGTCGACCAATTCGTAGCAAAGCATTCTTTGCTTGGTTTTGCTGATCATCCGATACGGACGGACATCGAAGGAGGACTTGCAAAGACCAGACAAGGAAGTATCCACCGACACTTTTGGGACCGTTCAGGGAGGGTGGCAGCGGGACATCGCCTAGGGAGAAAGGAATGCTCAAAAGAATGAAGTCTGCCATTTCTTTTATGACGGACTTTGAGATTGACTTCTGGTCTTGGTTGATGCTGCTCAGTCTCCCAGAGTCCATCGCATCGAGTCCGTCCAACAAGGTCTGATGAAGGAGAATTCTTGCGGCCCGGTGTTTGTTCCATAAGCTCAAGCTCCAAAATCCAAGGTAGGAGTGGTAAACGAAGGGTTTCTTGTCGTCGATGAATGTTGGCTGCTGAACTTGTACAAATCCAAATTCCTGGGAAGCCCTCATGTTCCAGTGGAAGAGACCACCCTCTAGCCGCTCAAATTCCAGCAAGATCTCGTCCCAGTGGCGTTGGATCTGACCAGAAAGAATCTTGGCGTCGACATTGGCAATGAATTTGCTAATCTCAAGTTTGTTGATGATCATTTCGTTCCCCAGAAGCGATGGGTCGAGCAGCTTCACCAGACGTTCATCGACTGAGCTAGGGGGAACTCTTCGATCTAGGATTCGTCGCAACTTTGCAGATGTTAGCTTTCTACAGGTAAAGCGGTCAGAGAAGCTCACCATCTGACAGCAAACTGTTTGCAGCAGACTCGGTCCGTAGCCTTGCATCAGTAGCGAGCCACGAAGATCTGCCTGAAGGGAGTCAGTGATCAATATACCAGCGTTGTACTTGGTTTATCTTCCGCTTACCAAAGTCTCGAGGCCCGAGATGTGATGATAAGAACCTTCAACCAGCGTGCTGTTAATGCATTCGTATATGCCAAGTAATATTACGCCAGTCATCGTAGAATCGTCAAAAGCGGTTCCTGGAAATACTAGAGTTTGCTTAACAACCTCTAATGATTCTCGGTAGTGGGACATAGCCATGATGGCAAGATCCGGACGTTCGGTCTTCTGTGCTAAATTTGCGTAGGCGGCGGTGCAGACAGCGTGGTGAAGCAGAGAAGTCGCTGCTGACATCTGATACATTTTAGGTAGAAAGTGTAACCAGCCAGGGCATATTCCACAAGTTGAAATGGTGTAGTCTTGAAAGAACAAGCAGAGGGCCTGTAGTCTCTCGTCTGCAAGAGCCTGACATCTGCATATCAGCAAGCGTGTACCAGGGCGTTTTGGCGCATTACTCACATTCTCCAACATCAGCAGCTTGGCTGACGGGAATTCCTCAAGAGCTTTCTGTTTCCATTGTACTTTCCTTTGAATTATCTTGTTCTCGTTGCGGAATGCAAGGTCCCATTTGTCAGGGTAGCCAGGGCATGACTTGCCAATTTTATGGCATTTCTGGCAACCTGGCCGAGATTCGTCGCACTAGACCATAAGTAAGCAGTTGTACGAGTCTATTAGAGCTTTCACCTACCTTGACCTTTCTTTGCTTGCATGTGATACATGCTCCGGATCTCCCGAAGTTCACCATCTCGTTTCAGCGCTTGAGGACTTTCCTAATGTCTCTTGAATGGTAGAGCGAACATCGAAAAACCATGATAGCTTCAAAACTCTGTGTCGAACGAGGTCTGTCCTGGATGGCGAATTCGATGAAAGAGCTGATAAATTGCTGTCAGGTCAGAAAGTGAGACATCGAGGCAGCGGAAGCGAGAGTGGCTAGTGACACACCCTGGGGTTTCCCTAACGCACCTGGGAGTATTACAAGCAGCATTTACCTTCTTCATCTTCGAATTATTCAGAGTCAATTCTAGCTCCCAAATCTCTACGACTCTCTCAGCATCGACCTCGGTAATGCTTGCATGCAAAGTCATAGGGTGGCTCACACACTGAAAACAGCGAGGCGATGGCATTACACTGTGTACAATGAGTGTACTTAGGTGTACGGTTTCCACCAGTCCACAACTACCGATTCTATGTCTCTTGATTTGATTTGAAGTGCTATAACTTCAGTGCTTTATTTTCCTAGGTTTTGTAAAGTGAAGTCCATCTGATCTTTCTTTCTTCATTTTGGGCAAAAGCGATACTGATGGAGTTTATACGGAAAGGTTGGAGCAGAACATAAACAAAAATCAGAGCAGAGACCATTGTCTACTTTACTAGTAGAACACAAGATGCAGTAATTCCATCTCTCGTTCGATGATGCAGTCTCGAGAAACGCTAGGTGATGTTCAATGTCTCATGGCTATGGGTCATTGCAAGTACCATCGTTGTTATATCGGAAGAAGATTACGGAATATAAGAGTGTAATAGCTAATAAGATTCCAGAAGAAACGATGACTCTTTGAATCAAATATTATCGTTCTTTGAAAGGTTTACGAAGAGCTCGGAGGGAATTCAAGAACTCGAAGCCAAGGCTGAAACCAAGCGCCAATCAAATTGCCGCCACCAAAAAAAAGTTCCGGAGCAGCTGCATCACCAGCAAAACATCGTCGAGACTCACAACTATAAACCCTCACATCGCCATGCCCTCATCCCAAGATGGACAGGCGATATAACCGTCCCTATTCGCATGACTCCTCCTATTCCAGTTCGCATACCTATTACGACGAAGAAGAAGAAGACGACTATTACTACCCTGAAGACCCGCGTCGAGACGCACAACCTGCCCCAGAGCCAGAGCCGGAACCCGAGCCTCCCAGAACGATGGCTTCTTGGTTCCAGCGTGCGACGAGCTCTACGCATGCGCAGTTTGCTGCTACGGCTATTGTGTCGGGGGCTGTGGTTGCGGGCGCAATTTTGGGATACCAGCATGTTAGGCGGGTCGAGAGGACGGAAGATTTGAAAAGGAGTATACCAGCGTTGGGCGCTGGTGATGAGGGAAAGGTGCGTTGTTTCATTTCACAGAAAGATTTAAAATTGGGAAAAAGGGCCATATTTAGGCTTTGCGGAGAAGAATGAAGTGCTGTTGAATTGTGCTGATAGAAGAAGTGAAGCTTACAGATTGGGGGGCTGCGTCACCGCAACCTACTATGAGCAAAGAGGACGAAAGAAGCGCTATGCTTGCAGAAAGAGCGCAGAAGGGAGATTATGATGATGGTAGTGTATTCCCGTTCCCCAAATCACTGGCCCTTACTAACTCCCTCTGGCAGAACTCATCCTCGAACAATTGGCGCGAAATCGAGTCTTTCTTACAGATGCCGGACTGCAGAAGTTACGGTCAGCCTTCATAATTGTTGTGGGCTGTGGAGGTGTGGGATCCCATTGCACAGCTGCATTGGCCCGTTCAGGTGTCTCTCGTATCCGCCTCATCGACTTTGACCAAGTTACTCTCTCCTCCTTGAACCGACATGCTGTAGCGACTTTGGCAGATGTAGGGACACCAAAAGTTACATGCTTACGGAAACGACTACAACAAATAACACCATGGGTACATTTTGATCTCTGCAATGAGCTGTTTGCACCCTCTGCAGCAGACAGATTACTGGGACCTTGGGAAGGACGAAAGCCAGACTTCATTATTGATGCCATTGACAATATTGACAGCAAAGTAGCATTGTTGGATTATTGCTACAAGAACAACCTTCCAGTTATCTCGTCTATGGGAGCTGGATGCAAGTCGGATCCTACAAGGATATTTATTGGAGATATTTCTGCTAGCACAGACGATCCACTCTCGAGGTCTACCCGCCGCCGCCTTCGCGCTCTGGGAATTGCGTCTGGGATTCCTGTCGTATACTCAACCGAAAAGCCAGGTCCGGGCAAGGCTCAGCTTCTGCCACTGCCAGAGGAAGAATTTCAGAAAGGCTCTGTTGGTGATCTGGGTGTGTTACCTGATTTCAGAGTTAGGATATTACCAGTTTTGGGTACAATGCCGGCGGTCTTTGGCTATGCGGTCGCGAACCACGTTATCCTTAAGATCTCGGGCTACCCAAGCGAGTATTTACCAGCCAAGGGACGAGAGAAGATGTACGATGGTATTTTGGCTCAGTTACAAGGCTCAGAAGAGAAGTTGGCACGAGCAACAACTCCAGGTGAAGATGCACAGGGACTTAAGCTGGCGATAAGCGCAAATGATGTTGGATATGTGGTGGAAGAGATCTTCAGAGGAAAGAGTGCGATTAGTGGCGTCTCGACTCGATTGGCGTTATGCAGATGGCGGAAGCCGAGTGGAAGCACTATTGATCTGAGCGTGGAAGGACAAAAGACCAGTCGAGTACTGCTTAGAGACTTGGTGTGTATGACAAAGGAAGAAGCAACCGTACATGAGAGAGAAGTCATCCAAGGAGGGAAGACGCCAGAAGCATTGTATAGTAAGGAGATTGTGGACCTCGTTGAGGCGAGGATTAACGAGGAATTGGGGTACGAGAAGTACAGATGAATATACCACTCTTCAACAACCACGACCTATCACGAATAAGCGTCCATGTCTCACCGATTTCAGTGCCTTTCGAAGTTGTACCCAATGTCAATTTTACTTCCTGCTCGAAGATTTAACTCGCCATTCCGTAGTCATTTCCTCCTCCAGCCACTTCTCTTCGATCACACTTCAAAGAATATCTTTATTGGTATCTTCGCCTGGATTCAGCCCTGCGTTTTCCGATAGTTCAAGCAAGAAACTAATATCAGGTATGCTTGCTTCTATGTATTGTTTTATTAGTAACATCGATCAATCTTAGGTCAGATTCGTAGCAGTGCTATATGTTCTCTTTGATGTTTCTCCTGGACCAAGGATTCACTTTGTAGTTTTGTGATCGACCTTCAAGGCTGAGTTATCTAGACACTGTTCCTTATCGATAATATTCTCAGCCTCTAGTTGTATATACTACTCGTCCCGCACCTTTCTCAAATCCACACCCTGTCCAACCTGCAACCTCAAAACAACTTGCAACCTGAAAGTGCAATGGAGCCTCAAAGCAACAGCACACAAGTTTCTGTCGCAGACTACAAAAACCTCATCCAGACATTCCTTCGATCTGCCTCCTTCAAACTCCCAGCCTTTGAAGGAGATGAGCTGTTCACCCAAAAAGTCCTCTCCTTCTGCCTCTCTCAAGACCTCCCCTCCGCGTCAATTCCTGCGACAGCAGCCACCGCCTCTGCAGCCGCCAAATACTTCTACCCCTCCCATCCGCCTCCAACCCAGTTCCTCCTCGCCAAGTTCCTAGCCCTGACTCTCATCATTGATGATCTTGGGGAAGATATCTTAGACGGTATGAAAAACTATCGAACGAAGTTGTTACTACGCCAACCGATTGGAACAAAGGCTGTGCAGTCATTGTTCGACGTCGTCTCCGAAGCTGGTGAGATTTATGGCGGGTGGGCAGCGGATATGCTCTTTAAGTCGTGTCTGGAGTATTTGAGTGCCAACGCCCTTGAAGTCGAGCAAAAAGGCCGTCTACACCCACTGAGAAGCACTCCCAATTTCGCAGCTTATCTGAGAGTCAAGAGTGGAATTGGGGAGAGTTTCGCCATGTTGATCTTTGATGAATGCAAGGAGGGTTGCGAATATCTAGTACTAGTCCCGGAGCTGATGAGGTTCATGTACGTATTGTGGGAGCCCCATTTTCAATTTCTTTTCTCAAGACATCGTCTTCTCCTTTCCTGAAACAACTAAGATGGGAATATTAACTCACCCGTTACCTAGGGAAGATGTGAATGACATGATGTCGTTCTACAAAGAGTGCATGGTTGGTGATGAGCAAGAGAATTCTCTCTGCCTGCATGCGAGATCGAAGGGGCAAAGCCTGCTCAGATCGCTCGAAGAGTATCGCACCTCGGCACTGGCTTGTATGGAGAGGATCAGAGATCTTCTGACGGAGAATGAGGGGTTGAGAATGAGGGTGGAGGAGTTCATGATGGGGTACATGGGTTTCCATTATACCGACTCGAGATATAGACTGGGAGAATTGGGATTAGACTTCGATTAGAGCCATTGGAACAATTGGAACAATTGGAACAATAGAGCAAGAAATGCTGCTGGGGGCGAAAATAGCGATGAGATTTCCATAAACGAAAACAATGCATGGCGCTGCACAAAAGCCTGCACTGTTTTGAGGAAGAATATCTCAAGGGACCTCATGGACTCTACTCGCGCTTTCAAGTTTTTTCGCTAGCCTAATTGCTATCAAACACTTATCCCTTCAATGAAGCAGATAGGTTCTCATGACCTTGATGAATCCGCTTTCATTGTGCTGCATTTGATATGGAACTGATTTTCTCAACTGAGGTCCTGCTCGCTTCTTCTTCAAGAGATGTCGACTCAACAAGGTTACGCGAAATGACTTTTTGCGTTCTTGGCTCCGTGGAAGTCAATACTCCGAAGAGGTTTTGCCGCCAGGTTCGGATATACAGAACCACACAAATTCAGAGAGGTCGAAGTGCCAAAGGACAACCCGTCTTTCAGGGTGTCAATCCATATCGTGCCCCCACTAATTCACTCAATTTCTCGCAATACACCGCGTGTCAAGTATAGTTCCTGACATGTTTATAGTGAAGTTAAGAGAAGGTAGAGTCTGTGCTGGACCAGGAAAAGAAGATCTGAATGATTCTCATCTACCGGCCGCCCTGTAGCAGACCAATTGGGTCTGATCAGTAGAGAGACAACAGAGGTGGAATATCTCTCGAACTTGCTCATTGCCACTTTTGGTAGCTACACGGAATCTTGCCTACTGGCTAGAAAGAAAAGAGCTCAACATTTCTTTAACTCTTCATCAGACTCCCAATTTCCTCTTTTTTTTCCTAATTGAATTGAGCTTCACATCGAAAGCAGAAATACACGCTCAAATTCGGCTTGTCAGATTGACACCAGTCTTCATGCCCAAATCCATCTCTATATATGAAGCGAGGTTAACATTCAAACAAAGCTTCCCACACCAACCTCTCACGTCGCCAAAATAAGCCATGAGCGAAGTTCAAGATCAGAGCGTGGGGTCACAAACCCGGTTGACCAATCATGCCGAAAAAGAGCTCGACATCATCATTCAAAGCCCAGAGCGTGAGAATGACGGTGACTCGAACTCCAAAGACAAAGACCAAGAGCCAATCAATCGGGATGCTCAGGAGGGTGTTCAATACATGGAGGCGGTGGCCTCTGTATGGACCAAAACCTCGCTAATCACGGCCTATGTGATGATGTGGATCATCTAATTCCTTGTGCTAGTCGAGGGAACCGCTATCGGAACTTTGACGCCTTTTGTGACATCTACTTTCGGCAAACATTCACTTACGCCTACCGTTACGGTCCTCGCCAGCATCGTCAGTGGGGTCTCGCATCCCACCTTGGCTAAGATCCTCGACATTTGGGGACGGCACACCGGCATCGTGATCTCCATAGTGCTAACTGAGATGGGCTTTATCATGATGGCTGCTTGTCGCTCCATTGACCAGTATGCCGCTGCTGAAATCTTTTGGCAGGTCGGCCACTCCTGTTTGCTGTATACTGTTCAAATAATCATCGCCGATGCACCTTCGTTAAAGAGCCGTGGCCTTATGGTCGCTTATGCTGGCTCACCGAGTCTTATTACTACTTGGGCAGCTGGTCCAATCTCACAGGCTTTTCTCCATGGACCGGGCTGGCCTTGGGCCTTTGGGACATTTGCGATTTTGACACCCATCGTCGTTCTCCCACTCATTGTCCTTTTGTTCTGGAACATCGACAAAGCGAAAAAGCAGGGCATTCTTCCAAAATGAGAAAGTCAACGAACACCTTTCCAATACATTCTACACTACCTCCGCGAATTTGACGCCGTTGGTCTTCTCCTTTTAACTGCGGGATTGGCAATGTTCCTTCTACCATTCAGCATTCATACTTACCAACGGGACGGATGGCGATCTCCTCTCATCATCTGTCTACTTGTTTTTGGGTTTGCTCTAGTCTTTGTGTTTGTGGCATGGGAAAGGTTTCTTGCCCCTAGAAGTTTTATGCCGTTTTCCTATCTTTCTGACCGTCAAGTTTTGGGAGCTTGTTTTCTTGGGTTTACACTGTTCCTTAGCCAAAATTGTTGGAATCCTTTTTTCAATTCTTTCCTGATGGTTGTCGATAACCAATCTGTCACGACTGCCACCTATATTTCCAACTCCTACCAAGTCGGCCTTATGTCAATCTCTTCCTCGGACTTCCTTTGACTATTCTTGCCCTGGGTCTGACGTACTATTTCTCCGCTCCTGGTTGGCATTGCGGTTACTTCATCTTTACACAAATCATGCTGTCGATTGGCCACGCATTTATCATACTCTGCGACGAAGTCGCTGCCATGTCTGCGGTGTCACACCAATATGTCGCTGTCGTCCTAGCTATGGAGGGATTGTCTTCGAGCATCGGTGGCGCTATTAGTTCTACTCTATCTGCCGCTATCTGGACGTCTGTTTTCCCCAAAGCGCTTGCCAAACACCTTCCTGCGAAAGATCTACCCGATCTCGAGAAGATATATGGTAGTTTGACTACGTAGCTGAGCTTTCCGATCGGATCAGACACGCGTATCGCTATCCAGGCCGAAAAAGTTGCTGATTCCGGCGATCGCTGTTTGGATCATTGGCATAGTTGCAGTTGTTGCCTGACGGGACGTTAATTTAAAGAATATCAAGCAAGTCAAGGGAAATGTTATTTGATCCCAAAAAGCTCTTTGATTTTAGGACTAGGGTTTGTTGAATGTTCACTCATTGTGCAGTCGTCATAGACTATTATGGTTGAGCATATGTTGAGGAATAGATGAATCATTACTCTTAGTTAGTGTAGTACTAGTTCAAGGGTATGATTTAATACATGATGTAACGATTTCACGACTGATGACACTTGTTGTTAGCTAGTAGGTTCGAGCATTATATAAAGCATAAGGACAGCCCTGTAGTTTCAAGAAATCAAGTCAGTTATCACACGCGAATAACAACAGGGTTTCATTCAATAAATCTGGTGGTGTACGGTTTCTTGGCCGTACTTGCAAAGACGCGCAATGCTAAGATGAACGAGAAAATTACCCTGTAATTGAATTAACAATTAGAATGCCATCTTCTCAATGCACACTAGACATTTGTAGTTATATTTTGTAATATGAAGTAAGAACGTACACGCACACGCACACGCACACGCACAAAGGTTTCGATGTCTTCGCCTTCACCCCATTCTTGCGTCTCCACTCTTCCATTAGTAGCTGACCAACTCGGCAATTCGGATACAAGTAGACCGAAAACTTCCGTTATATAACATTAAATACACCGCCAAGAGTTGTTTGGTCCTCTTGGCAAAACAAGCCTCAAGATCGAAACCAATCATTACAAGTCCAGAGGTCTGACGTACAATTAGAGAGCTCCATATGAGATGGAGAAGACAGACAATGAACTTCGGTCCAATGTTGGACCTGAGCTACTCAGGTACACAAGTATTGGTCCGCCACCAGATGGAGGTTTCGCTGCATGGCTTCAAGTCCTTGGCGCCTTCTTCTTATTCTTTAACTCCTGGTAAGGACCGTCAATCTCACATTGACGGACATTCAGAGATTGACTCCTGACAATACAGGGGCATAATGAACAGTTTTGGTGTTTTTCAGACATATTACGAAAGTTTACTCCCAGACTCTAGTCCTTCCGCTATCTCGTGGATCGGCTCTATTCAAGTCTTTCTTCTGCGATTTGTGGGTGTAATCACAGGACCACTTCACGACATAGGATACTTTCACACATTGATTGGCACTGGGACTTTCCTCGTCGTATTTGGAACAATGATGACAAGTCTAGGGACACAATATTGGCACTTCCTACTCGCGCAAGGGTTTTGCGTCGGTCTCGGAGCCGGTACGCTCTTCATGCCGTCTGTAAGCAGCCTCCCGCAGTACTTCTCAACGAAAAGAGGTTTAGCTGTCGGTGTGGCGGCGACAGGGAGTAGTCTAGGGGGAGTGTTGTACCCAATTATATTCCGGAAGCTGGAAGCTTCAATTGGACTCGGATGGGCAGTGCGAGTCTTGGCTTTTCTTTCTCTGGCTACCGGCAGCATCTCATTGTCCGTCATGCGACTCCGACATCACCCATCGCTGTCGCGAATAGGAAATTCTCCCTCGCCAAACACATCTTCAAATGCTGCGGGAACCAAGAAGCAGACTCGTACATTGCTGGACCTTACTGCATTCAAAGAAGCCCCTTACGACTTTTTTTGTGTGGCAATTTTCTTGGGATGCGTCTCCTTTTTCATACCCATCTTTTACATTCAGTCCTATGCTCAAAGTACCTCTTCGTCCGGACATTCTATTCCGACTTCTCTCACAACCTACCTCCTGGCGATCCTGAATGCAAGCTCTATCATTGGTCGTCTGAGTTCTAGATTTCTTGACCGGCATGCAGGACCTGTCAATATGCTAATGCTGACCTCGATTCTTACCGGCACTCTGTCACTATGCTGGATTGCAATACCACCATCCTCTGAGGGTGGCTTGGTTACTTTTGCAGTCCTGTACGGAATTTTCAGCGGTGGATTTATCTCATTGCCAGCTGTTGCAGTGGCAAGCTTGACAACGGATATGAGGCGACTTGGAACCAGGCTGGGTATGAACTCTGCGATTGGAGGTTTTGGGAGTCTATGCGGAACTCCTATTGCGGGAGCAATCTTAGATGGAAGTGGTGGTTGGATTGGCTTGAAGGTCTTTGCAGGAGTGTCGATGCTAGCCTGCAGGCTTCCCCGCCGATATTAAATTATTCGATAATATCGTGCCGATATCGAATCCGTTGAATGAATAAAAAATATCGTATCGTCCAAATTAGGAAGTACGATATTGAATGAATAATCGAATATATCGCATATATTAAAATTAGTACTGAAAGCCTTGTTTTTGAGGATATATTTCTTGGATTCCTAAATTTTAAGGCATTACTCGGTCAAATAAGTGGCGTTCCATTCAGCTCAAGTAATATTAGTCAGCTTTGAGCCACATTGCGGCTCAAGTCTTAAAGCCTGAGGCTAGCATGTCAGCCGGCCAGATCCGACCATTTGCCCGATTGAATCCGACTATCTATAGCAAGGGTTCTATTGGCTACGGCGCTGGAACAACTATTTTACGGTCACGTGTACGATATATCGAATATTCATTCGAATGATGCAGAATCACTTGAATAATATTCGAGTCGATATTTTTTCGCCCGATATATTATTCATATTCAAAGATATTATATCGGAAATATCGGAGCCGAAGCCTGACATTGCTAGGTACAGGCATGCTTATGGGAGCTACGAGAGTGGCGAAGGTTGGATGGAAATTTTGGATAAAAGTCTACCATACAAGCTTCTCACTCTCATTTTCCCTGTTCGACCAGAAACACAAAGAACATGAATGGTGTCTGAGAAGCTGTGATAGTCCTACCACCCTCTCAAAACTCCAGCATCCCCAAGGATATCTTCAATCGTTTGAGCTTCTCGTCTATGGTGCATGGGTCGCTGATCTTATGTGCACTATCAAATCTCCAACGCTTTCCCAGCTAGGGTGAATCTTTCAATGCATATTCTTGAACGTATTCGAAGAGCCAGCCTCCATTGCAGGCAGAGTCCATGTCTGGAAGACAGACAAGCATATCTAGCGCGACTTCGGATCGTTTTCGTGCTGCCTCATTTGCGAGCCGGTACAGCTGAGGCTTTGAATCAAACCAGTCTGTTAAAAATGGTCCAACATAGACTCAGTGGCGATAGGCAAAACGCCGTGATCGTAGTGGAGCAAAATTGACAAAATCGCACTGCAGCTGGAATCAGAACCTGGTCCATCCCTACTTGAGCTCACTAAAGCTGATTCAGATCCATTAGTTTGCTGAACTTCTCTGTGGGATATGTAATGGGTAAGTTTCGAATTCGTTTATTCTAGATGCTAGTTTTCCTTGCGATCAGGTAAGCTTTCCATTTTCGCTGTAGCTGCTTACCTAAGTTTCAGGCCGCTCGCTTAGTTCATTTCTTCGAACCACGAAACCAAACTTTCTCATGACGTTACCATCATCCGAACTCTTCGGTTTTGGGTAGAACTTCTCAAAATGAAGCAAGCGCTTCAAACTACTCTCTTGTTTCGTCATGCGCCAGTCCATTTAGTAATTTCTCCATGCCATATCATATCTCGTGTTCTCATATTCTTCTCATCCACACACACACATTCCTCTCACATATTTTGTTTCTACCTACCCCAAAAATTTCACATTTTCGATCTGCATTGATATATCGCAGCACAGAAACGCAATTGTGAGTGCGCAAATACATATCGTGCATCCTGACTGACTTTGGTAGTCCAAGCAACTGGCCACCGTATCGCACCGATCTTCAACATCGAACCGAAACTTGAGCCGAGAATCAAGCCGAGAACTGAGCACCGATCAGTGAATCCAAAAGTTGGAATTTAGCATCATGAATTCCTCTAATGTCACTACAGCTGTGGAAAGCTGTGAAGATCCACAATTTGTCGCCAAAGCGATCGTGCTGGCTGTGTTCCTCGTGTTCATTCAAATACCGCTCGTCTCGACGGGTTTCTTTTTCGGCTACCACTATATGGCTTTGCGCGTCAAGATGCGTCTCCCGGATGTAGTAGCGATTGAAAAGTTGTTAATCGAGGTAGAAGAGAAACGTTGGGGCGAGGGAACTTACAGGCGTGACGGAAAACGACCTACATTTGAAATAGAAGCTGAGGTTTAGGTTATACTGTTCAATTCTGACCCATTCCGCGTCATAACTTCATGGCTTTCTCTGTGAAGGAAAGAACGAGTATACAGTTGTTTAGTGGCATCATATTTGTTGTTTCCCCGGTCGCAATCATGCATTTCTCTCTGTGTCTCTCTGTATCTCCTCACCATCCCACCAGCCAACCATGTCACAACTCACCTCCCTGCTCGTCGTCGCTGCTTGCGAGCACATTCGGCAATCACCAACAGGCTTCGCTATATATTTAGCACGAGGCCTTCTAATTTTCACTACGATCGGGCTGTCCATTTGGACAGCAGCCGCGCTGTCGAAGATCACCGACCCCTCGGTGATCACCATGATCATCGGCGTAAGATCATGCATTCTATCGAACCAGAATTCATGGAGCTAATTCTTAGGAGAATTTTTACGGTATCATTTGGTGGTGGTGGCAGGTCTTCTGCGGTCGAAGAAATTGGTGGCTGTGGGCGGATGCTCTGGGCATCCTTATTGCGTTTCTTGCCTTGGGTTTCGGCGCTGCGTCTCCGCACCAGACTGGTGCTAAATACCAGAAAGATAAGAGTTCGGCCAATTTGCGTGCTCTTCGTGGCAGTAAAGCCACATTGGGTGTGGATGTGGCACTGTTGTTCTTGGATCTAGCCACATTTGGCTACGATCTCTACAAATGATGCATCCAGAGAAGGAGAAGAAGTGAAGAGAGTGGAGAGGGAGATACGATACCACATGGTAAGCACCAATGCCTCTGAAATTCGTTTGCTTTGATTTTGGCACTTCTCTCATGCACGGAGCTGGAAGTGTCCATCGACATTTGTGGAACGAACCAAATTTGGATTGAATAATTCATGAGGAAAATAATACCGAGCGAGGCTCCTGCTATCATGATCGAGAAGTGTCAATGGGTATCCTGGCGTCCGAAGTAGAATATGGAACATGCCCTGCTGATTTGAGTGCGGGGATGCGATTCTGGCAGTGCCAATTCATAACCTGGCCAAAAAAGCGCTTGGAGCATTGACGTTGCACTGTTGATTTGGAAATGGATCGCGATTGACAAGTGTCAATTCAGAGTTTGGTCATTGAAGAGATTGGAGAAAATGAATTTACCCTGTTGACTCAGAAGTGAATTGCCGTAGAAGTCCCGTAGTAGGATTGGAGAAGTCTCGAGGAATCAGAGAGAGCTACCAATCTTGGAGTCTCAGAAAGTCAGAAAGCGATTGCAGAGATTATGATTTCAAGAAGTTTCGGATCAAACCTTGAACCTCTTTACACCAGAGTCATCTCAAGTCTTTCAATGGTGTTGTGAAATAAAACAAAGAAGTCCAATTGTTGGCGAAGTATTTTTCTGACCCATCAAGAAGCGCATTGTGAAACCTTGGTGTTTCTAAACAAAGCACTTTGTTATAATATCTACATAAAATTTTGAGACGGGTGATAGTTGAGACTTTGAAAGTTCCGGCAGAGCAATAAGGGGAGCTAGTTACATGAGTCTGAAACTTGCCTGTCCAGTCGAATTTCCTTTCCTTCTTCTACTTTCTTGACGTGCATCACTTTCCAAACATCATTCATTTGTATCTTGTGATACAGATGCTAGTTCCTTCTAGCTGTTCCTAATATGAAAAATAAAGAAGAAATTAACTAATATGTGTATGTAGAACTAAATCCGAACCAAGCCCCGCCCCGCTGCCCTGTTTTTCCGGCTCCTCCTCCATCACACCCACCCCCGAATGGACCTCCCCTTCCGCCGCTCCGCTTGTCTTCTCTTCCTCCCTTGCCTCCCCCTGAATCTCCCCCTTCTCGCCCTGATTTTTCCCCGCCTCGGCCGCCTCGTCCTCGTCCTAGCCCTCGCCCTCGCCGCCCAACTCCCACACCCACTCCCACTCCCACACCAACGCCGTCTCCGTCTTCGTCCCCTCCCCCGCAAGCCCCAGCTCCTTCCGGGGCCTTGTGTCTTTGGCGTCGGCCGGCTCTTCCCTCGTAAGTATTCTCTTCCCTTGCTCCTTTATTACTGCAAATTTCAGGTCTTCCTTGTCTATTTGTTTATCATGCTCCAGAGTGCTCATATTCTATTTTGGCATCTCTATCCCAGAGCACAAGCCCTTCTGAAGACAGAAATGAGTGCTTGAAATCGCTTGAGCTTTTGGGTAGTACCCTTAAACCAGCTCTGAGTCCAAAAGCCGAAAAAGGAACCTCTGTACATTTCCTTTTGAGTTTTATTTTGAGTTGGAGTATTTGAGTTATGCTAATTGTCAGCCTTTTTTTCGGACAATTTGAGGTCACCATACGAGGGACAGACATTGATATTGCGGTCAATGTCAATCTTCAAATCTTGGTCCCAGGAGGCGATAGCCTCAATGTCCGTCAACGCTTTTTTTATACTATCAGCGACCAGGACTATAACGCTTTTCACTTTCCTGGACGCTTCCAAATCAATTCCCTTTGGTGGGATATGTTCAGGCTAGCCGATCTCAGTTAGAGATCAGTCACGTGACATGGCTGGCACCTCGAAATTTTACATTCTTCCGTTGAACAACGTACATATTCTCAAGATCGATGGCGAACAGGGTGCGAATCTTTGGCTTCCTCACAAGAACACAAGATCTGACGACGAGGCCGATTTCGCGGCAATTTATCCGGCTACAAAGCGTGAAGGTTTCTGGCCATCCGAAAATTTGCACACGACACTTGGCCTCGACCACTTCTCGATCAAAGACAGCCTCAAGATCTATCAAGATGGTCAACCCAGACGAATATATTCTGACAATCTCTTGTCCAGATAGGGCAGGCATCGTCCATGCGGTGACAGGTTTCTTAGCTCAGCACAACCTCAATATCGTCGACTCACAGCAATTTGGAGATCCCACATCCAAAAAATTCTTTATGCGGGTACACTTCGCTCCAGTCGATAATGCATCCAATGGCATCAATGTTGAGCAATTACGAACCTCATTCGAAGACATTGCTAAGCCGATGGCAATGGACTTTGACTTGTCTTCAACTTCTCAAAAGCCACGAGTTCTCATCATGGTTTCGAAGATCGGTCATTGTTTGAACGACCTGCTTTTCCGCCAATCCATTTCTCAGCTTAACATTGAAATTCCTCTCATCATCTCCAACCATCCAGACTTCGCTCCGCTTGCCGCTTCGTTCAAGATTCCTTTTCGTCACCTTCCCGTCACGGCTGAGACCAAGACCGAGCAGGAGAACCGTATTCTGGAACTAGTCAAAGAGCAGAAGATCGATCTGATTGTTCTTGCTCGTTACATGCAAGTTCTATCGCCAGCGTTGTGCACCGCTATGTCCGGCAAGATCATCAACATTCACCATTCGTTCCTGCCATCGTTCAAGGGTGCCAAACCATACCACCAAGCTTATGATCGCGGTGTCAAGATTGTTGGAGCCACAGCCCACTTCGTCACGAGCGATCTTGATGAAGGTCCAATTATCGAGCAGGATGTGGTTAGAGTCGACCATGGCCTAAGTCCAAAGGGTTTGACGACTGAGGGAAGCAATGTTGAGAGCAAGGTTCTGGCCAATGCTGTCAAATGGGTTACAGAAAAGCGAGTCTTGCTCAACGGGCACAAGACAGTCATTTTCAATTAGTGATTACGGTCGAGGCAGCGGCGGTCGGCATCTCAGAATTACAAATTCAAAGTTCAGTTTTTCATTTCATTCTATGCGGGGTCCTTGTTACCCCGCACTCCATGCAAGTCGGTGGCGTTGACACATTGTGAGACAAGAATCCAACCAATTTCAAGCCTATCCTGAGAACTTTACGACTATCTGACAACCAGAAAGAGTTCTCTTCTAAGTTTCGCTGATAAATCGGGAGGCACCTGCAAATATATATGCTAACAATGTATAGCATTATGGGACGATGAAGCCCAATTGGTGAAGTGTTGATCTTGACAGCATTGCCAAATATCTCAAGCAATTTTCCTCCTGGTTCTGAAATTCGTTCTGTCCGGTCACAAACATGACTATTGCACGATCTAAGCGTTATCGTTCTTGCTCATCCATTGATTCTTTTTTTATCGCCCAACAGAAACACAGTCCCCAGAATTCAGAAAGGCCTGACAACCTAGGTCGATGTTTCCTGGTTCGTAGTGCTACTACCATTGAGTAACGTCTAGCTAATGCGTTTGCCTACAGAAGTAGACGGGTATAAGAATTGTTCTCAAACTCGAATCTGCAGGCTTCGTCTTGGTATCGCCCTTTCAAAGGATCATTAAACCTTCCAGATCAACAAATTTATTACGGCAAACACGTGCTCATCGCAACCTCCTAAGAAAGACACAACTCCCACTTGCTTCCACGCATGGATCCAATGCTCATTATCTGTCCTGCACTATACCCTAGATAGCAATGTCGATGAACACGAACTCCTCTTTTCACTTTCTTCGATCCTGCGCCGAGCCACCTTCCGATATCGATGTCCACAGTCCCGAAAAAACCTCCGAAGAGTAACTTCCGGGTACTCCCATCTGTCTTAGTTTTCGGCTGCTGGAAGTCGTATTTGGCTCAATCACCGATAGAAGCGGGTCATCGAGTATGAAACCTTGATGGGTTCCATCTATATAAGATCTATTATTGCCGCCACTCTCGTGGATAGTGGGAGACCGGACCACAATCGATACTTGTCTGAAGCCAGACCCTGGTCCGAAAACTTCGACTTCCCACCTCCCAAGTGTGCGGTGATTGCCAAGCCAACTTTGTTGTTGCCGCATCTCTTACAAGAATGCGAACAGCTCATGTTGTGGAATAGCTGTACCCGGTCCATGACGAAACTTCGAAAGAGATGTGGAAGCAACGTCGCAGGAAGCAAAATTTGTTCAACTCTCTTCGCTACAATTCACCAGAGACTTACGTCTCCTTATCGCTATTCGATAGTCAAAAGGACATGCATTATCCTTCCGCGACGGATCCGCAACATGGCATCAGATGATGCATTAGCGCCAGCTATCAAAATACGAACACCGCAGCACCATGGGCAGTCGTCCCGTCACTTCGAATCCTCGATTTCCAACTGAGAAGCTCTGATATTGCCAAAACAGCATCAGTAATATCTGACAGACACTGAAGCTCCGAAAGCGTGTGTCGCTTCGTGCAGTTTCTTGCTCAAAATTGAACGGACAGGCCCACATCACCCCACCTCGACTCGGTCCACGAACACTTTGGGACGAAGATAAGACATCTTTCTTCCAAGCTTGAGTCTCTTTTCTCCAATGGCAAGGACAGTCGATGATCGACCCAAGGGTAATGCCCAGAACGCACGCTCACAGACAAAATCTTCTCAAACGCTCAGGCGCCGTTCACGACTCCTGCATAAAAAGAGGGTCACTACCCACACTATCCACTCCAAACACTCCGTCGACACACAGAGGTGAAACCAAACTTCATGTCACTATCATACAAGACAATGGTTTCTGATATCTTCAAGTCGCATGCATACATAGGTAGGGCCTCTCAACCATTTTCGAAGTTTGGTTTTGAAGTACTTGCGGTGCTGGCATGAGCGTACTGTTCTGCTGTTTCTCATTCAATCGTTTATGCATTACTTATTATTCTCACCCGTCTTTCAGAAGTCACCTCATGGCGACTAGTAGAGCGCCTGAGGTGGACGTCGTTGCTGCACTATTTTTGACATTGACCTGGGTTACAACGGCTTTGAGATGCTACGTGAGGGGGTTCATGGCCAAGTCTTTCGGGATAGAGGATTGGTTTGCTATACTTGCACAGGTATGTCTATGTTTTTGATTGGATGATACTCCTGTTAACAGACGTCTCAGCTGCTGTTCACTTTAACTGCTATTTTTGTGCTTGAAGGCATTAGTCACTCCTTGGGAAAACATCTCATCGATATCTCGCTCCAGAACCTCGCGCCAGCAATGATGGCAAGTCATCTTTGCCAGTGTCCTTCAACATCCATACTGACAATATACATCCAGTACTGGTTCTCCACCGAATTAGCCTACACAATGACAACCGGCGTCCTCAAACTTTCAATCGCATTTTTCCTTCTTCGCATCGCAACCAAGAAATCCCATCGCATAATCCTCTACTCGATAATCTGTCTCGTCGCCCTTCTCACCATCGCCTACTTCCTCTTCCTAGTTTTCCAATGCAAACCCGTATCCTACTTCTGGGAGCAATTCGGCGGCGAGACCGGAATTTGTCTTGCTCCCGCCATAGTCGGAGACATGACATACACCCACTCAGGCGTCAACGCATTCTGCGACGTGATCCTCGCCCTCTGACCCATCGTCATCGTATCCCAGCTCCAGATGAACATCAGAACCAAACTCACCGTCTCAGCAATCCTCTCTTTAGGCATCTTGTATTTCCCCCCTCTCCTTTACCCTCCCCTATCCCAAACATGCTAAGAAGAAAAACCAATGCCGCAATCGCAGTAATAATTCGCATCCCCTACGTCAAAACGCTCGTCGACAACGCCTCCGACTTCCTCTTCTCCTCCACCGACGTCGTCATCTGGTCCGCCATCGAACCGGGCCTCGCCATCACAGCAGCCAACATGGCGACCCTGCGTCCACTCTTCCAAGCCTTCCTCTCCCGCACCAAACTCTGGGGCTCGACTACTGCGCGGGGGAATTCATCCGGCTACAGACACAGCAAGAGTCGGTCCCGGGGTTTCAGTAATGGTGGCAGAAAAGGGTATATCAGGAGCGGGAGTAAAGGGAATATCACGACGGATGGCGATATGGAGGGTGATGAAGTCGGGTTGAAGGATATGGTTAGTCCGACCGAGAACCCGGACGAGAAAGTCAGGAGGAGGAGCAGGAGGGTGAGATTCCGATATCATTGTCGATACAGAGGAATGGGACGGGGGAGTCGAGACGGGCGTCTGTAAATGCTGCGGCGGCGGGTTGGTGAGGCGAGGAGAAGAGGAAGGTGGAGAGGGATTCTTGGGAGGTGGTAATGTGTAGTATTTAGTCATTTCTTGACAGACACTTACTTTCTTTTGTGTTGTATATGATGTGGCTTTTACATATCTTTTTCGAGACGAGAATCTAGTTGCCTTCGTCTTCCGAATACTTCTTGTTCCATATTATCCAAGTCGAAAGGATAACGAATACGCAATCCTAGCTTGAGATTTGTACGCAAGCATTGTTCGGTAACAGTTTCCCTGAGAAACAAAAAAGGGGAGCCGAGATACAGTAGCCGATGCGCGACATGGATCCCATCGGATGAAACGCAAGAACTACGATCTCCCCTGACCGGAACACTTCCCGATCTGGAAGGCGGGGCATACAAGGTCTAGGTGGACGGCTGCTTGATAAGTTCTTAGCAAGAACTTACCTAGGTAGGTAGTTGTTTCGTGAACACGTGGGAGAAAGACATGAAAATGTTTAGATTTATTATCATTAGGATTAATTCAGTCTAGATCATTAGTACGGACAAGTAGGTATATACAAGAGTCATCATCATAAGATTCATCACTAAGCGTACAAAGCTTGCATCAACCATCCACACCGATCATTCGCAGTCGTATCTGTAATCACGCCTCCGATTCCTCCGTCTCCGATCACCATCGTGGTGCTGTTACTCTGATACAAAGGAAAGAACGGTAATCCGTCACCGTTAGGGTCTCCGCAATCGTTCATGGCGAAGTTGGTGATGTATTTCTGCAGCGTCGTTGCGACGGTCGCGTTCACCGGCAGGCCGTCATCGGAAGTAGTCGTGTCGCTGTTAAAGAACGTATATGCGATATCTTCCCCGTGAAGTCCGGGCGGGACGTTGAAGTAGTAGGCGTGTGTGAGGTTGTCGAATGCAAGGTCGAGGTACCGAGTATTGCACGTGAAAGATACTTCAGCTGTGATTAAAGATGCGCGTTCGAAGAGGGTGGTGTAGGGGTAAGTGCCGTCGTATACAGCGGGCCATAAGGTGTCGAGCATGTAGGTGATGGTGTCGTTGTCTGCAGTAGGGAAAACTGCTTCCAAGTTGGCTTCGAGGAGCGCTTCGGTGGTTAGGAATGGGGAGGTGAATTCAAGGCCTTCGTCCGAGTTGTGTCCAACCATGACATTGAGCGAGGAGTCGAACTTGCCCTCAAGTAGGAGCTTACCAGGCATAGCGGGAACGAACGTTCCATCGACAACGGGGCCAAAGGTAAATGTTCCATATGGAGCAGAGCGGGCAACAACAATGGTGTTGAGACCAGCAAGGGTGTCAAAGTCAACATCGCGGAGAGCAGCCACATCGGTAATGTTGGAGGCAATCAGAGATTGTGCTTGGGTGAGAACGGATTGGAAGGTAGCCTCCTGCTCAGCATCTCCTGGGACAGGTGGGAAACCTGGACTCTGCAGAATCGCTTGAGAGAATGGAGCTGAGCCAATGGCACCTCCGTAGGCGGTAATCTGGTGCATGATTGATCCGGCACCAGCTGATTCGCCGATGACGGTCACTCGAGTTGGGTCACCGCCGAAGAGATGGATGTTCTCTTGAACCCATTCGAATGCGAGACGTTGATCGTAAAGAGCAGCGTTTGGAATACCATCCTCGCCAGCGAATGTAGAGCCTGACAACCATCCCTGACATATATTAGTCTCTATTTGATCAATGGCTGCACAAGACGTACGAAGAGTCCAAGGCGGTAGTTCATCGCAACGTAAACCACGCCTTCACCGCCATCTTCCGTGCTGGAAGCAATCAAAGTCGCCGGATTGCCCGTGCTAGTTTTATCGCCATTGACATATCCACCTCCATAAACCCAAACAAGAACAGGAGCGGAAGTGTTCTGCGTATAGATAGACTCGGGTACAATGACATCAAGAAACAAACAATCTTCAGTCGTTCGTGGATCAGGAGCCGCCAGGCCAGAGATGGTCAAAGATGCTTCGAGTGCGTCGATTTCCTCCTCAACGTATTCCAAAGTCGCGGTGCCGTAGCCTTGTAGGTAGTATGAGGCAATCTCCTCCCAGTATGGCGATGCTTGAGCGCAGATTGATCCTTGTTGGCCATCGTTGAGCGTACGATTTATGGTCGTTGGCTTCACGGGGGCGGCGAATCGAAGGTTGCCGGTCGGAGGAGCGGCATAGCGGATATTGGAGAAGTTATAATAGTTTCCAGTCTCCAATATTTATGTTAGAGAAGACTCCAACTACGAGTTCAGGAAGCCCACGTTTATGGTAGCTTGCTGGACAACATAGCCGAGATCGACAGTTGGTAGAGCGGTCGAACTCGAAGTAGTAGAAGAAACATTAGAACTCGTTGGTGCAGCATAAAAGAACGTAGCAAAGAGAGAAGCAACGGCGACGAATGTGAGGCCAGCCATTTCGAACGAAGAGATCAAAGGAGTGGACGCTGGTTGACTGCCAGACACATGACAGGACGGGATGACCTAGACATCTTATATTTTGTTCCCCTCTTGATCCCGGAGATTTGCGCCTGAACCCTCGCACATCGTATATTAAACTCTCAATATCTACCAGGAATGTGACGCGGTTTTTCGACCGTTTCGTGCATCTCGGACGCCAATGACCTTAATTGGGTAGTCCCGCAAATCTGAACCGAGGCAACCCTCTTTCAGAACGAGCAGATTCATGCCAGATGGCGCAGCGGGACAGCTAAACTGGCTAGGTTCATGGTCAATGGAAGACGCGAAGAAGAAGCGGAAGGTTCGAATCAGAATCTGACACTTTGTGGATATCGATAGTGCGTATCATGAACGTGTGCAAGCGTGAACGACAGGTGAAAGGTCATAATATAATACTAGTGTGGGTTGGCGGGGCATGACGGATATTAGACGTGGCCCCTGAGTGAAAGCCTTCAGGGGCTGGTCTCCTCGTTATCCGATTGGTGGGATGATGGTCGCTTACCAACACCAAGTGCAAATCAAGGGTTCTTCAAGAAGAGGACACAAGCTTTTGTTGTGCTCGGAACAGTCCGCGAAAGTGTCGTGATTGAACATGTGATTCTGAATAACGAAATGTTGTCAAAATACAGTACAAGACTGAAATGGAGAAGACTTCGAGGTACAGTCTAGCTAAGAGCCTGAGACTACAGGCTAAGAGGATTCTGTTCGTATAGCAAATCCGACGAAAAGACGTTCATACTAGAAGTCGCATTGTTGAGAGAGATGATGCTACCCCTCTTGAATACGACAGCACAGCCCATATTCCGGATCGAGCCTCAAGCCCACGCGCCGATCCTCAGTATCGGCATGTAATTACCGTAAAGATTCGCGTCCAGAGGCTTATGTCGCTCGAGCTTCTGGGCAACCCCTCTATTTTTGGTTACTGTGTTCAAGCATTTGTCGACGGAAACCTCGAATTGAGCCTTTTCACGTTCATTCATGGATGAGCGTGAACCGGAGACTGATAAGTATGAGATCCTCCAAGAAGAACTCAGCAAAGACCTTTCTTGTCAGAATATGATGACCAAAACGTGCCTCCGGCCTTGGCAGTGTTTCTCGACATCTGGCAACCAAAGGAGCAGATTTCTATCAACCGTTCTTATCAATACCGCACAACTTCAGCAGGATATCTTGAAACTCTTCCCCAAAATAGACATCGCCCATATAGACCAACCAACCCTGTCCAACCTTGGCTCTGGCCACAATTGCCTCAGTCCGGTCACTATCGGGAGGTAAATCGAAAGGATCGACGTAGATTTTCTCGTCTGCTTTGGCGCCATGGACATAGACAGCTTTAGTGTGGTAATTTGAAGGCATATTTCCAAAAACAGCACGATTCTCAATGTTGCAGCCAACGTTTGGCCAGCATTCTGCTCGGGTGTAAGCTCCCATCGTCCACTGTTGAGTTAAAGTCAGTATCTTGGCCTCTGAGGGTACTGCGTATGCTTGAAGTCAAAGCTACTGCGTTAACATTAGAGAATTGTGAGAGTGGAGCAATTAAATGATTCCAATCATAAATGACCGGCAGACACTCATGATCAGAAGCACTTCAGAAACTCACAGCCAGGCCAAAAGCTTCAAAAAAAGCTTCGAATTGATCGGCGTTGGTGTTGTATGGAAAGAAGAAGCCGACCACGACAGTACCACCTGCGCGAACGTAGGATACAATCCTCTGGAGAATTTCCTCGTTCTCCTCTTTATGAATGCCATGATCGGTGATCAAAACAACACTCGGGGTTTGGACGACATTATCTATGGCTTCGCGGGCGGTTCCGACTTGGACGATTGTATCCGAACCTTCGCGGAGCTTTCTCATTACTGACCCATAGGCTTCATCTAGAGCAGAATTCCTAGGCTGAAGATCAATACGTCGATACTTCCAAATGAATCCATCTCTTGAGTCTTGGGTACCGGCGAGTCAAACTCCACGAAACACGCAAGGCGGTAGGATAGAAAAGAGAGAAGGAGAAAATAGACAGGAGAGGGGCTCATGCTCCTCCTCTATTCTCTCTGTTTGCCAGAAAGATGCAGTCGGCTTCACCTGACTAGCCAAAAATACCGCATTTGTTGATTTCTGCTGAAAAGAATCAACAAGTTGATTTCCTGAAAGGAAACTCTGTAAAGTCTGTCGAAGAAAGAAGGTACAGAGATCGGAAGGAAGATCCTTACAATAACAAACTCCAGCCAAAGGTTGAACATTGGAATTGGGACAGTGGAACTTCGCTTCAAGCTCCCTCTTCGCTACAACGCATGCAAGAATGGGACAATGAAATGGCTCTGAGAGGCTCACCTATGGCGATGTAGCGATTAAACTACCATCATGGATGTGGCACCTCCTCAATTTCTTTCGGTTCCATCTAGAACCTTCTCGCCAATGCTCAAAGAAAGAACGCACCGGAGAGATTACGTGTATGGCCACACGCTCACCAACAAGCCAATAATTCTCATCAAGCATAATCGAGTCATAGTCCACAAAACCTCATAGTAATCTCATGGGATCCCTCCTCGCCATTTACACCTCCAATATAAAGCAAATCTCCTTGACCAATCTTCGCGCCAGCCACAGCCGCTTGCGTAGGATCATTGACAGGATCAGCTGCGAAGACCGAGGACTGAATTCGTGCTCCGTCGACGGGAATGTAGAGCTTCTCCTCTGGTCGAGCTTTGTCAACATGGAGGACTTTCATACTGTATGGAGCAGAAAGCGAGGATTGCATTACCGGTGGGAGAGTGAGTGATGGATTGAACTGAAAGTTCGTTCGGTGATAGTCTCCGCGGGTCCACTGTGAGGAAGTCAGCAAAGGGAAGGATTTTGTCGAAGTCACACATATAATGCAAGGACGGTCCCAAAAGGCCTTTTCTGCCAATCTTACGCAAATTGAATGCGAGCCTGGACTTACAGGAAGTCCAAAAGAGCTAAAGAAATTCTTGAACTCGGTTGGGATGGTGAAGCCGCAGAAGGAAAGGCCCACAATAACTGTTCCCCCACCACGGGCCCAGGACACGACTTTGTCAAAGACGTGCTTGTTTTTGTTATCATGGAGATCCTGATCAGTGACGATAACGGCTCGAGGATTCTCGTTCTCGAGGAAAGTGATTGCGGAGTTGGCACTCTTGGCACGTTTGATCTCAGCGTGGTTGGAAAGTTGATCAATCAGACTCGTATAGATTTCGTCGTATGGTTCCCAGTATGCAAGGCTAAGGAGAAATATTTGTGGAAGGGTAGATGCTATTGTAGCTTTCCAAGTTGACTTTGACCGTGGTGCAATCACGAGAAAAACAATAAAGGAGAAGGAAAGATTGGTAGGCCAAACGCGAAATAAAGTGATTACGCGCTTTAGGCTAGTCCAAAAGCGGCTACAGTGCCAAACGATGTTTCCCCTCAAATTTTGGTGGTGTTTTCCAATTCTCAACGAAGAACACACACAAATAAAATGCTATAATATGATTGGCTGAGAGCTTCCTAGCGTATAAATTTCCTGCTTGCCTTAACTTCATTGATTTTAAAGAAGTGCATCGTTGAGTTTTAAATCCTGAGCATTTTTGCGACGTGCAACAAAAAATTTAAGGTTCTTAGCGCCGGCCTTACGTTTTTCCTGATTTGAAGCAGGTCAAGAGAGAGAAGAACACAACGAGAATCCCATACAAAATGGATTTTGTAACATGATTGGCTGATGAGCCACTAGCGTTGTCACTTCAGAGAAGCATCCTTTTGCGACATGCAACAAAAGATCTCGAGACAGCTCTCATTGGCTGTCCACTTTAACCTTAAATTTAACTCTAATTCCAACCACGTGAGCAAGGTATACAAACTTGTCGACTTTGGAAGGCTGCTTTGAGCAGGAAACCTCATTCTGGCATGATACAGGTATAGCTGATGCTTTTCTCAACGTGGAATTTCTTTCGATTCTTCGATTCTTGATACAAGGTAGGTAGGCAGAGAATGACGTCTTATCATGTGACTATCTGAGAACCTCCGAGCTTAGCTAGGCAAGCTTTGACAAAGACCTTCTGGCATCAAGTTGCGTTGACATTGACATCATGACATGATATTTCGAAAGGCCTTGATTTGCACTTCATACACAGTCAAATTAGTCCGAGACATTTCACGCTTCGCATCGCAAGAAACTCTCGAGCACAAACTACGTCATTGCACCGCCACATCATGACAACAAGCTGTTTGCCAGTCCTCGTCGAAATATTCAGAGCAAAATCACCGGTGACTTATTTCCACCTTCAGATCTAATATCGATTCCTTAAAACATTCAAGATGGCATCAACACTCATCAGCCTCCTCCACACTCTCCAAGCATCCTTCGCGGGGTACAACCTCTACCTAGCTTCAATCTCCATCCGCAACCTACAAAAATACGAAAGCACAGCCCAAAAGGCAGCAAAATGGTCGAACATCGCCGAAGATCAATTATGGAAGACGAGATATACCCAAGCTAGTGGCACTGTTGCTGTATTTCTCCCCTCCACCCTCAGCTTACCCATCTAACGCGTTTGCAGGTGCTTTTTTCATTCTTGAGCTCAGCATACCTTATCTTGAGCTCGAAAGGAACTTTGAAAAGCCTGGCTGTTGCAAGTGTCAATGTCGCAGCTTTAGCAGCGGCTTGGCAGCACGTGGGCAATTTCTGGAAGCGGAAGGCGAAAATTCCGTTGCCGAAGACAGGAGAGTACAATGAGGCGATTGGGAAGACGCAGGAGGTTCATCTCAATATGACTTACCTTATGGGGAGTTGGATTGCGCTGGGGGTACTTGGATTGGTCATGTGATTCACTTATGGTAAGAGAACAGGATATTTCGGACTCCATAGGGTCAGGGGGGTTAGGGGGGGTTGGGAAAAGCGATTATTGTAGCTATGGAGTCTTGCACCAAATCGAAAGTCTTGCATATAGCGTGTGGCCTAGCTTGGATGCCCATTGTTTCCTCAAGTTGACAGTGGATTACAGCACCAAATGACTTCAAACTTCACATCGAAGTTCGAACTCTATCGCTGTTTTAACATAGCTAAATCCAGTTGCCCTCCACTGAAAGAATAGATAGTTTGAGCTAAGCTTAAATTACTAGAGAACTCGGTAACGTCGCATTTCTGACTAATTGCCCACTCGTCACGAAGATCCTGACAGAGGAAAGAGTCCTCCCTATTCTCTTTTAACCCTCGTCCATATTCTCATCGCGTGTATCATGCACATTACTTTTATCACCGAAATAATCACCGTTTTTTATCCGTTCCAGTTTTCGGCTACATAGATTCTAGCTGTAGTACACGTCATGCATCAAATCTCCGGGACGAAAAGGGGGGTTACAGCCAGTTGTCGTTGGTTCTTCATTGAGTCAGAAGTTTACCTTAAACTCTCATTCCATTTATAACTTATGGCCAGCTTTCGAATGGGTCACTAAGCCAGAAGCCATTGTTATAAATTGAATAGAAAGTTTTACAAGGGAGGTACACCACCTGCCATAGCCGTTCCTTCACTCGTACAAAGACTAGGAAACATGCTGTTAGGGAGGAGTTGTGTCACCAAATCTTCCCTTCCAAACTCTATGACCGAGCCGTCGGGGCTCCATACAGGCCAACCTTGCGCGGGCGGTCCATTTTCAGGGTCCGTCATGAACGCCAACCACAAGTCCTGCATCACTACCGACACAGCTTCTTCAAATGCCGACGATGGACCATGGGTGATGCCATATGTTCCCATTACCAACGGGAGCTCGGAACTGTGGTATGCGTCTTCCCAGGATTGTGGCGAGATGTTGGTGAAGTTGCCAGCATAGTAGTATCGATATGTTGTGGCATTGTGTGGATACCGCAGTCTAGATCGTTGGGTCAGCGTTGAGTTCAAGGTTGAGTCATGGAAAAACATATACATGGCTGATTGTTCTGCTGCGCAGAGAATGGACAGCGTGATTGTATTCGCATTTGTGTAGTTTTCTGCTGTGCCATTTTCAAACCAGACCCCCAGAGATCCACCTTCGTTATTGTTAGATCCAAAAATAGTAGGCTGAGTTATTTCGTCAGTCATTTCTACCAATATGAGAAGCAGTAGAGGATTACTTACCATTTTGGCAGTCATCCCCTCATTGAACAGTTGAGTGTAATTTGCAAAAACAGTTTTATTATCAGCGATTGCTCCAAACGAGAGAGTTGGTGTGCCTGTATAACTCGTAAGGAAGCCCTCGATAGTATCTGCACTGACGTTACGCATGCAAGCCAACTCCGCCGTAGCTGACAGATTACCACAGCCGAGATGTCCAGCTAGCAGAGTGAAATCTGTATAAAGGCCAGACGTGGAAGGTGATACAGCAAACGAAATTGGTAACGCAGTCCCCGAGTCACAGATCACGCCAGCGACGATAGGATCATCGGGATGAGCAAACTGGTAGTAATTAACAGACTCGGCACCTGCTGACTGACCCCAAATTGTAATTCGAGAAGGGTCACCACCAAAGCTGGCGATGTTTGCCTGGACCCATTCTACGGCAAGGCGCTGATCTAGAAGTCCAAGGTTTTGCTCAGTTTGATTCAGGCCAGCGCATTGGGAAAGCCAAAGACGTTGACTCGATAACTGAAATAATGTTAATACCGAAAACATGCACATGGAAGCGAAGTACAAACTTGAAAACAACTGCAATATGACTTTGACTCCTCTCAACCCATCGCGTTGGAATCTGATAGTTGATAGCCATCCCACCAGTTGACAGTCCTCCCCCATAGAAAAACATTATAACCGGTAAATCTGCGTTACTCGGAGTCGTAGCCGGCTTCCAAACGCTCAAGCGGAGACAATCCTCTGAGGTTGGACCATAAATGAGAAAGTCACGCGAATCCACAGTATACACATTGGGATCTGACTGCGCTGTAGCGATTACCTGGGGACAAGAAGGGCCAAAATATGTGGCATCAATGACGCCGACTGGGGACTTTGGCACTGGGGGCGCCCATCGAAGTTGTCCCACCGGAGGCTCCGCGTACGGGATTCCAAGGAATTGGGCAACGTTGGGATTGGATCCGTTGATCAAGCCGTAGACAGTCCCTACGGTAGTATCAACCGTTAGGGAAACAGCGTTGGTAGAGGTATAAAAAAGTGATGCAGTGAAGAGAAGCGGTCCGATGATTGGGGGCAAAGAACTTGATAGCATCATGTTCGTAAATTTACTGATGGATCTGAGATGTGAAAGAAATAGACAGACATTGTCCGAGCAGCCGCTTTATACGATTCTCGCTCAACGATCTCTAATACCCCATCTTTGCGGCACTTCTCCACAAGTTCATCCATCGAGCTAGTCGGGACAATATTAGCATGTCTTCGTGAAGATCCTTGCAGTGATGTAGGAAATTATGCAGTAGCGTCGGATGATGGTAAAGTGCGTCATCATTGACAAGACTTTGCTCTGGAGAATACGATTAGGAAACACTTATTCTCCTGGTGAAAGGTTTGCTTTGTTGGTGCTGGTAGTGCGGGGTGAAAAGCGGGGTCGGGGCTATGCTTCCGCATTTGACTTCTTTTTCATGATGAGAATTTGAAAATATCTAGAAGTCTAGCACTATCTTCTGACAATTTTTGAAGCTGGTTTAAACTATGGCAAAAGCTGGTAGCTCAAAATCATTGCATTAACGCCTCCGGGGGATTGCAGCCAAAGCCACTAAGGTTTCCCGCTCCACCTCTTGATAGCAATCATAAAACACAAAACAACTTAGTCCCGAATTTAGATCCTCGAAATATTATAAATGTGAGAAGAATTTCACAGGTTTTGGTCTTTCTTTGTCATACTTTTGCTCTGTGCGTCCTCGGAATTTCCGCGGAAAGTCAACGATTTTGTTCAACCACATTTTCTATGTCCCATTGATCACACTTCGCGCGACTTCCGAGGAGTCATCTACGATCTCCGAGTGAATATTCCAATAGCTACTGCATTATCGCGTCCTTGACGAAGTTAATTGTTGAATGTAATTGAGTATCTTCTCCATTAGACTAAATCCAGCTAACTGCTCATCAGCCTCGGATATGTCCCGACTGTCTTCTAAAGAATGTCAGGCCTACGCAATTCAGAACCCTCCGCACGTAGTTCATGCCAAGGAAAAAGTACTTCATGCATAATAGTTACAAAGCCTATGATGAAGCTCGACAAGAGTCGAACAACACAATGCGTACTCAAAAACCTCGGCATCATCTCCGCTCCTTTACTGCGCCGTGAACGAGATGGCATCAAAATAAAATGTCCTAGCATAGCTTACAGACCCAGGGTTGATCATCCGAACATTAAACGCGATGTTCGTGTTCACCGCATCCGATGTATACGTCCCAGTGCTGTGAACCCAACCAACGCCTTCTCTTACCACAACTTCCGACATGATGTCGAGAATTTGTGTCTGGTCTGTGGTTGAGATATAATATACAGCATCAAATACGTAGGCAATCGTGTTGGTGTATTTGGTCCACTGTCGTTCACGTTAATGCCATCTTTGTAGAGAGGGGAGGAGAGGACTTACGGCACTCAATGTGTAGGTCGTGCTGGGACACAAATTAACATCTTGGTAGAACCAGCTTTGTATGTTCGGTCCATATGTATATGTGATCGAAGCTTGTTGAGAACCATCGACAGAAGGGTTAGAAGCTGTGCTTGGAGCCTGGAAGTTATAGGTGACGAAGTTGGGTTGCGGGTTGTATATCTGCCATGGGACCTTTGCAGAGTTGGTCTCTTCGAAGCTGGGGTCTAGGAGGGGTGTTTTGCATGACCAGGCTGCGGAAGTTGTCGACGTGGTCTGTATTTCGTTAGTGGAACATTCTTGGGGACAAAGTGATGGGTCTTCTTACCGATGATGAGGATACGACAGATGAAGAGCTGGCAGCAGCGGATGATGATGTAGCGGCAGACGAAGAGACGCTCGAGGATGTCACTGAAGTTATAAAGGAACTGCTCACAGATGTGGAGTAGAGGGTCGAGGATAGGCTCGAGCTAGAGACAATAGTCGAGGAGGCCGAGGAGCTCACAATGACGCTCGAACTGGGCATCGAACTGGACGATGAGCTGAGTAGAGAGCTACTTGATGAAAGCTGGCTGGAAGAGCTGGAAGAGCTGGAAGAGCTGGAAAGCTGCGATGAGCTGGCGAGAGAGGAGGACGTAGGGGTAAACAAAACTGATGTTGATGTGCTGGAGACACCCAGGCTCGAAGTAGATGTAATCGATGAAAGCAGCGAAGAGCTTGATAGGGTGCTGCTAGTACTCGAGAGTTGAGTTGATGATGTAACAGTTCCGTAATTGTACATGTTCAACCTGTTTGAGCCTCCACAGAGCTCGGTACTATCACCCGCGCAAGGGAAATTACAATCCGTAGGGGCAGCAGGGACACTCCCAGCATTGATAGAATTCCCGCAATAGCACTACATCTGTCAGTTTATGAAGTCAACCTACAGACGATCTCATACCTCTCTGCCGTATTCGACACCGAACCAAGTGTATCCTTTACAAACACCAGCACACTGTTCCACAGTCATGTCATCATCGTCAAAGGTAGACATGCTAAGTGCTCGGATACCCACTGCTTCGGTGTAGCAACCGACTTCAGTGAAATTGTTGGAGACGGACGATGCTAAGATGGAGGATAAGGTTGTGTTTGACCACTGATATAAGTTTAATCGCCAGTCACCTCCGCAGAGCTCTGAAGAATTACCCTTGCAAGCATACTTGCAGTCAGTAGAGGGAGCTGGAACACTTCCAGGCTTAAGTGAGTTTCCACAATAGCACTGTTAGATGTCAGTCAAGATAATTCACAGGAATACGTTGACATATACCTCATCATAGTATTCGACTCCGAACATAGAGTAACCATGGCTACCACAGACTGTACCACATTGCTCAACAGTCATCGTGTCATCGACGACCGTGAGACTAGTCAGAGCACGAGAATCGCTTGGCTCAGTATAGCAGCCAAGCGTGGAGTATGTCGAAAGGGTTTGCGTAGTTGTAGACCCAAGTGAAGCTGCTTTCGTATACATGTTGAGTCTGTTGCCGGCACCACAGAATTCTCCTGCATCCCCCGGGCATGGAAAGCTGCAATCGGTCTCGGGAGCAGATACACTTCCTGGCATGATCGAGTTTCCGCAATAGCACTCTCGCCCATACTCGACACCGAAACGAGAGAAAGTGCTACAAGCTGCTGCACACTTCTCCACCGTCATCAGGTCGTCAAAATATGCATCGCCCGTAAGGGCACGCATGTTCGTTGCCTCAGTATAGCATCCTCCATAATTGTAGCCAGTGATATTAACATCGGATCGTGGAGTCAGTTGCAGAACAGGTGTAGCATTGGCTGCAATAGCCGAAAGGAAGACAAAATTGGCGATGGTAAAGACCGTGGGTTGCATTTTTGCAATTGGAAACGAGAGACTTGAGAGACTTGGAAAGAAGGAAATTCTCGATATGCCAAAATCTACCTACACATAGCTTTATGTATTCAACTTCTCGGTCTTCCCGACAACTATTCTCTCCCTGAGCTATCGACGGGTAAACAATATTGACAGTTCAACGACGCGGTGTCGAGATGCCATCACAGCCACTGGATTTTATTGGGCTCAAGCCTCTTGCGAGCCCCATAGCTCCTTCGAGGTGGATTGGGGCGTCCATTTGGAGTATCGTGAATCAATGTGGCTTGGAAAAGGGACGTGAAAAGAAGACCGGTTTCGGCAACACCCCTATTTCCGACAGAGAGCTAATCCTAAATTAGAGCTTCCCCACATAGCTGCGGAAAGTGCACGAATGAGAGAATTCGCAAGCTCGCTTATAAAAGCAGGGGAGGCTTCTAGACTCGCTAATTTGTTCTCTTTTTCACGCCGACGACACAGCTGAAAATCGCGGCCCAGAACCGCGGAGCAGAATCAGGGAGATTGCTGTCTTATATTCTCAGTTGTTGTCATGCACCCAGTGCATGAATTGTGAAACAATTCTTTTATCAGATGGGACAGAGATTCCGACTTTGGGAAATGCAAGTGCTTGGCATCTCTTCGCTACACATTTTCCTCTCCTACTCCTGCTGAACGTTTGTCATCTCGTTCCGTTTTGACTCACTGCTCGACTAAAAAAAAAACAACTCAGAAACACGATAAAACTCGCAGGGATGAGGATCGTTTGCACGGTTGTCGGCACGTATTTCGTGCTGAGATTCTTGATCTATCGTTCGACCATCATTGCGCCCTGCATAATGTCCTCCTGGCTGACATGCTTGAAAATAGTCATACAGTATAAGAGGTCTGTCCGATTGACAGTACTTTCAAATTCGAAAACGAAAAATTTGACACGAATGCGACTGGCAAAGTCTCTTCCATCAACAGTCTTGGCATGTGCCTCTCTGTTCATCTTGTCGTGATCGCAAGCACCTACTGCTTCTTCTTGAATAGTTGGTGAGTGTTCTTCAACTTCACAACCTTCGGGTTTCTTGATTCAGACCTTCTTTGAGGAAGTCGGCATTTACTTTTCCATTTCCCCACCTCTCCTTTCCAAAATAACTGGAAGTGACATAGGCATACTTACTTGTTGGCTCCGGAGATAGATATCGTCACCCGATGGCGACAATAACATATATATTATATCACTGGCGCACATTAGTTCACACACATCACCACGCTTTTGCATTGACAGAAACATCATAGAAGACCACTGCTAAATTTGGGTTTGTCACAATCTCTTCTCTCAATCGATCGTCAACCGGCAATCAATCAACTAGTTAGTTGCTAGGATCGGTTTTAGGTTGTTATCTACCTCTCAAGTAGGAATTCTTCTTGTAAACATAATAAATACTTTCTGAAAATGGCCGAATGGACAATGGCGAGCCAGCCCTTACTTGATGGCCTGCAGATCATGTGATAAGTTTGCACTGTTACAGAAGACTAATACCCATCGAGCTAGAACATATATTTCCTTCACTACACTTGAGAACAGCTCCAGATCGCTTTCTCAATCTACATATCCTACCACGCGATATCTAGTAAGATGGACGATGACGAGATTCTGTATATCAACACTATGATGCATTCTACACTTTGGTTGGCCAAATGTCGCCATCAAATTCCAGCCTGGGTTTCTGAGTTCCACCCTCAAAAGCTACCTTGCAAACTACTTCATGACACAAACAAGCACGACCGTCACGGCTCATATAACTGGCTAGTACAGGTTGTGTTTGAGAATGCCGAGGAGTGGATAGTCCGATTTCCTAAAGGGACCAAAGTCAGATACCCCGATGAGAAAGTCGAGGCTGAAGTATCAACACTGAAACTTATACGAGACAAGACAGATATTCCTGTTCCCGAGGTCAAAGCCTGGGGTGTGGCTGAGGACAACATACTTGGGCTAGGCTCGTTCATTATGATGTCAGTCATCAAAGGCACCAGCTTGGACAGCATTCTGCTCAAATCTGAACCTGGCGCCAGAGGTATGCGGCAAGACATTAGTGATGAGGTAGTGGCAATAATCTATCGCCAAGTTGCTCGATTCATGCTCCAGCTTTTCAAGCTCGACTTTGCCCGGATCGGCAGCTTGTCCGAGCCCCCGGCAGGAACAGTGGACATAGGGTACGCCGCATCAGTACATTCACGGCCTTTTACGTGGAGGGCACACGAAATGTTAGTTCTCTGTGGAGTTGACACATACTGTACGTTCCATAAACCCGCTTTTGCTTTCCCGCTAGCTGATACTAATCAGCAACGCTTCCCAGGCCCAAAATCTGCAACGTTTTCGTCTACTACAGACTACTTCACCCATGTCGCCGACGGAGACCTTCAACAGTTGCACCAGCAACGAAATGCGGTCGACAACGAATCAGATGCGCGAAACAAGCTCATCTGCTCGGAAACACTTAAGTCTCTTATCCCGCGCCATGTGTTCGCGAAGTACGACAAAGGGCCGTTCAAACTCATCTGCGACGATTTTGGCCCATCAAACATGATTGTAGACAATGATCGGGACTTGAATATTGTCGGTGTCATTGATTGGGAATGGTCGTATGCTGGGCCTTGTCAGCTCTTCAGCTCTCCTCCTCGATGGCTACTCCTGCAATCCCCAAACGAGTGGGGACGAGACGATGAAGAGGTTGCCACCGGGTATGAAAAGGCCTTGCAAGTGTTCCTAGAGGTCTTGGAGGAAGAGGAGCGAAGTACTCTCCAAGATATGCCATCGACTGAGAGGCTGTCAGCTCTCATGAGAGAGTGCAACGAAGATGGGCACAATTGGTTTCACTGCATAATGCGCGACGGTTTCAATGGTCCTGATAGGTTCGTGTGGCAACAGCTCAAAGCTGCAACGCCAGACTTTGACCAGCTTGCTAGCGCAGTCTCAGAAGAGATGATCACTGCGTTCATCGAGGAGAAGATGGTTGCCTTAGCCGCGTACAAATTGGAAAGCGCCAAGAAGCGAAGTCTATCAGAATTAGTGGATGTCCCTCTCTGATCATTACCGTGACGATTATCATCATTCTCTGTCGGTGAAGGAAATCTCATGGACGACTATTATTGCATTCAACTTCCTGCTCAACACTAATTGTACACTCTCAACCCCAAACGTCCCACAACCACCGCGCCTCAGTAACGATAGACTGGGCGATGAGCAGGATTACCTGGTATCGAGTCCGTCAGAGGGTCAAATACTTGCACGTAGTCGAGATGTGTCCACTTCGTGATCTCGGCTTCCTCCTCAGCATCTGCATTGCCTCCCCTTTCTTGTACCTCCCCATTTTCATCAACCTTTGCCATTAAGACCCGGAAGCGAAGAGGCTGTGTCCAACAATGTGCGTCGTCCACCGAACTCGCACTCTGAGGCTGGCCCTGAGACCCGCTTTCTCCTCCCCTCGTCTTTCTCCATAGACCCTCGCTTCCCTCTTTATGCCGACTCAAGTACGGCAGCCAGGAATATTTAAATTCGTTGCCAGTCGGATCATAATGAACAAGCCAGAGTGTAAAAATCATGAAGTCTGCGTTCATGTCCACGTCTTCGAAGGGCAAGGGCAGGACTTATTGGCCCGTTGTCCACAATCGAGATGCCCCATTTTCGAGATACCCCATTGCCTTGGTCAGCTTCAGGTACTTCTCGTTCTTCTTCCCTAGCAGGTCAAGGGATCTCTGTGCAACGCCAGCAGTAGGCAAAGTAATGGCACCAGTCTCGGGGTTCGTGTAAGTGAAGAGGTGATCGTAGTAGTCGGCAATCCCTCTAGACAACTTTGGGAAAACGTGCGGCGGTCTACGTGTCCACGGCACCTTCGATTCCTTCTTTTTGATTTGTACAGATTGGGCATTGTCTGCCTGGCCCGCCCGGGTATCCTGATCTGCTTCACCCTCCATCTCAGCTGCTGTTCTCTTCTTGGCCTTCTCAGCCTTCAATCTCGCTGCTGCAGTTTTCTTCAGAGCCTGTGTCTCTGCCCCCAAGGTCTTGATACACATCTTGGATGCTCGTTGCAGAAGTTTTAGGCCTTGTCCTTCCTCCTCGTAGCTCTCTGTTAGCTCTTCAACGCCGTCTTCCTCATCTGTCTCCTTAAAAGCCAATGTCCAATTGTGTGAGGTGTACCATCCAATCGTGGTGTAGGATTAGATTCTCAAATAATGGATACATGGCAAAGGTGAACAGTTGGCTTATTAGATAGTCAAATCTTGGAACTATCTAATGTTGGTTCGTATATAAAATTAAAGATCTTTGACTTTGAGAGACATGGAGAGAAACAAGAAGGTTAAAGATGGCTCCATTCTTATAGTCGACTTCCATACCAAGTTTTTCAATACCGAGATTGCCAAAGACAGCTCACAAACTCGACACAAGCATGATTAGGTCAGGGAAAACAAATCCGACAGCCAATCTCTGGAAGCTTGCACTGTACTCCAGCTCTGCTGCCAGCTTTCGATCAGCGTGGAAACAAGTACTGATTTCGTGACGCCATAAGACAACTATGGTGCTGGGAAACAGTACCCGGCAGATAAACGGACATTTGCTAGGAATCATTCCGAGATTCACGCCAGACACCTGAGCCACTGGAGCCTTCGCCCTCACATCCTCCCACAAACCTCTGGTCAGTCCCTGATGCCGCTGTCACAAATCTCGCTGTACTCACAAACTCATCTCAACTCACCCCGTGACAGAAGTCACCTTCACGCATTCGAGTCATGGGACGTACAACTCACCCCGTATCAAACTAACGCACCAACAGACATTCGATCAACGCATACCACTCACCTGTTCAATGTAGTAGAAAGCAAGCAAGCAAGCCCGTGAAACGCCATCAATTCCATTCCTAAATACAACTCATCTAAACTCCGCCTTCTCATGCATCATTTTTTCCCTTCATTCATTCGTTCGTTCATCTTCATATACCTCCCTCTATATATCGCCCTATCCATCTATAAACACCCCGTCCTATTTCATCCCCCCGAACTCCCCCCATCAACGTTCGCGCTGGACAAGCGTCCATTCATACTACATCTTATCAGCATCTCATTCACATTCAGGGAAAGGAAAGAAACTCACAACCCTCCCATCCTCATCCCCAGTATAAACACACTGCGCCATCGGCGCCACACACGTGATAGCCGCCTCCCCGCCTCCATTTCCACTCCGACTCCTACTCCTGGCCCTCGCCCTCCCCTTCGGCACACTCAGACTCCCCACTGCCGTCTCACCCCCGGGTCTGTCAACATGCTCCAACCTCTTCACCAACTCTAATTTCCACTTCTGATTCCCGCCACCATTTCCCCTCACCACTGCTTTGCGCCAACAATTCACAATTCCATTTCTCTGGCCCGTGAACAAGAGGTTGTTCTCAAGCCATTCATTCCCAACGCCTTCGTACCACGCACAACTCGCAATGTAGTCTTCGTGATGGTGAGGATCACAGACGTTTTGCTCGAGGATGAATTCGCCGTTCAGGGTGTAGAGAGTGACTTTTTGGCCGCGACAGAGCATGATGTCGCCGTTTACATCGTTGATGCGTGCGCATTCGATGGCGCCGCGGCCGTGGGTGAGCTTGCGGACGAATTCGAGGCGATTGAGGTCCCAGAGAATGACTATGCCATCGACGGAGGCGGAGAGGAGGGTTGAGAAGGATTTGGAGACGGTGAGGACGTTGACTGGTGTTTTGTGGCCGAAGAGGGAGGAGCGTGGTTGCAGTTCTACGGGCTTGGAGGGAGATGTGATGACAGTATGAGCAGAGACGACGCAATCCTCGCCTGCAGTGATGAGGAGTTGGGATGAAGCGAAGAGTGCGGCTGAAATTTGGCCCTGGTGGAGATTCTCGCAGAGTCCAGCTAATTTCTTGTTGTCGTTGAAATAGAAACGGACGCTGTTGTCTGCAAACCCCCATTCAAGGTACTTGTCGTAGTGCGGAGGCAGGTTGAGTCGGAAGGCAGTGGCGCAGAGCAGGCGATCGAGTTTTGGAGAGTAGGTAAGTGTGGCCACTTTATCATGAGACTCAAGAAGAGGAACTGGGAGACGAGTTAGTGTTTCAACGGAGGTGTCGAGACGACGGATGCGATTGCGGACGTCTTCGCGAGCTTGATGAGGCTTGGAGAAGACTTGATGCGGTGTTTGGCCGAAGTTGTGGATGATGCCAATTGTTGCAAGACGCTCAACGGGATCCACTATGTTATCGAGGTCCTTAGCGCCATGATACGAGAGATGGTGGAAGACGTTGACGCTTTCAATGGCAGCCTCTCCTCTCTGCTTGCATCCAAACACGAGATCGATCCACTGATGTAAGTACTTGCTGACATATGGGCTCTCTAGAGCTTCCCGATGCTTGGCAATGAAGATCTTCGGATCTCCTTTCGCCCAAGGTGGAAGCTGGACGGTGTCGATGCCACCACCATTGCCTTGCCTCATCCCGAAATTGTATCCATTGCTGTTCGTGAGGAACTCTGGAAGATAGAAGAATTCCGGAATCAATTCTCGAACATCACTCATATTGTCCTTCGATGCAGATTGCCAAGCTTTCTCGATTGAATAGAACAGTCTGTCGGGATGATCAAAGTTGCCGCCTTGGAGCAGGAGATATGACTGTACGAAAGGCTGAAGTCTGATCAGATAGGAAGTCACGATCATGGCTGATGAGTAATGCGTGCCGTAGTGGAACGGTGGAGAATTCTGATCCATCTCTGCAAATGTCTTGTATCGTTCGATGAAGTCCGCAGCACGAGAATTGTGCTGTGCGCCCATGGGTTTAGACAAGTCTCTGTATGTAGCAGGGTTGTCGAGATCTAGCTCCTCGCTCGTATAATCTGCCAAAATCCATGGGAAGACTGGGTACTGCGTGAGGTCGTTGAATGTTCGTCCAGCCATTGTATTGACTAGCATCAGATAGTGGAAGTTTGAGATTTCACCCTTGGCCCATCGCCTCATGGCGGGGTTCCATGCAGAAGAGTTGAAGATGCTACCAAACTTTGATCCGAAGGTAGTTGGAGTTTCCTCTGAAACTTTCAGCGCCTCAACTCGCCAGCCATCTTCTGGATTTGGGAGATTTGTGTTTCCAGTCGTGTGTGGAGCTTTTGAAGTGAGTTTCGAGTACAGGTCGTCTCTCAGGGTATGTGAAATGGCTGTGAGCAAGTAACTCCGCCCATCAGTGAAGAAGACTTCGACAGCCACATCTCGGAATAGGAAACGTCGTTTCGAGACACTGATCACGTCGCTCCACTTCCAACTTCGAGCTTCCTGCTCCGCACGGACAGCTTGCGAGCGTTTGTCAGTCGTCTTCTGACCAGCGATCATCTGCAAGTACGGATCCCGTTCTTCTTTTGGAGCCTGCGAGACATTGACAATCTCTCCATCTGACCTCTGGAACACGTTGTCGATGAGATATAAACAGTTTTTGCCAATGATCAGCAATCCCTCACAGGCTTCAAGACCAATGATTCGAGAGATATTGAAAACATTTTGGACTTGGTCCCCAATCCGTAGACTGCGCATGACTTTTCGATTCTTGTCTTCATATCCATCGTCGCCATCACCGGGATCGTTCGGATCATCAACGAGCTCAAAGTCTTCCTCGGGCATGACGCTCCCCTGTGCCGCAGCATCTGGCCCATCGACTAAAGCATCGTTGGAACCATCGTTTTGTGAATCAGGTAATAGATCATTGGGCGTCATCGCTGATGGTGTGGCGGTCTGGGGGTTAGCTGTGAGGGTAGCCAGCTTTGTATTGAGCTTGAGTGTACCATTAGTAGCAGTCGGCGTGGCAGCCGCATCCGTGATTCTGCGTTTGGGCTGATAATCATAACTCGGGGGCGCGCGATCTGGTAACATTCGCAGGCGCATACGGTTTCGTCCTTCTGTTCTGTCAAGCTTCCATTTGATCGGAGAATCCGCTTCAAAGATTGCACATGGTCTATGGAGTTCGCGATCCATCTTCGAGAAAGTAGCCGCGAGGAAGCTGAAATTGTCTTGCTGGTCTTGCTGGGCTCTTTGATGCTTGAGGTGTTCTGACGCGTAAATATTCTTCATCCACATGCTTGATGCAAGATCGTGGCGGAAAAGAATGTCTTGTTCATTCAGGTCCTCGGAATGCCATTGACGAAGCTTCTCGCGTCTCTTCGCGACGCGAGTTTTGGCTGTCTCCTCGGTCTTTTCGTTTTCTGCAGTGACAAAGTCATCCCAAGATTTTGACATGACTCCAAAGAACAGAGAATCGAGCTCCGCGCGTTGATCGTCGACCCACTCAACAAACGTCTCGTTGTCGAGTTCCATGAGCTTCTTAAAGCCAGAAGCCAAGCTTCGGTGTTCGCTGGTCATAGCATTCTGGAACATGGACGACGTCTCATCGGGTTTCTGGACAAGCATGATTCGCCAGAGATTTGCTGCAGCAAGACGAATCTTCTCCCTCGAATCAACAAGCTTCAGATACAGCTGATAGCAGATCAACTTCAAGAAGTTCTCTTCACTGACATCAGAGGACAAGACCACCGTCTGCCAATACAAGAGTTTGTCCATAAAAGCCAGTGCTTCATCCTCCGGGACTTGGGCGCTGTCCAACTCTGATAGGCGAAGAAGAACGACTCGAAGGAAGACACTCTTGATAGTCAGAATAGCTTGACTACACAACCGTACGCTCTTGATCTTGGAGATCTCTGGGCGTTGTAGATACTCAAGCAGTGTTCCCGCAAAGTCTAACAAAGGCTCTGCGCCACTTAAGAACCAGCCTTCAAAGATGCATTCGCCTATATGTAGAACAAAGCGCGCCATATTCTGAAGAAGTTTAGGCTCCCATAACGACTTCTGGTCGAGTTGAATGGTATTCCCGAGTTGCGAAATTGTGTTGCGCAATAAGTATGATTCGAAATATGCTTGATGTTCTTGGAATCCTGGTGGGACTTTTTGGAATAGACCGAAGCCAGGAAACTCTTTCCGAACCATCACTTGGTCTACGAACACGATGACAACAAGTTCAAGCAATCCTTCAACTAATGAATTGCTCACCTTCTGTTGAGTTAATTTCTTCTTTGGTGACATGACAAGATTCAGTCGAGCAGAAGAAGGACTGAACTCGGATGGGCGAGAAGTTAGGAGAATGAACGACGACCCTCGTCTTAAAGGCGTAGCTCTAGGTGCAGTAGGACTTGGAGGAAGCATTGTCTCCACTGTTGAGGTTCTGACAATGGGAGCCGGTGTTGTCGTTGCGCGTGAGATCGGTCGGATGATGACATCGTCCCCTTCAAAAGTCAAGGCTGAATCTCGAGAGTTGAGTTCTGTCTCAGCACTGACAGCATCGGTGCTAACAATAGCGGGGAAAAGCACTACCAACAAGAGGCGGATGTAGTCGGACGTGACTGCAAAATCGCGGAACTCGACAGATTTTGAGTGTAAGTCGGCAAAGAATCGAATGACTGTGTGCAGGACTGTTGCTTGCCCTCCTAGGCGCTGACTCCTAGGTTGATGCGTTTCTGTCAATGGTCAGTAGTTGCTATAGTGGCTAAAAGGTGTGCATTGCTCACGACGTGATTCCAATTCTTTGGTCAGAGACATGGATCTCCGTCGATTGGTAGCGGCTGGTACAGTTAACCCGGCTTTGGAAGCATTTCCATTACCTTTCTCCGCAAGAGGAGAATCTGGATCATCTTGATGGATAAGGACATCCTTCAATCCGTGCTGAAGCATCCCAGTAATGACTGGCAAGGCATTGGGATAGACGACTATGCTATTATTGAAATTCTCCAGAAGGCTGAAAAGCTCGAAAGAGCGTTCGAAATCGATGTCGGCGACATCGTAGCTGAATAGTATGGAAAAGCAGATTGGCCATAATGTTGGAATGTCCCACCATCTTTTCAACCGGTATCGCAAGATGGCAAAGCCGCCTGTCTTGCTGTTGGAGAACTTTGACACATAGGCTGGGCCATGTACCACGAGCAGACGGGCCAATATTTTTGTTCCATGCACGATCACCTCCGGGTCATCTTCTGTCAAGAGATGGAGTAACCACTGTACCGCATCAGAATCCTCATTTGGCTTGGACCGATCAATTACACTCACCTTATTTGTTACAGTTCTCGCAAACTTTCGAATGTGGGTGGTATTGCCTTTCTCGCATAAAAGGTCTGCGTACATTTCTAGAACCTTGTTGCCGAGCTGTCTTCTGGTAAGGGTAGTCGACACGATATCTTGGGAGTCCATCATGGTCATTGTGTTTAGCGCTGGCCGGCGAGGAGCTTCCTGGTTCGTCCTAGATCTTACTGGAAGGGTTCCAGCTAATCCTTTGGGTGTCCTGGAAGCGGAAGAACTAGTGGGCTTGTGATATGCATAGGTAACGAACAAAGCCAGTGAACGGAAAACCTCGGAGGTCATATTGCATTTGACTAAGCAGAGCAGCGCTTCCATGAAAGAAGGAAATACATCGTGAGTGAAGACCTCTGCTTTGAGAGCATCTAAGAACCTCTTGACGATCCCTGAGATATCGATTAGCGGAAATACAAAAATAAATGCGGGACGACTTACGCATTCGATGCAGCCTCAACGAGTTGAATTGATGGGATTTGCTTTTGACACCAAACACGATGAATTGCCTGTAATACAATTTTTGAGTGATCAATGCAGTCTTACGCCACATGTCGAAGTCTATCAGAAGGATTCGGTAGGCTAATGGATTGATGATATACGAATCCTCTGGCTTCTCATGATTGTAACCAACGAAGTCTAAGACAAGACTGAGAAGCTGGAAACCAAGCTGGTCGCGATCTTCGCTAGTCATCAACGTAGGTTCAGGACCTGACTTGGAGGCGACAACGACTCCAGCACCAATTTTGCCACGAAGAAGAGCACCTAGGATAGAGTACCCTTGTTCTTTCTCCATGGCCTCGCTATTTCGCCAGCTGCCCTTGATGCTTTCGAACAAGATTTCAACAGCTCGAACGATATCATCTTTGGTGTTTGCATCCTCAACCAACTTCAAAGATATGCCAGTGAAACCCCCGAGTCGCCACATTATGTCATCTAATGATTGTGGTACAACGACGACAGGATCGCCAGTGAGAACAGTAGTACCATGGGTCCGAGATAAAGCGTCATTGATGGATGGAATAGACGCATTAACGGCTAGAGATGTTCCATTGTTGTGGGTCAATTGATAGAGATGGCTCGCTGCTATTTGATTCAAGCCACGCAGAAGCTGTGATTCATGTCCGTTGTACCGGTCATCGTCTCTAAGCACAGCTGTCGGCAAGATGCTTAGTATGATCCGACTTTCCGGCATGACCGTACTTGCTCTTTGTCGAATAGCAGTGAGAATCTCTGAAGTTTCGTCTTTGCCGGGGTGTAGCAATTCGTTGCGCATACTTAGCGCCGCCGAAGCTTCGTATGTTTGGAACCCTCCAAGTCCGTCCTGGAAGTTACCATTGTAGCGAGGTCCAAGTCGAAAATGTACGGCGATTAAATCGTCACTCAGGGCATCTTCGAACAGATGAGCAGATGCCAATGACCAACGCGAGAAAAGAACTCGAGGGCCTAACTTTGACGACAAATCATGGGGTGTGCCTAGGAAAGCCTGTACCGGATTCGTTTTGCTTGATGATGATGAGGCGAAAGATGTAAAGCTATCCGTACTCGCAGCCGAAAGTGCTGGAGGCGACGGATACGGACATTTCGTCGTCTGCTCAACAAATTCTCCGTCCACGTACAATATCGCTCTGCTTGAACTCATTGTCTTTGGTCTTCGATGAACGATTGCGATATGGTACCATTGGTGCTCTTTAAAAACCATAGATTTGAAACGAACACTTGGTCTGGACGAAGACATAGAAGTTTGGAGGATGAAACAGTGTGAGTCCTGTTCAAGGTATCCTAGGACGAAGCAACTCTGAGAATCATCAAAGGCTCCGAAGATAGTGGTGTGACAATTAGGATCAAATTGATCGATGTAGATCCATGCTGTAAACGAATATCCAGCAGCAGTCGATGGTGGTGGAAATGTCCGTCCCAAAGTGGGAAGTTCTACAGAAGCATAACCATGCAAAGACAGGTCGAATTGTATGTACGCAGGGGAGTGAGAAGACTTAATTGCTCGTAAGAGGAATTCAGCTGCTGCAGGTGATTTGTTACAAATGAGAGATTGGGCATCATGTAATGTATTAACCCCAACTGAAATCAACATTTCACAGAGGACTTCCACAGACGCTCTTTCAGAAGTGCCAAGTGGAGAATCAGAGTCGAAAGCAAGGGAAAGAAGTGTCGAAAGTACACCAGTAGCATGCAGAGCCATGAGATTATGAACGGATATGGACGAGATCTTCGTCAAAGTGAGAATGACAACCAGGGCAGCTGGATTGATTGGAGTATCCGGCTGTCTAGGCATTGTTCTCCAGAAGTCGATGATTGTGGGTATGATATCTGCATTGTGTATCAAAGCACTTTCCTGGAGGATTTCTTGAAGCCTGGTCTCGATGAATGCTAGAATCTCCTTGTCCTTAGCATCAACATCTTTGTCTGCTGTACCAACTGAGGTCTGATCATTTTTGGATGGAGCCAGGCTGGGAGAATTTTTGCTCAGGGGCAGATGTCCTTCCACAACCTTGAGACACAGGTCTTGTAGTCTCTTGTCATCAAGAGCAAAGGATAGAAGTCGCCCAAAGAGCTGAGCTTCACTCCATGCGTCGGATTCGCTTCCGCCAATCCCGATGCTGGCTATCGTCTGCTCTAGAGCTGCCCAGCCTCCGCCTTCGACTCTACGCTTGAAGTATCGTCGATTTCCATAATGTTCCCTGAATGTCTGTGCCAATATTCCTAGTATTGCCTCCAACAACCCAAACAGCTGTAATTTATCCTTTTGACTTCGTTTCGTAGGGTGGTAAAAGCCAGAGAAGGTGCGCAGAGTGTCTAAAAGAGTTTGAAAGCCGTGAAGATGGCGGAAGTTGTCATTGGCTTTGGATCCCTCCGAAGCAGCAATGAGGTACTGCCGGATAGACTGGCACTGGTCTGCAAGTATGCCCAGGTCGGGATAGGAGTTGCCCATGGGCTTTTGCAGGGTAGTCGTGAGGTTGTCTAGGAGAAGCTGTAGCTCTGCGGTAGCTTGTGTGCTTTCAGGAGGACCGGATGCCGCCGTTGAGGACCGCGTCCGCCGCGACCTTGCAGACATTCTTGTGTACTCCTGAATCTCCAGACCCAGATCAAGGCTTTCTAGCCTCCTGCATTGGTCTCCCTCTCTCAAGCCCGTGGGAGTTCCAGGCACCTGTCAGACGTGGAGATCATCGAATATCTTGTGCAGGCCGGAGGTTCTCGAGAAGCTCTAGACTGCCAAAGAGAAAAAGTCTTATCGGTGTACAGTCGCAGCGGAGGTAAGGCACGCTTGCTGTTCCTGCATTGATTCGTGGTGAGTAATTTGTGGTTGTGGTTCTGGTTGTAAGGCGCTGACTTTCATGGATGAGGCTGAGTCCTTGATCGCCAACGGCCTCGCGGTTTCGAGTGCGCAGGTCTTTCGCGTATGGACTGGGACCAACGCTTTGCAGAACAAAGTCGTGTGAGCATTATTGGGAGCAATTTGCGAGGGCTATAGATCAAGATAAAGGCCGGATGCATTCTATTCAGAGTGATCATAATTGTCTATCAGTATGTAGGTACAGTAGGCTACATGTTGTATGCAAACAATTTCTAGCAAGCTACAAGGTAGCATTCCTCGCTGCCTTCGTCTATCCAGATCCAGCTCCCGTCAAATCCCAGTCCCGTCTCCCTGTTCGCCCCTTCACGTGCCCTTCGAGTCAGGCGGCAGTGTCAGACAGCCTTGAGTGGCTGTCAGCTTGCCCGCTTTCTCAAGTTGTACCTGGCGAGCAAGTCATCTGGACAGTGGATGATGCGATAATGGCGCTGAGACATATTCACATGGGGAAGCAGCAAGAGGGCGCAAGAAGAGCTGTTGTGTCGAGTAATGCTGGTTGCAGCCTGCATGATTAAGAGCTCTCAAGCGCGGGATGATAGGACGGGAATAGGTACAGCAACTTAGCCTTACTCAGGTTGCCCCGGATTCGGCGAAAGAGCAAGGCAGTCAACCAACAACAAGCTTGTTGAATGAGCGAACCAACGATGAGAGAATGGGAATTACAGCTCAGCATCATCGATGAATGAGAATGAATACATGTGTATCTTGAATAGCCGGATTCTCAAGTGTCACTGTATTGTCTTGTCCGACTATCGCAAGGGAGACCGTGACGTTGTGACTCGCCTTCAAGTTGATAAGAGGCGCACTAGGTCTGATTCAGCTTAGCTCCACTCCATTAGCACCGCTTCGCCCCAGCCTGCATTTAGGCCACTGCTGGAGCTCGTCCTCATCCTCTCTTCCTCCATCTTCATCACAATCAACAACCTCTCCCATCCTCGAAGACAGCTCAAATAACTGTCTTCACCCCCATCAACACTCTTCAGTTTTCCATTTACTATCTTCGTCCGCAGGCAGACTCCTCTCAATCATTCTATTCACCATCATCATGCGTGGGCTTATCGGCTTCACGCTGTTGCCGCTGCTGGCGTCATCGGCACCCACATTCAGCACAGAGACCATCCACGAAGGTGCTGCTCCTTTGATCTCCTCGACCAACTCTGTTGAAGTCCCCGATTCCTACATCGTCGTCTTCAAGAAGCATGTCACCGAGGCCTCTGCCTCAAGCCACCACAGCTGGGTGCAAGACATCCACCTTGAGGCAGAGACTCAACGGACAGAGCTTCGAAAACGCTCGCAATTCCCTATTACGACAGATATCTTTGAGGGCATGAAGCATACATACAACATTGCTGGCAGCTTCCTTGGATACTCCGGCCACTTCGATGACGCTGTCATCGAGCAGGTCCGAAGACATCCTGATGTAAGTAGCTCACCTTTCCATTCTGCTTTCATCGATTTCAACTTCGAAACAATCGCAATTATTCCATCCTGCTTGGTTCTACCGTTCTAGAGCTTATCTGAGCTTGTTGCCCACAAAGCGACCCCATCCTCGAGCTGTTTTGAGGCAGTTGCCGAGGATACGCAATCGGAAACTCCCCACGTGATGCATTCTTATCATCAGTCTTCCTTCACTATCCACAATCTCACCTCAGAAGCACATCGCTGACTCATTTTTGAACAGGTCGAATATGTCGAGAAGGATTCCGTTGTCCACACTATGGAAGATACCGAGGGTGAGCTAGAGAAGAACGCCCCATGGGGTCTCGCTCGTATCTCACACCGAAAGAGCTTGGGATTCAGCAACTTCAACAAGTACCTGTATGCCGCTGACGCTGGTGAGGGTGTTGATGTTTACGTGATCGATACCGGAACCAGCATCAAGCACGTTGACTTTGAAGGCCGAGCACACTGGGGTGCCACCATCCCAGCCAACGATGCTGATGAGGATGGAAATGGACACGGAACTCACTGCTCCGGCACTGTCGGTGGCAAGAAGTACGGTGTTGCCAAGAAGGCTGAAATCTACGCCGTCAAGGTCCTCAGATCCAACGGTTCAGGAACCATGGCCGATGTCGTCAAGGGTGTTGAGTGGGCGGCAAACGCCCACACTGAGAAAGCCAAGAAGGGAAAGAAGGGCTTTAAGGGTTCTGCTGCCAACATGTCTCTTGGTGGTGGCAAGTCTCCTGCTCTTGACCGTGCCGTAAACGGTGCTGTTGAAGCTGGCATCCACTTCGCTGTTGCTGCCGGTAACGACAACGCTGATTCCTGCAACTACTCTCCAGCTGCTGCTGAGCAAGCTATCACTGTTGGAGCTTCTGCTCTTGATGATTCTCGTGCATACTTCTCCAACTACGGAAAGTGCAACGACATCTTTGCTCCTGGTCTCTCCATCCTGTCCACCTGGATCGGTAGCCCATACGCCACCAACACCATCTCTGGTACTTCCATGGCTTCCCCACACATTGCTGGACTTTTGGCCTACTATCTCTCTCTTCAACCAGCTTCGGACTCTGAGTATGCCGTTGCTGCTATCACTCCCAAGAAGTTGAAGGCCAGCATCATCAGCATTGCCACTGAGGGTGCTTTGTCTGATGTTCCTGCTGACACTGCCAACATCCTCGCCTGGAACGGTGGTGGATCTTCCAACTACTCTTCTATCATCAAGGCTGGTGGATACTCGGTTGGTAAGGCTGACAAGCCAACCAACATGCCCACCACCATTGAGCTTTTGGAGGAGGCCATTGAGAAAGACTTAAACATGATCTCCGGCGAGATCGTCAAGGACACCAAGTCCGTTATGTCCAAGACCGAGAAGTTCTCCAAGAAGATCCAGAAGATGGTTGATGAGGAACTCCACGAGTTCTTCGAGGAAATCAGCTCGTAAAGAGTTGATTCGTACGACACGACACGCAATCTAGGATGTACCCGCTAGTCAACACGGGAATTTTTTCATTACAGTTTTGAGGCATGGTCATGGTTCGGAGCTGGTCGAGGGCTTTCCTATTGTAGGCTTTATGCATTTTTGATTATAGGCTTTTCCTTGTGTCTTCAGATCGTGGGTTTCTCTGTTGTGATACACAATAGATTCATTCTTGAATTGTAACAATCTACTCTCAGCTTGTGTGACTCTTTGTGACTGTGGGCTGCTCTCGTGTACCCCTAATCTCTTGGGTGTGTACAGACATTAGATCAGGGAATTGACTAGTGAAAATCGGCGATGAATGATGGTCTTGGTTTCAAAGCTTTTGACTTGAACATGTGAGGTTTGAATTCCAGACATTGGAACGACCTCCTCTCGGGCACCATGAATGTTGGTCCTGCCCATAGTCTAAAAATGTCAAGCTTGGCATCCAGATATTGGAATTGCCAATTCGATACTACATGTAGGCACAATCGGTATCATCATCTTAGACATTCAGTACAGTCCCGATCCCGACCCCGGCCTTCCCGTCATTTCCCGCTTGTACACGTGACAACTAGTCTCTCTTCGGATAGCGTAGATTTTTGCTGAGACCCGCGCTGTTTGCGCTGGTATCGCAATTTCATCACAGCAAAGGGAGGGGAGCGAGTGCTTTTCCTGACTTGGTGGATGCTGTATATTGTCGGATATCGAGGTTATATCTGTCATGGTGTTGTCTTTTGTGTTTTTTGATGTTTGTTTCTCTCTGATGATCTCGCGTTTCTGGATTTCGGGCGTTGCTGTTGGGGTTTGATTTATGGTTCTGGATATTTTTGAGGTTTTCTATGTTCGAGGCCGCGGTTGAGGTTGCGAGATGAGTTGAGATTTATTGAGATTTCTGATTGCAGACCCTCCCTGCATGGAGCAGTCGGAAGATCCGTGCATGTTAGGGGTTGTTTGGTGTGAGTTGCTTCAATCTGACGAAGAAGGCTGTTGACTTGAGTTCATTGCATATGAATTTCGACATCAGAGTATGGTCGAGTGTTGTGGTACCTTCTCTCGATGTCTGTGATAGTGCTAGCTGCATAGTGTTAGAGGCTCCATGTTATCTTGTTGTCATGTCTATGATGTGTATGCGTGTTGACTCGAGTTCATACTCAACACCACAAGCTGAGGCTCAGATGACTCCAACTCGGGATGGAGTCTAGCCCAGCATTGCTAGGGTCTCCATTTTCATCCTCTGGGATGTGATTGTCCGGCTTTGATCAGCAGACATACATGCCTCTGCTCGCAGCTCTCGCGTGCCGGGGAAAAGATCCTGCCTGGCATCGAGGAATACGACTAGAGAGGTACTGTGTCCCTATTGCCCAAAACCTTGTCAAAGATTACTGTGATACTTTTGACAGCTCTGCAAGTTTCAATAATAGCTTTATAGTGCTATATAGCAAATTCTTCGTCGTATCTCCCCCCTACTATCTTAGTTTCGAGTATAAAGACGAATGAGCATGCGAGTTTATTTATTTTACGCTTTGTTTCTTCATAATTTAAACAGTCTTTATATGTTAATAATATATTGTTCATCACGTCTTGTGCCGTTGGTTTGGAAGCGGGAAAAAAGGCTCTACTACAATAGTGGTCCCTTCGTCGTGTTCCCTCCTACTATTCTAATTTCGGGCATGATGGTGTATTCACTGCGTGAAGTTGGTTGGCAGAATACACTGCAAAGTTTCCACTCCTCCTCCTTTGTACTGGACTACTCACCAAATTTCTCTTGGCCAATTTTTGAGGTTTCATGAATGGATCAGCTGTTTGGCCAAATATTTATTGTCCAATTAAAAACAAGTTTCATTTTTATTTTTATATTTTTGCAAGATGCTAGCGATGCCAGCATCGAAGACAAAGATTAATAACTCAACGAAAAAGACTCCAACAATAAGATAAAGAAGCATTTAGGGACTCTCCCAGGCTTCCTCAATCTTTTGCTTGCCGGGGCAGGTGTGGGAAGAGCTCTTAACAGCAACAACTTCCACATCACGTGCAAACTGCTCATCTAGCTTATCTTGCATAGCAATAGCCTTAGCACCTTGTGTAACTCATGTTAGTGCTTTTGAGTAGATTACATGGTGATTACCAAGTCGAATAACGAGTGTAGCTCGCTTAGAACTAGTGCAAAAAAGGGGGCAGGTCAAACATTAAGTCTGAAACATCAGCTTATTCTGTGTAGATCAATCCACTGATAAAACGCTTGATCTATTGGTCAATGCTTTTCCATTAGTCAAAAGGCCCTAAATATGGCCAAAAAGGCCATTCTATTGGCAAATAGAATGTTTGGTGAGTAGTCCGGTACACCTTCCCAATTTGCAACAGGGACGGAGTGAATTTCATCTGAGGTGAAGCTGCAGCCTTAACGTCTCTTTTCTTGTCTATATAAGCAAGTCAGAGACCTCGAAACAACTTCTTCCTTTCTTTCCACCTACACCTGACTTTTCTCCTTCTTCTCTGTACACTATCATACAGCCTTACAACCACGACCCATTCTCACCAGCCTCACCTATCTCAGCTTCGTCATCTTTGCTTGGCTATAAAGGCTGGGAAGATGTCTTCATCCTTCCCACTTAAACCACACTTCCACATAGCTGAAAGTGAGGCCTCGCAGTTCAGCTGTGAGTATTAAATCCCATGACTTTTACTCCCGTTGAAGCTGACCATGGTGGAGTACAGTACATACACAACAGGCCTACAATAGTCTTACAATAGGCTCACGATAGGCTCACAATAGGCTTCGGCGCCCGCCCTCACATTGCGCCCTGTGGTATTCTGCAAGGCATGCCTGTTCGAGCGTCATTATAACCACTCTAAGCTACAACCTAAAAACATGTGCAACATTTACTCCCCAAGCCGAGAGCTCAGGTTCCGTCAACATATGCACAGCTTGTTGACAGGCTCATTGGACCTGAGCTCTCGGCTGGGTCGAGTAGACAAGCACTCTACAAAATCCAGCAACAATAGGCTACAATAGTCTACAGTAGTAAGTGTCACATCCAACAACACTTCAAACTTCTTACAAAGTTAACTCCAGCAGAGACGCCAAAACGGGCCAATTGTCTCCTCCCAAAGGAGGTATTGTGTTTTCGAGTGTGTGCGCACTCGTTGGGCGGGGGACTTGCAGTTACTCGCTTGTAAGTCTTTGGATGTTTGCAGGACTCTGGGCTGCTCCTTCCTTCTCAACGTCCTCAGACTAAGTGATTGCGCTAACGACTGTTGACCATAAAAGCTCCTCCTCTCCTCGACTTTCTTCCTCCTACATAGTTCTCGTCTCACTTTTGGTTAATACTGCTACCATTGCGCAAGTACTTCATCGCATTCTAAACCCAGTATAACTGCCGGATTCATTTCAAGGCGAGTTAACCCCCAGCAATGCTGCGGCGCGACTCTCATCGTCTCGATCGTCGCAAATCAACATCATCAGTCCACAGCACATCAGAATCCATCAATCTCGAAACTGCCCGACATCACGCCCATACAGCAGCCATGTTAGCCTTCCTCCGAGCTCAACAAAGAAGCAGCGCCGATTCTAGCCATAATGGAGATGCTCATTCGAGAAGCAACAATAGCAACCATGTCTCCTCGAATAGACAATCCCTACCTCCGCAGACCACAACCCAGGATGGAAACCGGGTGGTCCGGCGTCAACAGAGCGTTCGTTTTGTTGGTCCTAATGGACTGGAAAGACGGGAGTCTCTCACGAGAGCAACGCAGACCACAATCCAGCCACAATTAAGCTCTGCAACACTCAGACCCATGGCAATGACGACAAACGCACCAGTACCTGCAGCCTACCGTCCTCCAAGCCGCTCATCCTCTATTGGCAAAGCCTCAAGTCACAAGGTTGCGGAGGGTTTGATGGCAGCGAACGCTTTCAAAGAATATTACACGCAAGAAGATGATGTCGCTTCTACACCTTCTTCGTATCGTCGTCTCCGACGCTCCAAATCCATGTTCAGTCCTCTGAAGGCTCCAAGTATTTTCTATACGAATGGAAGCCCGAAAAGGCTCGAGAGCATCTCTAATGCAGGGCATATGAGATCCTATTCTCACACTCCGACAAGTCAGCCGACGCATCCTGCATTACGAGCCCCGAAGTCGATGGTTGTCCTCAACAATCGTGGACATTCAGGAACCGATGAAAAAGGACGAGACCGCGAAGAGATTCAGCAAGCTCGTGACAGATTCTTCCACGAGAAACACAGACAACGGCTTCGAGAACAGCCTTCTTTTCTCTTTCGCTCCAAAGCACAAAGACAACAGCCATTTCGAAAGTCTGTGCGAAGCAGCAGTACCAACAGCTATGGCATGCCGACTGATCTCCTGAGTCCCGCAGGACAAACCAAATCATCGGGCTTGAAGGCTGCGGCACGAAAAGCATCCAAGAACATCAAGAATAAGCTCAGACGAGTCTTTGGACGCAGCAAGGATGAACCAGTTATCATTCCCCACCAACAGGTTGAGGCGCGTGAGACTCATGTCCGCCACTACAATGGAGACTTAACCCCAGGGCAAGAGCAGTTTGAGGGCTTCTCCAACATCCCTCACCCCGACGAGTCAGCGCTATCGCGGGTTGCGTCTCGAGTCCCTTCAATCCACACTGCCACCTCGAATCAGCAACTGCGGTCCCATGCTGGCAGTGTTAAGAGCTTCAAGAGTGATCTCAGCGATGACAAGTCCCGAGTCACTGTCTTAAACACTGGCGCCAATGCTCCAAGACCTATCGAACGGGAGCGTGATCATCAACGACTCTCAATCATCAACGAAGTTGGCACTCATCATCCTTCGTCTTCATATTATCGGAAGCACAAGCATACCAATCAGATATCTCCGTACCCGAGAATCGAGGACTCTCGAATCCCCCAGCCCTCGCCGGACATTCGAATGGCACGTAGTACTTCAGGTACGCCAGCTACTATACGGCAGGTGCCGGCCAGTACGGGCAGTGATCGAAGTAGTTCCAATCAATGGAGCGTACCAGAATCCACCATCCAGTCACGGACTTCCAGCGACGATGTCTTTTCTCCAGCTGGACAGAGTGGGGGGCCCAAATTGTCCCTTCGAAGATCGTACTATGAGAATACGGAATCATACTTGAGCCTTCCTACACCACAAGGCATGAGTCCACAGAAGATGGCAGATCGGAATGAGCGATTGATGCCCGAAACCAAGGTTATTCGAGAAGCAAGGACGACATTTTTTGGAGGGTCGACATACACAATCTCAAGGAAGACCAGTCCCTTCCGTCGAGCTATGGCAGAAGTAAGCCAGAATTCGAACGATCTTCAATCGTCCGACAATGCGTCTATTATTCGAAACCCGCTTTATTTGGCTGGCCAAATCGAGGCTTCAGCAGACATTGCGCATCAAAGCTCCGGACAATCAGAGAAAGCATATAGCGAGAGTGTTTACTCGCGGACAACAAGTGGTCAGACTCCAGCTGCGGCTAATAGTTCCACTTCGCTTCCGATGTTGACGACAAACGTTCCAATGATGGTTCCCACGGCTCCAGGGGATGTGGTCATAATTGACCAAACTGTATACCGACCTTCTGGGCCACACAATGTCGGTCACAGTGTCACGAGCTCTGGAAGTTCCCAAGAATGGAAGAAATGGATGTCCTCGGAAGTCGGTAAATTTGAACGGACAAAGGAGAACAACGTCACGCCGACGTACATTAATTACACTCTTCCGACAATGCCGAGGACGTACAATACAGGCCATGTTCGGGAGAATGCCCAAATAAATGACGATGATTCGCCTATCGTTTACCAGCCGTTAGGTTCAATCTCCCAGCCCTCCCCGAACATTCAAATTCTGCCATTAAAACCTATCCTAAAGAAGCCAATCCCCGCGGCGCCGCCCCTCCCGCCTCCAATTCCGCCCCGGTCTCCGCTCCGAAAAAAGCTCTCAAAAGCTTCCTTAAAGTCCCAGAACTCGTCGGACAATGGACGAGCTCGAAGTGCTCCAAATTCGGCTGCTTCCAAAAAATTGCATAAGAGGAGATTGTCTGGCGGCCCTGGGGACATTCAAAATAGCCAGAAACTGGTCGAGAACTTTTTGAATTCTCGAAGGAAGAGAATTGCTAGTGAATCAGATGACGTGGCTGGTGCCTTCCTGTAGTCTTATTATTATCACTTTTCACAGTTCCGCAATTCGGGGGACATGCAAGCATAGATTAGCTTTACGCTCTCCCTCCGTAGAATACCAATCAAACAATTTCTGCTTCTTGTACATCCCTGACTTAAGAATACTTGCTGGACATGGCAATTTCTGTTCCCCATACGCTGTGGAAAGGAACATCAAAGTTCACAGAAACATAACGGGTCCAAGACACCTATAGTCTTCTGCAGATTCATAGCAAAGGACATGCTCAAGAATAGGGAATTCATGGTAATGAGTTGTGCAAGACCTTTCTCCACAGGCCAGAGAAACATGCATGGAACCTTGCCCAACGTTTCCATAGCGCTCTCATCTCCTTTCCAGATACCTTTGGCACGGTAACAACATCGAGGTACAAGTAGTATGAACAAATCCAGAGCTATGCTCTAATTGAGAATGTGCTAATGCAGGTATCGAAGAGTCTTCCATTGTCTAACGCCATCCTATGTACAATATGCTCCTTTGTCATGCATCCTCATCTCCATAATCCCTGGTTGAATTCTAATCATCGTAGCCATCGAGCGTCTTTCTGGGCGTCGTAGGAACTATAATCGGATCAGCACTAGGCTCTACAGTCTCGTAAGGTATATTTTGTACTTGGGTACGTGAGTGGTATCTCCGGTCTTGGTCCATCTCCCAACCACTTCCTGATCGGTGGCACAACAACGATAGTGACAGGTCCCATAGTACCGATAATGAGGGAGTAGAAGATAGCTGGCTTCTCAATTGCAGCCCATCGGAAGTACCGCAAAGGTTGCGACCAGAATCGTGGAAGGGCAGACATCGTAGCTGAGAGCATTAGCACGTAGCCACAGCATTGGAAAAACGTCGACCTACTCAATTGGCTGTATGCAACGCCTCCTTGAATCTCTTTGTTGTGTTGCAGAACTGTTGCAGACCTGGGATTTCAGATCAGCTTGACGTTCGAGTTGAAGTGGAGCTCCGATTGGGATCACGTGCAGCTAGCATCCCTGCAACAGCCCCAAAAGTCTTGGCAAATGCATACGTTTCCTAAAGCTCAAGACGCGCAACGATAAAGTGAGGAATCGCTGCAAGAACAACAACGACAATGAGGTGGCTACTTTCTTTCCTCATACTTGGACTGCTATCTGTGGTGCAGGCAGTGAGCTCCAGTGGAAATCGATTATTGGTTGTGCTGGAGGAATTGGCAGAGAAGTCGAAATACTCGAAATATATCGCGGACCTTGAAGGTGAGGACTATCTAGCCCAATCTTGAGCATGAATTGTACTGATACTGTGCGCTACAGGCAGAGGATTCTCAATCACTTTCGAATCACCGAAGAGCGACAAAGTTGCGTTATTTGAACTCGGCGAGAGAGCGTACGATCATGTCTTACTGCTGCCCACCAAAGCCAAAGGTATTCCATGGAAAATTGTAGGACGAAGTCAATGTGCTGATATTCGATAGGCCTTGGACCAGCTCTGACGCCGAAGCTCCTACTTGACTTTATCAATGCTGGCGGCAACATTCTCTTGACCCTCTCTTCATCGACGTCCACCCCAACTTCATTAGTATCACTCCTTCTCGAACTCGATATTCACCTTCCTTCGGATCGCAAAGCTCTTGTTATCGATCACTTCAATTATGATACCCTGAGCGCTTCCGAGAAGCACGATGTTGTCCTCGTTCCAAGACCAGATGCCATTCGACCAGATATCAAGAACTTCTTCAGAGGAGAGGGCAAGGGAGGGGAAGTCATTGCATTCCCACGAGGTGTTGGACAAGAACTGGGAAATGCAAGCCCGTTGTTGACACCAATTCTCCGAGCTCCTCGCACCGCATACTCATACAACCCCAAAGATGATGTTGAAGGTGTTGAGGATCCATTCGGTGTTGGATCCCAACTGTCCTTGATCACCACGATGCAAGCTAGAAATTCTGCTCGCTTTACCGTTATTGGATCTTCAGAGATGCTTGAGGATGCTTGGTTTGATGCCAAGGTCAAGCGCAGTGTGGGCTTGGGTGGTGTTGGATCTGATGCCAAGAACGTGAAGACTGCCAACCAGGCTTTCGCAAGGGAAGTCACTGCCTGGACATTCAACGAGATTGGTGTTCTCAAAGTTGGAAAGATTGAGCATTCACTCAACGAGGGTGGTGTCAAGAGCAACATCACCAATCCGAAGATTTACAGAGTCAAGAACGATGTGGTAAGTACACAGTCTCACTCGGTAGAAGAACATGCTAACTCCTTTTAGACTTATTCCATTGAGATCTCCGAGTATTCTTGGGACAAGTGGGTTCCTTTCACCCCACCTACAGGCGATGTCGTTCAGCTCGAATTCTCCATGCTATCTCCTTTCCACCGCCTCCCTCTTACCCCATCTACCACAACGAAAGACTCCACCATCTACACTACCAGCTTCCAGCTTCCAGATCAACACGGAATCTTCAACTTCAAGGTCAACTACAAGCGGCCATTCCTCTCCAACCTCGAGGAGAAGAACACTGTTACCGTCCGACATTTTGCACACGACGAATATACAAGGAGTTGGGGCATCAGCGGAGCATGGCCATGGATTGCTGGCATTGGTGCTACTGTTAGCGGGTGGGTGGTATTCGTTGCGATTTGGTTATGGAGCAAGCCTGTGCCGTTGAAGTTGACGACAAGCGGGAAGAAGGTCCAATAGGTGCATAGAGGAGTCTGAAAAGCAAATGAATCTAGGTCATGGGCGGGGAACTCTGTATCTGTATAAAACAAGACAAAAGTGTATAGGACTAGCATGAATGCAATGTCCAGGGGTTTATGGAGCATTTTGAGCACAAATTCATCCAGGAACTCTATCCCTTTTTACGCGATAAGTGCGCCCTCCTTTTTTTCCTTCAGTTGTTCTTTTCTCTAGGGAAATTACCACATTCAACAACACTACAGCAAAAGGACCGCGGTTAGAAGATCACTTTTCCTACTTCCACTTTCACGTTTGATTGCTATACGAGCACTATCTACTAATAATTATCCTTTTCCTCGGGGACAATGAGAGTTCTGAATATCTGACTCTTTGTTAAACAAGACAAGACTATATACAGAGTACAAGCAACCGCACTCGACTACCCTCAACAACAATACTAGCTATAATCTCTGAATCGCTGACCAGACATTATCACAGCTACAATGTCGGTTGTCTCTTCAGACCAAACTAATACCCAGCCCAAACGAGTGCACTAAATACCCGACCTTGCCAAGCACCGCCTCTGAATGCTTTATTTTACTTGCTTGCGATTCTTTTCCAAGCAGATAGAAACGTATTCTTAGACTTGTTTACTATTCTTTTTTAGCGTGATGCGCAGCCTCAATGTCCGTCCTCTCTCCTGACATTTTTCGCTTAGCTAACTTCTTAAGTGCATACCTAAGTTGCGGAGAATATGTGGGTCTCTACTATCTGCGCACCTTGTACTGTAAACTGCGTGTAGAATCTTGGTACGTTCCAGTATTTAGGAGCTCTTCACTGAGTTATCTTCTATTCCCTGCACACTTGTTCCTTTGATACACAATATAAGTTACTTAGCAGAGAGAATAACCCCGAAGAAAACCACATTGGTCATGTAGAGAAGGTTCCGAATGATGGATGCGTTATCAGACATTTGGCCATCGCTCAAGGTTTGGTAGAAATCTTCCATAGATTAGCAAGAAACACTCCTTTTGTAAGTCAACTCCGATTTTCCGGTGGACTTGTACAATGTCCGGAGGAGTCTCAACTCTGTGAGCCATGTAGAGAGGGTTTTCGAGTAATCGATGTATTATTGGATGTCTGACTATCGCTCGAGGTCTAGTTCAGTTCTGCCATGGCCTGGCGGAAGTGACATTGCAACTAACCCTCAAAGATCTCGGTCGTCCCTGCCGTTAAGAATCCCCATTGCCTTTTCCTTGCCATTAGTGACTCGGATATCAATCTCCCAACTTTTGCCGCATACTCAAACTCTGTTTCTCAAACGCATTTTTAAAAAAATCCCTTAGCGATCACTGAGTACTGTATTCAAGTTCTGCTATTGGAACCGACTTTGGAAACTCTGCGATTCTCGTTACTTTTCCACAGCTCTCATTATCTCGTTCGAGTCGCTGCTCCGGACGTTCATCAAGAGGATGGGTAATATATGGAAAAAAGACAGACATTGAAAATGCGCTAATGTCTCGACAGAAGAAGAGAGCAATTGAAAATAGCACTGCGGCTGGTCTCTAAAGGCTAGCCTTAGCCGAACATTCAGATTCTGCTATTAAAGCCTATCCTAAAGAAGTCGATTCTCGCGGCCCCGCCCTCACCGCCTCCGATTCCGACTAAGTCCCCGCTCAGAAAATTGGTGAAGCGAAAATTATCAGGGGAGAGGACGGAAATTGGGGCTGCTTTTATATCTCGATGGAAGAGGATTTTGTTGGGACTGCCACCGCGGCTGGTCCTTGAGAAGCTTGTACCAGATTCCACCCACTCCGGAACTTCGTCCGCAACATACGAGAAAAGACGGACATTGAGGCTGCGCTAGCAGTTCGGCGAAAACGCATTGTAAGCGAGGACGAGGCGAGCTTGGCCTTTAGAGGCGGTGCTTGGGGACTCGTTTGGGCTGGGTATTGGTTCGGTTTATTCGCTTATAGCATCACTTTGCTTGTCTAGGAAGGCTTTACTCTGGGAGAGCCGGGTGCTTAGAACGGGAGAGGGATAGCAGAGATTGCTGGTCTCTCTGGTGGTTGGCTTGAGAGCAACATCGAGGTGAGCAAGTCGAATAAGGGTTGATGACCGTTGTCCTTGACAAACATATTAGATTTCGCGAAGCTTCTTCCTGTGCGAGGACCAAGGCGAGTAAGATGGCTTACCGAATTGAGGCTTCCCTAGACGTTGCACGAATCCCAACGGACAATCGGAGGTCGCTGAGAGAGAGGGAGAGTATATATTGACTCCCGTACGACAAGTGGCAGGACTCTTGCTGTGACACCTTTCTGGACAATCCGAGCTCGTGTATAGCGAGAGTATTCACTCCCGCACGACAAGCAGGACTCCAGCTGGCGCCAATAGTGCCATTTGGCTTCCGACATGCACGACAGACATTCCAATTTCAATCATATATGGCACGACTCCAGTGGTCATCATTGATTGAACCGTGTACAGACCTTCTGGACAATCGGAGATTGTTTACAGCAAGAGTGTTACTCCCATACAAGAAGCAGGACTCCAGCGGCCATGAAACAGTACCATCTCGCTTCCGATGTTCACAACGGGCATTCTGACAATGGCCCAAGAAACGCAAGCTGCGACATAGGCGATGGGGTGGTGGGATTTCTGAGGATAAGTTCCAGTGGTAAGACCAGAATGTATGGTGAGGATTGAGAGATTGCGCGGAGGAGGTTGATTATTGGAGAGTCATTGTTGTTGGATGCAAAAGAAGTACCGAGAGGATTGAGGGCTTCAATGAAATAAATTCAGGGCCAGATCTTGAATGTTAGGCCATGGTTGGGTAATTGGAGCCAGCAGCTGATATGCTTCGTTGATATCCGCTGGTCCTGTCTTTTACCATCCCGCGCCCCCCTCCCCGCTTTAGAAGTTAGTCCAGCGAAAAATGTTAGGAGAGAGAATAGAGATTGAGGGTGCGCTCATGTCTCGACTTCTGGCGAGAAAGGATTGCAAGTAACTCTGACGAAGCTAGCCTTGCGTTCCGAGGTGGTGCTGCTTGTCTGCGCTACTCTGGGCTGGCTACTGGTCTTGTCTGGCACAGAGACGACAGACATTGAGAGCACGTTAATGTCTCGGCGAAAGGGGATACTTAATGCCTTGGATGACAGCATTTGCTTTTCGGTACAGCGCAGCCTGGCGAGGTCAGGTATTTAGTGCACTAGTTTGGGTAGGATATTGGAAGAGACAATAGACATTGTAGCTCTGCTATTGTTTAGTCAGCGATTCTGAGATCGTTGTTAAAATTGGTCGAGAGAAGTTGCATGTACTCCTTAACTATGTGGTTATAGTCTTGTTCAATAGAGAATCAAATATTTGGAACTCTCATTATCCCCGAGGAAAAGGATAATTGACGGTGAATAGTGAGAATATAGCAAACATAGTTGGACGTAGGGGCGGAGAACACAAGTGCCTGCCCTTCTAGTCAGGTTTTTTCTCATGAATTCTGTTAAATGTGATAAGTGTTGCTTTCTTCTACGTTAGTTTAGCTTAGCTTTGGGCTAGCGCTCTTAATCGAAAGCATATTTTTGCTGTTATTCGAACTATATGCTCCTTTGTGTTTCGTTTCAGAGCAGGATTTCTTTTAGATGGAGTTGGGGACTGCAAAAGAAGATAGAAAAAGCCGAGCAAGCTGCTTTGCGTAGGAAAGGATTGAAACATTTTGATAAGATTTCCTCGCTTTTCCAAGTTCCTTTTCCTGGGTAAACTCATAGAACATCAAAAGTTTAGCGATAGGCAAGTTCTCAAAGCTCAGCCGCAACGTTACTTTCAGTGACCACTTTTTTCTTCCATGATCCTAATACTTTTTTGAAAGTTCAGATTTTCCGACAGACATTCTCCGATTTAGGAACCTATTTCGAAGTTTCGGAGGGGAGCTAGATGTCAAAACAAGTCTTCTCGAGGATCCACCGCAACAGGAGCACCTGAAGTTAGGCAAGGCTGGAAGATTGATCAAATCAGGATGTCTGGTGAATACCTTGATGAACAAGATAAACAAAAACCATTGATTCGGAATTTGAGAACTCTTTTCTCGTACCGATTTCCTTGTACATGTCATCAAGATGGAAAAGGTGTGCTTCTCTTGACCTCTATTCAGACCAACCCCCCTTCATCGCGATTGGCGTGTAGAAAAGTCTCCTTCTCTGCAACAACATCGGTCTCCCCCTGGTACGATCCGTCACCACAGCGTTCTTCTATCGAGCCATAAACGAGTGGATGACTCCCTCTCGCCATTAACGCAAAGACTATGTCGTGGTGATTTCGTAAAATTCGTCATGGTCCCATATAGGTGGAATGTTTATGATTCCGAAAATCCGGTCCTCCACATGGCACAAGTTCTCTTGTTCCCATACCCAATCGGTATCTTCCTCTACCGACAAGCTAATGAACGATGCGCGGGGAAATGCGTGTCCGAAAAGGAGCAGACTTTTCTCAATGAGGAAAGCTTGATGCAGCTTTTGACAGAAAGCCGTGCCGTTGAGGCGTCGAGGGCCTGGATTCAGCTCGGCTACATTCCGATGGGGGCAAGTATTGGCGCACACGTGAATAGAGAGCATGGTACTTTCTTGTCTGTTCGTACTTCAGACCTTTCGACCTTTGCAATGAAACATTGTTCCGTCAGATCGATCGGAGGAGTCTTGGGTTGTTTCCCATTCGAAGGTCGCGTGCTCGTACCTGATGTCTGACGGTTTCTGGTGCAAACATTGTGTTTTCGTCTTACGCCAAGGCATCCCGCAAAGCAGAAGTAACAATCTTGTCGGCACTGCAACACATTATTATTGCTTCACTTCACCAATCAGGATCCAGCCCTCGCAAAATCTCTGGGCGTCAGACCAACATTCAGCTCTGCGTTGGACCGGCCGGCCGGGCATGACATAAAATGGAACCTGACTGATCCAGCCTCAAGCAACCTCGAAGCCCGACTCCATGCAACCTGCAAACTCGGAGCAAATGATACCCACCAATTAATCATTTCTAAGCAACCTCATCTATCGTTACCTATCATCTCGAAAGAAGCAAGTGAAATAAGGTTTGATATTCGGCTCATCCTTCCGCCGCTCGAAGCGAGCACCAAAAGGAGACTAATCCCGGAGAGATATAAACCCGACGCGTAATAAGAATAGACCACTCACCACTACTTCTGTGCGTTTACGATACGAGGCACGGCATGGTGCATGTTTACAAAATGTCCATGATGCCCACATGCAAGGTGAAGTCGCCTTTTTCTTCTTCTCCATTTTCTATACTGTGACTTTTCACTTCGTCCAAGTCACTCTTGCTAGATTTTCACTCGGAAGTCTGTTTCCGTTGAGAGGCTGTGCGTAAGGCTTGCCTTTGGTGTCGATACTTCAATTTATTTTTATTCTTGAGTGTACAGACTTCACTTCTTTCCTCTCTTACAGAAGCCTGTCGATATGGCTTCAACATTCCCTACATTCGTAGAGCTCGTAGCTCGAAAGACGCATTCACCAGATAACCTCGCCAATTGTACGATCTCAACTTGCGCCATCTCCAGCTCCTATTACTTCTACCGCGTGTCTCTCAGCGCAAACGTCGCCTTCCTTGTCCTCTTCTCCCTCTCTCTGATCGGATTCGTTGCCACATATGCCTTCACGCGGCGAGCTTTCGCATTCACGTTCGCTATGTCGGCTGGTGTTATTCTCGAAGTCATCGGATATGTCGGACGGATTCAAAGTCACCAGAACCAGTGGGCGCAAACGGGATTCTTGATGCAGATTGTCTGCCTTACCATTGCACCTGCATTCATGGCTGGTGGTCTCTATCTGTGTCTGAGGAGAATCGTCTATGCTTTCGGACCAGAGAACTCTCGCATTGCTCCTGAGTCATATACCAGAATCGTACGTCTACCCCTCGAAACCTACGCATAATCTTGCTAACAAATACTTAGTTCATACCTTGCGATCTCTTGTCTCTCCTACTCCAAGCTGCTGGTGGCGGTATTGCGTCCTCGGCGACTCATACGAATAAATCCCCCACCTCTGGAGACAACATCATGGTTGCTGGACTTGCCTTCCAAGTCTTCACTCTCGGCGTCTTCATACTCCTGTGTCTCGATTTCGCACTCCGCACCCGCAAACGATACAAGTCTATGGGCGAGTCGGCCTTCGATCAGAATCCCCTGTTCATCAAGCTCCGTCACTCCTGGGTCTTCAAGGGCTTCCTTGCTGCTCTTACCTTGGCGACCATCTGCATTTTCTGGCGAAGTGTGTACAGAGTAGTAGAGTTGGCAGAAGGATGGACGGGGAATCTGATCAGACACCAATGGTTGTTTGTTGGGTTTGAGGGAGTGATGGTTATCGTGGCTTGCTTCGCGTTGAATGCTTTCAACCCAGCCTTTGCGTTCAAGGAGGCGATGGAGGGCAAGGGTGGACTGGGTAGTAAGAAGCGAGAGAGAAAGTTGGAGAGGGAGAGGGAGAAGGCGGTGGGGTCCGAGGTAGTCAGTGGGAGTAACAGTGACGTTGATGGAGTGAAGGGTGGTGTTTAAATGTGGGTTGTGATAATGATAGAGGTAGATGATTTGAAAGATACCACGATAGATAGACTTTGATAGATATTTGCGAGAAAATTACAGATAGATGTAGACAATTCAACTTATATCCTGCCTTCTCCCTGCATAAATGTTTGTGATTGAGATTGCTCTTCAAGCTTTACTCAAATATCCGATTTTCTACGAGTTGATGAACTAAGATCGATGTTGGCTTCAAATTGAGTGACATGGGTAATTGGGAGCAACGTCAATAACCATGATGCCAGCTCAGACAATTTGTCCTGACATCCTCAATACATCTTGGATTTGAACTAAGATTCGGTGAGTGCATTTCTTTCAGTAGTGTGGACGCATTGCTTGGAAGAGGTTTTATCTGATTCTCATCTGAGTAATCCTGTACGTTGTTGAGGTGTCCTGTATGAGTACTATTGATATTCCAGGCAGATGTTTTGGGATTTTCAGGTACGAAATTTAGCGCTGCCGGTCCCTGCCTGCCACTTGAAACCCAGCAGCCTGAAGCGAAGGACACCACGAAGATTCACCAATTTCTTATTTTTTTTTTAACAATCAATTGACATTATGGTCACGACAAGATCTCAGATGAATCTTTTTGGCAAGCGCCAGAAATCTGTCCAATCGAGTCATCTCTACAGCTGCGGCGGGCGGTCCCCGCATTTAAGCCTCAACGCCCGCAGCAGCGCCCAGTGGCAGTGCGGTGCGCGCCCTGTTAGGCAGAAACGTCAGAAGTGAATGACTGACTGGGCAACAAAGCAACCTGCAGCTGCCTTGAATCCAACATCATATAAACGCCCTGCCTCTGTGAGTACAATTTGCAACAAATTACCTACAAAAGCATTCGCACTTCAAGGAAGAATTACGCATTGTTCATTCACATTCGCAAAGCACCTCAACACAATGGCGTCCATCCTCAAACAGGCCCGTCAGTTGGCGGGTCTCGAAGGACAAAAGAAGGGGAAGGGAAAAGCACCAAATCGATACCCAGAAGTCATCCAAACAAGCTACACATCCCTAGCAGTAGACTATCCAGCCGACTTCCTCGCTCCCATCCCCGACCCATCAACCATCAAAGTCGAAAGAATCGACTTCAAAAGCACCAAACTCAGCCAGTACAAAGACTTGTACGCCGTGGTCCTAGACAACGTCCTCACGCAAGCAGAATGCGATCAACTCATGACCTACGCCGAGATGTCCAAAGGAGCCCACATAGCAAAGGACGACGAGCCCGCTGACAACGGATGGACGCCCGCGCTCGTGAACGCCGGCAGGAATCACGAGATCCTCGTCCCACACTACAGAAACTCTGACCGCATCATCTGGGACGAGCAGGAAGTGACTCGACGGCTCTGGCAACGCATCATGCAAGCGGAAGGGATGAAGGACTATTTCTCCAGCTTGTCCGGCGAGCAGTATCTCCCCGCCATCGGCTCGTTCCGCGACGGCGAGAAGTGGACCATCACCGAGTACGGCCTGAACGAGCGGATGCGATTCCTGAGATATGGGCCTGGTCAGTTCTTCAAGGAGCATTGCGACGGGACGTACGAGACGCCCGATGGGTCGCAGCGCTCTTTCTACACGTTCCATCTCTATCTCAATGATTCGGCACAGGCGCTGGGGATCAAGAAGGGGTCCAAGGAGGATACGCCTGATTTGCTGCATGGTGGCGCAACGACGTTTCATTCCAATGATATGCAGCATAGGATTGATGTTGATCCGAAGATTGGGCGGGTTCTTATCTTTCAGCATCGACGGTTGCTGCATTCGGGGGATTTGGTCACGAAGGGGTTGAAGTATACGATGAGGACGGATCTGATGTTTCAGTTTGAGAGTCAGAATGAGGAGGGGAATTATGCGGATGGGGTTGTGTTTGAGTAAGCTTCCTCACCAGAGAGAAGGAGTGGTTGAATCGATGCTGGCATGCTTGTGGCGTTCTGCATTGGAAGCTTCTCTCTTGGATAGCCAGAGGTCGAAGACTTCGGGCTGGGAATATATTCTTGCATTTTTTCTCCGGAACTATCGTCATTCAATATGGGATCAGGAGTTGTTTTTGCCATGCTGCTCGTGGATGCGAAGCTGTATACTACTCCTGCGGAAGGCGAGGATGCATGGGTTTCAGATATTCAAAACGGGGATTGTCATTTGCGCTTGCGAGGCCGAAGGAAGATTTGGTGAATCTGGAGTTAAGGTTGCTTGGATGGAAAGGATCGAAAAACTTAGGGTAACTCGGTAACGAAACTCATAGTTTGAATCGATAGATTTCAATCCATTGCCAAAATGTCAAAAGTTGGTGGGGTACACATTGTCTGGGGTCTTCTGATGGAGTAACACGGTTGGGAGGTTTTTGTTAGTAGAGTTTAGTAGATGGGGAAACACTTGAAGATGAATAGAAGCAGCGTGTATCTCATAGGCAAACGGCACAAAAGTATTCAAGTGGATCTCTTCAGCTACGTCTCATTGAATCCCGCTTTGGCTGCACCTTAACGTCATGAACATTTCGTCATGGCCACTTACTAAAGTCCTGGGGGAAATGTGCTTGGGCTTGTAGGTGGTAGGCAGGTTCGATTGTCACATGTTGCGAAGAATTCGGGATCGATGCTTTCATGGAAGAACACACTCAACCATCTTCTACCTTCATTCTTTCTGTGGTCAGTGCGATGCAATTTGAGTGATTTCTCTCCAAATTCCTATGTCATCTTCAGTACTAACATCAAATCCCAGATGCCGTACAATTTTTGAAGGAAATAACATCAAGAACGCCCGCAATGCACCCCTTGCAAGAAATAACTCCAAATTGCTAAGCTTCATGTTAGCAGGTCCACATTTTATTTCCTCTATTCATCTTGGAACCGCTTAGACAAGTTCAAGCAGTTCAAGACCATCCCCAATCATCGTCTAGCTCTATGGTAAGCTCAGCGATCTTGCTGGAGAACAGACTCTTCTCATCCTCATCCTCGGCTCGAGAGACCAACTCACAGTCGACAAAGAACTCGTCGTCTGTGGGTTTACTTTGGACGCCTTGCTTAACGTCATTTTGATCTTTGTCGTCGTCATCGCCAGCTTCATTTTTCTCCACCATGGCAACCACTTTCTTGTCCTTCCTCTTCTCGATGATATCGACGTCTATCGTGTTGGCTGTCATGTAGTGGTAGACGTGAACTTCCTTCTCCTGATTGCGTCGAACGCAACGGCCAATTGCTTGCTTCATGGTAGCCTCGTATTCGTTCTGAGCCGAAATGCCAGATGTAAAGTATGGCTGTAGGAATATAACGTGGTTCGCCCTCTGAAGATTGCTATTCAAAAGTCAGCAAGGAAGCGGAATAGTAATGAGGCGCTGATGATGCCACATACCTGCCAGCCGCCTCTTGGCTACCGATATCCAGGACCAGGACCTTGATCTTACTATCCGCTTGCTGGAATTTGGCAATTGTCTCTGCGCCTTCGGCGTCGGATGCCGCGTAGTCCAACTTAGCGGGCTTGAGTTTTGCTTTGTTCAATGCTTCGACCGTCTTGGTAAGCACTCGATGACCTTGTACAAACAAGAGGACACAGTCTTCGCTGTCGGTGGTGATCTCTTGGATGAGTGACACCACTGCATGGATCTTGTTTCCATATGTTGAGAACTGGCCATCAACATGTCTTTCTTTGACCTTGAGTTCGCTAGCTCGCAGAATATCGACACTTGCGTAGTCTAATTGGCAAGTAATAAGAGGACAGCTACCTTCATCTTCCGACTCTGGAGGTAGGCAACTGGATCTTTGGCATAGCAGATGACCATACGACCCCAGAACAACCATCTTACTAGAATCTGTACGACTATCACAGTTCTGGCAACAGATTCTGTTTTTCTCATGAAGAGTCTTTGCCGATTCATAACGGTGGAGATCATTGAAGACTTCATGTAAGGCAGCGTCCTGATTTTGAAGTGCGGCGGTCCCAACAATGAGTTCTTTAACAGCCCAATGATACCACACACATTGATGCTTTGCTAGCTTGTTCTTCGGAGCCACAATACCGTAGGTGCTCCAGGATAATTGGAGGTTTTTGACCGTATCTGCGTCGAGATCTGTGAGCCCTTTGATTGCTCCGAGAATGAATTTCGAAGCCGCACTCAGATTCTGCGACCCCTTGATGGTAGACTTGTAGTCTGAGAACCTCTTACAGTCCTTACCGTTTGAAACGTCCTTAGGTTCATACTCAAGATAGGCGAGTTTCTCTAGGAGTGACTTAAGGGTCTGCTGTGCGATATTGCGCTCGTGCCCACGTTGTGCAATTATTTTATCGCAATCTAGAGTATCATTTCTGGAGTTTGGCTGAGAATGAGAATTGTCCTTGACGAGCCTGCCATTCACGTCCCTGGGTTTATACACGGCGCTGAAGTAGCTAGCGCAATTGTGCAATGCATCTCTTGCCGTCTGAGCATCACGCTTGGTCACAATATCCCAATACTAGATCGCCCTTGAAGTGTGTTTGTTTTGTCCGGGCCTTCGTTTGAGATCAAAGTTGGTGAAAGCGAATAATTGCTGCATTTCGTAGTAGCCGAGACGGTGGGCAGTAGATGGATAGACGATTCTCCAAGATTCGGACACTGTGAAAGCTGTTACATCAACAATATCCTGAGATCATCAGTATTTAGAACTCTCACTTGAGCTAGGAATACATACTTGGCAAGCTAACTTCTTTAGGAAGTCCTCCTCTCGCCTGTGGACGTTGTTGCGCCACGCAACTGAATATGGTTCATGATAAGCAGCAAGAAGTTCGTAATCTGAATGCAATTAGCCTGCGGGGTCAATATGGCTTGGAAATCTGTACTGACTTGTGGCTTCACGAGTGGACTTCGCGAATGTCTGCTGAGACATCGATGTGTAATCCAGCCTTCCGAGATTAATTCCCAAGAGACTGGCGGCTTTAGCGACACCTCCTTGCGTCTCGAGTTGTGGAGTTGCAGACATAGGCCAGCGGCATTGAGCTTTGACGTTTTGCATCATGACCAGTATTGGGTCTTCAAGGTAGTGATATTCATCAAAGAAGACTCGGCAAAATTCGAACAATTCGAACACCATCGCCTGTCTCTCATTGGCCTGACTGGAAAATTGCTGATTGGAAATCGGTACCGGAATATCATTGGTCTTGAGAAGTGCTCCACTGTGCTCCACCGTCACTTCATCCTTTTTGTACCGATGCATTGGAGATGGCATCTCACTCCATTGGACCTCTTCCCGATGTTTTTCCAAAGATTTGTCAACCTCGTCCCAGAATTCCTTTGGTTTACTCTCGAACAAGGTCGAGTTTGAGGAGATGGCCTTACGTGCAGCTTCATACCACTCAACTTTGGCACCCCGGCTGGCACCGCTGTGTAGTTCGTCCATACCAGCAAGCGCTGCTAGGTCGTCCGTGTAGGCCTCTGCCGTGAGCATTGACACATCTGCAATGATGATCTCTGCCTCTTTGAATTTTTGAACCGATAGTGCTCGCATTTCCTCCGAACTCCTGATCATGATGACCTTGTCAGCGGCTTTGTAGGTGTCGGGCATGTGCTGGTGAATCTCCTCTCGCCATTGGAGAGTCAGCTGAGTAGGTACGAAAATGATTGATGCGTCAAGCCGAATTGAAGAGCCAGGTTCTTTGGACCAGTTCGCATGAGTTTTGGAAGCAGCCTGCTGAAGTATCAGACACAATGCGATGATGGTCTTCCCAAATCCGACTTCGTGAAGCATCAGTCCACCTCGTGCTGTGAGTTTGCGTGTAGCTCGAGCTTCAAGACGGCACCCGATTTCTGGTATTCTGGCTTCGAAGACCTCTTCTTCGTCGAAGTGCGGTGGTGAGTTCTCCTGATTCAGATGCCAAGCAAGACTTCTTAGCTGGGCCTCATCAAGCTTGAGCTTCAAGCCTTCGGGCTCAGGGGCTGGATTGATATTCGTCGATCTTTGCAAAGCAAATGGCGCTCGCTTTGATACACTTTCCAAGTCGTCGTTTGTCACGAGACGCCACTCGGAGCTGACGATGGGTTTTCCTCCTCGTCGAGTCAATTCAGCGATAGCACGGTGAATGAGGATGGCTAGATTGATGAGCAGCTGGATGGTCATCAACCTATCTTTTTCACTTGTCTTGTATCGCAACTTCAGAGGAAGGTCTTTTGTTGAAGGTAGGTTCTGCTCATACCGGAAGGCTTCCTCCGGGATTTCGAACGGGACAAGGGTGAAGTGTACCTTGACGGGTGGATCCTTCTCTGCATGCCCTTCATCATCTGGTTGTTCAACTGTGCCCAATGCATCAGCGAGTGGAGTCGCACTGGCTTCCGATATCTCATTTCGACTGGCTTGAAGACCCCAGTGTGCCGAGGGCGGCTTCGGACAACAATCATTACACGCAACCGGGCAACCATTTTCCTCTGCACCAGCCTTCTTCCATTTAGAATCCTTGGGCCAGTGTTGCGTATGAAGGCCTCCCCAGATCGCCCAGAAGAACTTTCTGAAGAAGTCAGGTAATAATGTATGCTTGACAATAGTCCAGTCGGGAGATGACCACTGCGGATCTAGAGCATCTAGCTGAATGTTCTCAGCTTGAAAACCTTCATGCCACTTTTTACAAAGAGAATTTGAATCCGAAATCGAGGCTAGATCTTGGCAGCTGAAGTTGACTTCTTGAAAGACTCCCCTTGAATCGAACTTGATAGAAATGTCATCGCAATCTTTCCAGCAGCCATAGACTTTCAGACTTGTCGTCTCAGATGGATCAAGTGAAGAGACCAACGGTTGGCGGAAATTCGGCGGAAGACTACCCAAAATCATTCTGTGATCCGAATAGCCCAGCTTCCGGCAATTTCGAGCAAACACGAATCGTGTATGTTTGATCTCACTACCTTGGATAGGGTGTTGCAAGAAGAGATAAACTGGCTCGGCAGTTGCACCTTCCTTGATGTGTAACGAATCAAAAGCTTGTCCGCACCTAGGACGATATTTGTATGTGCCACTCAAGTCGGAACCCACATACTGCTTATGTTGCTCCAAAACGTTGATTTCAAGCTCAACATACACTTCATCATCCTTATGTTCTGGTATTCCACAAGCTGCATGGAAAGAAGGTACAGCACTGCCACAGCCAGTAATTCGAACGGAGAACAATTTCTCAGGTTCTGGGAGCCACATGTACCACGATCCGTGGGTAATGTTTGCCCCTGAGTTATCCAGGTCCATTCTCATGATGGGAAATTCGTCGAGATACTTTCTCACATCTGATCGATCCAGAGTGGTAGGAGTTGCGTACAGAAACCACTGTGCTCTACCTCCTCTGGAGATGACAAGAACAAGTCTGGCACATGCTCCTTCGTAGATTATCTCCCAAACTTCACTACGTTGTACTGAAGACATGTGGAAAGTACATTCTAAGGCATTTTGGTAGTGTTCGCGGTAAGAGATCTCGACATCGTCCAGCGGAGGTTTTGTACATTCGGCGGGGTTCAGTCGGAGGATCGCTGGGAGCATGGCCTTGACGTATCTGACAAATTGTGCTTTGGTCGTGGCTTCGGCAGGAGTACTTTGCTTTGCGGTGTATTCGTGAACCGGATTCTTGCCACAATTTGTGCATGCGGTATGTTTGCAGACTGCACATTCTTTGAAACTGGTCGCCCCAGATTTCCAACCCTCGCATGAACAGATCTGAACACTCACAATCGCCCGAGCGATGAGCTCGGATGTTGAACAGGTTGTGTAAACAGAGTTCGACATAGGAGACAGATTATTATTCTCCCCAGAGTGATGCTCACTGGGACTGGTGGCTACTGAGGGTAAGGACGCAGTAGGACCTCGTTGGGTCAGGTCCATGTGAAAGATTTCAAGTGCAGCAATAGTTGCAGCGCCAACGACGGTCGTGCTCATTGCGTTACCGTTCAAATCACAGATCTCTTTATCGCTGAAAGAAGTGAAGTCGATTCGATTGATGGGAAACCCTTGAAAAAGCATCAATTCCCACCCAGAGAGTCTTCGACCTTCGATAGACCATATGGGAATGACATCGGTCTTTAGGCATGAGAGCAATCCAATATCGTGGGATGTAGGGTTTCGTGCGACGTTCTGGGAGCACTCGATAAAACGGCTGTAGCATCATCAGTACATGACTCGGAAATAGGAACTGGAACATACCTGTAGTATCGGATATCAATTCCGTATCGAACTTGTTCCAGAAATACACAATCCAAGAGGTCCAAAGTGCGTTCAGTAATACCACGACTGGGCCTGAAGTAATCTGGCAATCTTTTCTTTCCAGACAAACTCCAATTGGTGAAAGGTCTCTCGGTACCAAGAGTTTCCCTCCAAGCCGCAGCGAGATACTTGCTGCTTGCCCAATTGCCTTGCTTCGAGTCTTCGTACTTTGTGCTTCGAGTCTTCGTACTTTGTGCTTCGAAGCGCAGAAGGAACAGAGTACTTATGAGCAGATTGCAACATTTCTTCAAAGGACGCTGCAGGATTTGGTGAATTGTTGCTGATCTCTTTCAACGAGTTCGTCCAATCCTTCAATTTCCCACGACAAGCATCATCGCTCTCAAGATCTGAAGTTCTGAGCGCACAAATCATGTAGCGTCGATTGCGAGTTTGTGGGAGGTAGTACTTTTTCGTATCTAAGTGGGTGTGTGTACAGAGGTACTGAGTATTGGCTTCCACGTATTCTCTGATTTTTTTCCACGGCGCGAGGAGGACATTTTCCATAACCACGAGCTTGGGTCTGCATTCTGTATTCTTCATGTAGGCAATTAGTCCAGCAAAAGTGACAGCAGACTCACCAGCATCCTCCAGAGTCTTTGGCGACTTGTTCAACCTGGAGAAGTCTTTACAACTAAATCCCGCAAACAAGATATCAACATCGGAGGGAACCTCGATTCTGCTTCCATAGGCAGTTGTGCTGTTTGGGTTAAATGATGTCCATAAAAGGCGGAGGCTACTTACGCTTTTCTGTCCACTTTGAGTTCTTTCCGGAAGAATTCAGCAATGTCTTTGAAGATCAGCTTTGGATGGAAGTTGCGTTGAATGAAAGCCTGTTTGAAAGGCACGATCTCGGCTGAGAAGACATGGTCAAATGACAATGACACGTCGTGATTCTGGATGAGATCTGAATATGACACAATTAGCGGCTCATAGATGAGAAAAAGATATGGACTCACCTTCGCACAGAAGTTCTATGAAAAAGATAGGAGCATCACTACCAGAACACATTGTCGCAATCTTGAGCGCCCCAACAGTGTCTGCAGCTTTTTTCAACTCAGGTCTCAAGTTCCCATCCTTTCCTAAGACGAGATTGGATGTCATCAATTCGATAGAGTCGAGTTTCTTGCCATCCATCTTGATCGGATACGGCCGGTTATCTCGGTGAGAAGCAGCCTCTTCTTCAATAACGTGCACAGTCTCGTCGTCGATCTCGTCGTCGATCTCGTCTTCGTTCGCGTCTTCGTTCGCGTCTTCCGTCTCTTCTTCGTTTCTTCTTCGTTCTCTTCTTCGCTCTCTTCCTCGGATTTCAGTTCATCGTGACTAGCGATCTGACTATTTTTCTTGACAGGAAGACATATTAGTCGGGACCCAACAAAGTTAGACAACGATGTAAAGTATGTTTGAGGAGCATGAATAGGCGTAGAAGTCCAACCTTTAGTGATACGCTCAGCTCTCTCACTAATCACAGAATAATCGTCGTCTGGATCATCGCCAGAGTCATAGCTGCGAAGTCTCTTTTGCTTTTTGGAGCGTGCCGTCGCCACTTGACGCTCCTCTTCCTCTTCCTCTTCCCCTTCCGCGTCCTCCAACTCTGCTGCAGTATGAAAGTATTTAGGAACTTTATCGGGATCTCTCGGTCGAAGGATTCTCTGCGATCCCCCGGACATCTTTCCCTCACTGCACCACACAAGTAAACTCCTTCAAATGAAAACTTTCAATTGTCGTGAAGTGCCAAATGCTGGGGACAAGATGGCTTTCACCATTACCAAGAGAAAACGCCCAGATATATCCCTCCACCAACAAGGCATGTACACCAACAATGCCACCCGCATCTAGAAGCTCTTTCCACTATTCCAGACGGAAAGATGCACGAAGAAGCAAATGAAAAGAGGATCTCCAAAGCGCTTCCACTCGCAGACAGCAACTTCTGGCAGCGTTCTGATCAAACCCATTGAAAAGTCTGAAAAGAAAAGCACATAGCAGATGTATAGTGCTTCTGCACAACTTCCCCCTTTCATTTTCTTTTTCTAGCTCTCTGACTCTGCATCTCCTTTGTTTGTCTGTAACCCGTTCCAGAAATGGCTGTCTCGCTTCAAGTATTGTAAATTTCTGAGCTTACTGTGTCTTGCAGCTTCAGACAAAAGAGACGAGCAGCTCTCATAACTCTGATACAGTTTCTTGTAACTTCACTTCAAAGGCAAGGTCACGTGCACGAATCCTTCTCAGGCCCAACTAGCTATCTCAACATTGCGAACAAGATGACACACTTGTCTTCAAGACCTATTCGGAGAATTGTATCAAAAGGAAACATCAAAAGCAGCAATGGTGCACTTCCGTTCTCCCCATGCGTCCGCCGGGCTGTAGCAGGAGATATCAAAGGTAACAGAGAACGCGAACGTACGGTCGCAAACCACGAAATCAAGCAATGCAATGTACTGCTAGGCAATGTGCTGACTGCAACGCTTCAATGAGACAAAGGCACACTCAGATGCGTGCCTAGCTACCGTGAGTATCTCAACAACTCATCTGCAGCCTGCAGTGAGTGAGTACTGTAAGATGTCTTGCACAGGGTGAAGAAAGAAGACCCCACTTTCGCTTCACCCACAGCAAAAGAAGTCAAAATCTTCCAACCAAAACAACAAAGAACAGAATGGGAAACACAATATCATACGGCACGACCGATTGCATCCTTGATCTCGGATCAAAGGGTAGCATCAAAGGCGTGCAGTACGACAACAAAGCTCGTCGCTACGCCGGTGTCCCATACGCGCTCCCACCAACCGGGCCGCACCGTTGGCGGAAGCCGCGTCCACTTCCTCCTTCCTTCAAATATGATGACGGTCAAGGCAAGCCGTTTAATGCCACAAAATTTGGGCCAGTCTGCCCTCAACAGGCTTTTCATCTCAATGTCGAGTCTGAAGGCACCGAGGCGTTCAGCGAGGATTGTTTGTTCGTGAATATCTGGACGCCTGTTGAGGAGAAGAATTCCAGAGACGCGGAGGGCAAATGGCCTGTGTACATCTGGCTTCATGGAGGCTGGTTCCAGATAGGAGATCCTTCACAAGAAGTGGGCATGGATCCCACAGAGTTGATTTCAACCGGGAAACTGAACGCTATTGTTGTAGCCGCTGGCTATAGACTCAACGTCTTTGGATTCCTCGCTGGGAAAGTCTTCCTCGAAGACAGTGGTGGTAAAGCAGCGGGCAATTTCGGTCTTTGGGATCAACGATTGGCCATGGAGTGGGTGAGGGATAATATCGAGGCCTTCAATGGTGACTCGACGAATATCACTTTGGCCGGGAGGAGCGCTGGTGCGTATAGTGTTCATGCTCAAGTCCTGCACGAATTTCGCACACCAGTCACTTCATCCGTCCAGAAGCAGCTCTTCCGTAGATTCTTCATGTGTTCGAATACGATTCCTGCTCAGCCCAAGACAATCGCCGAATCCGAGTCACAATTCGAGGAAATGTGCGAGTACTTCAAGATATCGTCAAGTCTGTCAGGGGTTGAACAAGTAGCTGAATTGAGAAAGTTGAGCTTCAAGGATTTACTTCACTCTATCAGCAAACTCAAGAACCATACTTTCCGGCCTATCACAGACAATCTCTTCTTCCATTCCGGGATGGTCGAGTATCAAAACAACGGAAACTTTGCAGCAGACTTCAAGAAACGCAACATGAAGCTCTTAATCGGCGAGGTTCTCAATGAGGAAACACTTTACGCCACTTACAACAGTCCTCAAGAAGCCACTCTGGAATCGCTGAAAAGGCAAATTTCGAACTATTACGCTCCCGCGACTACAGAGCGGATATTGAAGCATTATGGCTGGCCGGAATCAAATGACTTGCTTGAATGGAAAGCACACTTTGGGAAGATCATTGCGGATGGGCAGGTTAGAGCGCCTTCGAGAGCTTTGGTTAATGATTTGGGGAAGCATGGCGTGAGTATCGAAGATATTTGGAGGTACCGGGTAGCTTATAGGTTGTCATTCATCACTGAGCAGGTTGCTCCCGCATCTTTTGGAGTTTCTCATGCTATGGATAAGCCGTTTTGGAAGTGAGTCTTTACATCTCTTGTCGAATTGCGCTAACTTAAATGTGTTAGTTTTTCAATCATGCATGGTCCAACTTCTGCTGAGAGGAAGTTGATGGAAGATTGGATTTCCATGCTAGTCGCCTTTGTAAATGGGGATTCAACTTACCAGTTCGGCACAAGTTCTGTTGAAGAGATGAAAGTTGCTACCCCGGACGGCACGATCGAGGTGCAAGAAGATTCGCGATGGACACAGCTCGTCGAACTTGGAGAAATCTTTGCTAGCGGCTGAACCTTCAAAATTGATGAGCTTAATTTCATGAACGACCTTCAAAGCATCAAGAAATCTGATTCTAGGAGTTCGTTCTAAAAGAAGGCCTCGAAGAGCGGGTGCGGTCATTGGAAATCCAAAACATTTCCGAGCAGGCTCTGACACTATCAGAATATACGGTCCAAAAGACTTTGACTTCTTGCAGAGGATCAGATCAGCCAGTAGGAGCTGGACCTACCGTCAATCAGTAAGGTCCATACCTAAGAATCCACAGCTGAAAATCCCTGGTCTAGATACTCCCCAAGCCTCTCTAGACGACCCATAATTCAAAGCTGCTGCGTTCTCAGCACTAATTCCCGAAGGATATGCTTTGAACTTTACCAATCTCCATGCCTCGAGTTCCACTTCTTCGTGCATGGGATATACCACCCTCAATCAGTATGACACAAACAAATGTGCCTCACTCTGCACTGCCCTAACTGGTTTCGTTGCCTTCAACCTCTATTTCGAGCGTGACCCAACTCTAGATCCCAATGCCTAGAATTGTCCTAACCCACCTTCCGAGACGAACATCAAGTGCGTTTTCTGGGGTGTCCCAGTCTCTGCTTCAACCGCCACCAATGCCGGCCAATACCGAGACTCCTTCGAAATCGGGATTGCCGGTAAGTTCTCCTACTCCCCACATCACAACTTGAATTCTAACACAATCAGGATCGAACGGCTACAACGCCCTCGCCGCCCCTCCTTCAAACCCAAGTTTCGCCGGACCCATCTCCTGACCGGGAGCCCTCTCTTGCCCCGTCGATCCCACCACTGGCATCAGCACCTACGTCGTCTCTAAATACTTCTCCTTCGGCCTCCTCCCGGACCAAATCCAATACCTCAACACCGAAGTCTGCGTCTCGGCCTGAGAGGCTCAAACATCGTATAACTTCGCCCATGCACCAGCCAACAAGAACCCAACGGTTTGTAACCTTGTTGTGGCGTACATGTTGAGTGATAATTATGGGGTAGCGCAGGGTGTTTATTGTGCGATGTTTACAGAGAGTTGGGATGCCGGATATGGCACTGTGAGTGCGGTGACGGTTGGGAATGTGGAGTGGAGTGTCAGACGGGCGTGGGCGTATACTAATGCTACTTGTGCGGCGATTTATAGTTCAATTTGTGAGGTGAGTGGGTGTTCTGTTGAGTATGCGGGGGATAATTGTGGTGGGTGGGGTGCTGGGAGTTGCTGAGAAGTAGCATGTATAACAGACATGGAGGACTATAACGAGAAACAGAGTTAAAATAGGAGAATAAACACTATACCAGCTCAGGTCGTCATCATGGTCAAGGACACCGATGTCTGACTTTCCTTGTAAAATGATCGATTATGACGGGAGTCTTCTGATGCAAGAGCGGTCATGCCATACCTCTAAACGCCACCCATGCACGCTCATCTAAAATGCAATATCTCATCCCTAGTATACACCTGCATCCATCCAACCCTCACTCCTTCCTAAACTTCTCATTCTCCACCTCCCTCCAATCCCTCTCAGGCGGCTCGTCACCACTAGTACTCTTCACCGTCCCCGAGAACGCCGGTCTGCCCGCATACAACTGATGACTCGGCTCCTGCGCCCCTCCCTCCAACTCCTTACTCACAGCGATCGGCTGATTCCCCCGAAACCTCTTCCGCATGTCCACCATCCCGCGTTTGCACTCTCCTAAGCCTTTCTTGAGTTGTTGGCATTTCGTAGGCATGGAATCGATGAGCGGTTCGCGGAGGCAGTCGCCTGGTTTATTGCGGTAGACCATTACGCAGTCGGATTCTTGGAGGCATTGTGCTAGTGCCGCACCTGTATTATTCTTAGCTTTGCTGTTCGTGAGGAAGAGGGGGAGAGAGAGGGATGTACGGATGTCTTTGCATGAACTGGGCATGTTTGCCTCTGCTGCGAAAAGAATTCCCTTCCTAGCACACCACTTCTTCAATTGACTCTCCTGGATCAATCGTCCCTTCAGATCAAACAGCACTGGCGCTCCGACGATATCGTCTCCGTACAGCTGTCTCTCGAGATACAATGCCCTCGCAAAGCGATTGAAGCTCCTGTAGAAGCTCTCCGTCGAAACTGGCGCGCACGGCTTGATAATTGCGCCCTTGGGTAATCCCTTGACTTGGGATACAGCTTCGTCTTCGTTCGGCCGGTGAGGAGGGAATAATGTTGGAGGAGGAGAAGCAAGTGGCGCGATGCTCAGGTCGTTGAAAACACGTGAAGCTCTTTTTTGTGAGCAGGGATGCAAGACGCGGGCGTCGCGCTCCACCTTGCCGCTCCTGGAGCAGAAGAGCTCTGGGTATCTGCTATCCATACTTCATTTCCCTCACGAATTGTATATTCGGTGATGCTTTTTTTACCTAAATTAATTGCTGGATTCATTTTTTTGTAGGCGGTGAATTTATCGGTACTGGTACTTCCTGCAAGAAGGCTGGGGACGAAAGCTCTCCACGTATTTCTGCGGTGAGGAAAGGTACAGCGATGAAGTGGGTTTCTTGCATGTGACATCAGTGGCGAAGGTATGCGACTCGTCTTTGCGACAATGTTGGGCGGCGACAATGAACGATACTGACTGGAGATTGAAGTATAGAAATCCATGGTCAATATCAAGAAGTTGCTCCCATTCAATTGCTGCCACGTCTAGAGGGTCGGGCGCACACGTTGAGAAGCTGTCTGCCTGGCAACCTGTACATATCTGCTTCATTCTTTGTATATTCGGATCGAAACAATGGCGCCCATACCCTTTCTTGGCCGTTTGAACATGTAAGCAAATCTTATATCTGCCTGCGCAGATCCTTAGGTAAATGACAATGCGCTGATATGTTTGGTAGAGCGGAATACATCGCCCTGGTGGGCTCTTTCTTTCTTGTAGGATTGGAGGCAGTAATTAGGATACTTACACTTGCGCTACGTATGTACCTTACACTCTTGAATGGAATTATACTGATGATCATAGCTTCCACGGTAATAACCCTATTTTATCGAGCTTCGAGACGATTGTTCAATCGATTCACCTCCCCGGCGGCGAAGAAGTCGGAACATAAGAAGAGTAACATCTCGACCTCGATACGGAATGCTTCCGATTTCGTTGATCTCTGCGCATTATTTGGATACTATGCGGAGGAACATGTAGTGCAGACTGGGGATGGATATCTGCTGGGATTACACAGGTTGGCATGGAGGAAAGGAGAAGAAGAGCAGAAAGTCAATCATGGGAAGGATAGCATAAAGAAGGCCGTAGTCTACATGCATCATGGACTGTTGATGAACAGTGAAGTCTGGGTATGCTTGACCGAGGAAGAAAGATGCTTGCCGTTTAGGTTGGTAGAGAAGGGATACGATGTCTGGGTAAGCATCAACAAGTCACATATTAGTCAAATGGCTGACCAAGAATAGCTAGGAAACAATAGGGGCAACAAGTACTCCAAGAAGTCGATACACCACTCGCCGACGGATCTACCATTCTGGGACTTCTCAATGGATGAGTTTGCCTTCCACGATATCCCCGACAGCATCGCATATATCTTGGACACGACCTCAGCACCATCATTATCTTACATAGGATTTTCTCAAGGAACAGCTCAAGCTTTTGCAACTCTTGCAATACATCCCAAGTTGAACGATAGAGTCAATGTCTTTATCGCTCTAGCACCAGCTATGTCGCCTGCCGGCCTGTCGAATGGCATTGTAGATGCTCTCGTCAAAGCATCGCCACAAGTCCTCTTCCTCCTTTTCGGACGCCGCTCGATCCTAAGCTCAGCAACCATGTGGCAGTCGATCCTCTATCCACCAATATTTGTCCGTACCATCGACATCGGACTCTCATTTTTATTTGGCTGGCACGCAAAAAATATTTCCACAAGCCAGAAGCTAGCGGCGTATCCACATTTGTACTCATTTACCAGCACCAAGAGCGTAGTCCACTGGTTCCAGATCATCAGAACCAAGAGTTTCCAAATGTTCGACGACGATGTCCAACCCGTCATGCCCCTCAGCAGTGTCAGCAAATACACCAAAGTCGCCAAATTCCCTACCCGGAACATCAAGACACCTATTGTCCTTGTCTACGGGGGTAGCGATTCACTGGTCGATATCGAGGTCATGCTCAAGGAGCTTCCTTCTCACACGGTAGCCACCGAGATTCCCCACTATGAACATCTGGATTTCCTATGGGCTCGAGAAGTTGACACGTTAGTCTTCCCGCACGTGTTCGACGCCCTGGAAAACTTTTGCAGCACAGAACATTCCCAAGAAGAGTATGCGCGCTACAGAAGCGCAAGACACGCATCTATAAAAGCTGGTATGGAACGACCTGCCCTGCTCATGCAAGGCTATCCGAGCGATGAGGACGTTTCCGCATCAGCTGGTAGTTATGCCGAAGCTGCTAGCGTCCCACCGGGAGACGGAGCAGATGCATTAGCCAGGAGGAGAAATGGGACAGCAACAGGAATCTCGTTCCCGAGCCCGAACGCGAGGAAGAGAGCCAGGATACAAGGCGACTGGGACGATTCTTCCGAAGGAGGAGGGTCATCACCTATAAATCCCAGGCATATTAGGACGGTGACGATTAATAATGGAGATATCAATGGTATTGCCAATGGAAGGAGTAGCCCGACAACAAGTAAGACCCCGAGAAGAGAGAGTATCGGCAGTAATATCAGTATTTCTGAGAAAATGACCGGTGGAAAGGGCATTACATTAGGGGCAGGGAAGGCGGTCAGTGCTGTTTCGCAAGGCGTTACAGTGGGAAACATGGCGGGCAGCTCGGATGATGCGCCAGAACGAAAGAGTAAGAAAGGGAAGAAGTGATATAATATTTGTAATGAGTAGATTTACCACACTTTGAAAGCGATTCAATCTTCCTGAAGGGGACGGACATTGAAAATGGAGTTGAGGTGCATATATTGGCACGATCTAGGTTAAGGCCTGCAATCTGCAGTCTGCAGGAAAGAGTTCTGATATGTGTACAGACCAAATATACCACACTTTGATAGCAATTTGATGATCCTGAATTAGACGGATATTGAGTGTAGTTTAAACGCAGACTTTGGCATGAAGTATACGGTCTGCACAAGAGGCTTGTGATATTTGTAATAAGTAGATATACCACACTTTAATAACAGCTAGGTATTCCTGAAGTGGACGGACATTGAGGCTGTAGCTTAAGATGCGGACTCTGGCACAATTTAGCTTAAGTTATAATTTGTACGAAAAACTTATGTATTTGTAATGAGTAGACTTACCGCACTTTGATAGCGACTTGATGTTCCTCAACAGGACGGACATCAAAATTGCAGTTTACAGTGCAGATTTTGATGTGTGTTCTAGCTTGAGATATACGGCTTATATAAGAACCCTGTAAGGGGGGTTCACCAGAAGTGGCTATGGCCAGGGAACAAGTAATTTGTTGGATTGGCAGAAGCTAAACTAGTCACGCACCACGTGGCCATGGCCACCGTGACAAGACTTATATATGTTTGTAACAAGTAGATATACCACACTTTGAAAGTGATTTGATGTTCCTCAACAAGACAGACATTATAAAGTTGCAATTTACGGTGCACATTTTGGTGTGCGGTCTAGCCTGAGATATATGGTATGCACGAAAGACTTGCAACCATACCGAGGAGTTCTTCAAGCAATTTCCTCATTCTTGAAGACATACCTAGGTACGTAGGTACCTCTGACTATGCTATCTCGATCAAATGCCCTATACCGCAGATAGCAGTCTACCGGGACAAGGAAGATTCTGCCGTAAGTCTCCATGCCTGTTTGTTGTAGGTAGCAGGCCACACACCATTTTTACCAGGAGCTAAGATACCATTAGGATCCAAAGCATTCTTAATCTTCTCATTCAACTTCATTTGAGCATTGTCGTTGAAGTTATACGTCTCAGCAATCTGGTCCATCAACGCAAGATGCGTTCTATACTCTCCCCAACCGTGAGCAGCACAGTCGTCAATAAGCTGTCGGATAAGCTTGTGGACACGCTCCTTCTGCCCAGCATCATTGCGGTTGAAAACAAGACACACGATGTGATGCATCTCCCGCATACCGATTGTGAAAGTAGCGATGAAGTCAAATCCGGCTTCGATGACTCGCTTCTTCGTGATGGAATATTGCAAAGTAGCGTCTTCGCCAGAGATCTTGGAGATGGGAGAGAAGAAAAGATGGGCTCCATTTGGAAGCCAGTCAACCCATTTCAACTCATCGAATGTTGGTATACCCTGCAAAGTCTTCGCACGGATATGCAATACTGCGTTCTTGTCCGGAACATCTTCTGGAAGGAAGAACTTGGCACCTTCAATTGAGCCGAAAGTCTGCTTCACGACTTGCCACATGACATCTTGAATGGGCTTTGGGCCATACAGGGCTCCATAAAAGTTCCAACGACCGAGATTGAGCTTTTTGGCAATTGCATCAATTTCCTCGTCGGTAAGAGGCTTGTCGCTCGAGCTGTACGAAGCCTTCGTACCGAGGACAGCTGCATCAAGAAGAACGTGACGGATACTTGGGACGTTCTGAAGAACCATAGCAAGACGGAGCTCACGAATGATATCAACGACCTTGGGTAGATCGCTATCCTTGGGGAAGGTAATGAGATATGGCTGGTATCCTCCAGGATTCACCATGAGCCAGATACCCATCTTAGTCACGACACCCAAATTGCTCTGCGTGAAGATGCCATCGTTGTATGGTCCGAAGCCATAGTTGAAGAGTTGCCAGCACTTATTTCCGGGCTGCTGATCAAGAGTTCCTCCCTCCACATGAGGTTGAGTTGGGTCTGGCATGGCACCCATGCCTGTTCGAAGGAGTTCTCCGCTGGGCAAGACAACCTCCATGCCGCAATGCATCATGAAATGATCTGACTGGTCAGTGTTTATCCCCGCAAGGATAAAGATGTAACATACCTCCATACGGGGTGTAGCCAACTCCACGCTCAATCGCATTTCCTAGGACCGATCCACCTCCAAGATCAGGAGTATCAATCCATAACTTCTGGTCCAGCTTCTTCTCCACCAAGTAGGCATAGAGATCCGCATATGTCACTCCAGGCTCAACCAAAGCATACGCACCACTTTCGTTGACCTCGATGACTTTGTTCATGTTCCGACCCATGTCCAGGCCCTAGTCCACGGATCGAATTAGTTATTGTACCATACTTCTTCGAGACGGCCTCATGGAAGCAAGTGTAATGGCAAAGGCGCTAGAAGAAGTTCCTTTGGTATAGCAACATGGAGCAAAACTTGAGCAGACTTACAATACTTCCAGGAACACGAGGTGCCGAACCACCATATCCTACATTACGCCCAACCGAGAATGGCCAGACCGGGATGCCATACTCGTTGCACAATTTCATGATAGCTTGTACCTCGCTAACTTTGCGAGGTGCAATCACAGCAGATGCAACGAAATAGTCTTTGTCGAACACATGAAACATATCATGCGCCTTTGAAGGGTCGGTATAATGTTCTTTGGTGAGCTCATCCTTATTGTTGATGACAGTAACGTTCTCCTCCCCAACTATCTCAACAGCTTTCTTGATGTACTCTTTGAAGTCCTCTGAGCTGGTTCCAGGTGGAAGAGCGATTGGATCAGCAGCATTCTTCTTCGATGAGTCGTTTGGTACTCGGTACAGAACCTTCTCAACCCGGGTCGATGCCATATTCGATTTTGATGAATGGTTCAAGGTTATGAAACAAATGCACTTGTCAAAGATGCAGATTGTCAGAATCTGGGCCCGAGTCGATTAAGCATCTTTTCAATTGTCTCTCTTGAATTAGTCGCGACCGCGGTGCAATCCCGCGGTAACGGGACCATGCATGTATGGCCGAGATGGCCTCATGAAAGCAGTACAGTACCCTACACCGTAATCCTAATTGTGGGGATTGGACAACTACTAGCTTGGCATTCACAGGCCAAATGCGTACGACACAGGACGCAACACAACAAACATGATCGTCAGTGGCGGAAAGTGGAGCCGAGACACTGCTGGCAGTTCGATGCAGCATTGAGGGCCCCGTTGACTTAAAATCGTTCGATGCAGAGGGAAGGAAGACCTTCACGGCACATGTAAGGGGCAGATAAGGAGTTAGTAGGAAGAAGATTCGATTTTGTATCAGACCTTCCTCCGTCTCGAAGACATGCAAAGATTGCATTTCGTTCTCTGCCTCTAGTCTGCCAATATTGGTTTTGAACGCACACTGATTATTATTGGGCAATTGGAAAGTTCCAAACTCTAACTTTAGCATGGCTGGGGTCTCTTCGGGGAGGAGAAGCTACCCCGGACATTTCGCCGTTGGTGTGCTTCCTGACAAGCCATCCGCGAGTCAGACTTGTACATGACCCCACTTCTCCCCCCTCGATTTTATGGATCTCCCGCGGCAGCTACGGAAGTCGGGGAATTGGCTCAATGAGTTGTTTTGACCGTTCTGATAGACCGAATTTGGCGTATGGTTTGATGATCACCAACGCTCAGACTGGCGATCTGCAGTTATCTATGACCCAAAACGTCCAAGACTCCCGTGAACATCATGCGATTCTACATTTCTACTTATCTTGTCGAAATGGTGAGTGCCACTCTGAACTGTGGAACCTAAGAGTTTCATAGTCCATGTGTCGAGAACGAAACTTCCGCGTTAGGGCTCGGGAGTAGCCATCCAGCTAATCTCTACACATGCAGTAACTCTTGGCCTGTCTTGTCAACGTCCTTTACGCCGTTTTCGTAGAGAACCCCGGCGGGAACACGCAGCCGAGGACCCATGAGCGGATCCTTTCCGTTGTCAGATGTCTGGTGTTGCGTGTACCATTCTCTTGGGTTCGTCTTCAAGATCTTGATACGTCTGGTTGGCAGTCGACCGCTTCATGAATGGAACTGAATCTTCAGTTCTTACTATCCTCTGTCTTGCAATTTCGTCTGGGAGATTCAAATTCGTTGAACGGTTCTCTTGAAATGTCTACGAAGCCAAGTCTGTGCTTTGCAGAGATTTCAAACTCAACTGATCCTTCGCTTGCTGGTCTTGGAAACTCTGTTTTGACCTGGGACCCTTGTGTTTTGAGTAATTTAAGTGCGTTTCCTGCGCTCAATACGGTATACAGGGGTACACGCAGGTACCGAGGAGCGTAAACTGCGAGAAGAAAATCCCTTTTCGAACCCTGGGAGTCGTTTAATACTCATCATGCATTAACCAACAGATCATTTCTTTTTACAGCAACTATGAACCTCTCCGATCTGTGAATGGGATAGACAAACTTCTCCTTTCTAGTATGGTGATCCCTTTCGCTACCCGAGACTTGAGTTTATGAAATACCGCAGCTGGGACGCTCTTTTGTTGTCAGGTGCTTCTTGTTGAGTTTTTCCCATCAAACTTTCTTTCGGTACTCGTGCAGGTCATTCGTTTCGCCATGTCGTACTTTGGAAGTAACGGCCCTCTTGTAGTCGCAGTGATGTGGACAGAAACAATCGTGGCATTGTTATTCGTTCTCGCACGGCTATACACAAGGGTAAGAATCGTGCGAAATATTGGTTGGGATGACCATCTCATTAGTATATCGATGGTAGGTCTTGTTCATGTTTCGATTAATTTGCTACAAAGACTAACAAACTCCAAAGTTCCTCTTCCTTGGATATACCATTCTTATCACGATAGCAGCAACAGACGGATTCGGAAGCCATCTTACAGATCTCGGCCTTCCGCAAGCGGTCAAAGCCATCAAGTGGGAAATAGCCGGACAAACCTTCAACATTGCGGCGATTGGTACGAGCAAGAGCTCAGTTGCCGTCTTTTTGTTGCGAATCGTCACCAGCAAGAGTCATATTTGGATCTTGTGGTTTTGCATCGCCAGCACATCCTTCGTCTGCGCGTCTTGTATCGTGTTCATGTACACGCAATGCACTCCTCTGGAGTCCATCTTCAATCCCACATTACCACATGTTTGTTACTTGAACTTCACTGTTAATGCTATTTTCTCTGGAAGTAAGTGAACCTGTATCACGACCTAGATGTACCTGATAGCTAATTTTATTAGGCTATACGGCGGCCATGGACTTTGTACTGGCTATTTTCCCTTGGTTCGTTCTGTGGAAACTAAACATGAAGCGTAAAGAGCGCCTGACAATCGCTTTGGGCCTCTCACTTGGTGTGTTGTACGTTGTTCAAGCCCTCTAACTGCTCGACCTGTTTCTGACTACTTTACAGCGCAGGAATTTGTGGAGTCATTCGAGCAGTTGAACTGCAAGGAATATCCGGGAAAGCGGACTATACATGTAAGCAATCTCGTGTTCTCACTGACACCTCTCGCCATTTCCGCATTCGCAACAATTGCTCTCTACTAACCACCCATATCCAGACCTCACCCTCCCCCTCATCCTCTGGGGCTCCACCGAACTCCTAATCTGCATCGTCTGCGCCTCCGTCCCCATCCTCCGGCCCCTCTACAAACAAGTCCGCGGCGTCCACTCCTCCAACACGCCCTACGAACTGGGCAACACGCCCTCCCGCCAGCTCGACACCGGCGGCAAGGATTTCGAGTCGACTGCCAAAGCCAGTCGCGAAGGGATTGTAACTAGAGCTGAGGGCAATACGACGATGTTTATGGGCGGCACGCAGTATAATTCGAGCGATGAGGAGATTTTACAGGGTGGTGGGTTTGGAGGTGTGGGGACGTTTGATAATAAGAAGTCGATTCATAAGACGATGCAGATTGATGTTATTTATCAGTAAGAAGGAGGGATGGCTGGTGTTGGGGTCTTTTGAGAGTGTAGATAAAGTAACAACTGAGCTGTACAAAATAGTGGTAGATGTAGTATACGCATAAGCATAATCAGGCGTACAAAATGGGACACGTCGACAATCCTTCGGTACGGTGCGCAAATATTGCAGTGAATCCACATGGGGCGCGAACAGCGCGAATAGTCGTTACTTCGAACACAGAACCATCGGTCTACCGATTTCCATTCTGCACTTTCAGATGGCTCCAATTGAGTTTGACGACTAAAACTCGATCATTTATTGCGCCGACTTCTCAAAGTGAGGCTTCCTTTGCAACTCAGACGTGGTCAATGTTGAGCCATCCATCGTCTATTCTCGTTCGCAGCATCCTCGATGATCGGTACCAGAAAGATATGTGCTTCACCATTTAAAGGCGGATACTCTGAGATCAGAGAGAACATGGCCCCTTACAGAATCCTGTGGAGAAATATGAGTTACTTCATGCGATGACTTCGGGTTTCATTTATCTTATAGCGCCGGTAATAGGCAGCAGGTATAACCTAGACTGTAGTATGAGGTGGAGGTACCTCGGATACAACCGTGGATTTTCAATCAGTGTTCAAAACCTCAGAAAGATCTGGTTGGAACCCAAATTTCCGTTCTTTTCAGAGCCTGGACGATGGCCAACTACTCAGTAGATGCCAAAACCTTGAAATCGGGTGGAGAATCCACCCGAGACTACATTTATCAACGTAATAGGCAGAAGAGAAATTTCTCTGAATTACTCGCAATCCAACAAACACCTCTTAGATGATCTTCTCGTCTGAAATTGGGACTCTGGGATGACCGGAGGGTTGAAGTTTATACTTCAGCATCAGCTTTGAACAGAGAGCCCATCGTTGATGTCATCCGTATAAAAATCATTTATCGCTTTGACGACTTAGCATGCTCAATTGATATTGCTACCATTTTTTCCGCTTCGCTTCTGGGGTGAAAAGGGGGTGGATCACTAAGCGAGTTTCGTTTTTTCTTGTGGATTTTACAGAGGGGGGATGAAAGCACTCTATTGATAGATTACTAGGAATTTTGACAAATAGATATCATTCCGGGTTTAAGCTTCCGATCCCATGACCAAGGTTCTGGTCAAATAAATAGTGATCGCGATGCGCGACTCTCAAGGCAGAGGATTTTGCCCCTATCTAAACGCGTATCTAAGCGAAGGGGGTTTCGACACGCCGAGGTTTTTGTTATTCTTCTAAAGAGCAAAAGTCGTTGACGTCCTGTACATGCTAGAACACTCGGCTACAGATACCATTGAGATTGTAGAGTCATGAATGGAGATGGTAAATAATTGAATATATGCCATTGAATGATTCCCAAAGGGCCTAGGAAAACTTGTCTTCTCAGCTCGAATAGAGCTCCATGTTCATGGCAAGTTTACTCATTCTTACCCGCATGCCTCTCAAGAAAGTATATCCATAGCTCTTGAATGAACAAAGTTGAAGTATTCCCTCCCCAACGTATGCATATTTCCCTCCAGTGTGCGAGTCCACAACCACTGTCCGTGAGACAAAGGAATCTACCTGTGACGTTCACCCATCAGCCACATTTTGATTCGTTTGCCAAGAACGGAGCTGCAAGTAAGGTTCCGTTCTAACTACATCGTTCATCAATCAACAAGGAAAACCAGGCTTTCCTACGGAATGACCGAAATAGTTGGAATTGCTGAGAAGAGTGACTCGGTGGTTGTGGCTGTGTGCGGACATGCAGGACGCAAAGCAAAAAACTTGATGGTACTCTCAAGTTCTATCAGAGCATTTTGGTCGGCAGAGTTCTCGTGATTCGGTTCTAACCAGGAAAGTACATCTTGCGAGAGAGCTAATGTTAACCATAAACTATAAGGCTGGATAACTCCCGTCGGAAAAAGAAGGTATTTTCACGTGACTCGATGCACACTTCTCACATCTCACTTGTTACCAGAAGCTCGTAGAACGCTCGACCCTTTTCTGGTTTATTCTGCGATCGACAAAAGAGTGTCTATATCTTCCTGCATTACGTCTTTCCCAGTTCGTTCAAAGCATCTTCGTGTTTTCAAAGTTTCACCCCGGTCTTATGTCAGGATCTGCACAAAATCGATCTAACCCCATTCAGATGATTGACTCATCTCTACCACGCTAAAACCTGCACCCAGCCGTGCGCCCACTTACTCAGCCCATTCCAACCGAGCATAAAAGCCTCCTCCTCCACCATCCTTTTTCTCAGGCAAACACACAGTTGCTTTCCAAAGCACTTCAACTGCATTTTGCAGTTCACTTCTTCTCTTCTCTTCTCTTCTTCAAGGGATACATATACGGGTCAATTGGCCCGTAGACCAGCATTTCATCATGCCAGCAGCAGGAGCATCAAGCGCCGCAGCATGCAGACAGACCGTCATCGTATTCCGATGCAGCCAACGACTTACTCTATTCAAACCTCCATGGTCAGCAACTGGACTTCTCTAATTATTACTATCAAGACTTCAATTCAATTGGCCTCGATTCAGAGGCTCTTCTCGGGTTCCCTTCAACTTCCTCGCCCCTGTTGGACCCCGCACTCTCTTTCACTTCTTCACCATATATGTCGACTCTGCCATCCTTACCAATCGATCAATCGACCGACTGGATGGGCAATCCCGCACCCAGCATCAACACTTGGTCCTCCTGGGGCCCCGGCTCCAATGAGCCCGTCTTCGGGGACATGATGTCCCAAGGCTCAATGAGAAACGCCTCCTTCATGGACCACCAACCCGCTCCTTCATCGCAACCTTTCTTCACTCAACCAATCTCAAACTCTAGCCCTGAACTCAGTCAAATAGAGCCACGCTCAAATCCTCGATCTGACGTATCATCTGTCTCAAATGGCTCTCCCGAGACTCGTTCACTCGATGATGACTTACTTGCCCTCGACACCATCAACCCCAAAAATTCACCGTCTTCCAAGTCCCCCGCCAACCGAGTCTCTCCACCCTCAGACCACTCATCTAAAGTCAAGAAACGCACGCTCAACACCCTAGCTGCTCGACGCTATCGACAGAAACGCGTCGACCAGATGCAAGGGTTAGAGACTGTGTTGAAAGACACGGAATCTGAACGAGACGAGCTGAAAATCAAGGTCGCCAGATTGGAAGCCGAGGTGGAGGTTCTGAGACGGCTGATCGAATCTGGGAACAGTAATTCCTCGTCAGAGAAAAGTTAGCATGGCATTCTGATGATTTTCTTTCGGGTATTATGATAGAAGGGGTGAGAGCAATGTTCGGACGATGTCGGTTGCTGGTCATCAAGGATTTCAGATCGGCAAAATAAGGATTTTCTTCATTGAGCTCTGTAGGATGGATGGGACTTGGGAGGACTGGGATATTTCTTACTTTCACTTCTTTTCTTTCCATTTTCATCTGGGGGAGTTTATTTAGATTTTTCTTCCTTGCTTTCTTCCCTGTATCTACATTTCAATTTTCTCTCTTCAATATATATATATATATATACTACAATCACCACCACCATCATTCCCCTCACCATCCTCCTCACAATGAGTCGAAACCTCTCCCTCCTATTTCCTACCCTTCCTCTCTCTAGACCCAAGAGATAGCTCGTGTACCATTCCACCAGAATGAGTCGAAATGATACTTCACATCTCCGTCCATGATCTAAACGCGTATCATCAACCCGCGAAACACTACCCTCGTCCCGCAGGTTGCGCAATGGCTGGATTTGGCAAGGCGCAGCATGAGCGAGCATGAGTCATTTTTCATCATTTCTTGGCATTGACGCGCGATCCCCACTTCCCCTGAAAATTAGTCGAAGCTTGCCAAATGGTGCGCAGCGAGCTAGAGTAGGGCTAGAACGTTCGTAAGTAAGTAAGCAATGCGAACTCTTTGTTGTTGCTTAAGTAGTTTTCGTGGCTGTTATTTCATAGCTCGTGCACGTGGTGTGTGTGGTAACTTCACCTGCAGAGATCCAGATTGGCTTCTCTATGAGGATCCGAGAAATTAAATTACTACAGAATCAGTACCCTTGTATCTTGAAAGGAATGAAAGCAATAACAACATATGAATCAAGATTACGAGAGTCCAAGTCTGATTTGGAGCAGATTCAAGTCTGGCCTAACTCCAATCCAACCAAAAAAAAAAAAAGGCTTAAATCTCAATTTCTCCAAGTTCAACTTGCGATTTTAGCTTAATTAAGTGGCAATAACATCCTACGCAAAGGAATTCAAAATGTTATTGAATCCAAGTCTAATTCGATTAAGAAGTGCTTACATTTGACATGGACTTGGACTCGCCTAACCTTGAGATGAATCTTGCTAACATTCCAGCCGAGGCCCAGTGCTCGCAGCCACAGCCTAAGTCGGTGGACATCATGAAGACAGAAAGTTATTTGTTAGGCCTTACGTTCATCTAAGCTTAACTACTAGTTGTCGAGCTTCCAGATGTCTCCTTTTGCGACTGCGTTCAACCACAAAATCTTCTGGGTGAGAAAAATATTAGCTATAGTCGAGATAATTAGGATGAGAACTTCACGGGATTGTGGGCTTCAACGTTTAGAACAGAAGTCTTAAGGATTAAGATTCAACGTGGAAATGCAGCACCTGGGGTCAAACGAGGTCGATATCAGAATAGGCTTTTTCCTAATCCTATCTCACCCACGCGAGCCTAGTCTCATATCCACCAATTCCTCAACCCGTCAAGCCCGCCCAAAACCCCCCATATATCCAAAAACGAAATTTCTCAAACCCTTTAAACCTATCCAATACTCCCCGACACCAACACCAACCCAACCCAGCCTTCTCAACATCACCCACCCCTCTTAAACATACCTCCCACCCCTCCTAACCCCCACAACCCCCTCCTCCCTCCCAAACCCCACATGCTCCACCCCTTCCCCTCCATTCCCCCCATCCCCACCACCCAACCCACCAAACCTCAACCTCACACCCCCAAACCGCTCATCCCGTGGCAGTGCCCCCAGCGATTTCCCCCTCGCCAACTCATCCAACTCCCTATTCCTCGTCGTCGCCACGATCGACGAGAACGCCGTGCTATGAATAACGCCATTGAGATGAAAAGCGTAGAGACCGAGGGCGACGCCTAGAATAGCGAAGAGGAGGGCCAGGCCGTAGGAGAGGAGGAGCGGGGAGGGGTTGTAGTGGTAGACGTTGCGGGTTGGGAGGAAGGTGATTTCTACTATTGTTGAGTTTGGGGACCTTCTTGGGTTAATACGTGTGTGGGGTGGTGAATGGGGAGAGGGGAACGCACAGGAGTTCAGAGGCGCTCAGCATGCTGATTGTTATATTTGTAGCGAGGTCCTCGATAGCGCGCTATAGGGTCCCATTGCGGCATTTCCAAGGAGCTGGTTTGAATCCTCCTTCAAATGTAGCGTTCATTCGACCCACAGGCATAGTGGTAGCGTTTGAGTCCGGGTCTACATAAGTTTGGTTGACGATCACTGGATGGAGATTGAAGGAGCTCAGAGTAAAGTCGTCGCACGTCTCTAAGCCGGTATTGATGATCCTACTTGAGGTGTCCCATATTTGCCAGTCCAGAGCCTTTGTTAAGACTGAGACTGCGTCTACTGTCAGGTTACCACTCAACATACTCGTCAGCGAAGTGTAGACAGCCACATATGGAAACATTCCCAAATTGGTAGGTAGTATCGGCCCAGCAGAAGTATACTCGGGAAGTCCGTAGATCGGAACGAATAAGGGTTCGAATTCCTGAAGATCTCCGTAAGTGATAGTCTGATCTCCATTGCTGAAGTCAAAATATACGTCCCGTGTGCCGTTCCCAAGTGTACACACAAAGCTAGTCTCGGAAGTTTGCACAAAAAGTTGTCTCGGGACCATTTGCGCAGTAAAATTGTACACCGAAGAGTTTGCGATGGGTTTACTGCCATGGGCCATGTAGCCGTAACTGTCCAGAAAGTCTGGAGGTATTGGAACGACCCAATCATTATAGATGTCTGCGTTGACATAATCGTAAGATCTGTCAGGTTGCCAATCAGCCGCCATTGTCAAGTCAAAAGCTGAAAAGAAGAGCATGACAGGAGCTGTGTCATTGACGGATATGTTAATGGGCATGGAACCTTGGGTGGTCTCGCTGTATATCCCGCCTTCAACCAACAAGTTATTGTAGAAGTTGAAGAATATCAACTCGCTACTGTTAGCAGGCTCGCATTGAATGTATGGACCCCGAATAGGCATCATGTATGATGAATTGATCGCGGGCGGATCGAGTGGAAGTAGGTCCATTGTCTCCGCAACTTGTGCAGTCTTCGTAAGGACTAAGGACGTTGGGGTCTGCCAGTCTGCACCGCCACTGAAATTGTAAAACAAAGGGTCTGGTAGCCAAGAATCAGAGGTCCAGTTCAGGCTCGGCATTGATCTATTCTGTTTCTCTTTGACAATCCCGGGAACGACAGTGAGTGTTCCAGGTGGAAGAACACCTGCCAAAGCCATGATCCTGAATAGTTCAGCATTTCTCCCGCATACATTGACCATTCAACATACCAGCAAGCAAGTGCTAACAGGACAGTCACAGGTGCCTTGCGCATGATCTCAAGGCTGAAGAAGCTTGTCGGATCGGAAGTAAGAGAAAAGATACGGTCTAGATTCGCAACACTGAACGCTCTCCCTCGTACCGTCGACCAAAGATACTGATCATACGCTCGAATATTTGCAGTATGGAACATAGCCACCACCAACACCGCAAAGATATTACCAATGTTGTGTGCCCACTGCTGCTTTGAATTTGTACCAGCGAGCTGTCCATGAAGAGCCGAATAGAATGCATGATGACTGACAGCTAATACGAGTCCACCTAGTGCGAACAGTAGCATGTATGTTGGTTGCTTCTGCCACTTGACGCCCCATTTCACAAATTCGTGATGGTCCGTCAATTGTTCGATGTGTACATTGAAGGATGCTTTTTTCTCGGACCCAGACGAGGGACTCTCTATAGGAGAAATTATGTCTCCTACATTGTGCGAGATGTCTGAGGCAGGCCGTTGCCCAGATGAGGGACTCTCCATAGGAGAAACTGCATCTCCTACATTTTCGGAGACGTCTGAGGCAGGCCGTTGAGTTTCTATCTGCTCGGACATTGCAATGGCTTAGAGAATAAGTTCACAGACAGGACAAATTGACCTTATCGAACAAACGAAAGTAGGTCGTCATGACAAATGGCATTTGAGATGTGCCGCAGACCACCAACTTTTCGTTTCAGTGGTCGTCGACAAATAGATTTTGTAAATATATTGCGCCGTACCGCCTCTTGACTGCCGCCGGGCGGTAGCGGGAGGAACCCGCTTACATTTACCCTATCGGCTGTAATAATGATTGGCCCTAATCTACTGAGAGGAAAACTAGCCCCTAACCTCCTACATAATCTATTTTTTGCGAGATAACAAAGTTCGAAGAATGCTGAGTCATTGATTGAGCCAAGAAGCAGTCCACTTCGCTTAATATAGAAATCGCTGTGTTCCATTGATAAAAATAATTTTCTGGCGTCAATAAGTACCTAGGTATGAACGCAGGTTCAGGTAGGGAAGCTGGGAGCTGCAGAGGATGTTTATACAGGAGCGAATTCCACCGAAATGGCTCGGGTTCTGAAAATAAAACATGCAACGTCGTCGAACGTCCTAAAGCAGAATCGAAGACTCTGATCTGCTCTGAATTTTGAAGCTCCACTACTGCGCCAATGAAAGCGCATTGGGCCTGTTGGACGGAATGGATTAAAAAGGGAATCCATGCAAAATCACCGCACAAGAAACAAGAACACACTGAATTTATGACGCAGCAGAGATCGAGACACAAATATGATGCGAAAATAGCAAGTTGATTGTCTTGGGAGTCACTTGACTAGCGTCTTCTCTTAGAGGGGTTCAAGGCAGAAACGAATCAAGCACCAACGTCTGAGGACAAGCCAGTCGTCAACGTCAGAGTTTCTAATATACAAATCTATTCTCTCCAGAGGGAACGTATGGTATCGTTTGACTTCTTGTGTCGGACTCCACTTCAACGAGTTTTTCTGGACACTGAGTTGGGCCGCCAATATCCTCATCGATACCGTTTGAACTTTGAAAGAATCAAACTTCCGAGCGTGGTTGAGATAACGAATTCTATGAAAGGAGTAAGTCGATAGAGTGGCGCGAAGGAACTTCTCATCGAGTAACTGTGATAGCATCACTCCCGGAATCTTAGGTCCGCTTCGATGTGAAAACTCTCAAGCTGGATTCGAATTCTCTCTTGTAATCTCTCGACAGTAGCAGGTTCGTCGTCGTCGAAAGATATGTCGTTTCTGTAATAAGTCATGGCGTGTCGGGTATCGAGTATTACGATTTTGCTCAAATGGTTAAAGTGGTTATGGAAGTCTTGAAGAAATGACCTCTGGGACCATTCCAGGTTCCAATGTTCACAATCAGAACAGTCGTGATAGGTCCTATAGAGGTGAATCAGAATCAGAGGTAACGATATTTTGTAACAAGAAATGCTTACCAATTGTCTGGGATGAATGGCCAATGCTCATCGCAAAAGCTGAAACTGACCGCAAGCTTCTTAATCTTCTGCGTTGTGCTCTTTGATAAGGGAATTGTCCATGGTGGTAGACACCCGAAATCTCGGGAAATTACATCACACTCCAGAAACAACATGTCCCGCTGGTAAGAAAACAACTTGAGACATTCATGGTCGTGTTGTTCCAGTTTTATAAACTCGTATCCCTGACGCTTCATCTCTGCCCGGATCTCCTGGCATACCCACTGCAGAGACATAGCATCTCTACAGAGGCTCCTATGTTTCCATTCCCACCCTCCTTCGCTCACGTTACATGAATGGCCCAAAACGTAACGAGCCTGCCCATGGCGCCAACTATACAGCAGGCTTATAAGGCGTGGTGGCGGCATCGCGAATCCTAAGATTCTGGCTCGGAGGTCGCGCTGCAGGAATGGGAAGAAATGAAAGGTATCCGATCCCGCTTCCATATATGGCAGAACATGACGCTGAACCCGCGGCGTAACTTCTGCGACTGATTCAAACGTAGCTTCTGTCGGAATTGGCGCAGGAAATCTTCTTCGATGTCTGCGAAACCTTCGGGATTCGCGCATCTCGAGATCGTCGTCATCCCAAATCGCATCTAGAAGTGCGAGTTCCATCTCGATTCTTCGGTTTCGATACAGTTGGGAAGATCCTGCTTCTACTTGATGATGGATTTTGTGCGATGGCCGAAAAACGCTCTGTTCGAAGAATTTGGAAAGTATGATATGGAACGATGAAACGTAGTGAGATTGACAACTTAAACACGACTTGCAGTACCGCGCGTGGAAAAGAATATCACAATGGTAAGTGGGATAAGAGATGGTGATGTTGATGAAACAAAACTGGTCGATGGTCGATGATCAAGATTGCAGTAATCATAGATACCGAAAGTGCTTCGGCCAGTTGCAACTTCCTATTTCGACAAGTAAACCAGGTATCATCTGCGAAAAAGGAAAATGACTGCCGATTGTGCTCCCAAGTCATGATACGCTCATAAATTCGTTCATGCCATCCATAGTTTCAAAGGACAGAGGTCTCGACGGCCAATAACCAGCAAGAAAATGAAAACCAACCAAAATACACTCACCTTTCCGTACAAAAATGCAACTTTTCCATCCCAATACGACCCGGAGATGCTTTGCCGTGTTGATCCGCCGAGTTACAACTATCTTGAGTGCCATTGACTTCAACGGGTGAAAAATTGCTGAGCGGGTAGCAATTCAACAAAGCTACAATGCAATCGTAGATTGCTCTCGGATACGAGAATCCAGCTATTCTAGCCATGGTTTAAGCTTCTCTGTACCATGTCCAAAGGAAGATACTAAATCAGAAACTCACCTCCAAACACCGAGTCCCCCTACCCCTAGCAGACTCACCCCATTACAATACAAAACAAAGCCAAAAGGCATTCGTCAAAAAGTCTACATTTTTAACCCTTGGCTGAGTACTTTTATACTTCCTCCCTTCCCCTTACAAATATATACAAAACACCCCACCGCCCCAACCCAACGCAACCCAGCCCAACCATCCAGTCCATTCATTTATACCCAGCCCATAATCAATACAAAAACCCAAACGCTACCATTGTACAATAAACACCCCTCCTACTCACAGCTCAACCTCCCCCGTCCCCTTAACATCCCCAACCCTCTTCCCCTCCAACCCCCTCGGCGTCTTCAACCCGAAGAAAACAACCATACTCACAGCCAGGACACCCATCCCACCACACGTGTACGCGAATTCGCGGCCCGCCCACCAATACACGCTCGTGAACAGCAACGGACCGATACCTCTGCCCAACTGGCCCCAACTGCGGAGATTACCGAGCTTACCACCCCGCTCATCTTCTCCGGCTTCGAAACTACTTAGTGCATTCAGGCCCGTGACGACTGTTGCAGTTGTGACGGCGAGGAGGGTGCTTGCTGCGTAGAGGCCTCCTACTGTGTTGATCTTCGCCAGCAGGAAGAGGGCTAGGAGACAAGAAACCACACCGATCCTAACAGAAAGGAGGGGTGGGAGCCGTCGCGTTACGCCGCCTTGCAGCAGAGAGGCTACGAGACCCATGAATCCTAGCAATCTCCCATTTCGCGCGGAGTTGTATCCGAATAAATCGTATGTCATGAACGGGAGCGAGAATTCCATGCCAGAAAAGAATAGGATGAAACCCAGATGCGTGAGATTAAGCAAGAAATGCGAGTTCGTGCGAACATATTTCTTCCCCGGGATAGTAGCCGACTCAGACGAAACCATCTTAGCCTGGGTCTGCGACCTCGTCGTCGGCTTCGTAGCCCCATTCGTCGCCGCCGGGACACCCCTCGCCTTCGCCTCCGCAACCTTACTCGGCAGCGTCTCGGGCAGACACAGATACAGATACACGGTCTCGGTGACGATCAAGAACAAACTAAACCCCGCCGCAGTCGCAAACGGATTCGCCTTGACGGAACTAATCGTACTAAGCCACGCCCCCAGCGCGGGCCCGAATGTAAAGCTGATGCTGAAACATATACCCACCAGCGCCATCGTGGAGCCGCGCTGCTTCTCGTCCGAGATATCGGTCGCGATGGCGATGGCCAGCTGGACGTTACCTTCGGACAGCCCGCCGACGATGCGGGATAGTAGGAAGGTGCGGAAGTCGGAGGCGAGGAACCAGAGCAGGACGCTGAGGATGTTGCCCGCCATGCTGAAGAGGAGGGCGGTACGGCGGCCGTAGCGGTCCGAGAGGGTGCCGATGATGGGTGAGGCGATTGCTTGGAGGAGTCTGTTTGTTTTCTTTGTCAGATGAAAGTCTGGTTATGTATATAGACGTTAAGCAACGTACGAGAATAAGCTCCCTAAAGCTCCACCTAGTAGCACAATATCATATCTCGAGTCAATCGGTCGCGCGAACGAGGCCTTGTATGCATTGAGGTAGGTAAGGATATGCGCAAGCAGAGAAGGCGATTTCGTCACAGAACTGAACTGGATTGGTGCTTCGAGACTATCATCACAACCATCAGCAGATTGCCCAAACCAGCGGATTGATTGTATACGCACTCCCTATAGTATGCCAGCAGCGACGGGAAAAGAGGTAATATAAACGTGAAGCTAATCTGCGCACCATCATCAATCAGTTCATGATGCACAAAGAAAGAGAGAGGATGAGGTGAGCATACCAAGTCTAGCAGCAGAGATATAAACACCACCCTCAACACCTTCTTCCTCGTCGCCGGATCTACAGGCGCTGCCATATTCTGTCTCTCTCCCTCTCTCTTGTTGTTCTACTCTCGTCCAAAAAAAAAGTCGCCGTTCCCAAAGCAAGCTCCAAATGTCCTCTTCTCCACCCAAAAATATCTCAAACTGCCTCTTTCCTCTCTTTCCCTCAGAAAGAATTGTCGACCTGCGAAAGAGTAGTAGTAAAGCAACGCAAGTCAATTAAGCAGCAGAAAAGACAGAACAAGAACACCGTGTCGTTTTGTCGTTTCGATGGTCGCTCGTTCTTTCTCCACCCATACGTCGTCTGAAGCTCGTACGCAACGCCTCGGCCCCGCTTAAACAACACCCCGATGATCCCGGCCCGGATGCGGACTAGGGTTCACGACCCAAGATTCCAAAGGGTTTAGACGGGGGTGCAAAGCTTAGATTTTGGGGGTTGGTGATTGGGGCGAGGGGCTCCGAGGTAGATTATTTATTTGTTTTGGGGAAGTCGTCAGATGGGACTAGAATTTGGGCATGCGGGAGACGATTCGATGTGTCTTGCATTTCCGGGAGGGGAGTTTCTTGATGGGATTGAGGATTCCAGGTGATGTGCATCAGCCCCCACGCGTGCGTAAGGCCAGCAAAACGGTACGGTATTTGGAATTACAACACAGCAGAGATTTGTTATGAATGGCCAATTTAAGAAGACGACAAGGAAAATTGGGTTCTGCGGCACAGTGATTTGAGATCTTTAGTAGGTTGGTGATCATAATTCATTATAAGTATATCATTCCTAATCAATGACTCCCTCTCAATTAAGAGCCTGCCTACAAGACGCACTCTTTCATGTGGCCGCTTGGCTCTTGAACGATCCAAAGTGCTTGGCCACGCAACAGTCCTTGAACGCCCGCAAATTCTTATGCTCGTCCCACAAACCTCACTTTATGCTCAAGCTGGAGTCAACGAAACCGGCACCCCACCTCGTACAGCGTTTGTGAGAGTAAGTATCTCCAAGAGAGGTGCATCTTCTCCTCGTGGAGCAATATCCTTGAAAGATTGAAGGAGTCTGATTGTGGTGTAGGAACTGTGGTATGTTAGTAGATGATCCTCTATTGTCTGTCTAAAGATAAACTCACGCTTCGGTCAACGCAAATTGCTGTCCAATACAGATACGTGGGCCTCCATTGAATGGAAGATATTGCCAACTGTTTTCTTCCGTCAGCCAAATATTCCAACGATATAATGCAACGAGTAGATGTACCTTGGTCTGAATTGTTCCCATCGCTCAGGTTTAAACTCATCGGCATCTGGTCCATAGAGATCCTTTCGTCTCTGCATCACATAGACTTGGTAGTTGACCATTTGTCCTTTTTTGACGAAAATAGGTGATTTGCCATCAGGGCCTCCGCCAAGTGGGAGAGTGGTATCACGGACGGCGGTTCTACTGTTCGCGGGGACGATGGGATGGAGGCGAAGGACTGTGGTAGATCAGTTTGATGTCCAGAGCTTATCATCAGAAACACTTACCCTCGTTCAAGGTGTACTGCAAGTATTTCAAACTCTTGATCTGTTCGAAAGATGGTCTTTCCGAGCCCAGTGTCTCGACCTCGGCCCTGAGCTTCGCGAAAACGTCTGGACGGCGTGCCAAGATGTGGAAAATATATGCCAAGAGACTGGCAGTAGTATCACGACCAGCGAGAAGAACATTCAACAACTCGTCTTGGATTTGCTTCTTGCCAACTCCAGTCTTAGCCAGCTCTTCCAAGAAAATGTACTTCTTTCCCTCTTCGGCTTTCTTCTCTCCATTAAAGCTACCATTCCTCATATCAATTGCTGACTGGACGTAGTTCCCAACGAAGTCATGAACGAACTTGACGGAGTCCTCGTATCGCTTGTTCGGGAACAAGTTGGCCAACTTTCCCACGCGTGCCGTCAGACCAGCCGTTTCTGTCGCATAAGTGAAAGCATCAGCGAACTTCTCTCCCGTTGCACTAGTCTCGCCCTCGAGCAAAGTATTGGTACTCTGACCAAACAAGAATTCGGTGGCCGAGTCCATGGTGAGGCAGAAGAACAGGGGCTGCAAATCAACAGTCGAACCATCGCGGGGGATCTTGGCGATGAGATGAGAGACATGGTGCTCGAATGTCTCCAAGTCTCCAATCTGGCTCCTCACAAAGTTCGGTCGAAGAAGAGATCGAGAGTTCTCCCACGCCGCTCCATCCGTGGTAAAAATCCCATGGCCGAAAATAGGACCCAGAGCGGCCTTTCGACGACTTGGAAGCGCAAAATCCTTGAATTGGGTAGCAAGAAGAGCTTTCACATTTTCAGGCTCTGAAGTATTGATGAAGCGTTCTCCTAACAACAGCTGAGAGAATGTGTTTGTGTTTAGACGAGCGTAACGGTCGACGATTATGTCCAAGACACCGCCGGTCTTCGAAAGTCTCAAATTCTCCGCGAAAAGATCGAACCCAAAGATCGGATCCTTATGAGGATAGTTCTTATATGGCTTGCATCCGTTGTCACGAATGATTTTATTGCGTCGCTGGGCTGCTATGACGTATAAAGCTAAACGGTAGATGCAGAATGTTGCACCCACGCAAAGCAGCACCAAGGTTGACGATGATTTCGTATCGAAGACAGCCATGATGGCGACGGAAGAAAATTGTCGATGAAAGATTCGACTCTTGAATGCGAGTACTAAAGTATGTCGTTATGCGGAACTTAGGAAGGGGCCGACGAGGTATGTGTGTCTGTGTCACTACAGGGGTGACCTGTCAACGCCAGTCAAACCAAGTGTTTACTTTCCTTACTGTAGCAAGTTAACTTCATCGCTTTAGGCTAGTTTCCGAGCATCCCGTGAGATTTTAGCATTGCATGGGGTCTTATGTTAAACTTGTTAGGGTAGACCTCTCATAGGGCATGCCCACGAACCCGCAAGTGGCTATCAATTACCGGTACATCCATCCGCACTTGAAGATGACCTCTCAAAACCACGACTCGCAATAAAGGACTTCGACCGACGGACAGATTGTAGAGGCCGACTCGTTCAGACGGCCTCGCCAAATTCAAAATCCCGTCGGTGACAGGACACTGGGCATAAAGTCCGCTCCCTTCTCATAATTACCAGTATCGAAACACACACTCCCGTAACCTCCGAGTAACCAAGCCAATGACCCCCATTGGACCCCGCCAGACTCGCACAAAATTCATCGCTGCAAGGCACAAGAAAAACGGCGAAGCGGATTACCGACATGTGCCGAGGCCCACTTGAGTTTCATAACCGGAGGTTACATACAGCACAGGCGGTCTTTCTGCAGCGTCCCCGCAACGAAAAGGATATCTACAGTACAGTAGTAGCCTATGGCAGCATTGCCGAGAGGCAAACAAGGATGACTTGTCACGTCTGACGCTCCTCGGCTTTCGTTCAAGCCCGAACAAACAAATAGAAGGTATTTCAGCATCCGCGTAGCCGTCGAGAATAATACCATGCCCATCATCAGAGATAAACTCGACAAATCAAGCCCCACGAACACCTTACCGTAACAAGGCAACGCTTGTTCGTCCCGTACTCACCAGCCTACAGCCAACTCTTTCAGATCTAGGGATGCAATTCGTCTCTCCCCACGGAGCCGGAGACGTTCATTGTCCCGATTCCTTGTATTTTCAGCAACGTCGTACTATCCCCCCCCCTTTAATGTTAAAATCGGGGCTATTTCTAGGGGCCCCAGACAAGGGTCACTATCCAATCACATGCTACTGAACCTTCTAGAATCCACCCCTTCTTTTGATAAGATTGTAATTCTGCCGGCAGAATGAAGCTGTTCAGAGATTCAGCACTTTGTACAAAATGGACCTACAACAAGCTCCCAGTACTCCTCAACTATACCGCCGCACTGAGATTCCTAATACTCCAGATATTCCTACTCCACTATCTAGAGCTACAAGCTGTGATTGATGCAAATGGTGGCCCTACAAAGTACTGAATAAGAGTTGTACAATAGAGAATATGAAAAGCTTCAAAACTGCTCAATTAGGAAGCGGTGAAGTGAGCGGTGAACTGATTTAGAACCCTGGAGAGTGACCCTAGCTACGGTGGCAAAATGACCCCGATTTTAACATTAAAGGGGGGGGATAGTACAGTCCACGCAACGAGAACCAGTGCGTCGTAAATGCCAACCAATGAGTGTCAAGAATCTCACATCAGCACGAAAAGCGTTTCAGAAAGCGGAAATCGTAGCGCTTGGCGCCGGGACGTGGTGCTTTTGAAAGACATTGCGACGTTGCAGTTGAAGGTTTATATAGATATGAATGAGGGAAGGAAGGTTGTGAGAAGGTTTGGGGGCAGCTGCGAGGTGAGGTGGTGCTGGATTGGACGCCACCGTTTGTGAGATATGCACATTGATGGAAATGGTAGGTTTGCTGTGATTGGCTGATGAAACCTATCTTGAGGAATGGCGGATGCATTCTTATTCTTGTTTAAGAAAAACTTGGGTGTTCTATATAATACTAGCTCTGACAGCCATGAGAATTGCACATTGCAGCACCAACCCTTCTCTTCATATTCCGTTCTGTTTTTCCTGCCGCGAGGGTGAAGTCACGAATCCTTCGAAGAAACTCATCAAGCCCTCGTGGTCATCAAGTGAGGTCACCAGGGAAACATCTAAGAAAGATTAGTATTTTGTACAGCATCGAGAGCGAAGCAGGGAAATTTCCACGAACATTGATCAGGTCGCACAACTGCCACGGCACCTTCTTTGACATCAACACCATACTTTTCATACGCATGACCGTGGCCTGAATTGTAGCTTTCATCATCCACAAATGTCTTGTGCAAATCTAGTAGTTTCAATCAGTCTCTCTCGTGGGTAGGGAGGAGTTAGTACATACCCCTCATCCCCCACTCCCCAGTCGTCGGCCAGAAATATTGTGGAATCTCCTCTTGCTCCAACTTCAACCTCCCACCATAAAACACAACAATCGCCTCAATAAAACTATCAACATCCATTCCTGGTAGCGTGAAGCGATGAACAGGTCCATCTTTCGAAGAGAGGAATTGCGCTAACTAGAGATCAGAATATCAGCGTCTACCCAAACCAGTCTATTCTTGAGATCCATACCTTGCTCAACCTCCCCTTACACCTCCCATCCCCCACCTCCCCCGCAAAAATAACCACCCGCCATCTCCCATCCGCCGGCAATGCCCGAACAAGCTGCATCGCCTTCGCATCACAGAACCTCACGACCTGCGCACTCGGGAACCTCATCCCAACCACCAACCCCCTCGCCAACTCCTGCCTGCTCTTCGCCGCAGCCGTAATAATCGAGTCGTCGTACTTGGCCGTTAATCCAGCAGTGTATTTCCCGGCTTTGATAAACTGCTCGCTGAAGTAGTTGGCTTCGTGGTCGCTGGATTTGATGGTAAAGAGCTTGGTCCAGGTTCGGTCGAAGGATATTAGGTCTGCGGCGACTTTTTCGCGTTCGAGGTTGTAGGTTTTTAGGAGGTCTGGATATGCCTGGCTCTCATCAATATCTGTTTTGCCGTTAGAGAAGGGGAGATTTACTCGACCTTGTAGGACCGCAGCCAGTTTCCAGCCGATGTTGTATCCATCTTGAAGACTGACATTCATCCCCTGCCCTGCCTTTGGAGAATGAGTATGGCATGCATCTCCGGTTAGAAAGATTCGATTATCTTTCGAGAAGTAGTCCGCGATGCGTTGTCCGATGGCATATGCTGACCACCAGTACGTTTTTGAGATCTCCACCGTGTATGGATGGAAGATTTGTTGTGCGGCCTGATGTAAGTCTTGAAGTATGACGTCCTTGGCTATTGTGCCTGCTGGAAGTTGAATGTAGAAGCGTGCAAGAGAACCTCCTTCTCTAGGAATGATCTGGCGTGCATGTTAGAATGTGGTGGAGGGAAGTGAGAGCTGTTTCTTACCATAAGAGTACCGCTGTTTGAGCGTAATGTGCATTTCTTTCTGATATCGGGGAAATTGGTCTTTGGGTATACGTCCATCACTCCCCAGATGGCGTCTGTGCTGTCACCAATCATTTTGTATCCTAGAGACCTTCGGACACTGCTGTGTGCACCGTCACATCCCTGACATAATATGTCAGATTGAAATAATGCAATGCGTATAATCGATGGAGTACAATCAAAGTAAGAACGTAGAGACTTCTTGAGAGAGTGTCGACTTACAAGTGCGTATTTAGCCCTAAATATCTCTTCCTTACCCTCTTTTTCTGCGGTGACCACCACAGGGTAGTCCCCATCTTCCGTCCCATCAACCGCAACCCCTTTCACAGCATACCCGTAATCCACAGTCTGTTCATTCCATCTAAACATAGCATCCAACAAAAACCTATTCATAATCGCCTGATTCAAAATAATATGCGGCTGATGCGACAACCCAGGCATAGTATCAGCCGCCCTCCTCGTCCGAACCAGATTCCCATTCTCATCTCCTTCCCAAAATGATAGTTCCAGATTATGATATCCGGTTTTCAAAAGGTCTTCTGAAAGTCCGAAACTCTCGTAGACTTCCACTGTTCGACATTGGACGCCATCTGCTTGTCCGCGTTGCATGGGTCCGGAGCTCTTTTCGAGGATTTTGCATTTGATGCCAAGGCGTGCGAGCCAGACTGCTGCACAAAGACCAGCGGAGCCGCTGCCACAGATTATGACATCGTAGTGCTGGGCCATGTTGTAGGAGATCGGAGAAGGAACAATGGTGTTTCCAAGTATCAAAGACTCCAACGCTCGAACGAATGACACCACTTTGCTCAAGTCTTCGGAGGAAAAAAGGTACACGTGATTGGAAGTCGAGAATGAAATGAGAAGACTGTTGTCTGAGCCGGATGATATCCAACAGTTGTAGATTCAAGCAGAAGGGGCTTAAATATATCCTTTCACTGTCAAGACGTCCAAAAGATCTCCGGAAGAAGCGCTAACTTCTCAACTTCTCTCAGTTTTTCTCGAAAAATTACAACATCATGCTTTCGACAGACACTTCTTGATGTCAAAGGGTGGGATTAATGGTGCTCGGCCATCAGCAAGTACACCGAGATGCTGGGTCATGTCCGTATTGCGGGGTTCATCCGGCTAGTGGCGCGGAATCGCGGGGCGGTGGCATATTTTCGCGGCACCTTGGCGGGATGTCTTCCGCCTCGCAGAAACACCTGATACCAAAAGACCAGAATTGTTTTTGAGTTGAATCGATATAGTTTATGAAGAGAAGCATTGGGACCTGATTTATTCATCCAATTCAAGCGGTGAACAGGAATGTACCATAAAAAACCTGGAACATATATGCTTTGCCGCATTACCAGAATAAAAGTGAGTCCAAGAATTCGTATGCCACCTAAACTAATGCTATTAACAGAATAATATGGCTCTAAGCTAACTTGCAAGAAGAAATTTTGATGAAGCTGCATAACGTACAAAGGACGAACGAAGTCAACAAAAAGTACAAAATGAAGACCAACAAAACCACATTGGCAACACTGGCAGTCAATGGGCCGTTGGAAGCTTGAAGTTTATCCCCCATACATCGTTTGAAGTCAAAGCCGGAATAGTGGTCTTCGAGTTCTCAAGACGCGATGCTTCTGTTTGATCTCCACAAGACATGTGAAGCAAACGGAATATCCTCCAAAGTTGCAGCAGAAATGAGAAAATATGTGATTTATAGGGTAAAGACAAATCGCTGCAATTTGTGTTAAACAGCTTGAATGCGCAGGGCAAGCACAAGACTTCTTTAAGATCAAGCCAAGCTGATGCATCCTGAGGAGGGTAGCTATCGAGGTACAATCGTGTGGAGAAAACTTCCACTGTGAAGAATGCGCCCTTGCAGTGATAGCACGACAATGATCTTAGTTGAAGATACTTACCTAGGTATGATAATATCATTAAAACAAAAAATTATTAGCAACAAGACGGCCTCAGCACGTGACTTGCACTAGCCACATGCTTGTCGAACTTCACAGCATTTTCCTCATTCAAACTGTCTGATCTAAGACCTCGACATCAACATCGCTCATTGTAAAAGCTGTACCATCCAAGGGCGCCGGAAGGGAAGAAAATCTCCAAATGGCAACATGCACCTACCGAAACTGACCATGAGAGATGCCGGGGCCGTGAATCGGGCAGCGTTCTGATTGCATGGAGAGCGGGGTATCGACTTGAGACGGAAGACTTCTTCCATCTTCTTTTGCCTGCTGCTCCAAGTGGACCCGCAGTGTGATTATCTCATGTCGTCAGTCACAACTTCTTCAACATTTTGATGCTAAGTGCAAACTCAAAATGGTTCTCAAGCTCTCTTTTGCATGTTGGGACTATGATCGGATGAAAGCCATCGAGGATGGTCGCGTCCGTCCCGAAGGCATCGAACTCACGTTCTTGAATTATCGGGTGGAAGAAACGTGAGCATACTCACTCCTTTAAGAAAGATTTATATCTGACATTCCATTTCAATAGGTTTTTCAGGCAATTGCGCTTTCAAGAATTCGATGTTTCCGAGCTGTCTCTCTCTTCATATGTCTTGACGTTGAATCAGGAGAATCCTCCATTCATCGCTATCCCAGTCTTCCCTTCGCGGTTCTTCCGTCATCAGTCCATGTATATCAATTCCAAATCTGGAATCTCGAAGCCGGAGGACTTGAAGGGTAAGAAGGTGGGCATACCGGAGTATCAAAGTACATCCTTCTTGCCTATTGTTAGAGTAAGGTTGACTTTAAATAGTGACTGCTCCTGTATGGCAGAGAGGAATCATAGAAGAGGAGTATGGAGTCCCAATCAGCAGCATGCACTATTACGTTGGTGCCATCGAGCCGTCGGAGGTTGAGAGAACCAGCAAAGTCCCGCATTCACTACCTCCCGATGTCAAAGTCACGCCCATAGAAAGAGGCAAGAATCTCTCACAAATGCTGGAGGATGGCGAACTTGATGCAATTTTCAGTGCCAGCCGTCCATCATCATTCGACAGATCTTCAAAAGTCACTCGATTGTTCCCAGACTTCAAAAGCGTTGAAGCAGATTTTTACAAAAGGACCAACATCTTCCCAATTATGCATGTTGTTGCCATCAAGAGGGGTGTTTATGAAGCAAATCCTTGGATTGCAAAGACTCTGACGAAAGCATTCGCAAAGTCGTTGGAAATGGCATATCAGCCTCTGCAAGAAAGGTCCGCTTTACGATATATCCTGCCCTGGCTCGAAGATCACGTTGAAGAAACCCAGAAGCTTATGGGAGACGATTCTCGGTGGTGGAAGGATGGTTTCGCAGAGAACAAGCACGTTATCGAAAAGTTCTTGGAGTATTCTTTCAACCAAGGACTTGCAAAGAAGAGATATAAAGCAGAAGAATTGTTCGCACCAAACACATTAGAGTCGTTCGTCTTGTAAGCACGGCTAGAGATACAGCAGGACGAATCGCTGAAGCAGCTCCGGTTGGGAGGCAAACTTCTCGATCATGGCCATCAAGGTATTCTAGAACAATGCCATGCCCAAGAATAGACCAGCGTCCTTGTCAAAGTAGATGTGCAACAAAGTCCCTTGATGCGTGGTTCGACATGCAACAAACTCCCAAAGGGGTAAGGCACGTGACGGTTGAATTCGTCTGTTTTCAACCAACGTAATGGTGCCTCAAACTTGAGCAAGATATTCATATCAGCTCTCTGTTTTGTCCGAATGCTATATATAGAGTGAAAAGTGAACTCGGAAATGGCGTCTCATTCAATCCACGTGACCCTTTTAAGTGAACTTCGAAGCTCGGATAAATTCGGCTTCCGTCTTTTCCTTCGCAGACGACCTGCAACTTTTTGCAACATTGCAACATACGACATCACAAATCGTCTGCAGATCCTCCATTGGTGTATCTTCTTCATTGTTCTCATTCGACGATTCTTGGCACTTTTCCGCCGAATGGGGTTCGCCTGAAGTAGTTCTTCCCTAAAGGCGGGATGTCCACCATTCAGCGATTTGAGATCCACCTGCCACAACGGATAAAACCTGCAGTCTTCCCACTCTGGGACTAGACACCTGTCAAAGACCGACAAGCGTCCTGCATACTTGTCTTATCTGTGTCTCTTTCGACCTTGGCTTCACCCCTGCTGGATGCCGCCATCTGCGCAATGGACATCACACGGTAAGTGGGAGATCCGAACATGGCTTCTTGCACATAGACATCTCTTCCTCTCCGCGCGCAAGCGCGCAGTGATATTCCAATCTTCTATCCCTCTTCCTCTTTCCAGATGGTAGAACTGCGCGACAGAATCGCGGCTATACAAGCAGCACTCGAGACCGACCAAGAGGTCGAATTCGCCAATACCCCGCCACGACACAGTCTCGACCACCGCTTCGACAAGACCGCCCCCGAAGTCGACGCCGCACCAGCTCCAACACCCGCGAAAGAGAAAGCGAACCCTTTCGAGTCCGTTGGCGCGCCTCCGAAGTCTCAGTACTACGATAGTGTTGCGGCAGCGTTTGGTCTGGGAATCCTCGACGAGGAGGAGTTTACGGAGTATATCGTGTACGATGCGTTCGTGACGAATCTGCGGATATGTCCGCTCAATCTTACGGATACAGGCCACTATTACTATGTTGAGCATCGCTCTTTTCTTCCCAATGTGCCGGGTGTGATTTTGCGGCATGGGACAGAGAAGAGTGGGAAGAGTTTGGGCGCGGCGCATATCCCTTTGCAGGGAAAGAATACTTTTGGAGTTGGGGACTATGATGGGAGACCTCATGAGATGGTCTGGGAGCGCATGGGAAATACAGGGTTCTGGACGCACATGAAGTATGAGTTCGAGCATGAGATCGCAGCTGGCGTGAGGAAGACGTTCAACTGGATCCGGACGAGGAACAATATTATGGATGACCAAGGCGATTTGGTGCTTGTAGAGCAAGGTAGAGAGTATTTAGTTCTCTGCGAATATCTGGGCAAAGGTCTACTCAAGTGGAAGAAGAGAGGAAGGCTACGGATCAGGACTGTGGAGGCATTTGGTGAGTCTTGGGAGATAGTGGTGTTGTTGACTTGGGCTTCGGTAATTGAGGTTTGTCTCTCCCACCAAGACTCGACATGGGTGTTACTGACTATTGTTCTGCTAGTTGTCGAGAAGAAGAGCAAGGATTAGACGATATTCCCCAACGCATCTCATTGGCATATAGAACTACATTAGACTACCCAACTACCCTTAATTGAACTTCTTAAGACGATTGACCTTGCGCTCTTGTACTTCCATCCAGAGGAGGAAGAACAATGATATTATCTAGTCGGACCCCGCTAGTGCGAGGAATACACCGAATATTGCACGACGCATGAGGTCTCATGCCTAATTCTCGAGAACCGAATGACTACTTTATACTTGTTCCCAATTCTCTAAACCATCTTTCTGATCTCTACCTCAAGAGCCACGTGAAGCTTCCTAAGCCGCAATGCTAAGCTTCCATTTTTCACTACACTTTTTTAGCTGCTTGTTGCCACTATACTCCGAGCCAGGCTCGACTTCAAGACATATTGAAAAATTACTACTAAGTAAACTACTAAGCCGGAATTTATTGTATATAAGTTAATCGCTGCTATCTGCGCACCCGTTTCACCATGTCACAACAGCCATGAGACGCGTGGAGATATATCTTTGAGGCGTTCGAAGAACAATGTCACCACGAATCGGTGGGGATGAGCATGAATCTCGGATTGCTTTTGACGAAGATATGGTACCAGAATTTTACCACGCGCCTCCTCGCTACATGTAATCCTCGCTTCCGACCAAAAAACAATCACAAGCTTGTGTCTTTATAAAAAAAAGACAAAACGCCCGGGCACACAGCACCGAAGTACTGCGTGCCCGGGCGCCCAAGCGCATGGCATTGTTCGCGATGGCGGACGGAATGGCGTATGTAATTGTCGAGGTTGTTGTTTGGTCTTCATTTGGAGGAAAGGTGGCGAGTCACCGTCAAACCCGGTCAGTCGTTTGGCCCCTTGAGGGCCTAACCGGGCTTGATACCAAAAAACCGCTTGTTAGAATCTATAAGGATAGTAGACGAAGCTAGAGTGGCATATGATTGGGTGGTGAATCTGGAGCCTTGTGGAAGTAACGAGGAGCTAGTAGCAGATTCAAGTTCAGCCTCGCAAGCAAATCACTTTTAAATTAAAGTATAAAGCCAATCATATTATCAGAAGAAGAAGTGCTATTTCAAGTCGCATATATGCTAGTCGTTTATTCCCAATTTTGTTTGAGAGGCTGATACTGAGCTTCAAATCCAGCTACACCAAGCATTGACTTCTGAGTCAATTGTAGACGATTTCACATTTGATATATGCCCCACTTGGGTTTACCTTGAGCCATTAGTCGTTTGTCGGCAAAGAACGATCCGTCGTCATTATCAGCTGATTTTGAAGAAAACCGTTCGAGTTGCGATGTGCAACAAAACTCCTCGGTCTTCGAACTGGGAAAGAACTGTCGGACGTGCCTCACTGCTAAGAACTTAATTCAACCACCTAGGATCAATCAAACAGTCTCTTGGAAGCCCTTTATTTCATGATCCAAGATCCAATACTAAAATGAGAAATAACATGGCAAATCTAGCAGAAAGTCTGTTTGGGATGAAGTCTAGAAGCAAAAATCAGAAACGGCTAGGACAACAGATAACCGTCAGCCCAAACTGCAAACAATTACAAAGGTTACGCCAGCTACAAGCAACAACACAAATCCCGATGCCGAAAGGCCCAGTGTCTTCGAAGGAGAAGCAGCGCTGACTTGCAGAAGTGGACTTCCGCTTGCACCCCCAATTTTCGTTATTGTCGGCATGGCTACTGGAATGGTAGTCGGACCCGTCACGATAACATAGCTTGATCCTGATATTGTCGTCGTGCTTCCTTTCAGACCGGGTAATTCTGTGTTTACAGGTATAGTCGTCGGACCAGAAATAACCACATCCCAAGTTCCCGAGATTTCAGTCATGCTTCCTGGCAATTTATGAGAAGCTGGCAGGACGGGAAGGGTGGTTGGGCCTGTGATGATCACATAGCTCGACCCTGAAATGAATGTTGTGCTTCCCTTCAAATCTGGTAGTTTAGGATTCAGCGGAATTGTTGTTGGGCCAGGAATGATCAGATTCATAGTGCCCGAGATGTCAGTTGTGATCCCAGGTAAGGGGGCAAAGGATTGAGAAGCTGGAACGATTGGAACCGTGGTAGGACCAGTTAACATTACATACTCCGATCCCGAGATCATTGTAGTGCTCTCTTCCAAATTAGGCAAGTTGAGGTTCACAGGCACGGTTGTCGGACCTATGATGACAACATTCAACGTCCCCGAGATATCAGTCATGATTCCAGGTAATGAGCCAACGACCTGGGTGGCAGGGACTGTCTGGATAGCCGAGTATAATACGTCTGTGGTCCCTGATATGACAGTTGTCGATCCTGTTATCGACATTCCATCCGAGAAAGGTGTAGCTTCTAAGGTCGTAACGATGAACGCTGGACCTTCTGAGACTTGGGTAAGGCTGTATGGCTCAGGTGCTAGGCCTAGGATAGAAGCAATTGCGTTCGCTATTGACGCGACTGCATTGGTTGTGCTGATGGTCTGCTGAATATCTGTGAAGACAGGAGCCTTTGTGGGATTGGTGCGCTGGGCTTGATTCTCAGACTGTGTTACTGATGCCAAAGGCGTGTTTTCAGGAACATCCGACCCTGTCGGTGAGTTTGCAAGCCCAGACGAAGTGTACTGAGGACTTTCTTCACTCAGAGCGGTCACAGGGCTGTTGTCCGTCGTAAAGGCTGGAGTTTGAACTGGTGAGATAGGAGCAGCGTTGAAAGGATGCGTACCAGAGGCTAGGCTACCAGGTGTAACGTAGATTGTCGTAGAGAATGTGAGCCATCCACCAGGTATCTCATAGCTTTTGCCGTCTGCTGATTGTACCAGGGTTTTGGAGCACTCTTCAGGGATTTTGGAATATATTGACGGCATACCTGGCAAGCAAGACGCTAGGCCTGGGTAGAGACTGCTGATCGAAGGGGCGGCTACCATGGAGTCTAGAAGAGTTTGTGGTATAGCTCCATACCGTATAGATTCTGTGCCCAGAGCGCAATTGCGAAACTGGCCATCGTCTATGCTTCCGTTCACAGCATATAGGAATGGAGTCTCCAAAGCTATTGTGACACCAGTTTGATTCGGCCGTTGGTCCATCCAATATCCTTGTGCGTTTGAATTGATATTGCTGAACGTTTCCAAGGTGGTAGAATAAGATGTTACATTGCTAGTGGCGGTCTGCAGATTCACTGCAGTAAGCACCCACGGGGTTCCGCAGACAAGTCGCCCATACTGGTTTGTTACTGCGGTAGCAGTGATTAGCTTAATCGTTGGGTATATATAAAACGCCACTGGGGATGTTCTGTCTTCTTTTAGATTCTCTCTCCTAAAATCCGGTGTGATTTCTCACATTGTCACACCCTGCGTTTCTGTACTGGTCCCATCTAGCATCTCAGCGAAAAGCTGCGCTGGAGCTGATCCTGCATTGTCATATAGCCTGACGGCATCGATACCGACATCCCGGTCCTCGACAATTGTTGAACTTAAGAGAGTCGTAGTACTAGTGATACTGGAATGAGTTGTTTTCCGAGAGATTGTAAGATATGTGGTAATGAAAACCATCGTCATGTATTGAACAGTCGTGATGCTGGTATAGTGTGGCCAATACATTTCAGTCACTGTATCTTGGACAGCAAAACAGCAGTTCGATGGGTCGTAAGTTGCACTGCTTGTTGAAATCGTCGACACATTTCCAAATGTAGCCGTGACTGCTTTGACACCGACAATTCAGAAAGAGGTGGAACTTTATATAGTGGAGTACTAACTTTCATATCCAAATATGCAAGGTATAGATAACAAGATACCAATGGAGATTTCGCCAAAAGCTGTTCGAAGCATCGCGGACACTTTTGACGATAACGACCCTGTTTTACAACATTCAAGCACTAGAACAAGAAACTCTGAAAAAAGAGGTAGTGAAGTTCCGATTGATAATTGGCAGAGCTAGCTTGCTTCGAAGAGAAAGAAGGAATAAGACGCGCTTTTGTGCGGCGTGATCATTACCTAGGTGAGATCAAGGCTGTAGAGCCAAGCAAGACGACAGAGCAAAAGAGCCGCAACGAAAAATGTCACCGGAGGTCTCTTGCTCCTGCCAAAATAGAATGTTCAGCTGAAAGCCAAGCAGTGACATAGAATCTCGGCCTTTAGTTTCCGGCAGGTACAACAGATGCAATTGGTCGCCTTCCACTAGTGTGTTACCTAGCATGGACAACATCCTCTCCCCTTCTAAGACGTACATCGGTGTACTATCTCGTATTGGACGTAGTATGTATGTAACCTTTGCCGACCTGATGAAGAACGTGTCACACTTGTGAGGCCCGATACAACATGACGAGGCAGTAGATCCTGGCATCTTGCTTGTTGGATTGCAGGGTTAACCCTACAGACGGAATTAACCAAGCTGAGAACCATATTTTTGCGTATGAGGTAGCAACCGGGTTGAGATATTCCTTTTGTGAATTGTTTTGCGGAATTGTTTTCATTACAAGTCCACTCGTGAGAACGAAAGGAGGTCACATATTTAGCGGCTTGGCAATCCGTGCTAGCCATATACGGATTGTCTACATCAACCACATCCAAGTCCTTCAACCCGCAAGATAATTGATATGCAGAAAATTCGTACTTCATACTTCATAAAATTGCTGGATTCCCTTCGATTTACTACTACCCTTCACGCTGCTTCACCATTCCTTCATTCACCATGCGCATCTTCCACGGTTCACCATGTGCTTACAGCCCCGCAGCACAAATCCTAGACGGGAAGGAATACCACGGCGTCCTTGTACGATGACTAGAAGCTTATCGAATGCATCACAGAGAAAGTTGTGCTTCGGATTTAGTGCCAAGCATACCTACAGGAGCATGTGCTCGAAGCTTTGCAACTCCTGGATCTCAAAGGCTCGGTTTCCCATTTTTGAGATTCGATCTTATGGCAATGACCTCTCACCTCGCACCATACCTTGAGAATGATACCTTCAACACCGCTTTAGAATACTTCTTGAGATTATAGGTTTCGGCGTCATCCTCTGGGCTAGTCACGTGTTGCCCATCTGGCGAGAGCGCAGGTAGAGGCACCGATGGCTCCGTCTCCAATAGTTGTGGCTCCTAGTCAAAATTGGTAAGTATTTCAATCTCATTTTTTTATCAGACCTGACACGATTGCTAGGGCTGGTAATGACGGTCCATGGTCTTCTTTTGAGATTCAAGTCGGGACTCCTGCCCAGAACCTGCAAGTTTTCATCTCAACGTCTGTCTATCAGACCCTAGTCGTCGCCCCAGAAGGATGTATCTCTTTCGATCCATCGAACTGCGCAGTACTTCGCGGAGGCGAGTTCTACCTCAATGCTTCATCAACATGGTCAACAAATACGGCGAACCTTTCAAGTAACATCTACCCTCTCCTGGTCGATACCCAGCTGGGCTACAACGGTCGAGCTGAGCTGGGATTTGATGTTGTTACGCTTGGTTGGAAAGGCTCGGGTGGTCCGACTTTGCAAAATCAGACTGTTGGCGGATTTGCGGCGAAAGACACTTACCTGGGGCTGTTCGGTATCTCTCCTCGGGCAAGCAACTTTACAACCTTCGACAATCCCATACCAAGCTATGTGCAGAATCTTCGCAATCAGTCGTTGATCCCAAGTATATCTTGGGCATACACAGCTGGCAATCAATATCGTGAGTCTCATCAAGTTTTGGGAACGCATAGTGACTGAGTGAGCAGGGCTGGATCAAGTCCTAGGCAGCTTGGTTCTTGGCGGTTACGACAAATCGAAATTGGTTGAAAACGATGTTACTTGGACTTTCAACTCTGAGGATTCTCAAGATCTTACCGTGCAAATCGAGTCAATCATTGTCTCGGATTCGACAAAGAACACTTCCTTGTTGCCCTCTCCGATTCCTTCTTTCTTGGACTCTTCATTACCGTACATCTGGCTCCCCGTTGAAGCTTGTAAGCTATTTGAAAAAGCTTTCAACTTAGTCTGGGACAATGTCACTGAGCTATATCTCGTCAACGATACACAACACGACATACTGCAAGCACAGAATGCCAGTCTTACGTTCACCCTCGGAAATCTAACAGCTGGGGTCTCTGTCAACATCACCCTCCCGTACGCTGCATTCGATTTGACTGCGTCATCTCCCCTCGTCACGAACACGTCTCGTTACTTTCCGTTGAAACGCGCCGCCAACGATTCACAGTATGTTTTGGGTCGAACATTCTTCCAGGAGGCATACGTAATTGCCGACTACGAACGCGGGAATTTCTCTGTGTCACAGTGCAACTGGGATGCGGAAGCTTCACAGGAAATTGTTCCTATATATCCACCAGGCGCCAATGGATCATTGACCGCTTTCCCAAAGGAGTCATCCTCATCGAAGCATAACTCACTCATAGTCGATTTACCGGCTGGAGTAGGTGCTGGTATTATAGTGACAATGCTCGTCCTCTTGGCCATTCACTATGGAAGGACCAAAAAGCTACAAAGACTCGAAGAACACACAACTCGGGATGAGACAAGATCACCACCTATCGGTTTAGAGTATCGGGGTCTGAAGCCAGAGCTGCATGCAGAAGAGATATTGCGTCCACAAGAATTGGAAGCAGAAAAGTCTCAATGGGTCGTGGAAGCTGATGGACATGAGCGGCAGATCTTTGAATTGTCAGCCAGAGAAGAGCCTTTTGCCGAGCTTGAAGAAGCTAGAAATTAACGAGGCTGCTTTCGATACAAATATTCTCGTAACAAAGATTCCAAACAACTCTACCTTGTAGAAGCTGAGGGTATACGGCTAGCCTAGGATGAGCCATATTCAAAGCTTCGAAACAAGAGTACCGCCTTTTCTAGGCGCCTCCCTCGCTCTTGTATCGATGACCGACAACTCAACTAAGGTCCCTTGATAGCCCGAGAAATATTTCTCGGGCTTTGGGGTGATCCATCGAAAGTACTTTAATAAAAATTTCAAGATCGTCAGCGTCTTGAGTCTGGAAGTTTACTGCGACTTTGAAGAGAGTCCGTTCTGGTAGTCGCCACTCCCTATCTCCTCGATTACTTCTTTGATTTCCTTAAATGTTCAGAATTTCAGCTCGTATTCTTGAATATCACTCTCAATCGCTTATACCAACACAATACCACTCATTTACCCAAACTTTGTCCCGCAGTTTACTCCAGCCGCTCCTAGCACAGTATTCCAGGCATACAATTGATCCGTTGTTATTCCATTGTTATTTGCCATGTCCCAACAGCCCGTTCCACTAGCAGCTTACGCGAACTTGTTACAATTACTCACGATGCCAGCTTGTGTAGGGCCAGGTGCTGTGATCCCAGTATTTGTACTACTTGGCTCTGTAAAATTATGGGTGGATGCTGTGTGTATCAATTGGAACCAAGCTCGAGAGCAAAGCCAACAGGTAAAGAAACATACTCTAGATATGTTCTAGAGCCAAGGAAGTGTTTTCTTGGCTTGGGAGTCTCCATCCTGAATTTTGTCCTCAGGGGCTCACCTAGCCCTTGACAGTTTCTCAGATTGGGCAGCGGACTTCAACGTGGCAAGGGACCCATTGGTGCGCGAAGCCGCTACTATATTCCTTGTAGAGTAATACCGGAGAAGAGTTTGGGTTATTCAAGAGATTACTGTTGCTTCTAAGGTTACTATTCTTTATGGCGGTCATAGATTTCGATAGATTGATGTTGCTGAGGTTCTTCGTGAACTACAAATGACCCAAATTGATTAAAAGAAATCTGCGTTTACAAGCGCGGGTCACGGTGTAATGCATCTTTTACAATTCAGAGATCAATATACTGGACGAAAGTCGATCAGTCTGCACAACGCTATGGTGTGGAGCCACTCAGTGTTGGCCTCAGACCCAAGAGACAAAACCTTTGCTGTGATCCTAGGGCAAAATTTTCGGTCGAGGTTATATCGGTAATCTCACCCATTGCTCAGATTGCTCAGCCACGGGCTGAAGGGCACCCTGATAGATATCATTCACGGGCATACCAGAAAAGCTCGGCGCATGGTTGACTTCCAATTATTTGCCTAAAATCGCTATTTTAGAGTTGGTAAATATGAACTATGTGAAGTGGTAGAGGGATTCTCTAGTATGTGGATTAAATCTTTAGAGCAGGAAGGACCACAAAGCGTGGGAGGATAGTCTCCGAGCTCTCTAGGTCTGCTTTGGTGGCAGCCACGAAGTCGCATCTTGGCCACCTTTTGATGTCACTTCGCCACTGGTAATTTTTATCGTAACCACCTCCTTCCTTTGTTCTCGCCCTTCCACTACTTCCAACGAGGGTGCATTGATTGCCGTTGGAGGAACCCCAGGCTTAGAGGTAGGGGTTTCGTTTACTAGTGCTGCAGACTCAGTCGGTGATGGGGTCTCGAGATGTATCTCCGCAACAGCATAATCTGGGCTAGAGGGGGAGGTTCCATTGGCTGACGATAGGGGGAGGGTATCGAGGTAACTGTCTTCCCGCTCAGTTAGATTTACGCTACGATGTAACGATGCTCTGCTTTCTGACTGATAGAAGTCTTGCTTTCCCGCATTTGTTAGCTTTGGGGTTAGAGCTGCAGGGAAAATTGATGGCTGGGAGAGAGGACTATCTTTGTCAGCCACCTTGAAGTGAAATCCTAGCTCTGGAAAACTTACCTTCTTAGAGCCTCCTTTACAGAAGGATACCCCACCTCACCAAACCCCAAAATCGAGGTAGAGGTGGGGAGTCCGGTGGAAGGTCCTTGGCCCGGAACCCCCTCCTCACTCTCCCCATCCCCCTCTCCACCCATATCAGCACAACCAGGCGTCGAAGAACTAGAGTATACTCTCCCCATATCTCTCTCCTTACCCTTGCCCTTCCACCTCGAATCCTCCCTATCACTCTCACTCTCACTCTCCTTCACTCCTTCACCATGCTCATACTGCCTATTCCTCAGCTCCCTCAATCTCCCATCTAATTCATTCTCCTTCGCAGAAGAAACACCATTGAAAGGTTCCTGAAGCAACTTCTTAAATATCTGGATATTCCTCGCTTTTTTCTCTGTCTCTTCTTGTTTCTTGCGTTCGCGCTCTTTGTAGCGTGCCCTGATGTCAGCGTCCAATCGCGTTTGGGTTGACGATGGTTTTGCGGAGACGCTAATAGGAAGTAATCTCTTACTCTGAGCAGTACTATTTGAAGCCTCCCCATTTCCATCACCCTTTATCGTAGTACTGTCAGATTTGCCCACCTCTTTTTCCTTCTCCTTCAAACTCTCCTCCTGATCAAACGCCAACCTCCTTGCCGCTGTTTCGGCAGCAGACAGTGCCGTAAGCGCGTTCTGCTCACTCGCATTAGCAGCCCGACCAGCAATGGCAACAGAGCGCTCATTGATGTCGGCTACCCTTCGAGCGGTGTTGGCGTTAACACCATTGATGGCGACTGTTGCTATAGCTGTGGCGGCGACGCAGACGATGCTCGCTTTGGTCCAGATGGGATCAAGGACTGCTACTGTGGAGTTGGCGACCTGGACTGCTATGAGTGGCAAGGACAATGCGGCTTTGAGGGTTTCTGTGGTTGAGGATAGAACGCGAATTGTGAGGGCTTGGCTGAATGATGGTGGCAACTTTCCATTCTTTCCTTGCGCTTTAGCCAAGTCGTTGCCACAGTCAGTATAATTATCTTTATTGACAAGTAGCTTTTTCGGAGAATTGTCTGATCCACTGGACTTCTGTACAAGCAGTGACGGTGGATCTTCGTCTAAATCGACAACAACAGGTTGGCTTTTCGATTGGGGAGATATGTCGGGGTTTGGTGATGTCGAAGGCCAAAGGTTTCCATGTCTGGAGAATCTATACAACTGCACAGTGCATTCCTCGCAGCGCTGGTGGTTACAAGAGAACTCTGGGCAGACGAGGACAATTTCGGTAGTCATCGGGCCGTCACCACACATATGGCAGAACCAGAACTGGTCGAATTTCTCTTGCGGCTTGCTTCCCCGCTGGTTGGTTCTCTTACCATCCGTGCCATCCTTCCTGTTGCTGCTGCTGTGATATTTGCTGTGACTTATATGGTAATGCCCACGAGGCATGATGGAAGCTTATGGTAGCTTGGCTGAGGCTAAAATAATTGCAGGGCTTGATTTATTTAGAGCTAAAATTGGATGACAACAGCTCGAGGACGTCTAGGTAGAAGTTTGTTTACTACTTGAGTACCATTTGAGGTGATTGCGAGAGAAGAAAAGAGATAAAGTTGCGAAGATTGGAAAGGCTAGCCCTCCAGGGCCGGGCGACAATGGGGCCGTGTTGAGAGTTGCAATTCACGTGAGTAAGCAAGGCAAATTCAAATTGTCAGATTATGTATAGCAGTATGGCGAGCTCGGCGGGGAACAGGGCGAGATTCATTGCCGGATTGAAGCAATTTATGGCTACATATGGTTTTGATGGAGTGGATTTGGAGTATCCACAGGTTGATGATCTCAGAGGCGCTGACGGAGATAAGGTCAATTGTGTCTCTTTGATCAAGGAGATGAAGGCTACTTTCGGGACGAGATACGGCATTAGCGTCACGTTACCGACGTCGTACTGGTGCCTCCAGGTAAGTTGCTCCCTTACTACCGCATTTTGAAGATGTATGCTAACACTTGGCTATCAGCATTTCGACTTGCCTGGAATTTATGACTCGATCGATTGGTTCAACCTGATGAGTTACGACAGTAGGTTTTTCATCATCCTTCGAGCTCTTCCAATCTAACACCGAGGCACAGTGCACGGAGTCTGAGATTCTGGGTTCAAGTTTATTGGTCCATTGGTACCGCCGCACACGAACATCACCGAGATCGAGGGTGGACTTGATCTCCTCGGGAGAGCTGGCGTTGCTCCCAGCAAAGTGGTTCTAGGACAAGGCTGGGTACTCCGATATCCATGAAATAAATGGCTAGATGCTGATACTTGTCTCAAGTACGGTCGAAGCTTCACCTTGCTGCAAGGGTTTCAAACCCGCTCTGAATGGGGCAGATCTCGTGAAGGATGCAGGACAACTGGCGAAAGATACCGCAGAGACTGCTCCCGCTCAGGCAGCTATTGACATTGCTTTTAAAACTTACTGTAGACTTGCTGTGCCAGCTTTCTTAGCGCCGTTGGAACTTCTATTCCAATTATTGGTAAGATAGTTCAGTAGTGACAAGAGGCACTTGTACTAAAAGCATTACAGGAGAGATTGCTGATATTGCCGAGATAGTAGCGACTCCAGCGATTATCGAATTGTGTGTAAAAGGTGTCGAAAAAGAAGGCAAAGCTGAATTCAAAGTCTTTGGGAAGGAGCACACCTTGGATATCAACAAACCAACTGATAAACCATCTGCAACACGCCTAAAGGAGTCTTCTCACTCGACTGCTAGCACTAAGACTGCCTGCTCTAAAAAACCTCAAGCCGACATGGCAGCAAGGGAGATTGATGCGGATGACGACGATTGTCTTGATGCGCAGAAGAAGATGACAACAGAAACTGCAGACCACGCAGGGATTGGACCAGACTTCAACGGAGAGTTCCTCTGCATGTGGGCTACTGAAAGGCAAGCTTGTATGCATTACCGATCGATGCATTCAGTACATCCAGATAGCCATTATAATAGTATCACCTGTCCGTATTACTGGGTTGATGCCAAAGGCAGACCAGTTGTAGCAGAGTACAACAAAGGTCGCAAGGCAGCTGGTTGGTTTGCAAGATCCCATTTGGAAGCGCAAATTGCGAAAGAGACGAATGGCCTCCAGCACTGTTCCACGAGGTCAACGATGGCAGAGAATTCCTGAAGATCAAACCTGCACCTGTCACTCCGTTGACACGAGCTCAGTACGTGCGATACTTACCATTAACGGAAAATCAATTTGCAGGAGACTAGGTGAGAGCCCAAAATTGTCCAAAGATACCGGTATCATTGGATCATCTTAGTAAAATAAGCTATGAAATAGGCCCCAGAGGGAAAACACAATAGTCCATGCTCCGAGCAGAATACACCAGAAAAGTCGTCACTCTCAGATGGGATCCATTGATGCAAAATCTGCCTAACGATCGTGCCATTCCTTGAGTGCCGTTTTGCAACTTTCTCGGTTAAAGTTATCTGGCCATCCGTTTTCCTGAAAGATAGCACGCATTTCCTAAATGATATGAGTAAGTAAATCAGAGCTAGGGAGCTAGATTCATACTTTCAGCTCCCTCAACTGAGATTCGCTTGCATTGCCCTCCCACCAAAGCTGCCATCTATCCGTTGGCAAACAGATCCATTCTAAAGTCATAAATCTGTGCTGCCACTCTGCGAAGAAGTCCCGCAGCCTCATAGTCCGGCCCTCGCATTTGTCCCTCCAGTGGCGAGGATCGTCGACGGCGTAGTCTTGCTCATTTGGTAGGCACCATCCTTGGTACTCTGTGGCAGTTCCTATCGAGCCATCAGATACTACTTCTCGGATAAAAGGAATTTTCAAGCATGCCGTCAGTAGTATCAAACATCAGCCATATCCCATAAAGATCTACCCCTCTCGTCAGAGGCACAACCCAGGCAGGAAATTTGTCCTTGGACTGTGTAATCATCTTCACGCCCTCTTCAATCCTGTCAGGTTGGAATTTCTCCTCTCGATAATCGATCGGCTTCGTATCCCACGCAACGATGGATTCCTGACCTCGTACTTGGCCAGGAGATGTCTTGAGATATGGCAAATGTCTGAGGAGCTCAATAACCTCCTCGGATCTCTTCAAAGGAGCGAAGTTGGATTCCGTTATGGATGGCCAGCCTTCCGGTGGTGGGTAGAGGAGATCACTGGGCTCGATATGAGGCAGCTTGATCATGTGTTTGTAGAAATCTGTTACGGTCGCTATGATAGCTTCACGATCATATTCTAGCTTTCCTTCAACTCGAGGGTCTGGTGAGAGAGCTTGAGACATGACGGAATGGGCGACGAAGGTTTCTTGCTATGAATATACAGCTTTTCTGGGAAACACGGCAGACGATCGATGCTCTTTGTTTGAGCAGTTAAATCAGCAAACTATGAAACCCATATTCACCAACTACATTTATCCAACATATCTCGAACGCTTCCATTGAGGCTGAATTGTGCCCCATCTGTGGCACAGCCAATCAGTGCCACGGGATATTGCTCACGTGCGTGGCTTGTAATCCTTCCCCCTTTCTGCATGCTTAGCGCGGCATTAAGCGAATATGGTTCGCTTAAAGAAGGCAACTGCCAAGCCTCCACCATTTGAGCAAAACGCCCTGCCACAGCCTTATACTCGGCGAACTGTCATGCATAGCTCGACACTTTGACATCTCTGGGCCTTTGGGCCAATCAGCACCTGCCACTGTTATCCGAATATCTGCAGGCTTTCGGAGGGGCGAATGGAACTGAAAGTTACACCGAGGATGATGGTATGCTGCGCACAATACTACCAGAATCACGAGTACTTCACACCATAGAGCTGTCTGAGCTGTGATTCGATGATGCACGCCAGCCCTTTCGGTGAACCACAGCGCCTCATTGGATATGTCTCATTTAGCTGCATCTTGGGCAGTTTTGGGGACTGACACCACTGGGCAGCCTCCGTTTCCCCTCTTCTCAATAAATACCTGCTCTGAGGCAATTCCAACGTCCGCCACATTCAAACTATACGCTACCAAGAGTCGATCGGCCGAAGATTGTGATTCTGTAGGTTTCAGTGCAACAATGTCGTCAAATGCTGGAATCCCCATCCATGGCAAGATCGACGATACCCATACGACGCTGATGAACGCTCAATATGCGCCGAACAACATTCCAACACCATGGCCGCTGGTTGTATTCAGCTTGCTCCTTTCATTTATTATCTGCTGTATTGGCGCAGCTGCAGCATTAATGTCAGTCGATCCACAAGGGATGTCAGCTAAATCTACGTCGATTCCTCTGAGCAGAATATCTGGCAAGAGGAAAGTAACTGTAACGAGCACGACCACAGTCACGGCAGTATCATACAGTAAGTTACCTTCAAAATAGTAATGCCATTGAGTTATACCCTAAAGAACTTGCGACAAGATGTCCTTCTCTTTGCCCCAGACCAGAGTTTACAGCTAACACCGACATAGAACCAAGGAGCCTACCCAGAACGATCATCTACTACCTGACCGTAGTGTTCTGCACCTTCCGTGCTATATCCGCCTTCATAATCGGACTAAAAAGTCTCCAAGACGACACTACTCCGCTCGCCGCCCCCTCAGTGATTCTCCTCGCCCTAATCTCAACCCAAATCATGGACTGCAACATCGGCCACAACCCTCTAACTCGCCTCATCCTCGAGCTCGACATAATCGCTCTGGCCATCTCCTTCGGAATGTCAGGCTATGCCCCCAATCACCACGAATGGTGGCCCCGCTACAGCACCATGAAGATCACCGATGGAAACTGCCCCGTTTACGCCGGGGACTGCATGTCCCAAGCCCCGCACTGGCTGTCCGTCGGGTGCGGCGACTGGAGCACGCCTACCAACTACGATAGTGGCGTCTCATACGGATATCCTGAGGTTTTCTATCTCCCGTACCAGAATACCGGGGATCTGAATGTGCAGACGGGAATGAATACCCTGCACGCTACGGAGATGACGATTATTGTGTTCGGGAGCGTATGGTGGTGTTTTGTCTTCTTCCACATACTCGACATATTTACCACGCTCGAGGATATCTTTAAACGGAAACCAGCCGGGACGTCGCTTGGCGGGACGTCGCTTGGCGGGACGTCGCTTGGCGGGACATTGAACCAACGCTCCATCTTCTCATCCATCAAATCGCTCCTCGCACCTCTGTCTCCCCGAGCTCGCCGCCAGCCCGCTCCAAGGAAGGTCGCAACGGCTTGGCAACAGTCGTACTACCCGTTAATCTGCGTACTCGGTCTGTTCGTAGCGTTTGTGGTCATGTTGATGAGTATTGGGGCACATGCAAGTCAGATGATGAAGAAGCAGCAAACGACGTACTTGGAGAGCTTTGGGCCGCAGGTGGGCACGAATTTCACAACGGACGGGAATGGGGTTATTACCGGGAGCGATTATTGGGGGAATGCGACGAGTTGGAGTGATTGTTTTGTGGTGAGGGCGCCGGGGAGTAGAAATGGGTTTTGGAGTGAGTGGGTGGAGAGTAATAGGAGAGGAGGCGCGTTGTTCAGGATTGCGGCGGGGATGTGATGGTGTGGGGTGTGGTTATTGTTAGTTGTGGTGGAGGACTCGAGTTTTGCTGAAGGTTCTGTATACCCCTCATTTTTTTGTTCAAATGTCATTTAACCAAGTCAGAATCATTCATAGTATTCACTGTGTCCTAAGCATTTTCTGTATTCTATATGTTCCAGCATCCTCTTCTCACTCCCAAAATCTTGAAAAGTCGAGTTGAAATCAAAATGGTTATGTGAAAGTCTTCTCATTTTGCTGGAAATCGCAATCACACAAGCCGAAATCTTAGCGTAATCTATACAGAAGTATGAGATTACGACTATCTAAAAGAATAAAGCCTTGTCATGGCTTTTTGTCTGAAATGTCGCAGACCGAAATCCAAGATTGAGAGCAAAGCGATTCCGTACATCGATTCCGTAAGTCGGAACTTTCTATTACATTGTACCCAAGATGAAGATATTGAGTAGTTTTGATAGCATGCCATGTATATTTCCATGCTAAGCTCTCGCCCAGTGGTCAAATATTGTCATTTCCTGCAATCGCTCTCGCAGCTCGTCCGTTTCTGCCGCAATTTCGCCTACAATTCATTAAATTCGCTAGCAAGCCGATTATTTTCAATATATTATTTTCTTGGAAACAAAACAAATTCGCCATAAAAGAAATCATCTACTTTACATATCCAAGACAATTACTCTTTCGCTTCATATTGAGAGCCAAAGGAGAAATCAACTGACGTCGGAGTTTGAATTAATTCGCATACTCCTTCGCCTTCGATTCTGATTTGTGGCCTCGGGATCTTCGTTGGTTGGTTGATGATCCATCTTCAAGCAACATACCGGAGCGTGAGGCATCATTTCCAGTCTGCTATCTGTAACACAAGCCTTGTCAGCTACGAGCCCCGGCCACCACCTAGCCACTACTTGAGAATCCAGTGAAGTAGGAGACCAATTTAAAATCATAGCAAAACAAACGCAAGAGCACCGCGTGAAGAGGAATGTATCGGGGAGTCGTGGGGAATGTGTAGGAACAGCCCTAGCCTAGGAATCGCACAAGGTGTGCAGGAATAAGTGCTGGATCGATCCGAGAAACGGGAGAGAGGTTGTATGTAGAGAAAGGGGAGCGTATCGAGAAGCATGTATTGCTGGGGATGCGTAAGAAGAGATATGTGCTGCGTCGCCGTAGGAGAGGCGTAAGAGGAGGTATACGCTGGGTCTTTGTAGATACATCTCATCCATATCCATGTCGGGGTGATTTACAGACGCACATTGAGTGGGAAACAAGCCTGGAACTATTGGGCACTACCAAATCAAACATCAGTCCGAGAAAAACTGGTTCTGCCTCAAATCTCACTAGAATTTCGATGATTGGTAGTATTGTTGCTGCTACTTACATCGTATCACTGCTCGGCATTCCTTCCATGCTCTGAGATAATCCCCTCCCGTGAAGATGAAAACAGTCCCATCCCCCAAACCCTTCAAATCCGAAACTTGATTTATAGATCTATTCACCTGCTTCTGGAATCCACACATTCACCTTCCGCTCCATCCCGCCCCATTCCCAGATCAATGTCTGGTCTTTAGACCTAGAATTTCGAAGTCCCAATGTTTGAGATCGAAGACTAAGAACTGAACGGAACGATGTTCGTTCCAGTCTTGCACATTGTGCAAATGTCTCCTTTGCTCGTTTAGATCCACTTTGAGATCAACATCAAAGTCCCAACTTCATCTTGACTTTTATAAGCACCAAATGTGGGAGCTGTGGACCAAACATTACATTCCAAGTAAAGTGTGAGAGTCTTGCGGGACTCTCAGTAGTTTGTAGAACTAAGCTGTCACTCCAGTACATGTCATCTGTATGAATTTATACCTACTCTCATAGACATTTCTCGACGATCGACCCTGGTTTGCATGAGCGCCATCTCGGTAGCCATCTCCCACTGGAACTTTTATCGATAGGCAGACACTCCTCCACGATTTTAGATGCTGAAGAAATCAGCCAATCAAAAAACTCGTATGTGGCAATGGGGCATACACACGATGTCTGGATTTCGAACCCCAAGCCACCATGCAGGTACATCGACCATAATCGATAGCCTCCAAAATCTCGCATAAAAAAGCGCATTCGCCACGTATGGCTTATTTTGAGTAAATTAACTTGCAATCAATCTGACCTCGCTCCTTAGATCATTTATTTAGAGGTCGTTGTTTGGAGACCTATTCTCGGAATTTGTGCGTTTTGCGCAACTTGCACAATATGCACTATTGCCGCTGGCATTGATGTGGATTCGAGAAATTTTCTGCTGAGAGATGTTTGACGTATGAACTGAAGATTGACTTGCACATTTGGAAGAAGGGCGAAAATCTAACTTTCAATTCTTGCACCTAGATAACTGCTTGCGAGGACAAAGCGATGAGAAAGTATGAAAGATTTCTCAGTGCCAAGCCCGTGATTGGAGATTTAGTCCAGAAATATAAAATCATATCAAGTGTAAGTGAGAGGGAATCGAGGGTCTCACTCATCTATGTAGTCTCGAGAACTAGAATATGAAACGTCGCTCTGAATCCAGTTCTTATCATAGAGCCAAGAACAAGGCAGAAGGAGAGCGTTGCCTTGTTAAATCATCTCTTCAATTCAGATAAACAATGCTGCCCACGAATTCTGCAGACGTGTGAAAAGACTCGAATCACACAGCGAAATCGGTAGGAACATAAACCGCAGCTGATCGATTCCATTCTGTGACTCCAGTGAGTTTTCGATAATGCCCGCAAGCAAAAATGTGAGGAAGCACGACTTCAAGTCTAGAGAAGTCAAAGGAAGAATGAAAGAGACTGAGAAAATTGCCAGAGTTACACAAGGGAAACAATCGCTTGAGAATCTCATGCGTATTTGTTCCTGTGAGCAAGACCTGAAAGTTGCTTAATCAAGCTCCAGAGAGCATTTTGTAGTATGAAGCTGGATCTGAACGCATCCCAACAATCAAGGGGGTAAATAGTTTGACGAGACTTCTCAGAATTCTGATCATACAATAGTAGAGGGAGATCAAGTTGGCTGAGCAGAAAGTGCTCGTAGTGCGATCATCTAAGGGCCTGAGAACGAGGTTTGAGAAAATAAAAGGCAGGATAGCGAAACTTTTGTGCACACGAACCTCTTTTCTCGAGGAAGCTTTCACTTGCAGCCTCAAGGATCGCAAAGCACTCATTTGAATCGCGTATCTTAGGAGCTCCGTGAATCAACTTTCGCCCGTGCTGATTCTCACCGAGTAAAGAAAATCTCAGACTCGAGCTCGATCCATCATATTCACAGGCGGCAACTATGCCAATTGCACTCACTCGACTCTGCCTAATGCACCAATCCGCTGAAGCCTTCCCACAGGCAAACACGGATTGAACAACAACAACCCCGCTTGAGCCTCGACGCCCAATTGACCTACCAATTCACGCAGGCACTCATTTCATTGACACCGAATCTCCACACCGTATCACCCCAACGCGGGGTTGTGCAACATCTCTCTGCCTAACAAGCCACCAACAGTAGCGGCATTGACTCACTCACTCGCCCCTCCGCAAAAGAAACCAAATTGGCGAGTCGAAAGGAAGAGGCTGAAACTAAACCTGTATGTACGAGCGCACTCGGTGTGACGAAATGAGCCTCAAGGGTTCGGATGGAAATGGGGAGTAGGGCTGTGCTCCCACGCCTTTCCGGATGCGGAAAATGAGGGTTTTGGCTGGTTTTGGGCTGACCGAATTGACGGATTTGGGGATATTTACGAAAGGAAAGGAATATACCGTGGTTGTTTGGTATTTGAGACGATTCGGGAGGCCGGAAGAGGTGACCGTGAATAGGCAGGCGGATAGGAGAAGGAATCGATGATGAGACTGGCCAGGCTAGGCAGCCTCTGAAGATCAAGTCGTCAAGGATGTGAATGAGATGAGATGAGATGAGATGAAGAGGAAGGTACTTCGTAGTGCTGATGCCGAGCGTGGGGAGGAATCTAATGATTCCTAATGCGAGATAGATAGGATTCGGCTTCATCGGGAAGGAGTCAGCACAAGACCAGGTCACAGGATCAGCACGTGAGTCGTCATTCACGTGATACGTGGTATAATTTGGAATTGTATCAAAATGAGCGCAAGTCGATAGCAGAGAGGGAGAAATATGTTTCAGAAATCAAGATCAAAGCATCAAACGATGTAACGTTCCGTCTATGCTATTTCTCTTTCTCGCTGAGTTCCGGGTCTGGTGATATCGAGTTAAAGTTATCGCGATAACCACTCCCGCACCTGCTTGCTTATCGATTACGGATCCGCTGCTGCTGTAGATCATACGGACGACGGATGCGAGGATGCGCCACCAGAACCCTCCTTGCATCGCGACGGGATGATGTACGGGAGCGCATGGCGAGAAAGTCTAAATCGTCAATTGGATCAGGTGAACGTCAATGATCAGTGGGGGTTTGTCAATTGAGTCGCGTTCGTGATCATGGTGACGGATGTCGACGAAGCTGATGGAGGGGTCAAGCTGAGACACTGGATTCTGGTATGGGTGAGCATGTGAATATGGATTGGGGGAGCGCAGACACCCGCATTCGCCAACGGAAAACCTGGTCGGGTCGTGGTGCTATTCTTGATCGCAATCGCCAGATGATCGTTTCACGGGGAGAGAGAGGGTCCGAAAATGATGGTGGTCTGGATGTTTCCTCGTCTGATACTCCTGCTCGGGAGATGAGAGGGAGGGGACAGAGCCGGGTCGTGTGGTCACAACGTGGCGATGGTGATACGTGTGCGTGATGCCTAGCTAGGTAAGGAAGAAGGGGAGAGTTGCCGCCATCACTCGAGAGCGAGGTACCGGACTGTATACTTGGCGCAACTCAATTGACAGTGGTGCGGTGTCGGTGCATCGACGATTGAGTTGCGGACTCCATCTCATTGCCATCATTATGACGAAAGTATTGACTTTCCCCCAAGTCGCAGGACACGTGGAGGGTTGTGAGCTGCGAATGCGAGGTGAAGTTTTGTAAGTACAGTCCAGTGCTAGTATGTACTGTACAGTACAGTAGCATGGAGAAAGCTGGCTTTGCAACACGTCGACCAAATGAGGCAACGCCATGGCAAGCCGAAGAAAGTCGTCCGGCAGCCTCAAGTTCTCAACATGTTCCTTTTGGTCCGCGGGTGCGTCGAAACATCGATCATGCCTGCGGGTGTGTCAATTGATATTGGATTCCTAGTGGTGCTTTCACACCCGAGAATGTTTGCTGCATTAACCCCCATTATTGCACACACCCAACAGGCACGGCAATAGCATTGATGGGATGGATGGGACATTTCTGGCAAGCAATGCGGGTTTGGGGTCCATGGTTGGGCAGAGGTGTGTGGAGGAGGAAGAGAAAGGCCAATTGATGGTGCCAACACGGAGGGTGAGCTGGATTGCAGAGAGGGCAGAGCAGAGTGTGTAGAGCAGCAGAGAGGCTGTGAAAGGGGGAGTGAAGCGTGTCTCCGGGAGAATATGTGAACAACGCGCAATTGCATCAATTGAGGCGTGAGAAATCAATTGGTGCAGACTACGGAAAGATGAAGACAGCAGGAAGAAGGAATTAGGAATTAGGAATCAGGAATCAGGATAATAAGCGACTAATCGTAAACACAATTATGACGGTGATGATGATGATAATAGTCGATGATTATCATATTATACCAAGTCCAGGTCTAGGTCTAGGTACCTTTCCGTGTCATAAATCATTTCGGTGAACGGTGAAGCCCAAGGGTACCAGAGGGCCAAAACCGAGGGCGACGTTTGAGGCTAGCCTCAAACCCATACCCGAACAGGCTTAGTCGGGCACCAGCGGTGACTCATTCTTGGAGCGACTTCACTCCTTCCTCACCCCAATATTGCATGAACACCATTCGCCTTACCAATGTTTCCTCAGCACTGCGCGCTCGCGGTATCCATCCAGTGCTGCTCCTTCAGCACTCGTCCATTCACCTCCAATGGCTTCTATATCCTCACCCCGGATTTTACACAATTGATGCTCATTAGCTGCCCCCAATTGGCCAATTGCCTCCTCCTTTCTCGTGCATTCCATTCCCGACCCTGCCTTACGCGTTGTTGGCAACTTCGCGCCCCGTCGCCCAACCCAACTTGTGTGTGAAAAAAAAGTGCCCAGTGCAGTGCAGTGCAGAGCAGAGCAGAGCAGAGCACGACACAGCCGCACACAACAAAGGAATCCGGATTCGAACCCAACCAGCCAGATGCCCTCACACGGCGGTTAATTGGGACTGGCCATTCTGGTATTGGTCCAGCTGCCGTTTGGCAAAGGGTGCCTAGCACACCCTAATTGCGAAAGACCGCAAGACATTAATGCCATCCGCCTGAGTCAAGGCATTTTGTGGGTTGTCTGTCATACGGACTGGCGTCACGAGGGGAGTCATATACCACACACACTCTCTTCTCTCACGTTCTCGTTCTCGTTCACTACTCTCCTTGTTGGTGCTGCCTATTTATTGCTTCGCACTCTCGCGCTCTTCTTATTTCCCACTTTCCCTTCTTTCTTCTCCCATCATCTGGAACATTGGACCTCGCATTCCTTTCAACATTGCAAGCCCACGTCGTTGTTTCAATTCCATCGACACAAGTACCCATTCGCTCGCATTGACTGGAATCCGGAACTTAACTCTCACAAAGAACCGATCTGACAGCCCAGCTGACCAACACGTCGACCTTCCTCCACCAGTTCCTCCGCCCGCAATTTCACCTCTTCTATAAAGTCCGACTCAATTCACGGCAGGCAGAACCTCCACGGACTTAAGCCGAACTGATATCCGCTGCCAGACTCCGAGAGTTGCCACAACCTCTAGAAGTACCTGGGGGAGGCACAAACAGACGAAACCATGGATGACAAAACGTCTTCGAACCTGCAGCCTTCCATTGCCTTCGGTGACTCTTTCACGTCGACTAAACATTCACTCAATCGACCTTTGATCTCTTCGCCGCCTATTTATTCATCGGCGCCATCCAACAACAACAACAGCAACAACAACTTCCTTCCCAGTATCAATCGACTCGTCAACATGGAGAACAAAGACGTCTTTGATGCTAGGACCACAATGCTCTCGCCACCAGAGCCAACACTCCAGGACAGCTTCTCTCGCAAACCATCTGGACACTCAATGGACTTCGTCATGACCGGACTTCACCCAATGCCAATTGTCAGAGGTCAAGCTCCTCTCTCGCCGCCAATATCACCAGAGACGAAGCTCATCAACCCTGAGAGCCCAGCTTCGATCAACGTTCGAGACCCGATCCTCTTCCCTCATCAAGATTCATCCTCTCAACCTCCGCTATTCACCAGCGATCCTCATCGAGTCGTGGACGAACATGTGGCTGCAAGAGAGTTGAGCACATTCAGAGAATTCTCGCCCCCTCGTCGAGTCGAATACGAACTTGCGCTTGAGTTCAAGTCGCGGATTGCGGAGGCGTACAACGTGGACAGGAAACGATGGGCTCGTAGGGAATTCGCACAACTGAAGGAGGATAACATGCTGAAGCACGGAGGCAAGCGATATACTGCAATTGCTCCTGCCTCTGGTAATCGGAATGGTCAGAGAGCCATCAAGCCACCTCGTCCTACCGTAATCAAGACAATTAGGACTCCCAAGGCAACCGTACCAAGGGGAACCACACCAGAGTCAAGCAAGAGAGTCGCACGTGAGGACAAAGACTTCAGCTCTCTTCCTGACTTTTGCCCACCTCTCTCCAGCCTTCCGAACAAGCCAAATTCTCTCAAGGTTGATTGGAAAGGCGCTCCGATTGATCTGAAATTTGATCCTCACGCACACCTTCTCCACCCCGACGAAATCGCCCTTGCCGCTAATCTGCGTCTCGATTGCGCCACTTACCTCACCTCGAAGCGACGAATTTTCATCAAGAGAATCGAAGCTTTCCAAATTGGTAAAGAGTTCAGAAAGACTGATGCTCAACAGGCTTGCAAGATTGACGTCAACAAGGCAAGCAAGTTGTGGCAGGCATTCGACAAGGTCGGCTGGTTGGACCCTAAGTGGATCAAGAAGCACCTCAACTAAACCTCGCTCGGGACAACATCATCAATTAGTGGGCTGGCCCAGATGGGTTGTCTTCAAGCACACATAGACGAACACGGCACGAAATTGAATGAAATTTTCTTTTTCTTAACGGCAACATCTTCATCGGCTTTGCATTGCGACGGCTATTCTATTCTTTTGTTTATCGGCATGGACTTTGGGATGGGGATACATCATCATTCGATTCAATTCAACCTGAATCTAGACATTCGACATTCACGCTTCTCTTTTGTTTAACGTGTCATTGCCTGGATTCGATGGGGGATTGCGGTTTGGGTATGGGAATGCGTCTGCGTGGTTTTTGCGTGCGTGCGTCTGTTTTTTTACAACTGCATTGGGTTTGCGATACCCGAGCCCGCCCAGCTCCACTCTCGTTCTCTGTTGCATTCGCACAGGGATAGGTTCTTTATCATTATCAATCATAGCTAGGTTAGGTAGCATTCATGGATGGACTGGTCTGTTTGGCGTTGTTCTTTGGTTGGGATGGGGATTAGGATTGGGCATAGCATGCATGGGTTGAAATCCGCTGCTTGGTGCTCCTCTTTGACAGACAGATTGTGGGATGGGTTGTGAATGGATGGATGGATGGAGAGCGTAGAGCTAGGCTACCATTTACATAAGTTATTTTGCGTGAAATTGATACATTCATACGCACTCTTCTATCTTTTAGACGTGAATTGCCATAATCATCGTGAATATCCAAACCCGAGACTCACTGACGTCAATCCGAATTCAAATAGACGGTGAGAACGAGAGCCCATATGATGCAGCCTCCCGTTCGGTTATGTAGGGTCATGTCATGTAAGCTCATGTCAGGTCAGACATGCAGGTCGGTGTGCATTGCTTGCGGGATCCAGATCCAGATCTGAGAGAGAGGGGGGCGGGATGGCGGGGACGGCGGGCGGATGGCGCGGTTGTGGATGAGAGGGGATGTTTGGAATTAGTTGAGAGCTGCTGGTTGTGTTGTTGTTTGGGAATATTTTTTGGGAATGTTCGATAGCAGATTCTGCGACTTTGACTTTGAAGATATGAGTTGGGGGTTCACTTCGATGGGTCAGGTATTGAAGTTTTGAGGATGGGGTACTGGCTGGACGGACATTTTTTTTGTTTGAATGTCCCGCAAGGAGGGGATGCTCGGTTGTGTTGGTGATGTTTGGTTGAGGGGTTTGACTTTGAAGATATAAGTTAGGGATTTGGGTCAGATATTGAAATTGTGGGGGTATTGTGTAGGATGGTCAGACATTGGTATTGTTGAAAGGTGTTGGTTATTTGCTTTAAACGTACGAACAGAGAACTAGGTTCCATGATCAAGTTCCGAGTTCAAGTCAGACATTCTTGTTTAGAAGAATATTCCACAATATACCTCAACAACAAACATTGAAGCAGTAACTCTCTATTCAAAGAAAGTATATCTATCGGTACATTAATTCGAACTCGAACTAAAATAATATCCATCCCAAAGATACAAGTAATCATCCAACACTCCGGCAATCAAACTAGGTAACTTCTCGCTCGTCTTATGCAAGAATCCCTTCGTAACATTCTCATAGAAAGCACCTCTCATAGCCCACCATCCCATCGCCCAGCCTCTCTTGCCCCACTGCTCTCTTTCCAAGGCCGTTGTCCTAAGACCATCTTTCCGGAGCTGTCGTGCTGCGTATTCGATGCTTAGGCCTAGGAGCCAGGGTTGCCAATTTGATTTATCTTTACTTCTGCTCATTGCAATGGCGTAGATAACTGGTTGGATGATGTGGAGGATCTCGGCTAGTTGTGCTGAGCCGTTGACTTTGTTCAAGAGCGCGGATGGGGCTTTGATATCGTCTGCTGTTAAGACTCTCGAGAGTAGGTAGCTCGAGATATCACTCGGGTTGGGCAATACCGGTAAACTCAACCCCGTCCTCTTCATCTTATACTCCTTCGGCTCGATCCTCCTCCCAGATCCCGGTCCAGACGCCTCACTCCCACCATAACCCTCATCCTCAAAAAGTTCCTCCTCCTCATCCTCCCTCTCGTCCGGAATGACCTCTCGTTCCGGTAACGCGGGTGTAACTAACGGTCTCGAATGCGTGATTCTCAATAGCAGGAATCTACACACAGCCTTCACAACCTCCAAAAGCACAACGACGCGCCATCGGATCTTCTCCCCTTTCCGCTTAGCCATCATCTCCCACAATAGTTCCGTATACTGCACCACCGCTAGCAAGGTCGCGACCTTCCTATACATCCCACTCTTCACCATCCAGAACTTCGTGTACCGATTATGCGGGCTCTGCGCCCTAGGCATGCCCGGCAATTTGCTCACAGCGCGCGTTAACAGCGTATCGTGGTACATAGATAAAAGCTGGATAGACGAATGGAGGGACTCGGACGCAAGCTCAGCATCGCGGAAGCGGCCGGGGATGATGTAGGTTAGGGAGCGCAGCGCCGATTCGATTTGCGTTACGGAGGACTGGTTTTTGGTTATGAAGTTGCTGTAGAGGGAGAGGAATTTTGAGGGGTGCGTGAAGAGGGGTGGGATGGTTTGGCGGGCGGATTTGAGGTGGTCCATCTTGAAGGAGAGGATGGCGCGAGTGCGCCGCAGGTCCAAGAGAGCAAGATGGAGATGGGAGCGCGTTGGTCGTGATGTCGTGTTTCGTTGATAAATATCGTCAGAGAGGTTGGACGAAAGCCGAGGCTGACACGAGACCTGGTGGCGATCGAAGCACGTGCGAGCTGATAACGATAAGGATTCCATTTCCCCAGACAAAACCTAAAGTCCGACATCAATATCGATATTCAACATTGCCTCTTCGCATCGCCTTGATGGCTCCCAAACGTCGCAGATCAAGTACAGAGGAGAAAGATGTCTCTATAGCGAAGAGAGCCCGTACCCGCGACCCAAATGATCATCTCTCCTCCCTCTCCGACGAACTGCTAATCCGCATTCTTCACCTCCTCCCAATCCACACCCTCCTAAACTGCCATTTTCTCTCTCACCGTTTCTACCGCCTCTCCTCCGACTCCCAAATATGGAAGAACCTCTACTACAACCGCTTCGTGCTCCCTCGCGCGTTACGCATCCCGGGAATCCGCGACTTATCCCGGAAAGAGGATTTACATTTCTCCAGTCGGAAGAGTAAATGGTTGGATGAGAGTAGTCTTCTAGAGAGGAAAGATGGCGGTATGACGAATTGGAAGAGGCAGTATAAGTTGAGGCATAATTGGAGTATTGGTGCGTGTGAGGTGCAGGAGATTAGGGTGAAGGATGGGGTGGGAGAGAGGGAGAGGATGTTGGTTAAGCTTGCCGAGGGATGTGTGGTTACAGCTGATCGGGAAGATGGCTTGAGAGCTTGGGATTTGAAGGGGAAGGGACTTATCGCGAAGATGGGGCTGGGGGAAAGGGAAGTGCCGACTTGTTTGGCGGTTGATGAGCAGGAAAGTGATGGGTTGGGCATTGCTGTGGGGTTTGAGGATGGTGGGTGGGGAACTTGGAGGTTGATTGCTGCTTCAAAGGAGTTTGTCGAGGTTTACAGACATCCGGCGAGTAGTAATGGAACGCTTGGTGCTGTTGCGTATGGATATCCGTATGTTCTTACTATTACAGAAGGACAATTGCTGTCTCTGTACTCCTTCACACCAGCTCCTATACCGGACGAGCCAACTTTTGAGGACGAAGCTGGCGAACAACCTTCTGAATCATTTACAACGAAAGAAAGCACGTCCTCAGTAACGACACTTGCCGCAGTTCCCAATGTCCCAGACGATACACCACACCCCCGTCTTCTCGCTTCCCTCAAATCTCACACTTCATGGCCACCACTTTCCCTCTCAATCCGTACAACACCAAACACTCTCATCGCAAGCATAGCATACTCTCTGCCAACCTATCTTTCGGGTTATACCATCGGTGTCCAAGAACTACATCTCTCACTCATCACTGGCCTGGTAACTTTCTCACGCCTCACATCAGCTCTACCTCAAGGCTTTTCTTCCATCCATCCTTCCAGTTCATCAAGCTCACCAAGTAGATCCGGTACCTCATCACCCACACCGTTATCTGGGAACATGGGCCCTATCCCCACTCGTGCAATAGAAAATACTCGCCCAACAACACTCTCCTATTCACATCCCTATATCCTGGCTACCCATCCAGACAACACACTGACGCTCTATCTTTGTACTTCAACTTCCTCCAACCTCTCTATAACGCCAGGCACAAAGTTATGGGGCCACACGAGCGAGGTCTCTGCAGCGGAGATCACACCAAGGGGCAAGGCGGTCAGCGTCAGTTTGCGTGGTGAAGAGTTAAGAGTCTGGGAGTTAGAAGGCGGGAGCGCGATGACTTCTTCAGCGGGGAGATTGCGGCGAGTGATAGGTGGAAAGGGGTGGGTACGGAGTGTTGTTGTTCGAGGGACGGAGCGGGCCGAGCCCGGTGCGAGCGGCAATGATGGCGGAGAGGATACGGAGAGAGCAGGACTGAGAATGGTGAAGGAGAATGAGATTGAGAGGTATGAAGAGGGAATTGAGGCTAGCAAGCGGTGGGTTGGATTCGATGACGAGATGGTGATTGTGTTGAAGGAGTCCGGCAGTGGAACACAGGCCTTGATGGTCTACGACTTTACTTGAGGGTGTGGAGGCTTAGGATATTTGATGCATGGCCAGAGATGGTATCGAATAGGCGCATCTACTCCACAACGTCTACGAAGTGCATTCGTTCAAGACAATTACGACTTGGCGCATTCGGCCGTTTCTTACGATCTTTCAGCACTTCTCCCGAAGTCAAAGGACACCTTCCTTCGGCATCTTCCAAATTCAAGTACTCCTGGTTATTATATATTCGAGTAAAGGGACAATAGGATATCAGGCTTTGCAGGAAAATATAGTGCATACTCCAACCAGGAGAACGCCATCGCAACGCGAATCTCTCAAGCTCGAGGCTGATTCTCGATTCAGAAACCACCAAGCGACTGCCTCAGCAAGTGGACTCGTCAGAGTCCAAAATATAATTTGACTGGTTAGTCTTACCGAGGTTTGCTGCTCGTCACAGTCGCCTCGCAGCACAGCTCGGCAAGACATGCACCCCATGATGTTGAGATTAGATCAACAGCTTCCTTTTTTGTTCTCTCACCACTGCCGACAGAGTGGAAATGCTCGTTTAAACGTATCTCATTGGACGGTCAAAATTTGTGGCTCCTATCGAAACAAAAAGAAAGCTTCTCATGCGCAAAGTTCCGAATTACAATCAGGCCATGTCCTGGTCTAGACCGTTTCTAGTCGTTATTCATGACCTACTACCCTTTTCTCCACAGCATGGAGATGAGCCGATGGAAAAGGATATCGGCTTTGGTGTAGAGGAAATATCCTCCAATCTTGTTGCAGATGAATGAAACTTTGGCTGTGGCTGTGAGACAATAATTATGAGTTACTTTCAGCTCTCGCGAAAATGGTTAGCGTGGAGTGTCACTTGACACATTCAGTCTTCTCACGATTCCAAACGAACGGGCTTCACGATACCTTCAGCTTTGGCAAGAATTCAGTCGCATTTAGATGATGCGTGCAAGTTCCAGCGCTTCTCCAAATTTAGTATTTGCGAGTTGCAGTACAAGAGCGATATGTAGAAACAGCTGCAGCAAGCCTAATTGCACCACCGTCTAGATGCATGAGGCGATTTGGAAACCCTTGAAGCCACAACAGCCACGGTGACTGCTTTGGGCGCTTCTGCAGATATACCACATCCTTTTTAGTACTTATGTCTAACATCGCAATAAGACAAGCTCAAACAGAAATATAATATTTCTGCTCCCCGTCAAACCCGTTGCTACCCCTTTTTTCTCTATCTATCTTTAAGTCTCAACGTTCTTTATCTGATCTCTCTTGCGTAGACATCATCTTCCATTCTTTCATCTTATATATGGAACCAGTCTAGCATTAGACCATGTCTGCGTATCCTTACAGCTCCGGTTATGTCCCGTACAACTACACAGCGCCGTGTAACTACACTTACACTGGCTACTTGGCGGTATTGTCACCATCCCATTCTTATGAGTAACAAAGGCTAACATCATTCCCAAGACTGTGCAGCAGTATTGTGGGCCATACCTGGATGGTCTCCAAACGTGTACGTCGGACACAGTGACACCGTTTATGCGCCTCGAGGCTGCAAGTCAAGTCAGCGATTGTATGTACTGGATGTAAGTGACGCATCTCTTGAGTCTGGAGAAGTGTTGACACCATATTCGCAAAGAAATTGGGCTCTTCATCAACCAAATTTCACATACGATGCTACCAATGCGACGTGGAACTCTCCAGCTGTGCCCAAGACTAACACTTCAGCTACTTGTAACTACCCAACGTTCTTACCGGTAAGATCATCTTAGCAATTCTTTTCAGTCTCTGCGCCCATCTCTGGTACATTCTGCTGATGTCTGAAGTATATAGATCGCGGAAACGGCTTGCGCCTGGGACTTCTCACAGTGGAATTCAATACAATCCAACACTTCTTGTGACTATAACGTAGCGGAAGCAGACTGGGGCCCTGGAAGATGCGTCAGCGAAGCGTATGTATTCTTTTTAGCTTTTTTGTAACGGCAATTTTCCAAGACTAATGTGTTTGCAATCAGTACTGTTCAGTACGTCCGTTGCACCATCCAGGAACCCACGGCCAATGTTGCTTCTTGCATCGAAGCGAATGCACAAAAGGCTGACTGGCTACCACAACTGGAAGAGTACGGCGGTGCAGCCTCCTGCGGCTATCCCAAGAACGTCGTCTTAATCATCCTCGGCCTGGGACTCCTGCGAGGTATATGCGAAGCGTTCATCCACCCTTGGATCAAATATCACGTCAAGAATGCCTGGAGAAAGTATCGAAAGAAAGATCCGGACCCAACCCTATTCTGGGACGCCGCCCGCCGAGCCCCTAGATTCTTCAATCTCAAGGCTATGATGGTCGTTCACGCCGTAGGAAGAGAGCTCCTCCGATGTTATCTAGCCGCCGTCTACATGCGCAAAGACAACTCGAACCTCTTAGCTCCAACTTTCTTCCGAAGCTTTGTCCTCAACGCCGTCCTTCCCCGCTTTGCGCCATTCACGGGTCTCTTCGGCTTGAGACAACCATGGACTCAAGCAGGCTTCGCCGATCTCTTCGTCGACGGCGTCTTCTCTTTCGTAGCCGGCTCGTTCGTCGGATTCGGATCTTACGGCGACGTGCCAAATCAGAATCCGCCAAATCCAGCTACACCCCAGCATGCCTTGAAGATCATGGAGATTGGCGCACTCATGACAGTTGCGCCTACCTACCTGTTCTTCGTTTTTCTCTTCTTGTTCTCCTTGCGCAAGGGTTGTATCCAAGGAATCTTCACGGTCTTCATCTCTTTGATAATGGTTGGAATCTTGCTGTTGTTACTACCCATCTTCGCGCTCTGGGAATTCTATGCCGCTATCCGACACCAAGTTCGTCCTTTTCAAAACGTCCGAGCACTACAACCGATCAGTATCGATTACAAGAGTTTTAGGGGCGTCTATTACTTTATGATATTCTTTAGCTGGGTCATCAATATCGGCAATTGGCTATTTTGGGCCAGCTACCTTAAGTTGGGAGGCGATTTGTGGTGTCCTAATAATGTTGATTCGGTGGTGAAGATTTGGGTGTTGATTCCGTTTGCTGTGGATGTGTTTTTTGCTCTGTTTGCGATCGTCACGACGGATACGATTGAGGATGAAGATAAGAATGAGAGGACGGTTATATATGTTTTATCGCAGCCTCCCGCGGGAATGCCGATGGGGGAGAGTAAGGTGCGGGATTTCAGCGATAGGCCGGTCTACTAAACTTACTAAGATCTGTTGATCTGGATAGTCCATTCAAGAGAACTAAGAGATTTTTTTACTGTTCAGGAGGAGAGGCTTACTTGAGCTGAATAATTCAACACTGCTCTCAATCGAAAATCTTATCCAATCAACAATCACAGTTGAAGTTACCCGAGTAGTATTTAACCACGTGCCCTACCTTTCGCCATGAGATCAACCTTCCTCTAGTTTCTTTTCTTTCCTCTATTGTTGTCCCAGTTTGCAGCGAATATACACACCTCCAACTCACTAGTCGGACTCAATCCAATAATTCCTCCAACCCTCTTCACTATCAGCCTCCTTAAACTTCTCAATACCTCCCATAACACCATCCGGACCAACTTCCCACAGGCCTTTCTCAACCATACCAGTCCAATTGTCAAACAACCGAACTAGTCTCTGCGCCCTTGACCAGTCTCCACCGAATGGTTTGAACCCATGTTGGTATAAGTCCTCGAACCCACCGTTCCCGTTCTGCTCGATCAAATGTCCTGTCCTCTTACGCGCAAATCCGTGCTCGGCAATGGAGTATGGCAGGATCAAACGAAATCCTTCTTCGGCAATGTCGTCGTTCCAGACTTGTGTTTCTTCGGTGTAAAGACCTGCAGGTTTGCGAGTATGTTCGTCTTTATTCTCAGCATTTAGCCCTTGTTGCTCTTGGCTGGCAGATTCAGGTTCCACTTTGAATAATAGTACCGCTGGGATGGTGCTCAGCTTGTCATAATTTTCAGTTGCAGCTAAAATTTGATTCTTGGCAAAGTCTTCTTCGGTGGGAATCAAAAGACCAGGCGCAATGTACTTGAAAGCCGGCACACCAATAGCGCTTAGGAAGGAGCGAGCAAAGGAAGGGTTGGGGATAAGAGTAGCATCCATCAACTCATGAGAAAAGTTGCGAACCGGGGGCATCCCTTTTCGTGTGCTCGGGATTCTGCTCTCGATAGCATCAGCAAGACGATTAAAAGCAGTAACCGTGTCTTCAACTTGCTTCGTACTATATCTATGACAAGTCCAAGGCCGGTATCTGTCATTCTCGACTTTAACATCATCGGGTTCAGCCGTAATTTTGCCCATTCTGAGCACCGTAATCCAATTTCTCAAGATTGTCTCAAGAGGATACCATAGGTGCGAATTCTCGTCTCCACTAGCGAAGTCTTGATCATGGATACTAATAAACACAACTGCTTTATGTAGCTGTTGATCATAGCATAGACCGTCCTGATGACAACCAAGAAGTGCGCAATTTGTATAGAACAGCGTCATGCGTCCGTGTTCCTCGCCCAGATTGGAGAAATCCTCCCAGTTTGTCCAGAGATACGTGGGATCATTAATGCCTCTGACCCAGTAGAAGAGAATAGCAAAATCCGCGTCCCGGGGATCATAGGCATTCTCGAGAAACTTGATGAGGCTTGGGTCGAGGTGCTCGCGGGCTCTTTCGGCTTTATCTCCGTGTTTCTCGAACCAGGATATCTTGTGACGATCGCCGAATTCTTTGTTGCTTGCTGCAAAGGAGTATTGTAGGAGGTAGTTGTAGAGAGCAACGCAACGCTCGTGGTCAAGACCAATCTGGTTGCGAGGAGGGTTGTCAGGGGTGACAAGCCAATGATCAATATCAGGTAGTTGGTCCATGCCGAATGCTTGCAGAATATCGTGTGTTCGGATTTTGGGAACTGATGGAGTAGCTGGAAGAAATCAATGAGAGAAGGGCAGATTTGATGGCGAAAATCAAGGCACGGTGTTAACCACTACTTGACTAGCTTCTTGAGATTCACCGAGTTCCCTTCCTTGTAAGACAACCTTAGCTCTGAAGTTCTTCTCCTAGTCAAAGAGAAGTGTATTCGAAGCGCCTCATGCCATCAGCCATGTAATATTAAGCACGAGATGATTTGATAAGCTTGCCCGGGGTACCACTATCTTCGGTCCAGATGGCTCGCAGCAATATCGCGGTTTCGATGCCAACATGGATAACTGTCAGAAATTTAGAAAGACAACGGAGAAGCAGTTCATCGTACACAGCACGAAGAATTCAACTCTCAAGTACGTGGATGCTTTTCTCATAAAAACTGACTTAATTCTGCCCTGCGATATGTGTTTCAACAGACTAGTCAACCCGTACTTTTATTCGTAAGAAGATCAAACGCCATGAAACCCCTTTCCAAATCAAATTCAGTCCATATTCCAAAAGCTTTTCCCCAAGATGAAAGGTCTTCCGCTCTTTTACAAACCTCGATATCTCATTCTCTGTTCATCGTTGAAATCCGAGGACCGCAACCAGGATTCAATCTCGGCCCTTGAGCATACATTGAGCTCCCTTTCAGTAATTTCCTTATGATAATCTTCATATATCTTCCATCTGCTCCGAGCAATATCCATTTCCCGTTTTTCCTTCTCTTCAGTAAAGGTCGCCACAAGGTAATCCTCCATCCCAGCCACGATAAGACTCGAAAATTCTACTGGGGCATCATTGGTGCCTTCCTGAGCAGGTTCATGTTGTTTTGATCCGACAGTGATGAATGCGTATCGCGCGACTGGACCTTTTTCATCTCTTTCCAAGGTTTCGTAGACGAGGACGAATGTCCCTCACCCTTCAAAATGTCGCGCGGAAACCGTCTTTGTCTCGCTTTCTGACCTTGATCGTAGAGATCCGGGCATAAGGCTTCAACTGTGTACTGGTACTCTTCATAGCATTTAGAAAATGCAGTAGCGAAGTGAAGAGCCAATTGCCGACCGTTATAGTGAGAAAACATTTCATCCATCGCCTGCGCATATCCGCAAGCGATCTGACCTGCAAAACCAACTAATCCCATCAAACATTGCATGCGATCACCTTTCAGTGACTGGAAAGGCAGTATTACGCTGTATGGCTGATATGACCTCCAACTTGATTCATCGGTATTCTCATGAGGTTGATAGAACTAGTCAAGGGAAAGTCCACCGCAAGGTAAGCGCTCCAGTCTAGCTCTGGGATTGCTGGCTAAGATGACCATTTGATTTATGTTTTTGTTGAAGTAACTCAAGGGAAAATGTTTTTGTGGGAGGCCGAATCCTGGCCCTGTCAGAAAAGGCTCAGCGAGGAGTTCAGTATCAAGGAAGTATGTGGATGTCGTCTTGTTGTGGTCCCTAAAGACACTGAGCTTAGTCTCCAACCGGATTTGAGGCGTATTGAGAAGGTGGACAACCTCGAGCGATTGATGGCGGCTGAGGATATCCTCGAGGAGCTTTTCATTCAATTTTTGATTGCCAGATAGGCTCAACGTGTGTATCCTCGTCTTCTTCGTACCACGACAAAGTATTTCAAAAATTTGTTCTTCGTTGAGACTGAAGGGACTCAGGTCCACAGTTCGTTTATTCCGAAAGGCAGTCCGCAATAACGTTGAAGCTGTCAATGAACGTTCTACGAGCGTCGGAGTTGAGTATACCTGGGCGATCAAGGCGCGCCAGAACTGTGACTTGTCCTCGACACTTTTCAGCAGATCCGGAAGCTGTGTCGTAGAAGTTGAGAACGCCTCTTCGATAACTTGTTGTAGTTGGAGGGTAGTGTCCGAATTGTTTGATATGTATATGTATTCCGAATCATCTTGATCGTCTCTAGAGCCTGTGTGCCCTTCATCTCTCCAAATACCCGGCCAAGTGGCACTCAGTGTGGCAGTGTCGATCATGCCATATGCTTCAAACTCCTTGACAACTTTGATACCCTCCTCCCACTAGGATTCCCTCACCGTCTCTGTACAGTATGCTCTCAAATATTCAGTAGCTGACAGGGACAACATCTGTCGGTCAGGGTCCGTGGTCCTTAGATCCAACATTTCTTCTTCTTCAACCTCGAAGAAGGTTTTCCCTATGAGCCTTGGTTTGCAGAGCATGCAACCATCGCAAAACGTATGGCGTCTCCGAAAGATATCCAACGAATCTTGAGACCATCCATTCTCCAAACTTGGGGGATACTTTGCGCTGAAATCCGGAGCCAGATGCCTGTTCAGGATTGGGAAGAAGAAGCAATATCGCACAGCCGATAGGGTGGTGATATCAATGACCGAGATGCCGTCATTGTTGTCGACATTTCTAATTCCGTTGTTCCAGCACAGTGCTCGAAGGTCGAAATTAGACGGAGCATACTCGTCAACGTAGAATAATCCGGTGACTATGCATGTGGAAGTAGCTGAGGTCTTGAGACGTCCAGTCCTCATCCTTCAGCGTCAAAGCTCATCGACACTCATGTTCGAGAGCGAGGCGATTAGCAGGTGCTTCGAAAGTTTTGAGGACACCCAAGCAGCAGCGCAAAGCCTGTACGGAGTTGGTATGCATGGCAGAGTCAAACGGGTAGTTAAGACGATTCACGTACCTCGACAGACCAGGCGAACTGCAAATGGACACAGCCAAAACTGCGCCAAGCCTTGCCAATCTTAGCAATGACAAAAATTTGATGTCGTTGGCCCATGTTGGCTATTTCAGAAATGTCAATCTCTGTGACGGGTTCCACAATGAGATGGTGTGATGTTTGGTATTGTGTAGCAGAATGGCCTCTCAGACGGGCGAGAGTCAATGGAAGAAGAAGGATCGAATGCAAGACAACTCAGTCGTGGATTTCGACGCTCCTGAATTCAATTTTGAAGGCTGAGAACAAACACCTGTTGATCTTGTACGGAGAGACTGGAGTATTTGTAACGGAGGACTTGACACGAAGTCAACGCGCACACACGTGCCCATCAAGCCACAAATGAAGTGTGAGTCATAGCTGCCTTGTCGGTTTGTATTTGGAGACGCTTGCCTGAATAAGCAAACATGGAGATGCTGTGTAACTCGAGAAAAGGCAGTCGCAACTCGGTCTCGTTTCAACTTCTGCAGCGTGCCGGAAAGGTGGACGGGTGTGCAAAGAGTAGATATCTCGAAACTTCAAGACAACAGAGAGTGAAAAGCACGTAGCATAGTAAATTGTTGACAAGGCGCCGAGATGGAGAGAAGAGGTAATTTGTAAGTAGGATCAAATACCAACTCCTCAAGCCCCCCCAACGTCAACATACTCCCCAGGAAATAAACAGAGAAAGAAAGCCGCAGCGGGGCGGATAACAGTCAGGCAATAATATGTCTAATCTTTCGAGTGCAAAGGAACAAAGTTCAACGAGAATTCTTCCAGAAGCCACCTTCCTCTTTATCCTTGCGCACCACACCAGCCCCAAAGTGCTTCTCATTGGCGTGAGACTCTCGATGGTCGAGATTGATGAATGACAATGACAGCCTTACACTTTGAGGCTATACTGAGATGACCACTTGCTTCTAGCAAGCGAGACAATAATTCCAGCAGCTCGCATTCAATGCGAAGAATAATTACGTCCTTCAACGTCGACAACAATATTTCGTTCTCCTCAAGAAAACACCAATAGATAATTGAGGAAATTGAAGTGTTTCAACAGGCGTTAACAGTATGCCCCAAACGAGGCTCTCCTCCTGTATGCACGGATCGAGCGATGACTTGCAGGACGAGGCACATTTTGTCCAATTACATCTACCCACGAACACCCTCGTCCTTGACCTCGAAACATCATGCAAGACTCAGCCTCATTTTTTCGCTGTGTAGGAATTACATCTTCATCTGCATCACCACAGCTTCCACATCGTTCGTCGTCCGTCCACGAATATTTCGTATTATTTTCTTTGAGCCATCCGGCAACAAGAAATGCGCGAAGACCACCATGATGACCGTCCGGACGGCGGAAGCCTGGATTTTCCGATTTGGATACCATCGCCTGGTCCACCGTCCATGGTAGCAGATGCGCACAACCATCTCGAGATACCTTCTCCCAACATACCCGTGATAGTGAAATCACAGCCTCCATCTCGAAGACCTAAAGGGCCGATTGGGAGGCCTCGGGTACCGGATGAGATATGGGAGCCGTTGAAGGGCGAGGTCTATTATCTATATTATAAGACCAACATGCTGGTACGCGACATTCCGAAAACACTGGAGGAGTCAAATCTTAACGATCCGAATTTCCACCCATGGTGAGTACAAAGCTCTGGAGCCTGACGAAATAGTCATTGACTCACATTGTATCATAGTTTGTCGTCGTTGAGACACAAGATGAGTGAGTGGGGGTTCGAAAAGAAGAATGTGGTTCGTAAGAAGATGCAGGTGATGGCCGCGAAAAGTGAGAAACGAATGATAACAGAAGGGAAAAAGACTGTCATTGTCCATCACGGCGTACAGACCAGAGGTGAAGAAATGGAGTTTTGGAAAAACGGAGCACCAACCCAGGCATTAATCCGGGATAAGGACAGTGGCTTGCTTGCTGGTTTCGTTGCAACCCCGCCTGGTATAACGTACTATACTCCTGTTAGTTCTCCAAGAGCAGTCCCACCGATTGCGGATATTGAAGATTTCGGGGTCGATCCTAGTCCCGCCACTCTGTTTCACGTTTTGGACAAGTATGGCAATACTGAAGCCCTTGATATGCCAGAAGATGAATTCGTTCCAACCCCAATCAAAGACCTGGACGAGGAATGCTGGGAGGAGCGATACAGACGATCATTTGCAAGGAGCCCTGGTGCACACTCGTTCAATGAGCCATCGCCGACCGTAGCACCAGCAACAGACTCCGGCTACGCATCCATAGGAGGAGACAACAAATCCAAATCTCTAAACAACGAAGACGACGACGACACATGTACAATCATGACCGAAAATCATCCTCTGGACATCGAAACCGAAGTCCGAGACAAGCTTTCAGGAACCCTGGCCGAAGAACTATTTCGTAGTCTCGAACCGACTTTGCATCGGCATAGCCATGCTTGCAAGACGATCAAGAAGGAAGCGATTCGAAGACTGCTGAAGGATTTCTCGATCAAGCTGAGATGTGTGGCGAAGCTTGGACAGGAGCATGATGCTACTGTTTTTGTTAGACAGCAACGAAGGTAGGTATTTTGGTTGTGGAGTGTGTAGATAAGAGTTCATGTGTTAATCGTTTGGTAGTCGTATTGCGGCACTGCTTGACAAGAGCTTTCACTCTTTGAGCTGCGGCCAGGATGAAGCGGTTGAGGATGTCGAAAGCACACAGAGCTTTGAAAAAATTGACTGGAAAGACAAGATCGCGAATTGGGATGTTATCGGAGCTGATACGTTAGGTCGCGTCCCTGCTGATGTAGTGCCATCTGCCCCAGAAGATGTGATCGACGACGAAGACTATAGCATTTCTCAATTTTCAAAAGCAAAAATTTTCCTCCTAGAGAGCGTAGCTTACCGTAATTTGGTGGAAGGATTGACAGCAGAACTTCTGTTGAGCTCGAGAGATGAGACGATCATAAACGACGTCAGAAATACTGTCTTAGATGGACTAGAAAAGAATCCAAAGAAGAACGGATACAATATCTCGAGCTGCGTCGTCCAGTTCGAGATGCTATGGACCCCCATAAGCTTTCTCAAAGGCCAGTTTCCGGATGTTCCAACTCCGAAGATTGGAAATATTTTGGTGTATACCGGATCAGAATTTGATGCGCAAGTCTCGACATGTGAGCAATATATACGTCAAACTTGGGGCGCTGCTGGTGTCGAAGTGCTGCGCGCATTGGAAGAAGTCATACATCGGGAGCAGATTGGGGTGAAGTTCAAAAGTTAGTCTGTCCTCTCTCGTCGTTTACTGAAGGTAGACTGACCACAATAGTTTGGCTTGCGGATGCCTCGTGGCTCGAAGTCGAATTATCTGTTAATATCATCGTCGTTGTTACTTCCGGTCCTGCGCCCACAGTTGCTGATATTGGCGAATTACTGGCATGGATTGGTGCAGCTGGTCGGGAATCTTCTCATCCGAATGAAATAGGCATCTCAATACCGCGCATCACTCGCCAAATTACATCTCGTCCTACTTTCACCATCGATGCAACAATCGAATCAATTGACTCCAAGAGTAATGGCCAAGAAAGCAGACCAAACGGAACCTGCTGGCATTACATGCTAAGAAATCCCGTGGTCGTGAAAGGGTACCCTATTCCACGACGAGAACACGGGGAAAGGGGGCTCGAGATACAGCTCCCACTCATGGCAGCTCTGGGAAACGCTGAAAGAGCCACCGTCTTCGATGAAGGTTTGGTCATCAAGGGACATTCGACGATGTTCGTGCCAACAAAACAAGAGGAACAGTCTGTGCTTTGGCATTTCCTCTTCCATGAGGACGAGACACGAATGTCTTATCTTGAAGCCGCAAAGTATTGCCAAAGTCGCGTTCCCTTGGAAGAACTGGATGCCTCTCATTTAGAGACTTCCAGGAACTTCGTTGGGTGGTCCTCCTCTGTTTATCTACAAACTGGTAAGCTTTTGATATTCTGTATCTTGCAGGCCACTTTATTAAGACTGGAAATAGGGACTCGGAGCGAAAACATCAAATACGATAAAATCAGGTGGACTGGGTCTAATTATGCTTCGCCTGGATGTGCTTTCGAGAAGGTCTCCATATCTGCCGGGAAAATCATGAGTGCTGGGGTAACTTTTGCTCGAGGTATTAAAGACACTCCTTTGTATTTGAATCGTGCTATGGCGTACGAGCAAGAGATCCACGATGCGGGGAATATGTACGTTGTTCTGTATGACATAGCCGACAAACGAGCTTGGCTTGTGGATGGAGCCAATGCTTTGCTTCACCTCACTTGCACTCAATTGGCTACTGTATGGTCACAGAAGAGTCGACTTTTCAATCTCGAAGACTTTCACTACGCTGATGTAAACAATGGGCCCACAGCAGCAGCGTCTGCTCTGTTGGATCCCGACAATAGAAAAATGGCGATCTTCGAAGAGGTTGAAACATGGAAGGAAGTAACTACCACAGTTGGAAATGCTGCGACAACCTTGAACTCTGCAATAAAAGAAGAGCACAAGGAGAAGAAGACACAATGGTGCTATGAAGATCTTGTACGCCAGCTATATCATGTCTTGGAACTCATGCACGACTATCAGGTCAAGATTCTGACCTCATCCGTCACAGGTCTACGGTTCACAGATCGGGACAAACTTGAAGGATTTGCACTCATGGATATTGTCGACGGACCAAGTGCAATTTTGCCTCGAGTTGCGATCCTGAAACCCAGCGGAAAAGGCTGGGTCGACTTCACGAAAAGCATTTGCGCCATTACTCTCATGGCCAGGGGATTTGGCGAACTTATCAAGTCAAACAGCCACTCTAACGTACTTTGTCGTGAGTGGCAAAGTGTTCCAACCGGTAGAGACTATCTAGTTGCCTGCATCTCTACTTTAAGCAAGATTTGTGAGCGACAAGGAGATCCTGATGCTATCCCTATGGAGCTTGCGCAAGGCATCTTCTGGCACAAGGCCCATATGATGTTTGAATCTTGCAAATGCGGAAAGAGCACCCAGGATTCCACGTGCGATCGAGTGCAAGTACTTCTTCCACCGTCTTTGGGACGGAAACGACATCCTCAGCCATTTGGCGAACTGCTCGGAGCAGTGATCTTCGGAAGAAGTAAGAGATATACTTGGAGTTGGCCGAAACGAGGAAACCCAACAGAAGGTGTTGCTGATGACGAAGAAGATGATGATGAGATAGCGCACGATAGTGGGCTAGGATCTAGTCTTCAATCGAGCTCTGGCACTGGAGCAGATGGCTCAGAAAACCAGTCTGCGACGAATTCATCATACATGTCGCCGTTACACGATACTGCTTCTGCAGTTATGTCGGGAGCCTTTGGGCATGGGAATGAGAACGTCAATTCTGTTCCTTATGCTCCGATGTTAAATGTGAACCCAAGTGACTACTTGACAGTCCCAACCAGAACTCGGACGTCGGGAATTATACTCGGAGCAAATGTACCAGAACAGACATTTGGTATGCGGCAGAGCCATTATACACAGACTGCACCCCCGTTCACACAAGACGCAGAACAAGGAAGAGGTCTAAAAAGGGCATTCGAAAAGGTCAGAGACCTAGCTTTATCGAACTCTCCATCTGGGAAGAGGGCAAAGAGGAGTTGAAAATCCGGCATTATCTCGGAGTTGACGTAACAGCAGTCCTGTACCCTGGACATCGATCTAAGTGCATGTTCGTGTTGTCTACTGCGTAAACAGAATTGGCCACTTCGACCACAAAATTCACAACATTTGAATCCGCGTCCGTGCATCATCGACAATACCACAGAAACCGTGGAAAGGCTCAAAATAATGCAATAAGTGACCTCAAAGGCAATTCAAGGTACAGCAAATGTCCAGAACATGCTCAGCAAAATTCCGTCACGTTTACCCTACGAGTAGAAAATATTAAGATCGAGGATACAGAGAAACATGAACACAGAATTCCAATTGGGAAGAAGGGGGGAATTGTGAGGGCATTCACAGATGGAGGATAAGGCATTACCATCCGACAAGGAAGAAGTGACAGCTACGAGTAAATGACGTGGAAAGCGACTCATTGACTAAGAAACATGAGATCTTATATCCTAGCAAGATGAGGTTGGCTTACAGTTGGTTGGACGACTTTTTGTCGAGCTGGGAAAGGTTTATTGATATACGATAACAACTTATGCAGAATGAAGCAAAGAGAACGATAATAAGTATGATGAAAAGGAAATACAGGTACGTTTGGGAGGAGAGGAATAGATCAGGACTAGCAAGCAGTAATGGGACTGTTGTCGTTTAGGAGGACAAACCTGCCAGAATTCCTATCTCCATACAATTATTGCCACGCCTCGCTATCTGTGAATGCAATGCACTCGCAGTGCAAAAGGCGCAGTGAGCCGTTACGACTTCTAGCGGTGAACTTCAGATATATCAACCACATACCTCTTTCTCTTCCCACCCATTGAGCTTGATGCATCACTGAGCATCTTGTCCCCAGTGAATTTGATTCACATGTAACCCTCGAACGTGTCCTCAAGAATAGCAGTGTTTACGTTCCACAGCTGGTGGAAGCAAGAACTTTGTGTAGACCCGGGAGTGACCTGTGACTGCCGGCGTGTAACAGTGTGGTATCACAACCTTTTAATATTCTTGAAAGCGACGTTGAGTACGGAAAAGTACAGAAGAGAGACTAACGTGCGTCGCTATGATGCAATGCAGGTACTACGGTATCTCGAGGGGGTCTCGAGGACTAGTCTGATGACTGCAACTCGGATCTTCCGATGTGTGGATGTTCCATGCTGAACGGTTAATACAGGCCGAGAAACACATCTTCTTTCTCGGAATGCAGAGAAGAACAACGGAGCAGGATTCCGGTGTTCGAAAGGACCTGCGCCGTCCCGTGACGAAGACAGTGAGCCGTAATGTGCAACCCACGCCGCTTGGCAAGTCGTACGACGCAGCGATCTCGTGCTTTGATTTGCGTTATGGAGTGCAGATATATGGAAACTGTCTGAGTCCAAGATCCAGCGGGGAGGGTAGATGCCCAGAAGACTGGAGTGCATATGGGGAGAAGTTCTTAGCGATAGTATCAGGAGCATGCGACGGGCCTTGATATGGAAAGAAAGAAAGATCGAGACTGAGTGGTGAAACACCGACGGCAATCGACTTGAGTGCTTGGCAGGAATGTTTGGATGGATGAAAACGAATGAAAGCGAACAAAAGTGGAAATGCGATATTTTCTAGCAAGCGCAGAAGTTCTGGCCAGCAATAGGGCTGAGGCTCCGTCATAGGTGCTGCCGCCGAACAAGTCGGAAGAAGAAGAAAATGAAGTGAAACGAAACCAAACATTTAAGTTTTCGGTCTGCATGAGCAACAAAATGGCTAGAAAATAACCTCATTCCCGAGCATCTCCACCATACGATCCCGAGGCCGTGTCCCACACCGGGCGCTGTGACCGAGATGCGGTATCTGGCAGATTTGTCGACAGCGAAGAGCTCAAAGAAAGAAAAGAAGCACTTGAACGATTCGTACAACGAGATTGGAGCACGTTAACTCGAAACATGCCCATGCTGAGTTAGCCAGGATGCCAATCGGAGGAGCGGGGTGATAATCAATCGTCCTGCAGGTACCGGGGATTCGCTGTAGGGATGTTCCGCTTGACGGAAATCAGATGGAGCCTTGGTACCTTGGAGTCCAGAACTTTGGAGGAGAAGGATGGGGTCTGTAATGACATGTTGGAGAGGTAAGATTGTATACGAGGGTTCGGAATATGAGGGATGAAGCCAATGTCCGGGAGCAATCGGTCAAAGTTTACTACTTCTCCACGGATGACAACCAAGGTCCTCCCACGTTGAGCTGAGTCCAAGAGCTGACGATTGTCGTTTTCGATGGCGAGGTGATTGACATTCTTCCCGTTTGTCACTGGTTTGGAAGCTGTCGGGCGGTAAAGGATTGTTAGTATGTAGAGATGCAAGGCACAAGAACCAGAAAATGGTCCACTAATCACGGTAGCCAGCGTGCCCCTGAAACCATCACGACAAACGCCGTCCCGCGAAACATGGGACATGGGACCCCGCGATCAAAAGTCAAGAGCGGGAACACCTGCCCCCTATCAATCTCTGATGCGCCAAAGGATCTGAGAGTCTGGCCATCTCGCGAGCCTTGCGGCCGTCAAGATGAGCATTATGAGGCCAAAGGATCGGATGAACTGATGGAAGAGAGTGGCCCAGCACGAGCCTCCGCCTGGAATGAATGTCTTCGTGGCGATGTTTCGTTTGCCTGTGGAACGTGATGGGACGGTCCTTTGACCTCCAGAACGCAATAAAGATGGCGGGAATGGAGCGACCGGTGAAGCACCACATTGCCAACAATTCTTTGTGAGAATGTGAAGGGCGCCAACATATCAAGAAGAGGCCACGAGTCAGAGATGGGTGCGAGCTTGGCATGTACACCGTCTACGTACAGCAACGGCACGCACGTCTTGGAGTTGTACTGTCGGAGGCCATTGAGCAGGTTGGCTTTGAGGAGAGGCACTCAGTGAGAAGTTTTCAGCATGCAGAGACGCTGCGATGCGACAATGAGCTTAGTCTAGATCCGATGTTGTGTATGGCTGCACTGCGTCCGTACCTGCAGCAGCAGCTCCTTTTCGCACGGTTCTCTCCTTTTGCTCCCGAGTAACATAAAATTAATGTTGGTTTGATCAAAACAAACAGGTGCAGTGAATAATCAACAACACAAACTGGGAGGAGCGGAGTCATTGACATCATCGGAGATGAGTTATCACAATCATTGACCAGGCCGGTTCGTGGTGAATCTGGTGAGAGTTTTCTGTGAGATGCGAGATGACCGGAGTGACGATGATCGCTTTGGTGTGTTTCGAAAAGATGCACACGCCTGGCTGGTTCCCGGTTGGCTTGCGGAACCCCTGAATGTGTTTCTCCGCGAGGGAGATGACTGCGTTAGTCCTGGATGGGACAATCATTCTGACGAAATGACTGTGTCTCCTTCTAACGCTAAGCCTAAAAGCGTAAGGTATTTTCCACTCCCCAGCCATACCTGAATTTGCAAATCTCGAGACCGACCTACATCTACAACTTCAATTCTTCTTTCGATCTTTCTTCCAACCACCATCCACCTTCATCCTCGTTCTTTCCCCGTCGTTCACCGGCACTTACACTCCTTTACGGATTCCTGCACCGCTCATACAAACTTCTGTCACTCTTTTCAGTTGATTGATATCAGGTCGCGCCTTCCTGTTCTACATTCACGCCTTCCTTCCTTCCTTCCGTTCTTCGACAGAATATTAAGTCCAGCAGAGCTGCCGATCTACCTCCGGTCAACCTTCTTCTCAAGACACAGGTCAATACATTCTTTGCGCTCCATTTACCAGCAACTAACTTTCCCTAAAGAACGTAAACTACAGTCGATCTCTCCACCCTCGCTCCGAATCTCAAGATGCGTTCTTCAATCATTCTTGGTTCGATCTGCGCCGCTCTGGCCATGGCTTCTCCCATCAATAAGGCTGTCCACAAGAAGGACTTTGTCTACGATGTCACCACCGAGATTATCACTATCACTGTCACTGAAGGCGAGCTTCCTGCTACTAGCCCCTCCGTCCCTAAGGTCACCATTCACACCACCGTGACTCCAACCCACAAGGTTCACAGCCATGTCAAGTCCTCCTCCACCTCGGTCTATGTTGCTCCTGCACCTACGACCACCTCGATCGCTCCCGCACCTCCATCGACCACCCACACAACCCCAGCTCCGGCACCAACCACTTCAACTACCGAGGCTGCCCCCGTTGTTGTTGCGACATCTACGCCCGAGGCCAAGGTCGTTGCTACCTCCACCGAGGCTGCCCCTGCTGCATCTGCAACTGACTATCAATCCACTGCCCTCTACCACTCCAATGCCCACCGTGCCAACCACTCTGCCAGTGCTCTGGTCTGGGACGACACTCTTGCCGGATATGCCTTGGCCACAGCTAACACTTGTGTCTTTGCCCATGACATGTAAGTTTTCAGATCGCGTCTAAAATTCACGCGACGCGTCTAACACGTGAACAGGACCGAGGGAGGTGGTGGATACGGCCAAAATCTTGCAGCTTATGGCACCACTGGTGACATTGCTTCCTTGGATCTTTCTTCCTTGGTTGCTGATGCAATCACCAACCAATGGTACTATGGTGAAGCTGCCAACGTTCCTTATGGCCAGAATGACCCAGCTGTTACCAACGTTCCCGAGTTCTTGCACTTCACTGCGCTAGTCTGGAAGGCTAGCACCAAGGTTGGATGTGCTACAGTCCAATGTGGGGCTGGAACAATCTTCAGCTATCACAGCTTGTACACTGGTAAGGAACCCTGAAGAATTCACTGACCATATACTGATATCTTCTAGTCTGTGACTATGCCTCTGAGGGCAATGTCTTGGGCGAGTTTGCTACCAACGTGGTTGAGCCAATCGGCCTCGCCGGCATCACCGCATCCATCTCATAAACAAATTTGGTTACGAATGATTCCATGAGCATCACGGTTCCTACACTGCTCCGGAAGCAAAGCCATCTTCATGTACAATTTTGCCGGTCGTTGTGGTCGTGCGCTGGTCCACGGCTCGACAATCACTTATACACGCCTCATACACTGGTTGATTATGTTGGGATAGAGCACTCCTCTGGAGGGTGACCAAAAATTTCTTTCAACTTTCTCCACACAGCCTAGCTAGCTGGGATGTTTCCTTGCATCTTTGACTTCATGAGTCTTGACCTTGGGAGCATCTCGGTTTTTTGACTGGTTTCCTTCGTGGACCAGCTGGCAGGCGTTCTTTCACTTCTTTGTAATTAGCTTTTTACGACCGATGGTTTTTCCCACACTTCCTCCTGACTCGGCGTGACTGCGGTGCACTTCTTTCAACTGGCGATCCAGAATTGTTCTAGGGATGATTCGGAGGCGTGTAGGATGGATTTGCGTGGCATGGTTTTCGCGTGGTCTTCTGCTTGCAAGGAGGATAGGTCTGAGAGCCAAAAGCATGAAGTGACTTCATAGACCAAAAAAATTCTCAGAGCCTCATGATGTTTTCTGGACTTGAAGTGAAGTGAATGAAGTGAAAATAAGGTATCTCGATTGACGGCTATTTGAAACAGCTCCGCCTCGAGATTGCTGATCTGTAACAAGCATCCCAGCGTTCTGGAAGCATAGAAGCAAATCCCTCTACCACACCCGAGATCTGTTAAAGTATACCTGGGTATCTACCTATCTCGACTTCATCCGTAAATTTGAGGCTGAAGTGGTGTATCAACGCCCCTCCTACCGCATTCGGCACTAGCGCAGCCTCATGATCCGAAGCCACGAGGCGAGCGAGCGAGCGATAAGAACTTAAACCTACCTAGGTGACGATAGAAGCTCCACCACACAATCACACACCTTTCTTCCTTCACCGTCTCGTGTGTTGTTATTCCGCGCATCGTATCCTCTGGGTTTGCGATTCACTGCGATCCAACCTAACAAGTGGAAGATTAGAGAAAGGTGAAGATTCGAAGACGGATACCCCGCTACGTACCTCGAGGCTTCGTGGGCGGAGATAAAGCAGGTACTCGATCGCAGAGAGCTTCCTCTGACTGTCAGCCATGATGGCAGCACACCTCCGCACCGGCATCAGCTCGCTGAAAAACAACCTTTCCTCTACTACCGCTACCCCGAACAACGAGAAGGAGAAAGAGGAGAAATTGGTGCTAAGGAACAGGGCGGGAGAGAGCAGGAGTCCGTATGTGAGGGCGCATGCGCGGAATCCGGTCGCGTGGCAGGTTTGGGGGGATGAGGCGGTGGAGTTGGCTAGGAGGGAGAATCGGTTGTTGTTTGTTAGTGTGGGGTATAGTGCTTGTCATTGTAAGTTTTGTTTTCTTCGGTGTGAGGGAGAGGAGGGGTAGAGGGCGTTTCTTGGTTCAATGCTCGAGCCTGCATGGAGACGCATAGAGCGGCAGAGACAGAAGATTGAATTGGAAAATGCTAACATGCTCTTCTAGGGTGCCATGTAATGGAGCGCGAATCCTTCGAAAACGAAGAAGTTGCCAATATCCTCAATACCTCCTTCATCCCCATCAAAGTCGACCGAGAAGAACGCCCCGATATCGACCGCATATACATGAACTTCGTCCAAGCCACCACTGGATCTGGAGGCTGGCCGCTCAATGTCTTTGTTACTCCAGATCTCGAACCTGTGTTTGGAGGAACGTATTGGCCTGGTCCTACAAGTACTACAATGCAGGCATTTGAGGACCAAGTTGACTTCTTGGGGATTCTGGATAAGTTGAGCACGGTGTGGAAGGAACAAGAGGAGAGGTGTAGGAGAGACTCGGCGCAGATCCTTATGCAGTTGAAGAATTTTGCTGCGGAAGGTACTCTGGGTGGAAGATTGGGTGAGGGTGGGGATGGGCTTGATATCGAATTATTGGAGGAAGCTAATCAGCACTTTGCCTCGACATTCGACAGCGTGAATGGTGGGTTTGGTTCAGCACCAAAATTCCCTACTCCTTCAAAGTTGGCTTTCCTCTTAAGGCTGGGTCAGTATCCGAGTGTGGTTGTGGATGTAGTTGGTGCCTCGGATTGTAGGAATGCGCAGACGATGGCTATCACGACGTTGAGGAAGATGGCGAGAGGTGGAATTCACGATCACATTGGGAATGGATTTGCCAGATACTCGGTCACGGCTGATTGGTCCTTACCTCATTTCGAGAAGATGCTGTATGACAATGCACAATTGCTGGATGTGTACCTAGATGGCTTCCTGCTGTCTAGAGACGCTGAGCTTCTGAGTGTTGTCTATGACATCTCCACTTATCTGACGACTACTCTTGCGCATCCAGGTGGTGGGTTCTACTCTAGTGAAGATGCGGATAGTCTTTACCGGAAGGGCGATTCAGAGAAGCGAGAAGGCGCCTTTTATGTTTGGACAAAACGAGAATTCGAGAACGTCCTAGGAGAGAAGGATGAGCCAATCCTGTCAGCATTCTTCAATGTCAGCGGACATGGCAACGTGGAGCCTGAAAACGACGCCCATGACGAATTCCTCGATCAGAATGTCCTAGCTATCGTCAGTGCACCAAGCTCGTTGGCAAGTCAGTTCGGCATGAAGGAAGATGAAGTTGTGCGAATAATCAAGGAAGGCAAAAACTCTCTTCGCGCCCATCGAGAAAAGGAACGGGTTCGACCAGCTCTAGATGACAAAATCGTCGTCTCGTGGAACGGAATTGCTCTTGGTGCCCTAGCACGAACCGGAGCTGTCATCAAAGGATTTGATCCCGTGAAATCAGCTGAGTACCTTGGTTTCGCGACCAAAGCTGCCACTTTCATCAAGGAAAATCTCTGGGATGACTCGACGAAGACTTTGTACAGGATCTGGAGAGAAGGTAGAGGGGAGACTGAGGGATTTGCTGATGACTATGCCTTCTTGATTGAGGGGTTAATTGATCTATATGAAGCTACTTTCGACGAGAAATGGCTACAATGGGCTGATGAGTTGCAACGTTCGTCTCTCCCTTCCTTCCCACAATCCAAGCTAATCCAAGACCCCAGAATCCCAGATAACTAACTTCTTCGACCTCCATGGCTCCGGCGGTTTCTTCTCTACTCCATTCGAAGCTAAACACGTAATCCTCCGCTTAAAAGACGGAATGGATACCTCAGAACCCTCCACAAACGGCACCTCAGCCTCAAACCTCTACCGCCTCTCCTCCGTCTTCAACGACGAGTCCTATGGCAAGAAAGCCAAACAAACAATCTCCGGTTTCGAAAGCGAGATCTTGCAATACCCATGGCTATTCGCATCCTTCATGCCTGGCATCGTAGCAGGACAATTCAGCGTCAAGGGCACGGTCGTATATCAGAGCGAAGAGCGAGGTGAAGACGGTGAGCAGAAGGTCAAGGAGTTTGAAAAGAGTCCGAGAGGCAGTTTAGGCACGTTTGCGAGGTTGACGAAGGAGAATAAGTGGTTGAGAGAGAGGAATGAGTTATTGAGGGAGTTTGGAAAGGATGGAGTGACGAGGATTCTGATCTGTGAGGGCGGCGTTTGTAGAGAGGAAAGTGTGAGCCCGAGTGCGAATGTCATCAAGGAGAGGGATCCGATGGATGTTGCGGGGTTGAAGGAGGCGTTGCCATCTCCGCCGAATACTGCTGCTTCGCCAGCGGTAGAAAGCAAAGCTGTTGAGACTCCAGCTCCTGCGCTGTCAGGGGAGGAAACTCAAAAGCTTGCTTCTTAGCGAGTGTAAGGAGGGCGTTGGTGTTGTGGTTTCATTTTTCAGCTGACATTTTGGTATGAGGCGTTGGGAGTCTGGTACTCGTCATAGGTCTTCGTTTGCGATGAGATGGTAAATAGAGAGAACGTCCGATACACAGTCAATGAACGCACATCGTGGTGCCCCTTTCCTCACTTCTCTTTCGTACTCTTTTCGTCATTGAATTTCTGATTCATGCTATTGCGAAGACAAGAAACGATTATTTTACCGTAGGTCGTTCAGGTATTCATTTTGGCTCATGAGTAATTTTATAGTGCTTCTTCTGTATCCCTATTCGGAGCATTTAGTAGGGTCCCAACACGCTCTTTTGTCATATCTATGCTGATGTCATGGTTGTATAACGCTACATTAATCGGACCCCTTCGAAGGGTGAGGCTGACATCATTGCTCAAACATATAGCATACACACCTCTATATGTTTTTGAGACTATCGCCAGCAGCACCACAAGATACTACGATCGGTAGCCCAAGAGATAGGATAGCATGGCGATCACTGAATCCAAAATGCCTTCTTCAAACCGCTTCCCACCCATCAAACCCTCAGACCTCACCCCAGAGCAGGAAGAAGCACATGACCACATGTCAACAGTGGCCTCGAAATTCTTCGGAGATACGTCTGTTCACCCCTTCCTCCTATATCCCCACCAAACTCATCTCCTTCATAGCTTCACATACAAAAACTCAGACGGTGCATTCATCGGGCCGTTCGCCCCTTTGCTCTACACACCGTCTCTTTGCAAACCATATTTCGACCTGGTCGAAGCTCTGACTAAGATCTCTTCCTCGAACTTACCTGCTGTTGCGAGAGAAACGGCTATCCTGGCAACGGGATCACGGTATGAATCTGCCTATGAGATTTATGCTCATGAACGAGTGGCGTTGAAGTCTACTTCTTTGACGAGAGAGCAGATTGGTCAGATTAAGAGCGGGGGAAAGCCAGAAGGTTTGGGAGAGGAGGCTAGTGTGGCGTTTGATGCTACGATGGACTTAGTGGGAGGGAAGGGGAATTTGGGTTGTATGCTTATACTTGTGTGTTGTTGAATGGATGTGCTGTGAGTTTGCCGGAAGGGGAGAGTATTTGGTAAAGAGTCTTTGTGGGTTAGTTTAGGAAGTTGAGAGTTGTATGGAAGACCGGGAGTTCTTGTGGGTATGTCCTTCATCTGTATTTCTACTTCCATTTTTTAAGTTTTGAACGGTATGCAGAAGTTTGTATTACGGAGAAAATCACGTAAGAACTTCCGATCTATTTAATATCTCTCGGGTCGCTTCGGCTCATCTTTTCAGAATATTTTAATATTTTCGAGTCTTAGGCCGTCAATTTGATAACTTCTTAGGGAGCTTCCATTACTCGCCTAGTGAACCGTATTGCCTGGCATAATCGATCAGGATTCTTTTGTTCTATAGATCCAACAGGGAACAGGTTTTCGGCTGCAGGGGATTAGGGTAGCGGGGCAAAATCACGTCTTTGTCGCCATGACCCTCTAGGACTTGCTATTATTGCATGATTCTCAGATCGTGTCAAATTTAATTTGGCTCAACCGTGGTTGTTCTAAAGTACAAGTAGTATACAACAGAAAGTAGAAGTGTTCAAAGTGATCTTCTCTCTCCAGGCTCCAGATCGGCAGTCATCATCCAAGCATCAGTTTCCTAGCTCAAATGTCTCATTGCCCCATCCAAACCACTTCTTCATGCGCTTTCCAATCGAGTTAAGCATCACAGGATCGATCGTAGAATCAGGGTGAGGGCGATGGAAGACAATACTTCCCTGTCCATACCACTTTGATTCCCCACTGGGTTCGAAGGTCACAGCAGAGCCGCCGCTGCGTCGAGACATGAAGCCTACTTTGGCCATGGCATCGACAAACTTATCCCAAAGAACACTCTTCGAGCCTCCTCGTCTCGGGAAGAGGCTGCTGAAAACCTCGAACGCCGATTTCTTGACTGGGACTTTCTCAGAAGGTACTTGAGCGTCATTACTAGGAATGATGTTCAAATCCTCAAGCTCTTGGTCAATACTTGATGCCTCTCCTCGTGTCTTAGGCTTGAATTTCGTCTCACCAGTTGGCTTAGTGGCTATCGGAGTGGTTCCCCATTCGGTCTGAACCTCTGCATCTGTATCGAATCTTGCATCTTTCCTAGCCCGAAAATTAGTCGAGGTTGCACGAGTTTGAACTGGTTCAACGAGGCCTTGGGAAACCTTTTCTTGCCGCACATTCGTGTCTTTTATCGACTGTCGGGGACGAGGTCTAGGTTCCTTAGCCGAAGGAGGTACACCCATTGAGTGAGCCAAGAATTCCTTTCTCTCAGCTTCGAGTGCGGCAAGAAAAACGGGATCGCTATCGGCGCTGATAAGCTTCAAGTCGTCCACGATATCAGTACGGCTAATTCCTGCATCCTTGAGCCTCTTTTGGTGCTGTTGGCGGAGACCGTCCCAGAAGCATCGAAGTGCCTTTCGTTGTGCAATATCCTTAATCATCCAGCCGCGGTCCGACATGTCCTTGGGTGGTTCCTGATCCATAAAGGCCCTCAATAAGTGACCTAAAGTGTTATAAAGTAGAGGGATCTCCTGGAGGGTTCGCTCAGTACTCATCATCTCCCTATTATGGTCTAATTCATACTTGATCCTGGTCTTACTCATAAACCTCCAGGCTAAGCTTTCTTCAGTGGATCTCATTTCACTCATGTCTCGCTGTACTGCGCGTGGACGATGCAAACGCACGAGCGTGAGCAACTCGTTGAAAGCGGCCAGGTCTGATATCTTTCTCAAAAGTGTCTCATCAATTCTTGCTCGCTCTTCTGTGGTTGCCTTGCTAAGGTGTTGGTCCAAGAATTCAAGTACTCGAAATTTGTCCAACACTCCTGGGGCATCGGGGTTTATGGTCAAAGAAGCGACGCACCAGTGTAGTGGGTCCTTCACAAAGCTCTCAGCATTTGCTATAGCTTGTTCGCGAAGGTCATCGCTCCGGCCCTTGAAACCATGAGATAGGTGAATTGTGCTATCCTCCATGGAGTACTCGAAATCGTAATGATGCTGGAAGCCTGGATGGTAAGGAAACCCAAATTGAATGTGACGCGACTGTACATCCAAAAGGTGAATGATCAGGGCTTCGAAAGACGCCAGCTTGTTCCTGTATTTTGGAGGCACAGTTTGATCACAGTTGATTTGATCTGCAAATCTTGCTTGAATTTGCTTGAGCTCTGAAATCTCTTCGCGGATCCAAGCCCAATGTCGAATCCCCCACGCTTCATAATCAAGATCTCGTGTTGTCATGAAGAAAGTGATCTTCTCTGGAAGTTTAGAGTACCCAAATTTCTGAATAATTTGGACATAACGCCGCATATATGCCAAATCTATCTGTAAATGGGAGAGATGGTCTCGTGCCAATTTGAAATAGCTGCTCGCAATGTCCGACAGCTTCTCAAGATCAAAAATAGTAGAACAACTCGAAAATGCTTCGTCGACATAGACTGTACTCTCCCCAGTATTTGGCAAGGCGAGAAGACTTGGATTCGTGGAGGCCGCAATGTCTTTATCCTCAGGAAGACCATCGATGAGCACTTCAACAACTCCTCGAAGTACCGATGGAAGATGGTTCTGAGCCTTCAAGATCAGTTGACCTCTAGGAAAGCCTATACTATCACCTCGGTGCACTTCATCGCGGACCCAGGGCACAAGGCTACCATACCGGGGGCCATACATAACGACAGCATATCCATTAAAGGCGGTTTCGAGAATCCCTGTTGTCCAACCGAAAGAAAGTCTGCGATTGTCCGCTGCAGCAAGGTCCGCAGGAGAGTACTTGGTCCGAAGTTGAAGAAGCTTGATAAGCCGAGACGGGTCCTCCTTCAAGTTCTCGAGGCTCATATAAGGCAGTAGGTGGAGATTTTGGTACTTGCGTGCCTCAATGAGCCAGTTGTCGTATCGGGCTTCGTATCCAATATGTCCTTCATGCCACTTTCTATCGTACATCTCCGGATCGACGGTTTTCAGAAGGCCCTCTCTGTTCTTCAAAGTCTTCTTCCTCCATCTTCTGGCGATTCCCTCCCCGCGTAGAGTCAGCTCATGCTGGAGGAAGGCACGGTTATCGTTGATGCTTTGGATCATCTCTGTACATGCTACCTCCGCCTTTTCATTGCTGATAGCTGAGTCTGAGACAAATCAGTATATGCTTTTGATGGGGTCCTGGGAGCCAAAGAGCTTATCAGAGGAGCTGAAACACATCTTCTTTGATACTACGCTCCCGAGGATAATCTCGAATGACTCGACTTCTAAGATGAATGCAAATCAGGCAGAATTTGACGTACTGTAGGCATAGACATAATTGCGTTGTTCATCAAGCTTTCGATATTGCTGTGTACATTCGGTACAGGTACACGGAGGAGCATCTGGCATTCTACCAAGTGTATATGTGATTGGGCCAATAGGTCCCATATACGGGTTTCTGATGTTCGTTGACGCAAACATGCTGTCTATCTAGTCAGCAAAATCTCGAGCACAAATTTTGAGGAGGAAATTCGTAGACTCACGTTGCGACTGATGCGCTCAGGTGCCTGAGCTCCAATTGCCCGAGATCGAGGAACGTCTTGCAAATTTGAAGACTGAAGGTGGATGTCTGAATGGGAATGCGATTCGCGAAAACGATTTCTGTATGTGAGAACTTTCTGCTCTTGAAATCTTGCGCTCAGGAACAACAAAGCAAGGAATCCAATCAAGACCTCCGCATAAGTAGAATAGTCGTGCGCGGAATGGAGAGATCGAAAAGAGTAAAATCTTTTGCAATGAAGGTCAAAGGTAGTCCTCAGCGAAGCCTAATGCCTATACACGTGACAATAAAGTGGAAATGACGAAGGTGCTAGTTGTTGAAGGATATCATCAAAGGAGTAAGGTGAAGTTAGGTCCTTCGAGATCTAGTAGATGTATACACTAGCAATCAATCAACTCTGAAAGTCAAATGGCATGCAGCCCCCCTGGTGTTCAATCGATATCGATTCATGGCTAGCTAACCTCAGCGATCTATATTCAATTATTTGTTCTTTTGAAAGATAGCTATAGCACGGATTTATTAATGCTATTTTCATAGATTCCACCCTCCAGCTTTTTCACAAAGAAGGGAAAACCGTCACCAGAATATTGAGCTTCGCTTAATTCGACTTCAAGGAAATGACCAGAGAAGTTTGCTGGTCAGGGTGTCTACTATATGGGTTAAGGTTTTATTCTTGATATGGAACAACTTAAGCGATAATTACGAAAAATTAAAGAATACCCTTTCTACAGGTTTGTTAGCATTTGTAAGAAAAGCCAAAAATGCAAATCTCGTTCTGAGAGATTCTGAGTGGCCATGTTGATGCAGCCACTGCGGGGTAGCTGGGATGTTGTACCACCACAGATTTTAGGTTTATGCATCTCATTCAGCTTATTGCATTTTGAGGCTTGAAACTCGCATATATTAGGGTGCTTGCCCCATCTAACTAACGAAGGAAATTTGGCTTAGAACTTTGAGAGACGCAGGTTAAGCACGCCATGGCAAGAGTAAAGAACATGTTTTTCAACCTGTTCGCTTTGCTAGGTCTTGTTAATGCTCGCCAAGCTTTTCCAGGGATAATTTTGGATCGCGCCTCGGAGATTCTACAGAGTTATGACTATGTCGTTGTTGGAGGAGGGCTAAGTGGGCTTGTTGTAGCAAATCGACTTTCTGAGGATTCTGGTAGGTTACTCGATCCGCAGTTAGTGATTCAAGACTAACTACTCAAGGAACAACGGTTCTCATTATCGAAGCTGGAGGATTGTGAGTTGCGCACCTTTAACAATCGACCTCGATCATCATAATTGAACTCTCTACAGTACCGAGAATGAAGACTGGGTCACAATCCCCCTTATTACAAGTAGTAATGATCCTGCTGTGGGCCATGGACCAATAGGATCGAAGTACGACTGGAACATGACTAGTATTCCTCAACCAGAGCTAGGCAATCGCTCAGTCAACACCCCAGCAGGCAAGGTGATTGGTGGAGGAACTGTTTTGAATGGTATGGTCTTCAATCGTGGATCTCGAGCTGACTATGACCGTTGGGAGGCACTTGGGAATCCCGGATGGAATTTCGAGAACTTATTACCGTACTTTAAGAAATCCGAGATATTCACTCCTCCAGATTTAAAGCTGGAAGCAGAAGGCTGGGACATTCAGTACAACCCAGCTTACCATGGGGAGCATGGACATGTGCATTCAAGTTTTGCGCCTTTCGTTTGGCCTTCAACGAGTGAGTCCTTGCTCCAACTGCATTGGCAATGTCTTACAAAAGAAGGAAACTACATAAATGCAATGAAAGAACTGGAAGTACCGATCATCAACGATGCGATGGGAGGGGATGCAACGGGCGCATATTGGTTCACTCAATCGGTGAATCCAGAGAATGAAACTCGGTCGACTTCTCAGGGATTCTATGACCCCAGCAGACCCAATCTGCATCTCTTGATCGGCAATAGGGTCACAAAGGCCATAATAGAGTCGGGAAAGGTCGAGTGCATAGAATTTTCAGCTGGCGAAAACGCTACAACGAGCTCTGTCAAAGTCTTGAAGGAAGCAATTTTATCAGCTGGAGCTTTGCACACGCCCCAAATACTTCTACTTTCTGGCATCGGCGAAACAGCACATCTTTCGAGCCTAGGTATCGAAACCGTGGTTGATCTTCCAGGCGTTGGAGCAAACTATCATGACCATTTGTTATTGTTCATTGGCCAGACAGGTGAGTGGCTCTTGATGTCTGACGGGTTCTGGATATTTGATGAACTCTTGATGTTTGACGGCTTGTTGCTGACTTGCTTTGACAGTGAATGTTTCACCCAATGTCGCAAATTTCAGCAATCAAACCTGGACTTCGGAGCAGTTTTCATTGTACGAGTCGGAAAGAGAGGGTCCATTCACGACTCTTGGGGGCAACTTCTTTGCCTTTCTCCCAGCTGGGACATTTTCAAACGCAACCGCCCTATCTTCAGCTGCCACAGCTCAACAAGCATCACACTACTTGTCACCAAACACTCCACCTACGGTCCGAGCTGGTTATGAAGCTCAATTCGCCCTACTTACGAGCGATATTTCCTCTTCAACGGTAGCATATATGGAATTCATCTTCGGTGATAACACAATACTTCCAGCTCTCCACCAACCCTTCAGCCGTGGCACTGTCTCAATAAACAGTACTTCGCCCTTCGACAATCCAGTCATTGACCCACGTTATCTGAGTAATCCTCTTGACCTGGCCCTCTTTGTCGCAGGTTTCGAATATGCGAGGAAAATCAGAGGGACTGCAGCAATGCAAGAAATCAATGTGACAGAAACGTATCCAGGAGCATCAGTAATGACAAGTGAACAGATTGAAGAATTTGTGAGAGGAGGTGTTTCTACAGAACATCATCATTCTGGGACCGCTTCCATGTTACCGCAAGAGCTCGGCGGAGTAGTAGATTCAAAACTGAGGTTGTATGGTGTGGAGGGCTTGAGGATTGTCGATGCAAGCATAGTACCCATGGTCCCAGCTGCACACTTGCAAGCTACTCTGTATGGAATTGCTGAGAAGGTAAGTCTTTGACACTATGAATTTTGTACTGTGCCGTCAAGATGAATATTGGCTGACTCAGAGCTAGGCAGCGGATTTGATCAAGAGCAGCCACTGATGAATATTATAAAGTCCAGCATAAACAGGTATAAAAAAGATCCGACCGCATCTCACTTCAAACATAGGAATCACCTCTTCATAAGGTCATTTCAGAACATTTTGTCGAGTGCAAAAGCGCATACAGTTGCGATGCAATTCATAAGTGTAAGATGAAGTGAGGGACGTTTAGTGGTGTTAAAATCTCAGGGGCTCGCTAATTCTGGGCGAGGACACTGTGCCGGATTCAAGCATCAAAGCCACATACAAGCATGCAACCGAACTTCGGGGGTCCAGGAACCATCATCTGCTATCCTTGTTGAACCCCAATTGAGGCACACGTCGATCCTTCGTTCTACTTCTGACATGTCAGCCTGAAATCTCAAGACCCACTCTGGATCCTCCCGGATCTGAATGCTAGTATCGACTTCTCTGGACCCTGAAAACAAAGTTGTAAGATGGCCAGAGCAATGGCAGCATGTCAACGTTACCATGTAATCACAGCTCTTGCTGACGCCTCTTGGAAGTCCTTCGTGAAGAGATGAGGATGACTTGGCTTAAAGCCCTTCACACCCCCATATCCACGTGCCATCGACTTCGATTGCTCCCGTCTGTCTCTCCTAAAGTCGCTGATATTTTTGACTGTATATATTCAGTATGTCTAAATTGCTTCTTGCACTGTCTGTTCTTTCTTCTCCCCTAGTTCTTGCATCAACGCCCGTGAATGTCCCACTCGCAACAGCCACCGTCGAGAATCTAGGCATAGTCTCTGATCCAGCCTCAAACACAGAGGGAATATTCCATGACGGTGGCGGTGGGGCAACGCAAAATGGATATCATGTCCAAGTCTTCGCTGATTCGGACACGACGAGTGATGGTTTCAATTTTGTGCATAACTCAGTTGCTTATTTTGGCTTTGTAAGTGCTGCCGACTTCCCCATCTCCCATTGAAAAGCCTCAGATGCCAATGGAACACAGCGCGATGCCAGCAATCCGCTCGATGAGTATACCTTCGGCATGAATGGTACAACAGGAGATGCGATATTTACTGGCGATGTACCAGTCGGCCCCATCACCGCGAATGAAACAGCGTTGGGACCTGACTTTGCGATTTGGATGTTGTCAGGAATGACTCCCATGCTTGACGGTTCAACCATCCTCGGCGTATTCCCAGCTCTGAACGAAGGGACAAGCGAGTCCCTATACTCAACGATGGTCCAAATGACAGTTGTTGACCCTTACGACGTGGCTCCCGGCGGTAATCCACCCTTCACAAGACTCGGGACAGGTCGCCTCTTCTACCCGAACGAGGTCAATTACGGAACATTCGCTTTATCGGCGGATATTGATGGATATCTCTATCTTTTCGGCAGTGATGTAACAGGCGTAAAGCTCGCTCGCGTCCCTGACACAGCATCCACAATCGCTGATCGAGTGGCATACGAGTACTATAACTCCGCTACCGGGGACTGGCAAGGCGATCCTCTCGCTCTCAACAATGCGGATGGAAATATTATAACGTGGTCCTCCGATCCCTTGGGCGTTGTAGTCGGACCTAATGTTGGCGATGTATGGTACGACCCATACCATGAAACCACGATGATGATGTGGGGTGACGGTGGTATCGATGGTACATTTTGGTTCTCGTACGCAACGACAAACTCGCTGGAGGGACCGTGGAGCACGCCAGTTGCGATTTGGACCCCATTTGTGCCGAGTGGGTGTGATGCGACGAGCGAGGCATGGAATTATCAAGGACATGCGCATCCCGGCTGGGACAGCACTGGAAAGACGTTGTTGATTAGTTATGCGAGCTGTGCATTGTATGTGAGTATGGCGTTGATCACTTGGGAATGAGTGACGAGGGGAAGTAAAGTTAATGATCTTGGAGGTTTGACGTACATAATTCATCTTTGTGTATATATTTAAAGATTACCAGATATTATCATCAGGTGGCAAAATTCAATCTTGAGCTTCAATAGAGCCACAGTACTGAGAACCTCCGTTGGGCAAATGTGTTCGAAGCGGGTGAAGCTTGACGCAGAGAATTGATGTTAAGAATATGATTATGTAGTTGCTGCAGAAAATGTAGAAGCAGCGAGTGACAGGAAGCACTTGACGAGTACGGAATTTATGTGACATTCTATCAAAGGATACGAAAAGCAAATCAGGGACGAAAACACAGCGGTCGCTCGTACTTTACGTACTTTGCTCGAAATTTACCAAGATTGGAAGCTCTTCAAAGGCGGGAAAGAGAGCTGCAACTGCGTCGCTGCAGCTTGCCAGCTCCAGAATCCAGGAGCATCAGTGTAGTTCAGATCGGACAGCTACTTGCTGTATGGTGATTGGTGATGGTTGAAAAAGATTAAATCCGGTTTGGGCCGAAGCCGACGCTCGGAAAAATGGCCCAAGCGGTTCACTGGTTGGTTGTGCAGCACTGATTATGTAAGCCAACATAGAATAAAGTTCAATAATTTCTTATTCGAGAGCCCACTTCCTGCTAGGTATGCAGCGATCTTCATTTTGACGTAACTCGCCATGACTGAATTAGCTCCGAAGTCAGAGACTTGGCAAATGGCACATAAGTAGTTCAAGCTGAACCATACCTTCACCTCCATCTCAGGCTGTCAAGCGACTTTCTAGATAGGAAATCGCACTTTCGCTGCGGGAAAATGGCAGCTGAAGCTATTACCGCCCTTGGTTCGCTCAAGGAAACGTTTGTCAGCTGGACTTGGCCACCTGCAGTTAACTTGGCGAGAAGCCTTGTACTTGGCATATTTTCGGGCATTGAGTCAGGAAGTTTGCTCATTATCGACGAAGCCAGATGTGTGAAACATGCTTTTGGCCAGAGCTCCTTTGAAAAAGATGGCAACAAAGTTGATGCTAAAAGCGTTTATACAATACCGCATGTGCAGATTGTTGTAAAGCGCGATTCTTTTTGGCTCAGGCTTCTCTTGTTCGCTGATATTGGTTTCGCTGAGGGCTTTATGCTCGGCGATTTCGAATGCAATGATTTAACTTCCTTCTTCCGAGTATGTACATGCTTCATTTTATGCTGCACGGTGTAGCTTACACTTTGCTTTGTTTCTAGCTCTTCATTATAAACAAGGAAAATTTGAATAATGGAATGACTGCTTTATCTACGCTTTCTTCGATGGTCTCGAGGCTTGGGCGATCGAGTAATACGCTTGCCAACTCGCTGCTCAACACCGCTGCACACTACGATATTAGCAACGAGATGTTTGCAGCCTTTCTGTCCAAAGACATGACGTATTCGTGTCCTATATGGCAGCCTGCGAGCCTGGATGGAACAGGGGATGGTGTGGAAAGCCTAGAAGACGCCCAGCGGACCAAACTCCTTCGCTTCATCGAAGGCGCGAAGCTGAAGGCTACAGACCATGTCCTCGAGATCGGCACTGGCTGGGGTTCCTTTGCAGTCGAGGCAGTAAAGCGAACGGGCTGCCGTGTAACGTCGATCACCCTATCTCGAAAACAAAAGGAATTAGCCGAGAAGAGGATCAAGCTCGATGGCCTGGATCATCGCATTGAGATCAAGTTTATGGATTACCGCGAATTATCCGCCCCTACGAAACCATTTGATAAAATCGTCTCCATAGAAATGATAGAGGCTGTTGGGGAGGCTCATCTTGCGCAGTACTTTGCGTGTATTCAAAGACTGCTTAAGCGAAATGGCGGTATTGCCATGTTTCAATGCATCACTATGCCGGAGGCTCAACACACCGCCGATGCAAAGAAGAGAGAGTATGTCACAGAGGATCTAGCATGTATTGGTATGCTTCTGGAGCTAATTGTGTCTCAATTCAGGTTCATCGGTCAGTACATATTTCCAGGTGGATACCTGCCCTCGACTACGCAGCTGCTCAACCACATCAGCACGCAGTCCAAAGGCACTTTGACTTTAGAACGGGTTGAGAATATCGGAGGGCATTATACAAAGACTTTACGCCTGTGGAGGGAGAGTTTCCTGCTCAATTTTGATGATAAAATAAAACCTGCTTTGTTGAACGGCCACCCCGCCATGTCGGAGGAGGCTATTGAAGTATTCAGCAGGAAATGGGAGGTGCGTAAATTTCAAGCCATCTTCTAACGATGAAACTGGGATCATTGCTGACATCACATTAGTATTACTTTACTTACTGCGAGGCCGGGTTCTTCACGAAGACATTAAACGATGTTATCATCACGGTCAGTCGACCAGGAGCCTTAGAACTTACAGAGGAAATACCACTTTGAACTGTCCTCGGTCTCTCGCTCTCAATCTATTTAAGGCGATTCTCAATTTGTACAAGATGGAGCCCTTGGTCTTTCAAATGGATGACGGGCTTCCGGGCTTTTCGAACAAGTAGTGTGAGACGCCCCATACATCCCCCCCTGCAGTTGCAAAGAACTCGGACCCGGCTATGTGATAGACTACCCACCGATTGTACCAAGTGGCAGCATCTCTTTTTCCATACGACTCAATGAGGTGCGGCCATATCTGTTCTTTGTTGCTAAGAAGGGCGGAAAGCCAGCCCTTGCATAATTCAGCAGCACTCCAACTACCTTGGCGAATAGTGGTACATAAAGTGCCATGTGGGACTTACCTGCATTGTCTTTGAGTAGTGCAATCCACTCACCCACCACTGCCTCTTAAGCTCCAGATCTCGCTGGAAGTAGAGTAGTAGATCCGCAGACGGCATAGTGCCACCAGTGAAGAAATATCTCGCCATCCATCCGTCTTCAAAGTCGTATGGTGTATCGCGGTGGCTGAAGAGGTGTACGAAGAGCTTGCCGCCGGGCTTCAATGACGCGGCGATCTTTGCCATTAGAAGTTCCTAGTTTTTCATGTGCTCGAAGAGCTATAAGTCGACGTTCAACAGAGTTCATCGGCATGATACAAAGGCAGGGTAGGATGTCTCACCTCGACAGACACAACGCGGTCGAATTGTTGAGGTTCAAACTCGTAATCAGCAATGTCTCCTGTGATAATCTCAACGTTTTTGAGGTTTTGTCGCTTCGCTTCTGCCTCTATGTATTGTTTCTGAGTTCTTGAATTGGAGAGCCCGATTACTCTGGAAGCTGGCAGATGCTCCGCAAAGTACAGTGTTGCTGATCCCCAGCCGCACCTGCACCACACAGTGTTAGAATTCAATGGACAAAGGTAGGCCGACAGTATTCTTGCATTTAAAATACACATACTCACCCTAAATCAAGAATACTCATGCCATCCTTTAATTCGGCCTTGAGGATGTACTCCTGCAGCATTGCCGTCTCTGCTTCTGCAAGAGTTTCTTTGCCCGTCGGGAAGAGCGAACAGGAATACTTCATGCGAGGCCCAAGGAAAGCCGCAAACACACCAGTGCTAACTTCATACTGTTGCTCATTGGCAGCTATCGCCTCTATCGCGATAGGCCGTGTGCATAGCTTTGCAATGTAACTCAACTTCTCGTTGGTTGCCTCTGTTAGCGACCTGTTGCTGAGCTCTGCCAGGCGCGCTTTCAGTAACTGTCGTGTGCACAACCTAACGATTCTATGAGGGAGATAGCCCGTATCGATGATCCAGTCCGTTAATCTCAGTACTTAAGGTCAATCGTCAGCTCCGGAAAATCGAAAACCCAATGTTAGGAGGTCATTGATACTGCGTTACAAGACTAGGATGCCCCATAAAGTAGTAATTCTAGCCATACATGCGTGGCTTGTACAATAGTAATTGAGACAAAGACCACTTACCATAATCCATCTTCCCGCCTAGGTATAAACTGCCCAACAGCGTATGATGATTTCCGGACTCGTAAACGCGGAAGTGGCTTCTCCATATGTGAGATTCTAGTTGAAATTTGAGTGACTGCAGAACTTGTGCATTAGCCTCTTGGGGTGCATCGGAGAAAATGCCTCGATTGGATGGGCCGTTGTATATCATTCGCTACTCGCAAAGGCGTCGTATTGAGGCGAATGAAAAAGGCTGGCATCAGCTAGCTGCATAATAGCTAAATTGGTGTCATCCATAGCGTCTCACATTACCCTTGCTAGCCCCTCAAAGCCCCATTGGCGTTACGACTCAAGTTGACAGTCATCGTGAGTGATGATCACGTAAAGTGCAAAATAAAGTTATCTAACAAAGATCGCTCAGTCGAGGAAGTGAGTACACGAAGCGCAAGACAAATTCGTTATCTTCAGCCTCGTCGTCATATTAGCGAGGTCTGCCCGTCTGGAGCGGTTTCCAATCCCATCGGCTGCCCGCCAAGGTTAGTTCTTGAGTACCAGTACTTGCAATGAATAATCCAATTGAGCCCTCGGTGAGCAAAAAAGTCGCTGTGATTGGCAGCGGCTGTTCTGGCATTGCGGCTTTATGGGCCTTGAAAGGGACAAACCATGATGTGTACTTGTATGAGGCAGACGGTCGACTCGGTGGACACACCAACACGGTGCAATGGAAAGCTGGCAAGTATTCCGTAGATGTCGACACTGGATTTATTGTACTCAATACGGCTACCTATCGTGAGTGGAAATATTCTTTCGGGACATATGACTAGGTTTGTAAATGTAGACTTACACTGATTGCAGCTAATTTCATCAATTTTCTTAAGCACCTGAACATTACGACTGAGCCAACTAGCATGGCCCTTGGGGTGTCACGAGATTATGGGTCATTTGAATGGGCTGGTAAGAGCTTGGCCTCTGTATTTTGCCAAACCAAGAATCTCTTTTCTCTCAAGATGTGGCGCATGTTGTTCGATATTGTTCGATTCAATCAATTCGCCCTGGATGTCTTGATCAACGCAGACATAGATGCAGGCAATGGCGGCACCGAGACGATTGGAGAGTACCTTGACAAGCATGGCTACTCGCATGCATTCCGAGACGGGTATTTAATTCCAATTACAGCTGCTGTCTGGAGCACAAGCCCAGACAAGTGCATACACCAATTTCCGACACTAACGTTGATCAGGTTTCTGTAAATTGCCACCCTACTGTCATTGTTTTTTAATGTACTAATATACTTGCAGATGGAATCATCATAACCTTTCGACCATTTCTGCTCAGCCAGAGTGGCTCACATTGAAAGATGGATCTAGATCATACATTGACGCCGTCATGAAAGACTTCCCATCTGATCATGTGTTCCTCAATAGCCCAGTACAACGGGTTGAGAATAACGCAAGCGGTCGTGTCGTGCTGTACCTAGAAGATGGCCGCACAGACACCTTCAACCATGTTATTCTGGCTACGCATGGTGGCCAGGCGTTATCGATACTGGGCTCTTCGGCAAAAGATGAAGAACGGTCTATTCTCTCTTGCTTCAAGACATCGCAGAATGAGGTTTTACTGCACTCTGACCTGACACATATGCCTCAAAGGCGCAACGCTTGGTGCAGCTGGAATTACATGACTCTTTCGCCCAAATCAGAGGCCTACACCGATACAGTTTCTTTGACGTACAACATGAACATCCTACAGCATATCCCAGAAAACAAATTTGGACACATCCTAGTGACGTTGAACCCGCTCCATCGGCCTGACCCTGCGCTGACTCAAGGTCGTTATCTCTACTCGCACCCGCTATACACGTCAAAAGCGGTACGGGCTCAGAAGCAATTGCCATGTATCCAAAATGTGCGAGGAATCAGCTATGCCGGAGCATGGACAAATTATGGCTTTCACGAAGATGGATTTAGCAGCGGTCTGCGAGTTGCGCAAGACCATCTAGGCGTAAGGCTTCCATTCGACTTAGTCGACTCCACATTCAGCAGGGGCAAGAAACCAGAGCTAGGCATAGTTGACTATCTTCTGCGCTTCGTTATCATTCTTGTTCAAGTGCTTGTTGTTCAAACTTTGGAGCTACTAGCAGGTGTCAAAAGACGGCCAGAAGGCAAGCAGATGCTTGAAGGGGTAAAGCAGAGATGAATTTGCAGGGGCTATGGACAACATACAAGACAGCCATCCTTTAGAAAACTGGTGCGGCGTCAATGATCCAGTTTGTGCTGACATCAAGCAAGGATCAGGAAAGAAAAAGGGGCTTTGAGGCGCTCTTGGTCGTCCTCTATTCTATGAGGACTGGCTCTGAAGGATTCAAGAAAATATTCAATACTACATGCTGCCTCCCGCAAACCTACTTCTAATCCTAAAAGGGATTTCGCCTACTGGGTGCAAGGTACCCGCCCCATATTTCGTTTCATCCATTCTAAACGCTCGTTCTTTTGCGAGGATATCGATCTCAAAAAGGAGAACCATTGAGGCCATTGTTGTAATCATATGGTGTTTGGCGAGGAAGCGACCAGGACAACCCCGCGGTCCGCCACCAAAGGGAATCCACGATCCGTCGAGGCCGTTGAGTGAAAAGGACATATTTGCTTGAAGCTCTTCGTTGGATGCTTGAGCTGGAACGGATTCTGATTGATTGGAGACATTTTCGCTTGGAACCAAAAACCGATAAGGCCAAAATTCCTCTAAAGGGTGTTTTCCTCCAGCAGTGTTCCATTCGGAGCCATGCATATGTGCCGGATGTGACGAAACTAGACAAAGTTTGCCTTGTGGAATTCGCCAGCCGTCGAGATCGACCGAATCGTGAATAAATAGTCTCGCCATATAGACGTGAACTCGAAGCCTGAGAGTCTCGGCAAAAATGGATTGCAAAAGTGGTTCTGTGCAAATGCTGGCTCTCTTCTCAGAATCGGAAAAGTGCTGGAGGAACCCAGCAGTGGTTCGTATATCTGGGAGCCTCTTCCGAACTTGGAAAAGCAGTTCAGGTCGGCGAAATATTTCGAGTACTGCCCAGAAAGTGGATGGAACAACGTTTGAGTTTACTCTGAATACTTATCAGCCCTGAGCTATTAAAATATCTTATTTGAGCATTCGAAGTACTCACGCCCACGAGAATGTCAGATTCACTGATGCAAGAGCCTCTTCGTTGGTGTTGTCCATCTGTAGAAATAATTTCTGCCATTTTCTCATAAGCCTTGATCCCCATCGTTGGGCATCATAGATGTCCTCGTCCCAAGGAGCAGTTTCGCGGTCTGTCAGGTGAAGCTGCCACTGCTTCATAGCTTCTAATAAGCGATCTCGGTGTGAATATGCTTTTGGGATCATCCAACGCGGCAGATGCCACGAGAAGTGTTGTAGCTGTCGATTGAACTTCCAAAAGTCGGAGCAAAAGTTCGAGTTTTCGGTCAGATGTGTCCCCCACAAAGATTCCGTGTTTGCAGGAGTCATATGTAGCTGGAAAAACACGACAAGATCCGGCATATATGTCCAGTAATCTTTAACGTTGGCATTAACCAGCCTCTGGGACAGGCGTATAGCAAATCGTCTGCAAATAGAAGCAGCATCAGGTCCAGACAAGGATTCTTTGAAGACAAGATGACTAAGGCGATCGGCACGGTTGGAGGATTTCACGTCACTCGTTGGATGAGGATTAGGACCAAAACCGGAGTTGTCTGCAGCGTAGATTTCTATGCTTTTCTGGGGCATTGCGAACCAATGACGAAATGTAAATGTATGAAGTGCTGTAGAACTAGACTTTGAACAACACTGACGAGCATCCACCCGAATATTGTGCTCCGACGAGATCATGTCAGGCCATAAGACTTCTGCCGTTTCAGAACAATTGTTTGCAAATCCAAGGGATCTATGAGCCGGTCGTATGCCCGAAAGGAAACTATTGTCCTGGAGGAGGTAAGTCGATGTCACAGTGTCCAAAATATCATTATTGTCCTCTCGGAGCAGTAGTCCCCTTCAGATGTGGTCCCTTATCTATATGTGGTCCTGGTTCCAGTCGTGAGTTCCAGCTAGATGGATTTCTGGTAGCTCTAATCATGGACCTGCTTTTGGTGTCTTTTGCTTGTCTCCCTGCTTTGAAACATTATTTGAGCAGACTACGCCTCAGACGACAGATTTCCACTGGATCTGGAAGTAACGACATTGGCGCCGAAAATGGCCTCCATCTGGAATTGAATACGACACATCAGTCATCCGACCCTCCCATGCCTCAATACTTGCCAGAAAATATCAGTGCCGACCAAGATATAACCTTAGGGGGGCTTGGAGACTTCATAGCTGCAGTCATTGAGTTTAATAGCACAAGGGACCTCGGATTTTCAATCGGATTCGATTCTCTCAGTTTTGCTATAGGAAAGAAGTCCAAAATGCTTCTTTCGTCAGTCACGGGGATTATTGGAAGTGGGACGTTGTGTGGGATTTTAGGACCTTCGGGCGCTGGAAAAAGTAAGATTCTCCAACATCTATCAATTGCAGCTAACTGACTGGAATGTCACTTTAGCAACCTTTATGAAATTGTTGATGGGAAAACTTGAGCCGACCACAGGCTCTGTCAATATCAATGGCAATGTAACAAAGCTTGTCGAGTGAGTCAATATTTTCCCCCACAATTTATTATCTAACTGAATACAATGATTCCTTTAAAGGTACAGGAAACTTATTGGTTTCGTTCCATCTGATGATGATCTACTTCCGGAGCTTACAGTCCGCGAAAGTATTCTTCACTCTGCACGCATTCGGCTTCCTCGCAAATGGTCAGATACTGCATGTATTTGTCGAACACAGTCGTCGTCAGGAACGAGGTCAACTTCAGCTCCAGCACATGTCCCAAGATGGAGACCTACCACAGTACCCGGAGAATCTGCGTGCGAAGATTGGTAAGTTACGAGCAAAGGCAAGGGAAGATGGAAATGTCTATGCAGGTTCACGCACCTCATACCTACCACGGATTACAGTGGAAGGACCTAAAATCCCAGGTCTATCAACGTTCATCCGTGGACATAGCACCCGGACTGATAGTCAGACTTCCACCAAAGATCCTTCGGAGGCCTGGGGAGGCCAAACATTCATAGCCTCAAAGTAAAGTTGGGCGAGGGTGAAGCTGTATCGCAGCTCTCGGTAAATATCGCAACAGTAATGCAGTAGATTATAGTTTGGGAAGGACGATACTTTGAGCGTTTTGAGCAGCTACAATCAACTTAGATATCACTTGATGTCAGATTTCACGAATATGATGTTGAAGCTGAAGATCTACACCTTAATGTGTACTCGCTATCAACTACAGCGTGATGCCCTTGCATACATAATCTTTTGCGGGAACCTTGTTGTTAGATCACTTTACGAATGGTCAGATATGCTCCGTGCAAAGTACCGTCCAACTTGACGCCGTGCCTCGTATTGTGGTTAAAGTGGCCGGATAATATACCGACATGACCATCAAATTTCAAAACCCACACCACTTCCTGTATAAAATTGACGACGCTCCCACCTGAATCTCTACAAATGTTCACAACTATGGCAGAATTTAGCGATCACCAACCATCCTCATCTGATGCTGGAATAAAAAGCGAAGAATATGCGCGACATTGGGAACAAGGTGGGAAGCCAATTGCCAATGATAACAAGGCTCGAGACCATCGCAAGTCCCAGTACACTACACTTACAAATGAGTATGTCGGATGCTACAATGGCGCTCATTCTATGCTAAAAATAACTTCAGCTACTATAATGACACCACCGATATCTATTTGGAAGCATGGGGTGAATCGTTCCACTTTTGTCGATACCCACGCGGTCCAGAAGCAAAGTCTGGAGCGATTGCTAGACATGAGCATTATCTGGCTCACATGATGGGATTACGTCCAGGAATGCGGGTACTTGATGTTGGATGCGGTGTTGGCGGGCCAGCCAAGGAGATTGCAACTTTTGTAGATTGCAGCGTTGTGGGATTGAATAACAACGGGTATCAAGTTCAGAAGGCCAAGGAGCTGGCTATTAAGGATGGCATGGACAAGATGATAGAGTTTGTGAAAGGAGATTTCATGGTAAGACTACTGCATGCATTCGTTTATCGCCGTAGCATTACACTAAGTCTGTACTAGACGATACCGTTCCCCACGGACAGTTTCGACGCTGTCTATGCCATCGAAGCAACCGTTCATGCACCCTCCCTGGCAGAAGTATATACTGAGATACACCGCGTTCTTAAACCAGGGGGCATTTTTGGCGTCTTCGAATGGGTTCTGACTGATAAGTTTTCATCGACTAACAACGAGCACATGGCCATACGCCTCGGGATCGAACGTGGAAATGGTATCCCTGCTCTACAAACCAAGGCCACAGCCCAAGCAGCAATGAAAAAGGCTGGATTTGAATTGCTCGTCACCGAGGACCTCTCAGAGCACCCGGATCGCCTTCCATGGTGGTATCCTATCTCGGGAGACACCAAAAGTGCTCAAGGACTACAAGACTGGATGTTGGTCATACGAAACACTAAATATGGGAGGTATGCTGTGAAGGCCCTTGTGAGGGCTTTGAAGCTCGTTAGGTACGCTCCAAGAGGAACTTTGAAGACGACGGAGGAGCTTATTGCTGGGGCTGATGCTTTAGTAGTTGGAGGGAAGGAAGGGCTGTTCACTCCAATGTATCTGATGGTTGGGAAGACTAAGGCTTAATGGACTTTCCAGGGCGGCGGGGCTATCTTATGCAATAGCCGGGATAGGGCTTTGGAATCAAGAGGCAGGGAAGGGGTTGCCCACGTGACTCGAGAGCAGGAAGTTGCATTCCGAGGTTAAATTGAGGTGGAGGTACTGTTCTGATGACTTGAATTGGCGTTTGACCTTTTTCCAACGTCCGTATGCGGCGCGAAGTTTCAGTGCTAAGTAATATGTTTGCTCCGCCAGTGGTATTCTTCGCTTGAACGAGTAACTCATTACTGGGTACCACGGTGAAGCATCTCAGACTCGAGTATAGATCCCTGAGCTCGAACTCCCTGTGTCTTTGAGAGGCTATGTTGGCGCTAGTCCAGACTTTGTGATGCCTAACATCAAAATTTATACAGAAGCTGACCGAAAACTCGTATCTCGAGTGCGATTGAAGATATGGGCTAGATTGTGAACCGATTCCTCTCATTTTGCAATCCCTGCTCTTCTGCTATTGTGTCAGCACAAGTCTCTACATTAGGATAACTTCGCGGAGAGGTTCTCGGCTAGCTATCTAAACGAGTTGTACTTACATCAAGGATCCCAAGGCCTTGCGACCAAATCTTCTTCGTTTACAGCATCTACAAGCACCTCCAACCCGTCTTCTTCACGGCGTATCAGATGCTCCACAAGATCCGCAGCTTGAAGACTGTTCCAAACGCCCTCGCGCATTTCCGAGGTCCTGAGAAGCTCGATAGCTCGAAGACCAAGAGGTCGTCTTCGATATCTGATAGCCGCAAAGCACAGAGGCCAGATAAAACCACCATAAAGCCCCATAGGCTTTGGTCCTATCTCAGATGTAGGCGATCGAACGGCAGCCTCGGCGTATGCTACAATCTCTTGACATTTCCATCCCCACTTGAACCACAAAGTTCCCAGTTCATCTTTCAACGTTCCTCCCAGGCAGGTAGTCAAGTCCATACCAATCAGCATAGCTTTAAGTTTGAGGGTATGTGCTTTTTGTTGCTCAGTAGGATCTAACTTATCGCTGTAGACCCTACTAAATCGATCAAGAGCCATGCTGTATTGACGAAGCTTTCTGAAGGTAGAGAACTCTGCTGAATGCGCGTAAAGCTCTGGCTGAAAACAAATGGTAGATGTCTTTGAACCAATTATAGTATTGATAGCGGTGTTTCGTATCTCGTTCAATGCACTATGAGCTTGTTCCAAATTATATAATTGAAGTAGACTGTCGCTTTCGCTTGATACTATGGAGTCTGAGAATTCCTCCTGGAACGTACTGGCCGTTATCAACTCGCTGTCTATACCGTCATTTTTTATGAAGATAAGGGCAAGGTCTCGAAGTGGCATATGCGTAAACTTCAATTCGTAGAACAGATTGTCTGGTCGCGGGCTCGATGTGGCTCTTAACTCTGCAACAATCTTGATGCCATTGTTGATATGAAATCTAACTGCTTTGTGGTTTCCACGTAGAGCCTGTATAGCAATAAGCGCTTCGAATCAAATATAGAGCAGTCAACATACCTCAAAATATGTAAACAGAAGACATGTCATCAAAACAATATCCCCAGGCTTCTCTTGCAGCGGTATAGCTAATGTTCGTAGCGCTTTGGTATACTGAAACTCAGAGAATGTGTCGTACATGCCTTCCGCATCCTGCATATATGGCAATCTTCTCTTCTTTTGCGTGGATACCATGTGGAGTCCACCCAGAGCTGCAGCGGCATGTCGAATTGCCGGCTCGTGATGACATGCTTGCAGGATGACTTTCTCCCAGAACTTTGACGGGAAGGCTGCAGACAGTCGATTGCGAGAAACATCTCGAAAGAACTTAAAAGAACAATGCTCTTGATCACTATCGAAGACTTTGGTAGTTGGATTGCGAATTAAGATGGGTCCTCGGCACCGAGCAAGCGGATATGTTGGTTCTCTTGTTGGTGCAGGAACAATTGTGCCACGAGATTGCAACAACTGGGGTACGGTAGTTGTTGGTTCTCCATATAAGTGGCCTTCACAAGTTCTTCCCGTGCTCGTGCAACGTAGGCAAGAAGGTTTCTCCTCCCCACACTTGACTTTCCTTACTCTGACAACAAATCAATAACCATACTCGTCGCGGGCAAGCATACTCACTTGCAGGTATTGCAGCCTCGCTTAGAGTGGGGTTTGTAACGTCGAACCCTAACACCACCTCTCCTCAGGGGAGGGTCGCTCGGGACGACTTTGTTTTCTTCCATACTGTCTGGTTATCTCGTTAGGCAAATGATAACCGCGAGGGCATACTGACCGGGAGTAGATCTAACTCACCGAATCACGAGCCGTGCTTCACGATGGAGATGTCAAAACGTGTGCAGAAAGGGGTACGACCAATGATGAAGGCATGTAACGACAGCCCTAATCGCGGGTATTTTCGATGCGCCAATGAGCTGCTCTGCCATACGAGAACCGGCCTGCAACGGGTCGACAACAGTTCGACAACGGTTTAGAGTCATTCGTTTTTGGTTGCCCACATTTGGGAGAAACTGCTCACGGAATTCTACTTGAACCAGATTGTGGGTGAAGTTGTGAAATGAATAGGCAACGAAATGTTAAGCGCCCTCGCCATGACAGATCTTGAGAGGAGTGCGCTGTGCCGCCGGCATTTCATAACTGTGGACCGTCCGTTTTTGTGCGAATTAGTGCATTGGCGTCCTAACGAACATGGGGACAAAAGTCCGTGCGTTCAGGGCATCAGAATCATGAATTTTATTAATTAATTAGCTGTAGACCAGCCACATCGCTTAATTAAGTCGTGTACCCAGAAGTCCTGCTGCTCAATAAGCCCATTGATCCATTCCTGAGGAATTTTGTCCCATTCTTCTAATACTGCTACAACCATTTGAACCTTAGTTGTTGGCTGCCTTAGGCGCCTATGGAGAGCTTGTTTTATTCTCCTC